TGTCTTCAGAGCATGCACCACAGCCAGCAGTTCTTGTTCGTGTGTAGGATAGTTGCGTTCCGCTGGGTTGAGCTTGCGTGAAGTAAAAGCTACTGGTCGTGATTCACCATTTTGGTCCGTCTGGAACAGGACAGCACCAATTGCAAAGCCTGAAGCGTCTGTTTCGACTGCTGTAGAGAGGGCAGGATCGAATATCCTAAGAACTGGTGCTGAGCTCACTGCTCTTTTCAAAGTCTCAAAGGCGTCTTGTTGAGATTTTCCCCAGTGGAATTCCTTATTGGAGCCTAACAATTGTGTGAGGGGAAGAGCAATATCAGCGTAATGAGAAATGTACTGATGGTAAAAATTAGTCAAACCAAGGAATTGCATCACATGTCGTTGGGTTGTTGGTACTGGCCATTCCCTTATTGCCTTGACAAGTCCGCCATTCGTCTTGAGTCCATCCTTGGAGATGACATGGCCTAGGAACTCAGTCTCTTCCTGCATGAAGGAACACTTGGATAATTTACAATAAAGCCCAGCTTGACGCAAGAGGGAGAGTACTTGTCGGATGTGCTCTAAGTGATCTTTCTCGTTATCGGAGTAAATTAAAATATCATCGAGATACACAACAACACATTTATCAAGAAGTGGATCAAGTACGTTACGCATCATAGTCGAGAACGCTGCAGGTGCATTTGTAAGACCGAAAGGTACGACGTTAAACTCGTAGTGGCCATAGCGAGTTCGGAACGCGGTCTTGTGTTTATCATCAGGATGGACACGCATTTGATGATAGCCCGAGAGTAGATCCAGCTTGGTAAAACATTTAGCTGTTCTGAATCTGTCGATCAATTCATCGATCCGTGGTAAGGGGTACCTGTTTTTCTTTGTGATCTTGTTCAGGCCCCGATAATCAACACACATTCGAAGCGAGCCATCCTTTTTCTTCACAAAGAGGACTGGAGCACCGTATGGTGAGGTGCTCGGTGAGATTAATCCTTTTTGTAAAAGATCAGTTAGCTGCTTCTTCAGTTCATCAAGCTCAGCGATCGACAATCTGATGACAGGTCGGACAGGTGGGTCAGCATAAGGGTCAGTCTCTATACGCATGCTATCACCTCTGTCAGGGGGAAGGCCATCGGGAAGCGTTGTAGGAAAGACATCAGGGAATTCGACTTGAACGATTTGCTTGATAGAGTCCGGTAGTTCAGAACTACTGCTAGAGACAGGTACTGGAACTCGAACTTGGGCGAGGAATACAGAGGCATCAGGTTCCGAGGCAACGGTAAGGAAGTTAAGAGCAGATATGACGGAAGATCGCTGTCTAGGCTTCCTGTCGATGCCAGTGCAAGGCCACAAGACCGGGGTACCTTGGTATTCAAAATGCAGATCATTTGTTCGCCAATTGATGCGAGGGTTGATATCCGTCAGCCATGGTTTACCCAAAATTAGGTCGTATTTGGATAGAGGATAAACAATGGCGTTGATTTTATCCTGATACGCGTTGCGGGCGAGGGTGAACGTGGCTGTGTGCTGAGCAATTGTCTCGGTACCGTTGGGAAGAATGACAGGAATGGGTCTACCCTCAATTAGCGGAACATGTGTGTTCTCGCAGAAAGAGGAACTTATGACATTGCCTTCGGCCCCTCCATCTACAAGAATGCGCGCAGGTCGACCATTCACTGCTCCAATGAAAGTAAGAAGTCGGCGAGAGTTTTTATGTTTGTCATAGGTAAGGCTGAAGGATTGAAGGCGAATTTCGTTACGACAATGGGAGTGGCGATTGGATGAACTAGGGGTAGATGAATGAGTGGAAGTGAGTGAAGTGGAAACAGTGAAAGGATCAGTGGAGGGGAAAATAGGGTCGGAGAGGGGATTGTTTTTTAGCAATGAGGAATGAGTAGGGGAATGGGGATCAGGATGAGGTGAATACTTAGAGAGTAGATGTAAGGAAGTAGATGCAGTGGGAGCAATAGAGTGATCAGAAAGGGGCATGGATGTTATATTTGTGCACAAAGGATTTTTATTTGTAGTCATCAACTAACTGACCATGCCCTCTATTATCCAGGGCTTGAAGGCTGGGGCTAGAGGGGGCGAGGCAGGCCTGGTTTACTGCTCGCCCTCCTCTTTTCCCGACTCAGAAAGCGTATGGTCATTGTTTTCTATATTAAAGACAGAGGTGCGTTGGCATTGTTCGGCTCTATGACCTCGGTTCCGGCATCTGAAACAACGCCCCTCACGAACGCAACGTTCTCGTTCAGCTGCTGTGAGCTTGGGTAGCGAGCTTGGCTTGGAGTGGTTTCTGTTTGGTCGTTGCTGATGGAGAGAGGTGTACAGGTTGGCAACCAACATTCTCATGTTATCGAGATCCATTGGTGTAGGGCCAGAATTATTCTCATGATGGGGTGATAAGGCGTTCGGGGTAGCGGATACAGGGGTGGCATCGATGGGATGTAGAATACTGTGGACAATGGTCGCCTGCTCAATGGCATCGTCCAACGTCTCTGGCTGTCTAAGTCTTACCTGCTTGCTTGTTTCGGGCTCAAGGCCTAGCATGTATTTTTGCAAAGCAGAGTCTTTGTCGAGATTTGTAGCCAGACGTAGGTGGCTTCTAAACTTGCTCGTATATTCTGCCACACTCATCCTTCCCTGACGAAGTTTATCCAACGCTCGGCGAGCTGCATTCGCAGAATCTGGAGGGGTGAACTGACGGAGGAATGCTTTACGGAAGTCAGCCCAAGGTGTATCGAGATTCAACCCGGAATCTCTCCACCATGCCTTGGCTTCGCCATTGAGACTGAGGACAGCGTATCGAACCCATTTGGATGGCGTGAGTGTGACAATAGTGTAATACTCCTCCAGGCTGTCGACAAAGTTTAAGGCTGCAACAGCGTTAATAGCTCCTTCGTAAGGCGTAGGCTTCTGTGGCTTTAGGACCGTGGCGAGGGTTCTGGCTAGGTCATTCTCAGCGGCTTCGTTGGCTTTAGCAGTAGAGAGGGCCTGATTAAAAGCAGTAGCTATGGCTTCGCGAATGTTCAGAGGAAGATCGATGGACGAAAGGGCGTTATTCAAGTGTTCCATGGCGAGGGGTGAAATTCAATGGTAATTGTAGTTCTCTGGGTGTGGTCGTGGTTTCCTTTGCTACCAATGCAAAAGTCAAGGTAGTGTTCTAGGGGGATCTAAGGGTGCAATAAAGGTATCTTTATTCAGGGGGAACTATGCTACAGAACTAGATAGAAAAGTAGACCTATTTATACTAGTTAATATCCTGTTGCAAGGAATGCTCTAGAAATATGGGCGAAATACTATGTTGCACAAAATTATTATAGTGATTTCGCTTGCACACTAAGACGCGACAAATCTTTGACATGAGAACCCATGCTGTCTTATAGATAGATATGTAGTTATCTGGTACAAGCCCCTCTACCAGAAATGAATAAAGAATCCATGGGTGTGGTGTGTGGACCCACATCTTATTCTCACTAACTTTTTTCTACTGTTACGATCTATCCGCAAAATATTTTTCAAGAAATGTCCTCCGCCTCGCTACTCGTTACATGATGGACTTTTATATGTTTGGCGTCGCGGAACAAACCTAGTCTGTATTCCGCAGAAGTCTGATATTCGTCTTACCCTTCTCCACGACGCTCACGACTCCGCTATAGCCGGACATCTCGGATTCGATAAGACCTATGATATCCTTCGTCGTTATGTATTCTGGCCCAGGATCGCTCGCGATACTCGCAATTATATCCAAACCTGTGAAAGCTGCCAACGCAACAAGCCTAGCCGACAACGCCCTGCAGGCCTGCTCCATCCCCTCGCGACCCCCAAAGAACGCTGGAGTACTGTGACGATGGATTTTATTGTCAAGCTTCCCAAGACTCCTAGAGGTTTCGACGCCATCACAGCATTTGTTGATAAATTCTCCAAGCAGGTGCATTTTGTGCCTAGCACCACCAAAGACAAGGCTTCAGATGTGGCTAGGATCTTCTTTGACAACGTGTTCAGGCTTCATGGCATGCCTAAAACCATCGTCTCGGACCGTGATACAAAATTCACTAGCAAGTTCTGGCAAGAACTCCATCGGCTCATGGGCTGCAAACTCGCCTTGTCCACAGCATTTCATCCGCAGACAGATGGCCAGACCGAACGCGCCAACCAGACATTGGAAACAATCCTTCGTGCGTTTGTAGATCAACGACAAACCAATTGGGACCTATTGCTTTCCGCTGCTGAATTTGCCTACAACAACTCGGTTAACGCGTCAACTGGATTTTCACCTTTTTTCTTGAATGCTGGATTTAACCCGCGTGTCCCAGCATCTCTTCTACAACCTACCATCCACACATCATCAAACCCTAGTGTGAAAGAATTTTTGGAGTCCCAAAGCGCGGCGCTTACGTTGGCAAAGGAAGCCATGGAAGAAGCAAGAGAGAGGCAGGCAAGAGGCGCAAATGCTCGCCGACGTGATCACTCATTTACTGTTGGAGACCAGGTACTACTCAGCACAGATGATATCACCGTTGACGCTGATAAGAACAGGCCGACGGAAAAGCTCCGAGCATTATTCGCTGGGCCTCATACCATTGTCGAACAAATCTCGCCTGTATCATTCCGATTAGAACTTCCAAATACGATGAAGATCCATGATGTGTTCCATGTGGACCGTTTTAAAAAATACATTCCATCGCCAGAGGCCTTAGGGCCCAGAGTTCCAGCACGGCCGCCGCCTGAAATTATTGATGATGAAGGGGAATACGAGGTCGAAGCTATTTTAGACCATCGATTCAGTAGCAATCGCCAGGAGTTCCTCATTAAATGGAAAGGCTACCCTAGAGAGGACTCCACTTGGCAGCCAGAGAGCACCCTTACAAACTGCACCAGGATACTGAAGAAATACAAGAAAACACATAGACTATAATTTTTTTTAAAATGGGAAGGTGTGACAGTATATAGCCTTAAGCCTATAAAAAGGCTTGTTTTAATAATTATAATAAAATCATCTTTTGTCTCTCTTAGTTATTACAAGCGGCGACATGATCGAGGCCAGGCTTCTCTGCTTTGATGGCCTTCTTTAAATCGTCAATAGTTTGGTTAGCGAGAATGTCCCCTGGGAAGGGTTCCGATTGTTCCTCTACAATGCAATAGAAACTCAATTTGAATGGCTCGGTAGACTCATTGTTCTTGGGCTTTGCTGGAGATTGATTGTCCGTGGTTGAAGATTTAGAGATTGGCCCCTTGGCTGATTTATTCACTTTCGGCATTATCGTACAAGGCAGAATCGAGTAAAAAAGATCTATTTGAGCAGCAAACTGTGGTTCTTAAATTACATTCCGTGATAGTAGCAAATTTAGTTTTATTAAATACAAACCTTTTTCTTGTTCCTTTGTGCTCTGTAGGCCTTGAGAAAGGCGTTGTTGGACCCAATCATGGCGATTGCCTCGGGAACTGACACCAGGGCTCCAGCTTCCTTTTCCTTTAAGTTTAAGTTTATAGGTGTTGATTTTGATATCTCTTCTGTTTTTCCTCAGAAAAAACAGCCTCAAAATGTTGACGGGATACGGTTTCCAATAAACAAGATGGTTACACGGAATGACTTGTAGGTGATATTTTTAGTGAATTTTCTTTGAAGTTAAGGTAAGAGATAGCATATTTTTGATTCAGTCAGGTGGATGAGTAACTCCAACTCTTAATCACTTTCCTTTTGAAATATGCCAGGATCATAATAAGTAACGAGAACGAAAGAAAGATGTCTTTATTATGATCCGGGGATCTTCGTTAAATAAAAAGGGTAAAAATCTTAGCTATAGTAAAAACCCATGTAAATGACTGCTAATCGCAACACCTTTCTTGCCGAGGTATAGTAAAAGGTCAAGTTATGTACCAGCCCTAGGCTACCTCCAGTAGGTAGCATCCAAAAATAGGGGCATTATGATAAACATGCACTTACGGAGAGGGATGGGAATGAGCCTAAGTGTATTGTTCGAAAGCTTACATTAAATTTCATAATTTTTTTTTTTTTTTTTTTTTTGAAGACCTGACAATATTCAGGAAGCACAGAAGAAGCTGAAACGGGAGGGTCCGCGCTCTCGGAGGCTCAAACAAAGCTGCTGTTGCTCTCCTAGATCCTGATCTGTTATAGTCAACATGGGGTATGGCTTGAGTTGAGAGATGGTGAAGCTTTACGAGCTGCTGCAATGTCACGGACTGTACGAAGGTATTCTTCAGAATCTCCCGAAGATTCATCTCCCTCAGACACAAGTCAACAACTCAAACTCAGACGTACAGCTAGATAAACTAATTATCGAAACAAAGGAGTACTTGGAGCATGTAAAAGCTGCGGAGGTAGAATTACATACTGGCATTAATGAGGTACTAAGAACTATACAGCAAGATAGATCAGGGCAACATGCTGTTGCTAGGGCAATTCTTGAATTCTTATCCAAGAAATAAAAAAATAAATTTATTCGTGATAGGGAACCTCGTCGTATAGACCAGGCTGGAGATATTCATCAATTGCAGGGGGATCAACCTCAAAATGAGATGATGTACTTGATCCATTGTAGCACGTATGGATGTTTAAAGATCACCGCACATTGATAGTATCAGGCAACGGGTGAAAGCAGTACCTTGAGGTTTTTTTTTAAAATCAGTGAAGGCGAACATCCTCGTAAAGCCCCACTCTACAGCTATTCGATGCTTGGACATGGAGGTATATAGGTTAGCTGTGGTGGGCTTAATGGGACAGGAGCTGTTCTAAATAGTACTAGTACGTGCAGCGATAGGGTCTCCATAAATAACAAGAGACTGTCCGTTTTCTGTCCAGGTACGTTCCTCTAAAACTTCATGCAAGCTGGATGTCCACATTGTGATCAGACCATGAATCCTTCCATCGTAGGGGCCTCGTAAGTCAATGATTATTCTGTCAGGAGTCAGGAAGGATTGGTACTTGAATCCATGGCTGTGGTAGTTAGTGGCCATTGTAAATTGAGCGCTGGCCGAAACTTGGGCGAGCAGAAGCGCGCAATGTACCATCGACGAAAGCAAAGCAGCAATCCAATGGAGCCCCAGCACCATATATTTTACTTGCAAATCCAGAAAATGCAGCACAAGTTAATCGGATGGGATCGAAGATAAGGAGTCTTGCCCATCGAATGGTCACAAGCCGAACAACAAGATTAAATATCCTACTAAGGACCGGAATAGAACAGCCGAAGACTTGCATTGTGATGTAAAGTCGTGAAGGAAATGCAAGTTGATACAGCAAGGTTGTTAATACTTCAAAGGCACTAACGGTGTCGCGCTGGACAGTTTGAAAGTATTCAGGAAACCAAAGGTGGGTGATTATTTCTCACATTTGTCCCTTGATAAACCTGAACACCATACGGAAATCTGCGTCAGGAAGTGTTTCTAAATCGATACGATTATTCTGGAGTCGAGGTAGCTGTATTATCCCCCTTCTGTCGCGAAGCCGTCGAGCGTTGGCGAGGTTTGAGAGAATGGTTGCAATGCGGATACTTGACATGAATGTCTAAGTCTTTATTTAAAATCAGTCACAGTACTATGGAAAAGGTTCTGAAGGCGAAAACAAAATGGTCATTTTTCAAAAACACATCAGGCTCTTGATGTAAATTTGGTTGCGAAACTAATAAATAAACCCTACATGACCTAGTAGGCCCTTATAATCAAGAAAATTAATAATGAGCACCATTAATGAAGAAAAGCAGTTTTACTAGTGATTCTTTCATTTTTTATATTTATTACTTTTATCCTATCTTAGATCCTTCTGATCTTACTTTATCGAACTGAATTAAACATGGATAGCAAAAAACAAAGTGGCGAAAAGGGGGAGAGGATGTACCATGTTATTCTTATTTTTTTTTTTTTTCTTTTTCTTTTTTTCTTTACAAAGGCAACTCGAAGCTAACATTAAGCTTAGCTTCACGAGCCATGTTGACCATCTTGCTCAATTTGACTGATTTGCTGGCAGCATCATCCAAGTCATCTGAAGTGATGATACGAAGACCAGACTCAGCAATTAGCTTCTTGGCCTCATCGACCTCAGTACCCTGGAGTCGGACTACAAGAGGGATCTGAAGCTGAAGAGTCGAGGCAGCAGCAATAATACCTTGGGCAATAACACGGCAAGACATGATACCTCCGAAAATGTTGGTAAAGATAGTGGTCACACGTGGGTCCGAGGAGATAATCTTGAAGGCCTCAGTGACCTGCTCAGCAGTAGCTCCACCACCGACATCCAAGAAGTTGGCAGGTTCACCGCCGTGCAACTTGATGATATCCATGGTCGACATGGCCAAACCAGCTCCGTTGACGAGGCATCCAATGGATCCATCCAATCCAATGTAGTTCAAGTTGTACTTGGCAGCTGCGACTTCACGAGGATCCTCCTGTGTGACATCTCGAAGGCCGTGTACTTCCTTCTGGCGGAACTCAGCATTGTCATCAAAGTTGATCTTGGCATCCATGCAGATGACTATTGGAAGAAAGAGGTAGACGAACAAAGTAACCAGACATTAGATCAAGCATACAAAAGTTTCACAACAAGGCCATGGAAGTCAAAAAAAAAGTTACCTTCATGATCAGAGGACTCGGCCATTGGGTTGATCTCAACCATAGTGGCATCCTTCTGCATGAAGAGATCGTAGAGATTGATCATGGTATCGGTGGCTTGATCGACGCACTTGGGAGTGAATCCCATACGCTCAGCAAGGTCACGGACGGCGGCGCGGTCAACGCCCTTGTTGATATCAATGGGCAACTGGAGAATAGCCTCAGGGTTCTCAGCAGCGACAGACTCAATGTCAACACCACCTTGGGATGAGGCAACCATGACGGGACCCTGAGACTTGCGGTCCATCAAGACGGCAAAGTAGTACTCGCGACGGACGTACTTGCGCTCACAAATATAGACCGCGTTACAGATCTTACCAGCAGCACCTGTCTGCTTGGTAACAAGCTTGTGGCCAAGCATTTGGTCAGCGAACATTTTGGCCTCAGTAGGGCTAAATTGAGCACAGCACAAATCAAACTGTTAAAAAATAGCACTTTTTTTTTTTTTTTTTTTATAGAAAAAAACAAACATAAAAATAAAAAATAAAAAAATAAGCGGGAATAGCTCCCATTTGAAGCGTGTCCATCATCAAATAAGATCAACTTACGAGAAGATAGTACGGACACCTCCCTTCAAGCCAGAGTCGAAGGTACCCTTGCCACGACCACCAGCCAAAACTTGAGCCTTGATAACCATGTCCTCAGTTCCTATTAATAAGACGACCCATAGTCGCTTGTTAGAATCTGAAAGCCGCCTGCATTTGATCTTAATCCTCCTTGATGCGTTCCATCTTTTCTATCCACCAAAAACTATTTGACATTGTTTCCCACAGTTGCTAGGCCAGTCAATTTCTGCATGTTGCATGCCTTCTCCTGATCGCAAAAGCTTCTTGGAAAGCCTGATTTCGATAATTAACCACACTCCCATTCAGAATTAATCCATTCCAGTCCTTTTTATCAGTTGAACACCAGAAATGTCGTTTTGTCCTACACAATCTGTACACACATTTGCAAGGATCTGCGTCACATGTAGCAATTAAAATATTGTCTTCCTATGCCCAATCCAACACCATGGGGAAACTAAAATTAGTTATAAGCATCATATGAAAACATAAATGCTTACCGAGGCTCTCAGCAACCTTATAGGCCTCAGCGCCTGACTTAGCAACACCACCGCGGGGAGTCTTGATCCCCTGCTTCTGGAGAAGTTCCATAGACATGTACTCGTGGATGGACAAGAAGCGCTTCTGCTGTTGAACAGCAGGGTTAACGCGGGGCTGTAATGCAATTCCGAAAAAAGAAAGAGCCATTAGTAAATATAAAGCAAACCTTGTTTCCAAGGAGGCAAGCGAACGGGAGACGGAGACGGGGATAATTAAAAATGATTGTGGGAATAGATCGCAGGCAGATATAACAAAATAGAGGAAAAAGTGGAAATGTATAAGAATGAATTGATTGACTGATCGCCTGCCTACACAACGTAATATGCTAAGGATGAGGGTTCTTCCAGCACCAAGCGAGAATATCGTTAAGTGCCTAGCCGCTATTGAGAAGATACTATGGTTGCTTAACATCTTTGTTGGGATTTTATAAACATTGTGATCTCATCAGAGCGGGTATATCGTATATCCTTCTGCCGATTAAGAACGTGAGAAGCAGGATGGAGTTCTAGCGAAACTCGGACAGTGCTACAGATCAACTGAGTGACATGAAAAGGCACATTAATGTCGTAGGCGAGTCATCCAAAGTTGAATGGGTGATGATCCAGGTCCATGCAAGGCGTCTTAATGCCTTCCCCATAAAAAATATTTTCAGGTCACTTTTGTTACTCCCCCAAACTTGATAAACAGTGATGATTTATATATGGAATAAGCGAAGAGACAAGGCGTGTGTGCGCGTGTCTTACCAAGGCCTTGGCCATTGCCGAGGCTGATCGGATGGTGCGGAACATGTTGGATGGGATGGAAGAAAGGAGAAAAATGAAGAGTGGAGAGAAGAGAGGATGCGAATCTGAATCTTATCATGTCCCCGACATGAAAGTAAATAAAACAATTTCATTCACGACACGACGTTTGTACGTGATTGATCTGTGTACGTAATCTACGACTGTGGCATTTCTGTTTATCCCGAATCCCCTCAACGCTTAAAATCAAAGACCAGGGGTCAGTAATCGCATTCATGTGTTATACACCCTATATGACAAAACTATTAGGCTTCGCATTGAAAAAATACATAGGAAGAGGGAAGGGTTTTAGCGATAAAGTAACTTGTTATTGCTAGAAGCTCTTGACTTTTTCAATCAAGTATAAAATACTTTGATTCCAGTAACACGAGCGTAGTTACTTTTAAAAACAACAATCATAAATTAATGTATTATTCTAATTTGATGTATTTATATGTCTGATATTTACATGGATCCAACAATAGCTCCACTTTCGACGCTTTCTTCCGTGTACTCAATTGCCACGGCATTCTTGAAGCCACATTCTCGAATTAAATACAAGCATCGCGCCATATCTAGCAGCTTCTTGCATCGCTTTCCTAGTACGCGTCTCTGGTCTCTTGTAAATGTCGTCGCTTCGTCATCTTTGTTAATCCAAATTCCTGGCCCTGAGGCATCCTTACCAGGCCTTGCGACAAGTGTACTTTCTTCTTGTTTGCCCAATGTCGCCCATCCTGTTAATTTAATTATCCATGGGATCCATACTCCTAGTTGGTCATCTGAAATGTCATATTTTTCATCTTCCTGTTGATTTTGCATCTGTTGTTTCCCATGCCAAACTGGATTATCGTCCCTCCTTTGATCATTCTCTACTCGTTTCCTTTTCTTAATGCTTGCTACACTCAGAAGCTCCTTTAAGTAAGGTCTAGCTACAAGTGAAGGTTCGCAAATACCATGGCAGCATGTGGCAAAGCAGATTGAGTAGCTGTCTAAACTTTTGGATCTGGATTGCATCTCTCCCTGTTGTTGTTGTTGCTGCCTTTGCTCTCGTATCCACGATAGAGCAAGATCTGTTGCCGACCCACAAAAGTGCTTTGAAATACAGATATACTGGGTGGGGATCAAAGTTGACTGATCTTGTGGATCCACTTCTCCTCCACCTTCTGTCCACTCGCGCCATGCCACACCAGGTTCGACCTCGTGGATGAGCTGTAAATTTTTGAGCTTAAGCTCTCGCACATCCTTAGTGATCCGTAACAGCCGAGGCTTAACAGGTCTAGCTTGTGTGCGAATCATGTAATCAACCTGATTTCTCGAACGGAACTTTTGGCGGTCAAGGAGCACAAAATTATATGGTTCATAGACGCTATTCGCCAAACTAGTGTGATTTAACTTTGTCTGCAAGGTTGCTGCTACTGGCCCTACTGGTTCTGGTGTGGTTGATGTATTTAAAGGTCCTGAGATACGTTTTGAGACAATGCTTTCCAACACTAACTGGAGGTGTCTGGATAATCCTCCAGTTCCTGCTCCAAATTCTACAAATACGGGTCTCCGTTTTGACCCTGTCTGATGGCTATCTTTGTTACTGCCTGCTGTGCGGCCATAGTGGTTATTCTTATCGCTAGCGTCACCACTACCTTCATGTAATGGACTTGAAACGCAATCTAAAAGGCCGTGTGAAATCATGGCCTGAATAAGTTGGGACTCTTGAGCCAGATGCCTTTTTTTTTTTGTCCCAGCATCCGCAAAAAGAGCCTCGAAAGACTCATGGCATGGAAACTCTTCTACTCGTAGCTTTTTCTCCTCGCCAACGGGATCTTGATCACCATCATCAATAGTACTATTACAATAGCTCGTTTTTGTCCCTCCCCGACCCAGTTTCCACTCATCTGGTCCATCCCAGTGATCCAACACTTGTTGAATGATCAATGAAGGTGCTTTGGAAAAGACTCTTTCAATAGCTCTAAGGAAATCGCTTGGGATATCTTTTGGATCGATGGGTAGATCTTTGCTCAGTCGTTTGGTTTCAGGATCCTGGTAGATACCAGCAGCCTTTTCCTTCTGTATAAGCTCTTGCGCCGCCTGTTCTCGGAGAAACTCTTTCTGATGATGTCCACACAGAATTTGCTGGGCATCATACAAGGGCTGTAGGAGCTTGCTCCGCAAGTCGAGATAACCTTCCAATTGGTTTTGGAGCTCCTTCTCTGTGATCTGAACTGTTCCGCTACCATGCGATGAGATTTCAGATCCATTCACAAAACATCGTTCCTCAAGTTGCTGAATCTGTTCCAACAGAAGAGGTGAAAGCTTCGCTGGTAATTTGCAATGACGGAAGCGCTGCTGTTTGCTTCCCCAGACTGCATGCTGGCAAATGACGGGATGATACTGCATTGATGAAGCAGGGTCATATTTAAAAAAACTTTTTGTGATTTGAGAAAAGCTTATGTGAAAACGTTGTCACTAATTTTGTGTAAGCATTTTTTACTGGTATTACGCGGACCTGCGCGTTTACTTTTATCCAAATTGCTGAAAACTAGGCATTGGTTAAATAGCCTGTCAATGAAAGACAGAAAGGAAGAAGGCATGCTGCATATAGTAAATAGTGATGACAAACAAGAAAAAAAAAAAAATAGAGTAGACATGTGGCGGAGGGAATAGTGGAGAACAATAAGAAAATGAAGGGGAGAACTAGGAAAAGATGCAGCGAAAAAATGTATCAAGATGATAAAAAAAAAAAAAATACAAAAGCTTTAAAGCCTTCTTGATGTGCTAATCATGACTGGTGTTCTTCTTCCAAAATACGATCGGTTGAGATCCCAAGACCTTTCATAGACTCCTTAGTGGGACTCACAGGAACAGTTCTGGATGATGATGGACGTGTTTTACTTGGTGCACGCTTGCTGATACCAGACATTGAGATCGAACGGGGTTTGCGAGCAGGGCCGACAACATTTCGGTCAACCTTTTTGGATGATAAAGACGAGCTAAATGACTGGCGACGAGCAGATGCTTGCACTGGACTACCAGGGCTCACAGGTGAGTGAATTCTCAATCCGGCCATCTGCGCCTCATGATCTTCTGGTTCATATTGTGCAGGGTATTGTCCCTGAGCATCCTCTTGTTGTTGCTGTTGCTGAGGATATTGTGAGTATGGTGAGGATCCATAGGTATAGTGCCCGTCGTGAGGAAGACGATTGATCGGACTTTCTGGGCCTGCGCCGATGAAACTAGGAGGGCTGTACATATCTGGCGAAACCGAAGCAGGTGAGAAGCCGTGATGGATTTGTGGGGTCATATATGACCCTGGGTGCCTCGCCTGCGGTGACAGTGGGCTGGTTGGATATGACGATTCTGAGCCATGACGCTCATAATAATTGGGATCGGACTGTGAAGCAATATGAGAGGCTGACCCGAGAGACTGATACTGATATGACGATCCGTATCCATAGTTGGGGTAATAAGGATAGTCGCCATTCACTGATGGAGCAGTTCCTCCATTGCTGCTGATGCTATCGTTCCTGTAATATCTATCATCGACGGGCTGCGTAGCGGATCCGGCATTCTCTTCGTTGTCTGCGTAATGACCAGGAGATCGGCCACGAACAACCAAAGGAGCAGAGAAGGATCTCGCGACCAGAACCATTTCACCCATACTGGTCTCTGCAAACAGATCCACATGGACCTGGTAGTATTGCTGGGCTGCTCTTCTCTTACCGTTGTTTGCTGTAGCCGTTTTGAACTGCACACGTTCGAATGTAACTACATTAGGATTTGATCCTGAAGAGTACATGCTCAGATCGCCTCCAGCTCTAAGAGGTGTCGGCCTAGGCGTAATCTGTGGGCCTTTGTCACGCTTGGGGGTATGCTGAACTAGCTCAATTGCCTTTTCTCCATTTTGAATCTGCGCGCCAATACAAATCAAGAATTTGTTGACTTGAACGAATTCGCCGTTGCGGTCCATTAGACATGGGACTTCTGGATGCATAGAGGTGTCAAGACCATGGATGGAGAAGGAGGCACTGATCTGGAAATAGTTGCGACGGTAACATGTCCAATCATTTGCCGCCAAAAAGAATCCGCGATCAATCTTGGCTGCAATCTTGATGTTGTAGCTGAATATGAACAGGTGATCGACAATAAAATAAAGGTTATGAGTTACATGGATGGATAATCAAAAACAAAAGGAAGAAAGGAGGTAAGCTCGTTAGCATCGATGTCAGTTGGAGTTCGTACCTTGTGGACCGATCCATGCTGCAAAGGTTGTAGTGCTGTTGGGCTGGATAAAAATAAGGACTTTCGTGAGGAGCGAATACTTCAGATCGACGTTTTGTGCGGTTTGCAAACATTGCTTGTGCCGATGTTGGAGAAGGAGCTGAGGTAGAATAGGCTGTACTGGGGTCCCGTCCATTGATGGGCATGCCATCAGGACCTACGATTGGACTCTCGGGCAGATCGTCGGGATTGCCATGATGATTGTTGTATGGGTGGTTCCTATTAGGAAATTAGTAATGAGAAATGAGTAAGTTACAACTGGCAGGAAAGGAAGGGGATTTCTCTGTACGCACGACTGCCCAAAATCTGAAGCACTCATCGTGACGACGTCATATCTTCTTCACATTGTTGATGCTGTACAAGGACAAGAGTTTCAGCACTTTTTGTTCCTCACATTTGGCATTCCTTCCACTCCGCCCCTCTCCTTCTATGTTGATAGAGTGGCTAGCTCATCTGAAGTTGCAAACTCTGAACAATCCACTAAAATACCTGAAACAACTGTTTGAAAAAAATTAAAATAAAATCATCCACCTTTGATAACCTCGAATAGTGTGTTAACGAGGTAGAGGACGACCCATTGCCGAGTGTTGAATTTGAACTAGAAGCATTATTGCTGACATTATGGGCAACATCATCAATCTTGCTGCTCACATGGATTGAGCAGCCTAGGCAGGGGCATTCCCATTCTCGGTAGAGCTTTTCTCAATACACGAAATACAGGTTTTTTTTTTTTTTTTTTTTGGAATATATTCATCTACCATAAAGAAACCATACCCAATGGGAAAAAAAAAAAAAAAAAAAAAAAAAAAATATCGACGGAAAGGATTCTTTCTTCGGTCAGAATTCCACATCTTTACCGCATCAGGCAGGTTTTTTTTTTTTTTTTTTTTTTTTTTACCGCGATCTATTTCACTTTTAAAGATGATACTACACCTCCCATCTGCATTCACTCCTGGAAAAGAAGTAAGCGATCATAATGTGGCGGTGCAACATAATCCTGGCCAGTTTCACAAGAATCGCCTAGTGTCTGTGTGCCTGTTGTCACATCACATCTTGTACCACGCCTGCTTTGGCCACAGGGACACAATTACCATCAGCATAAGAAGCACAGCACTCTCAAATTCAATTTTTTTGTGTCGCCACCCTCTGGGGAGAGAGAGAGAAAATAATTTTTTGTCCAACTGTTTGATACTTACAGATGTGGATGATGATCCTGTGGGTATGATGCATGTTGTGCATGATAGGGTTGGGCATGGTACTGATCATAGTCGTAGTGCCCCTGTTGTTGTTGGTAAGCATGGGCATTGTTACCAGAGGAGAGTGGTGAAGGCGACACTATAGGGGTCTGAGAATGAGAGTGAAGTCCATTGGCTTGAGGACCATTACCGAATGGTGCGGTCTGGATAGGCGGGGGAAGGTAAGGCCCATTGGAAGTGGATACGTGTGGGTAATGAGATTGTGAGGATACTGGGAGAGTGGAGTAATGGTTATTATGGCCATTACCGTTGCTGGTGTTGTCATTATGCTGTTGCTGTTGTTGTTGTTGCTGATCATGATACTCAGAATAGCCGCTTCCGTGCTCGTTGTAGTGTTGTAATGGTTGTTGATGACGCGTACCGCTGGCGTTGATGGTATAGTCCATGGTCATTCCCGACCGTGGTTCGGTCCTATCCGGGTAGTCTGCATGTTTTGACGCATTGGATGCAGAACGGTCTCTGGAGTGCTCAGCCAGGTTTACTGGGGGCGAAGTAGCGGTAGTCATTTTCTTTTTTCCGTTTTTGCTTTTATAGGGTTGTTTCTTATCTTGCCCTGCTATGATGTAGAGAATGAAAAAGAAAAAGAGAAGAAAAGGCGTCAATAAAAAGAAAAAAATAAATAAAAAGTAAGGGGGGGAATAGAAGAACGGGAGTGTTTTTTTTTTTTTTTTTTTTTTTTTTTTTTTTGCTGGAGAGGACCGGGAGAATATGGATGAGCACTGGAAAGTCAAGGGCGCTAAAAGAAAAAGAAAAAGAAAAAAAAAGAGGAGGAGAAGGAGACCGATCAAAGTACAGGAACAGAAGCAAGGACAGTAAGAGAAACAAGACGCTGAAAGTGTGAATGTGTGATTTTATCTGGTAGAGAAGAATAGGGGAAGGAGAGAGACGGAATGATGGATTATGATAGGCATAATGTTGATGATATGATCAAGTGTGGATGTGAATGCTTTCTTGCTGATAAATGATGAAAAAAAGGTAATTGAAATGTTCCCTTGAAAGTCAATCCCCTTTTTTACTTTATTTTAGTTTATTGCTTGTTTGCTTGTCTGCGGGAAAGAGACAGCGTCAACAAGAAGCAACGGGAGTGAAGAGGATTGACACCATGCACCGAGAGAAAGATAACGAGGATATCAATCATATCAAATCAAATCATATCAAATCATATCAAATCAAATCAATCAAGTAAGCAAGCAACCAGTCTTTGAATGTTTAAAAAAAAAAAAAAAAAAAAAAAAGGGTGTGAAATGGAGAAAGAGAATGAATGAGCAGAAGCACACCTTCAAAGGAAATGGCAGTAGATGGAGCAAATGAGAAGATGAATAAGAGAAGGAATAGAGGAAGGAAGAGGAGGATGGAGAACAAGAATAGAGGAAGGATGGAGGGGAAGAAACAAAGAAGGAAGAAAGGAAGAAAAGGAAGAAGGGAAGAGGAAGAAAGAAGAGAAGAAGAAAAAAGAAAGTAACCAGTTCTAAAAAGCAAACAACTAAACTAAAATAAGGTAAAATAAAATATTACAAAGTGAATTAAGATGGCGTTGAAAGTGTCCAAGGTTGTAGAAGAAGAGCAAAACAAGTAAACAAGCAACAAAAGCAAAGCAAGGCAAGCGAGCATGGAGGCATGGAGGGCAATAACATGCTCAAACCATCGTGTGCATGAATGAATGAAATGTCTTTATTAAATGTTTACTTGTATTTATCGCATTGCATATCACATCCAATCCTAATGTATATATAATCATGTATAATCGCATTGGATAGACAGACATCTTTTATCATGAAAGAATAAAGAAGAGTCTGATGATGGGAAAAAGAACTAAAACTAAACTAAAACTAATCTCTTACTCACTCTCATTCATCCGCATCTGCATCCATATCCACATCCACACCCACACCCACATCCACATAAATGAAAACATTGAGCGAATCATTTTCCTCTCTCTCTCTCTCTCTCTCTCTCTCTCGCTCTTCTCTCTCTCTCTCTCTCTCTCTCTCTCTTGTCATGACCTTGGCCTTGAGTAACAGATAAATAAACCAAAAAAAAACCCAGCACATCACACAACATTTGAATTCGTGCTCACATTCACGGTGCTTTTGATCCTCACTAAACAAGGATAGAGAGTGACATTGATGAACAAAAAGATAAAGAAAAAGAAAAAGGATATGGCGAGACCGACCTTGGCCCCTTTGCCTTCATCCAACGTGTCGTCCTCGATTCAATAGTGTGGAAGAAACTATTTCAATTTAATTTAATATTATTTAATATTATTACAAATAAACATTTTACCGAACCTTCAATGTTTTGTCTGTCATCTCCGAATGGGGCGTGTGTCCCCCCCTCCTCTCCTTGCTGGCCTGATCCCTCCTATCCCATTGTATTTTCTTTGCAATGGCATGTTTGCGCACACACACACCGCCTTCTCTCCTTACTTGCCTCCTTTCCTTCCTTCTATCTTTCTGAGAGAGAAAATTTAGAAGCAAAAAAAAAAAAAAACAATGAACATCAAGAAGCAAGACCATTGGTTGGCGCACATTGGACCATGCATGGTCTATGGCACATGTAGATTTTCGACAACCGTTCTATTCTCCCTAACCCAACATCTTTTGCACCACTTTTATTATTATTATTATTTTTTATTTTTTTTCATTCCTGCAAAAATATGCTCAACAACAAACATGCAGGCACATTCAAATGAACAGCCAATTGAGTATACTCAAATGAATACACTCATTCAATTCGCTCTACACTGCAATTATATATATCTCACATAATATTTCATCCAGGAAATAAAAAGGTAGATGATCAAGCCATCAGCTGTAACTCTTTGTTGAATACATCCAGATAGTAAGAGATGATAGAATGTTAAATATAATATGAGAACATACATATCACCAAAGCGCGTTTTATCATTAATAGATACTACCAACATTTCAGCCCCTATCTCCTACGACAGAATGCCCCGATATAATTTATAATTGCCGCCCATCACGCTTAATATCCATGTTTGTTCATCTTAATAGCATACATAAAATAATAAAAAATGTCGTACATGAACATATTCACTACTCAACTATGCCCGTGCTTTTTTTTTTTTTTTTTTAGGTCTTCTCGTGCATAGGCATGGGCCGGCGAATAATATAAAAAACTCGCGACAAATTCCTGCTCCTGTTCCAATCGTCATTACGTATCATACTTTTTTTTTCTTTTTTTCTTTTTTTTTGTTTCTGGTCATGCCACCTTTGTCTCTCAAGCTTTTATTTTCAATTTCTTTTTCCATGTCTGCACATCAAACTGCATGCAATAAATGCCGTCCAATCGACAATCGAAGCTTGTGCTCTCTGTTTTGGAATGGATGAGTGAGCAACAACAAAAAGAAAAAAAAATGTGTTAATGCAAATGTGGCAAGGCATTGGACTGAATGTGAAGTGAAGGGAAAAAAAATAAGTGCGAATAGAATAATAACTGGTCGGATTTGTATTGAACTTTGTACGACCTTTTTCTTCTCGATCAAGTCCCTTCAGTGCATACATACATGTCTCTCTCTCTCTCTTCTCTCCCCCTTCGCCTTTCAGTTTTACTTTGCTCTTTTCGCTCCGCGAACGAACCCAGTGGTCATTGGTAAAAGAGTTACAGCAGTAAACAAAGAACATTCAGGCACTGACTAACATTCGCATGTCACTGCCTTATAATTGGACAAGAACACCCCATTATCGTCAACGACTGATGATTGAGCTTCAAGATTAATGGGCTGAAAAGAACATCAGATATGCACCCCTGAAATCTCATACTCCCTTGTACTTTCTTCACGCTCACCCTTCATTTCTCTTTCTCTTTTCTCTTTGACAGACCAGGCGGGTTGCCATAGTTTGACAAGAAAAGACATTGCATTGGATATAATAACCACATCCGAGCACGCAATCACTTCTCTCCCATATTCACACGTGTGCCTCCTCACTTATTTTGCTTTACTTGAATGGTAGAAAAAGAAAAAAAAAAAAAAAAGAAATCAAATTAAAGGTCTACAAATATACATTTATACTTGCTTGTTAAAAAGAAAAAAAAAAAAAAAAAAAAAAAAAAAAACGTAAAACTCTATTGAGTACATCCCTCTAGGAACAGCATTGGTAGTTTTCGTCCAGAAAAGTGTGCGAGCCTGGTAGAGTGCACAGGTACGGTACGACAATGCATTAGTTCTTGGGTAACATTTTGGGTACAGAGAAAAAGAAGGAAACTGATACTTAAAAAATAAAAGAGGTCTTAAAAGTTTAATCGTTTCCGAGAGCCAAACAAAAAAAAAAAAAAAAAAAAAAAAAAAGACGAACAGGGCTCCCCTTTGTGTCCCAAGCTTCAAAGTGTTATCGTCTCGATGGACATTGAAAATCTCTTTATTCGAAATAAACATTATAGATGACAAAATCCAATGAGTTCCCGCGCTGTTTATTTTTACACCCAATTTGGTACACATAAAAGTAGAACTCGACTGGTATAAATGGCTATCTTCCTCCGAGATTCATCAGTTCAATATGTAATGCTGCAGGAAGACAAGTACAGCATCTTGGGAACGACAAGAGATTAGTTCAATCTATCATGAAAGGGGAAAGATATTCCATTGACTTTGGGATGATCAGTAGATGGGCGCTCCTCTGTTAGGAGACAGACAGAAAATAGTTGTTGTTGTTTTTTTTTTTTTTTTTTTTTATATTATATTTATATTGTATTGATATGCAGCATCAGAATAAAGAATAAACAGACATTTGAAAACAAGGGAACCTGATTTTTTTCTTCTTTTCAATAAACACTCTTGGTTTTCCGGGGGCAGCCTTACTGTGTACATGCATGGCTCAAATATAATATACATGTATACCTTTTATTCTTGAGCATCTTGACTTTCTCATGCCACTGGTATAGGCAACTAGCATAGAGCAATGCTCAACAATGCCTACTTCTGTTAGTCTTTGTCGTTTCTCTCAAAAAGAAAAGGCTCTCTCTCTCTCTCTCTCTTTAAAAAACATTAATAAATGTTAACATTATGTGTGTGCATGTTCATGTACTGATTTCCTCTAGATAGAGAAGACAACGGTGATTTTGTGACACAGTTTAAAAAAAGAATGAGAAAGGAAGCGAACGTCGTTCGTTGGCATGTGTGCATTCAAACTGTAACAATGTCTTTACGCACTTTATCCGTGCACAAACCATTCAAGCGAAAAGGAGGCACTTTCTATCTCAATCGCTTATTATTATTATTATTATTATTATTATTATTATTATTATTATAATACATATATATATATACTATACTATTATCACTATTATATATATATAATATATATAATTATTTACTCGCCACAAACATTGGCTGAGATCAATCCATCGCTCGCAATCAGCCCGCGATCACATCCATCGAATTCATGCAATCTTAACTTTATTAACAACCTGCCCAAACATATGTTGACCGACCCCAGAAAGGAGGCAGAAAAAGATGCAAGAAATGGGTTAAAGAGCAACTTTTAATATGGGTTGTCATATATATAATTGCTTTTTATAACTACTTTTTGTAATTAATTGATACTCACTCATCTTTGTTGCATCGGATAAAACATCATGGCTCCATCATCAGCTGATAACAATCTTACTCCACTCTCAAGTGAGCTAAACACATATCTGAGGTGTTGTACTTTGAACCGGGTGAATCTACGTCTACTATGTAGCCTAATTCAAGAGAATAGGCACATGTGCCAATTAGCAAGATTTGTACAACGCGTGATGTATGTCTCCGAGGAGCCAGAGTCAAGTAATGTGCCGATAAGTATATAGATGCATGTACGCTATTTACATACTATGTAATACATGTAGTTGGAAAAGGGTGTCCTGATGTTCACCTCATTTGTCGGCTTTGAAGCACAGCATCCATCGCCTACTTTTGATTGGTCATGCTGTTATTTTATGTCTCACGCCAAATCCAAAAGTAAGTTGAGTCTGATCAATTGAAAGCAACAATAATAGAACATTTCTTCCAAATTCAAGTCAAGACGAAGTTAATATCTCTTGAAGAACAGCATTGAGATAGTGGTCATTGGTCTCCTTTGGATTCAAAGCAGGGCGAATATAACTAGAAGGCAAAAGGCAAATAAACCTAAACCATTTTTTATTTTTTTTTATTTTTTTTTACAACTGAACAACTGACAGAAATAAAACCAGAATTGCATGTGGTGGCGAGCAGAATAAAGAAATAAAGCAAGAGTCTACAGAGAGCGTTATGAAAAAGAAAGCTAGTACTTTTAATATACCTAACTCTCATTTGTTTGAGCCATGGTGGTTGTCGATCACAGTAACCTTTAATCAAGATTAGACCTGCTCTGAAGTAAACACCCATCAATCAGCTTTATTGGTACTACAAAGCGTGCCCAGAATATTTAGGATGTAGTCAACACAGCAATGAAGCATATTGAGACTTCATTGAATGCATACGAGTAGTGGCAAATCGCTCTTATTTCCTCTCATGATTCGGTTCATGGAAATAAAGGAAATCGCGTCAACAACCCCATGTAAACCTGGTGAATTGTAAGAGGGTTTTTTTTCCAGTGCGGTTCACTATCGGTGGTTTCCGATGTGGTGTACCAAGGCCGTACCAGGGTATTATTGTGTTAGGATACATCATACTACTAGTGGACCTGCGGTGTATCGCGCTAGTCAAGTCCATTAATAAAAAAATATATATCCAGACTTTGATACATTGGTGAAAAAGCGCACCGGCGAAAAGCACTGACTGCTTGAGACCATCACAACCGTGCACAACAGGATGTCTGAGGTCTCAACTATCTTTTGACGCCCATGTATTTTCTTATGCTTACAGACCTGCACTCATTCTCTGCAGCTGTGCCGGCTCAAGTAGACTCAGGATTCGATTTCTTCCAGTTCCATCCAGCAACAGAGTCTGTGCGTGCTGCTTATGAAACCCCAGAAGCTCTATACTTTGCCACGCGCGAAGAACGACCTGCAAGAGCCTTTCAAGGGGTTTGTCAAGCTATTGCATATCAGAATATGTATACTTGCCTCTGCTCCGCACAGAACAGGACTGTTTTTGTATGTGCACATCTAATCATTGTCCTTTTAACCTTCGTGGGTAGACTGCATTAAAGTCCAGAATCGAAATCTACCACGAGCTGCACTGTTCACTTTGTCCTTTCGAGTCTGTCGTGAGCCAGGATGAAGAGAGGAAGAGGACATTTCTTGGATGACAGATCCAGCCGGACTCTTTGATGCAAACGCTGTTGTTGTTCTTCGTCACTAAGGCCTGATAACCTGGCACCAAACGTTGATGATCATGAATACCAAGACTAGGGCGACTGTGATCACCAACGTGCCGTGGATGTATGAATTGAGTGCGAGTGGGGCAGGATCGTCCATTTTTAGAATCCATTCTAAAATATAACAAATGAACTGTGTCATAACCAAACGAACCGGGCTATATTATTTGCTTTTTTCATTCGAGGTCATCTCAGAAGCTCAATGTCCACAATGCTCCAAGAATATCTATCTGTAATCCAAATGTGAAGTGTAATATATGCCATACAAAAAAAAAAAAAAAAAAAAAAAAGTCCATTCAGAAACGGCTATTTATTAGAGCATTAAAGCGTCCTCTCTAGAACCGCCATGTGCCAAAACAAATTGGCGCATAGATAGCTTAGTAGAAAGTGGAGGGGCGCGAACCCATGAAGAGAGCGCGGTGAGACTTGTCGGCAGCGCGAATGACGCGGTGAGGCAAGGGGAACTTGAGGTTGGGGACCAAGAGCTGCTTGATGTAAGGGCGACGAACCTCAGAGTTGGCAACCTCAGCAACACGGATGACCTGGATGGAGCGAGAGCGGGCGCGGTGGCGAGAAGCCATGTCGGAGTAGCAGGCCTCAACAGCAGCAACGCGAGACAACTCACGGTACTCCTTGTACATGTTGTGAGTGCCAGAGCGAGAATCGTAGCGGATCCAGATACCGAAGTTCTTGATTTGAAGAGGCTTCTTCTCGAAGATCTTTTAATAATAGGAGTAGTCAACATAAATGTTAACTTCAATATCAGAACAAAAGATTTCTTACTCAAAAAATTGATTTGTTCTATTTTTTTTTTTTTTTTTTTTTACCTCGTTGATGCCAACAATCTCACCGTTGACCTTCTTGACCTTCTTCAGCTTGCGCAAGAAGTACCAGAAGCGGGACTTGGCGATGACCTCGTTGGGGGCAAAGAGGCGCATGCGGAAGAGCTTGGGGGTGGGCTCCTTCTCGGTAGGGAGGTGGCGACCGACAATTTGGTACTCGTGAAGCTGTTGATGCATCAATTTGTTTCACAATAGCAACAAATAAAAAAAGAAATAAAAATAAAGACGAACCAAGTAAGATACTGGTCAAATCGTTGTTTTGTGCAGGGGAAGAACTTTGTTGTATTAAAACAAAGGAACAAGGGTGTCCTGATCCGCAAAAAAGAAAAAAGCGGTCATTCATCGTTTTCTTTAGCACGCTATTCCTGTCGCCATATAATTTAACAGTGACGCCGTTTGCCTGATACTGCCACCCGCTCGCTTTGATAAAGGCGTGGGGAGGCGGATCTTTCATATGAATGTCCAAGACAAATGTTGATCAGATTTGGTGGTACGACATCTTATTCTTTTCAAGTCCAAGAAATAAATTGCCTTTGTGGATCACTTGCAAGACCTTAGCAATTCAACATGTTCAGTTCATAGTTGATTGATTCAGTATTTGCAATGATACAAGACGACAGCTGATTAAGCGATGGTCGTAACAGACTTCCATAGATCTCCAGCTGCGGTTGTTTTGAATATCACAAAGATGAATTGATGGATGGTAGAAGGGTAGATGGATGGATGGATGATGTATCCTTCTCACGGATGTACAATGGATGGTCACGCACTCTGGACATGTTTGAGAAGCTCTGTGCTGCAAAAAGAGGGATTAAGCGAGCTCTCAGTCATTGCATTTTTAAATACTCTTTCTAGGTTCCCACGTGATCATGAAAATTTTTAAAATAAAAACGCGACTGTTTGAATCTCCTATCCTCTACCCACAACTCCGCGATGAAGCACTACAACGAAATGCCGTATCAGAGGCAACGACCTTACAGTCACTCTGTCCTACGCACTGCCAGTTCAGCAGCTAGAGTCGGGCCTCAAATACAAACTTCTTCCCCCCACTGGAATCATTATCTTTCATATACTGCAGAACCTGCTCCATTATCTGTTCATCAAGATCAGAGGTTGGTTTTACCTTCTTACTCCACGCAGGCGTTAAGGACATTTGCTCCTCCACAAATGGGATTCTCTCCTGATGCAGCCATTGTTTCGATCCGCGACTTACAGCCGCAAAAAGCCTTTGTGGTGAGTAGCTATGGAGGGTAGATTTCCTACTTATGTATTCGATTTATACTTTAGTGTATGTGTATTTGCTTAATTGGTTAATAGCTGTCAAAACCTTTGAACTTCGTTTTAGCGTGTGTCAGGTAATGGACAGCTATAATAACAGGTGAAAAGAGTATCGGTAGTCTACAGCCAATTTAGGCTCTAACCTGCACTGTTGTCCAGGAAGGATAATCAGAATATCAGACGCAAAAGTCTTTGCAGATAAAAGGGATAATAACAAGCTTCGATGGCTGCAAACGTTTGCAATCAAGGATGAGTATGATACTGTTGAAGTGAAATTCTGGCATAAAACAGAAGAACATCTTGAACGAAATAGCAATATCATGGTAAGCTTTTTGTATTTTCTTTCTTTTTTTTTTTTTTTTTTTTTTTTTTTAAAAAAAAAAAAGTCAACTTAAAATTATTCTATTGGTTTATCACACCAGCTCGATCAAGTAGTCCATATCTTCACAGATGATGTCAAGCTCAACGGTAGCCTGTCGTACTGTGAACAAAATAATGGCAAAGTGACATATTCATCGTCTCCACTTTGTCTAAATTTGACAGAAGGGAAAGTAGGCCACAGGATTGTTTTGGGGAATGAAGCAGAAATGGCCACTTTATTCAAGAACGCGTTGAATGCCAATGTGGGTGGTGTCGTCCCTTCCGTCTCGATCAAACAAGCTGTGGCGCTATCAGATCTGGGCAAAAACGAGCCATTCCACATGATAGTTGGCCTCAAGAAGGTATTAAGTCGATACGAGAATGCTGGGACACTCAAGCCAATCCTTCTAGATCAGAGACTAACTACTCCTCGAGAGTCAAAAATAGTTATTAAGCTCAGCTCCGATTAACACAAAAAACGGGCAGTTGACAAAAACCCAAATGATAGTGTTTGACGTGCAAGGCCAGGAAGCAACACTGACGTTGTGGGGAGAGGCGATGTTTGCGGCTGCGCAGCAATGGACCCCTTTCATTACAAGTAAACGCATGGGTTGTTGTAAAATGAGGACTGAAGAAGCATCATTTAACTTGTTAACCTAGCCCCCGAAAAAACTTTTATTGAACTCATAGGTCTTATCCTTACTGGTCCACAAGTGGGTATATACGCTTCTAAACCACAAATAACTGTAGGGTATCAAACCTATATTCAAGTAGATCCCCGGTGCAAAAATATCGAGGTAAAGTGACTTGGCTTTTATTTGAGCATGCGATACGATAAGGAAAACTGATTGTATTATCTTCCTAGTGGCTGAAACACTCGGCGTCCCAATACTCAAATGGGATGCATCCAAGTCGTGAGTTCCTGTCAATACTTAGTATACTAAGAGAGTGTCGACCTTGCAGTAAATAACACTCACATAATTAACACATCCTGTTATAAAATGCCTTCAATAGTTGTTAACGTACTGGACCCAACTAGCATAACACTCGACCGGATTACTTCGATCTATCACATCAAAGATATCATTCAGCTTGTTAATGGTACAGGGGCCATAGGTAAGAAGAATACAAGTAGTAGTCGATTTGACTATGATACTAGCAGGGCCTCACATAGGGAGGAATCTATACTACAGGGATAGTCTACGGGATCATATACGCATTCCTCACGGAGCTCGAAATAGATACCATCGCGTCCGAGATCCTTACAGCGAAATGGTTCGTCAGCTGGGGTTACTGCTTATTTAAAGGAAAGTGATGTGTCCGAAAACACTGAAAGTCTATGTACATTTCTTTGTTAGCCGCTCCTGCAAAAAAGCCATTGTCTCTTACAAAATAGAGCAGTGTCCATCATGCAAACTGTTACCCAAGAACGACGACTCTTGGAGTTACTCCTTAATGCGACACATTTCCTTGATGGATGATACTGCTGAGCTTCGACATCCCAGCATTTCCTCTGAAGCTGTCCAAGCTTTACTTGGGTATAAGGTAAATTATTTTAATTTTGAGTCAAAAGAATAGTCCTCACATGTTGTTAACGCCAAAAAAAAAAAAAAAAAAAAAAAAAAAAAAAGCCTATAGAGTTTAGTGGACTATCAATGAAGGAGCGGATGCAACTTAAGGTAAATTGATCATAGACGAGCATTGCGAACTTGCTTAGTTTAGACCATTGAATAAACAAGATCACTCGTTACTAACTGCGACATTTTAGAAAATACACTACCTAGAGCGGTACAAGGTCTACTTCAAGGTTTATATTCAACAACATGAAGTCTGGATACGAATGAAAAAAAAAAAAAAAAAAAAAAAAAAAAAAATTAAGTATATAAATCTCTAACAATTTTACCATTTAGGTTTCATGGTCAGATTTCCAGAGAAAACCCGTTGTGCATGTGCTTTCAATGGACCTTGCTCACTTGCCGGAACTACAAGGGAGACCGATTTTTGAATCAGAGACATAATCTGTTCATCTCTTTGACTTGACCACTAGGTTTAAAAACATTGTCATTGGCCCTAAGCTACTGAATAGCGAAAATGGAAGTAACAGAAGTGTGCTAAGCAAACCAAAAAGCCATGTACAGCAATGCACTAATGGATGACCATGTTTATTTGTGAAAAGCAGGACGATGGCATATACTTGGTCTATAAATCACATTATGCTTATAGCAGAAATCCACTCTTCGAAATACTCCCGTTTAAAGAGTTACAGGCAGATTAAAAATTCTCGTTTCTTGCTCATTCCTACCAACACCCATCTTTCCCTGTATTGCTTGTACTAAAGATTTGTTATCAAACGCAAAGACATGGATAGATCTGACACGAGAAAGTCCCTTAGTTGTAAAACCAAGCAGTATTCCATTAGGAAGATGATAAAAATACGACGTCTACATAACTATCGTCCTTCATCGTTGGGGTCATGATCTGAATCATTGTACAAAGACGAAGTCGTGATGGGATTAAAGGCTCCGATGTCCTCCCGATGTTATATTCGGGAACAGTATCTTCGATGGTGGAGGGGCCAACTAGTGGTCCGGTATCGGTCTCGATGATAGCCTTGTCCAGTTTCTTTTCTCTGAATTTAGCTTTGGTAGGGCCGGCCGGAGGATATAGTAAAGATCATTAATTCTTGATCTTCATTTGTTAGACCGATATCATTGGCGCCTTGTTTTATATTTTTTAAAGTAAAATAAAATATATTCTCCAGAGTTAAAGAAAACAACGTTGTGCAAGATGGTATTATCAAAGGCGTCGAGCATAGCTCTCGAACAATTAAGAAGTTTGTGTGTGCGGGCGGGAGAGAGCAAAGAATGGGCGCAGCCGAAGAACAGGCCATGGCGTCAGGATGGGGGGAAGGACAGGCCAGGTGGCTTTTGCGTGACATTCCTTAGTTTCTGGTTTGTTAAGATATCTGAGTTGACATGTTGCTCATTGCCCGCAATTTGAATGGTTGGTTATTGGGGCGATTAGAAGAGCGCTCAAAAAAAAAAAAAAAAAAAAAAAAACTGAACAGCTTTCCCACAATTATTTTTAATTTTAATTTTAATTTTTTTTTTTTTTTTTTTTTTTTTTGTTGTCAACGGTCCATTCATTTTCATTCTCCCCCTTCTTCCTCTTCTTCCTTCTTTCTTTCTCTACTCGACTCATTTTTATACTCCTCCATCTATTCTTTTACACCATGGCTAGTCCTGCGCTAGCTGGTTCTTCTGGATTCACAGGATCGCTGACAACCACGACGCAAGGATTAGAAAGTTCAGTACAACGGAATAACAAAAATATGACTTCAGGGGCGCCGACCTTAACCAAAGCAGAGACAGCTCTCTGTGGATCCACTGCTGGAGTGGTTTCTCGATTCGTAATTGCACCTTTAGATGTAGTTAAGATTCGTCTTCAGGTATCCTCTTCTCTCTATCTCTTACTATGACCAAGCTGAGATGAGTAGCATTTTTTATTTTTATTTTTTAGTAAGCGCTGACCTCCATATTATTACTACGTTGTTTTTGTTGTTGTCTTTGTCTCTGTTTTTTTTTTTTTTTTTTTTTTATTTTTTTTTTTTTTATAAAGCTGCAAACACAAAGAAAGGAACTTCCCAAGGTTCTTAGAAAAAATCTTATTTCAGATGGATCAATATCAAATAGGAGCAGGATAGACAAGCCGTTGAAATTAACACCAAACATTGGGGCTTCAATTGTGGATGCCCAGCCAAAATATAAAGGAATGATTTCGGGATTATCCATCATTGCGCGAGAGGAGGGTATTCGGGTAGGGGGGTTTTTTTTTTTTTTCGATGCAGCCAAAGATATGCAGCTTGTCTGCATTTGATTAAAAACATCTCGTCTGTCATTATTAATATTATAGGGTCTTTGGAAAGGAAACATGGCAGCAGAGTATCTTTATATGACGTATGGAGGCATTCAGTTCCTTGTTTACCAACAGACAAAGGCATTACTATCTAAAACTGCGGAGGCAACCTCCTATCGACTAGCGGCTTATCAGTTAAACAACCCAACAACACATGCATTTACAACCATCATTAATTCAGCTTCTATTCAGTCATTTGTCAGTGGGGCCTCTGCAGGGATTATCGCCACCACCTGCACCTATCCTTTCGATCTCTTGCGCACCCGGTTTGCTATCCAGCGCGACGTCAAAGTAAGGTGATGTGAACAGTTCAACTGTTAGAATGTATTTATAATCATTGAGCTAATTTTTTTAATTTTTTTAATTTTTTTAGACATATACCAGTGTTCCCCAAGCATTTCAACACATTATTAAACGAGATGGCGTGCGAGGCTTTTACAAAGGAATGTCCCCAGCGCTAGTTCAAGTGATCCCATATATGGGGATTATGTTTGGATCTTATGATACCCTTAAACGGTTGACATCATGGTGCAAGCAAAGGTCATATGGTTTTGGATTCACCACAATGACAGGTTCTTCACCTCCCGGAAAAAGTATGAAGATGACACCGACAACAGATCCCCCGCACAAGCCCTTTGAACAGTTTATGTTGGGCCTTGAGGAGATGCTCTGTGGAGGGATCTCTGGAGTGATTTCAAAGACGGCTGTGTACCCATTGGACATGGTTCGGAAACGACTTCAGATCCAAGGATCCGAGCAACAAAGGATCAATATTGATATTCTCTCATCCACATCCAATCGTACATCGACACTGGCAGGAACAGCATCAGAAAGAGGAGGCGGAGTTCCCCCAATAAGGGTGACCAAGTCGGAGGTATTGCCTACGACTATTTGGAGATGTATGGCTCAAATTATTCAACAGGAAGGGTACTTGGCCTTGTACAAGGGCCTTTTACCTGGATTATTAAAAGCAGCACCTGCTAGTGCTGTAACGTTTTTAGTGTTTTCTCAAATGGGAATTCTAGTGGAGAGAATAAGGAGGCCGACCCCACAGCCACACAACTAATAAAGTGACACGAGGTAACATTGGTTTTTGGGGGAGGTCAGTTGGATCACAATGTCCATATTAGAATGTCCCTATTCTTTTAAGCAAGGCTTGTTTTGGACAAATGATAAACGAAAACATAAAATTCTAATAAACATGATTTGCACAGTAGAATCTACTATTTATTTGATTCTAATAATTAGCTTTTTTTTTTTTTTTTTTTTTTTTTTTCTTCATGTTGATTAATGATGGGGACACTGTCCGTATATATTATAATGGTATATCTACAGAAATATTGATCACACAACGTTTTTTGTTTTCCGTTTCTTAAACCTGGATGCTGTGAGTACGACGCATGTTTTGACGTCTTAGACGGATCTCTGAGCGAGCCATGATCATGGTGATCATACCAGGGATGACGATCCAAGCCAAGATGACCAACCAGTTGATCCACATCTGGTTTCTCATGGAACCAAAGTAAATGCATCGCAAACCTCGGATAGCATAGGTGAATGGGAAGACGATACCGATACGGAAGAAACCAGGCATGACGACCCAATCAAGGATACCAGATGAAGATGTGAGCATCAAGATCAATAACATGGTAGCAGGAGCTTGGAATCCATCGACGGTCAAGAGATGAGAGAGGAAGAACAAGATGGAGATGAAGGACATGCCCACGAACCAGATAAAGGCAAAAGCGATCCCAGCATTGAAATGTTCAGACATCTGATGACCGTGCAAGACTTGAGGGACCATCCAGATAAGGATCGTATGAACGAGTGAGAACAACATCGCAACTGTGTGACGGGCCATGACGATGCGGAGAGCAGGAAATTTGGGGATTTGAGAGGATGTTCTGATGGCATTCTTGCCAGCCTCATTGGATCCAAAGGTCAACACACCAACAGTCTCGATAGTATTGGGCAGATATTTACAAATACTGAAAACTGCAAGGATGGAGCCGATGTACAAGACGATAAACTAATTAAAAAAAAAAAAAAAAAAAAAAAAAAAATTTAGTTAATCCCAGATCAAAGATAAGAATAATTAGTTTTTTAAAAAAAAAACTTACCACAATGTAAGTGGCGAAGTTTTGGCCATAAACCAAAACAGGGCTCATGATGGTTTCAGTCATGTGGATAGATTGAGTCCAAAAGATAGGATGCATGGTCTGGAGTAAGGTCTGGTTGGCAGGGGAAGTCAAGAGTTGCCTCTCAAAGGTCTTTGACAAGAGATCCATGGACTTTGAGATATATTTTTCAATGATCGAATGAGTACCATAGTTGCGTCCCTGATCGAATACGTATTCCATATCTACCATTTTGAGCGTGGCAGCTGTTGCTGGACCAGTTGAAGTGGAGGGTGCATACGATAACAGGTTGTTGGAAAAGTTTGCAGGGATATACAAAAGCCCCCAGACCTCACCATCTTCCACCTGCTTAATCAAAGATTCGCGATCCCAACCAGTCTCTTTGGACTTGTCGATCCATGAAACCATCTGGCTCAATTGACCTTCAGGGTTCATGATTTGACCATGAACGATGTTACCGAGAGATTGGTTCTGAGTAATGGATTGAAAGAGAGGAATGAGTTGAGGAGGAGTTTGAGAATAGTCGAAGCCAGTATCAGCGTTGTAGAGGATGATCTCCACATTCTTGACACGGCTCAGAGGTGACCAGAGGGATCCGAGATAGAGCCAAATGTAGACAAGGATGACAGCGGAGGTGGCAACCAAGAGGAGCCATGCGCTCTTCTTCAAGAGATGAGGAAGAACAAAGAATTGAGGGATGGAACTATGGTAATTCTGTTCGGAAGAGGTATCACTCGATGAGTCGGAGGGTATAGAAGTGCTGTCCCGAGTTTTCGATTGGTGGACAGGAGCGGTAGAGGATGCGAGGGAATGGGCACCATTGTCTTCAGTTTCCTTTTCGAGGTTGGTCATCCTGTATTGTTGTGGAGATGTAGATTCGTCGTGTTCAGGCATTAAATGGAAGGAAAGTGTGTTTGTTTGTGTGTGGGGTATGGGGGTATTAACTGTTGGAAAAAACTACAATTGAGGGTCGTTGTGCATGTGGAATGTTTATGGGCAATGTAACGTTGCGGAAATGTTTTGTACAACAAACAAAAGAAGAGTTGAGGAAGTTGAGAGAGTAATGTGAAGTAAGAAACACCAGGATTCAGAAAAAAATAACAAAAAAAAAAAAAAAATGGTGCCCTTTTTATAAAGAGTGGGACCCCCGCTTCGACCCCTCGCCGTATTGCCCTTTGCAGACACTGATCAACTCCGGTCAAAAAGAACAGAAAAGAGCAGAGCATTGAAAGGAGGGAAAAAAAGGAAAAATAAAAACATGCAACCCGCGGTACATCGATTCACCGTGCTTTGTTTTTGCTTATTGCACATTAGCTGCAGGTGACGCCCAAAAAAAGATTTTCACTCTTCTTTTTTTTTTTAATCGGAGTAAAAAAAAATAAAATAATGTTTTCCTTTTTTAGCTACTCCATGGAGTGGAGGGAGTCTTCTCTCGGTATCAGAATGATCCCTTTGCCGAAAATAACTTTATGATCGTGGTATATATTTGCCTAATTGCGTCGCCACATGTTTGTTCAACGACCTCGTATTTGTCATGATAAAGAAGTCTATCTGACGTGGAACGGATGGCCAACTGACGCTAGCCACAGCTCTTAGCTGAATACCCAAGTGTATATTCATCGGTTCGTGTAATAGAAAAAAAAATATCCATCAAAGGAGCCACGGATTAATACAACGATCATCCATAATATCCCAACATGTATATCATTTGCTTCACTCTACCATATTCCTATACGCTTACGAGTTTTGAGTAAAACTTCATTTTTTTTTTTTTTTTTTTTTGCTTTGTATAATGTGAAAAATGATCAGCAACGGAACAAATAAAAAACGAAATGAATTGTAGCATTTGTGATCTGCAACATGCGACCATGGAGCCCATTTTTTTTTTTTTTTTTTTTTTTTTTTTCGCCCTGCAAAATTGCATCAAGGACCACAATTAGCGTAAAAATAAATATAAAAATACACGAGGACATCTTTGGATATTTTGAGCGATGGTGCTCATACCCCTAGTTCTTAAAGCTATGTATACTTTTTTTTTTTTTTTTTTTTTTTTTTTTGAATAAAGCAAAAAAGGTGGTGGTATATATTCCAGGACCATTGCGAAGGTGTCCAATCCAATCAAAATGTTTTCCATCTCTCCTCATAGTAGAAAAGATAGATCTTTTGATGCTATTTCATTCTTCATTCTTCATGAATTGTTCTTGATATATAGCCTATTCTATATTGGACAATTATGTGTATGTGGTGTACATGTATATTACATGTATGGTATTCAACAACTATATACCGAAAGATTAAAGGAGAAACAGGGGTAAAAAGTCTAACTGTGATGGCAAAAAGAATAAACGTGAAATAAACTGGTATTGTTATTGTATGTTGTCGGATTTAGTCCAATGGAGTGGACGGTTTTTATTCTTAGTGGCAGATCGTTCATCCATTGCTTTCCAAAACGAGCCAGTGCTTATTTATTTCGATCAGGAACAAGGCTCATTATCTCATCCTACGTATAAGCATCTGTGCACAACTTAACGTACAATCTTATACAACCACGTCCCTTATTCGTGAACATTAGGATATTTAAAATATTTCATATGTAACGCAGAACAAGAGCATGCCATGCTGTTTTATATATTTTGTGCCAGGAATGGTTCTTTTTTTTTTTTTTTTTTTTTTTGTTTTTTTTTTCACATGCTAGGAGGGGATATGAATACTATATCTCTGCTCAGTCAGAGCCCTTTTACTTTATTTTCATTTCATTTTATATCACCTGGTTATGTGATTATGGCAAACAACCTTTTTCTTGTTACTTCCATGACGGGCGCTTGGTTGAAGTTTCTCTGGAAAGGATACAAGGATATATACCATTTTTCTATAGAGCCTATCCTTCCCAATTCACTCCATCCGCTGTACGCCGACAGGAACGTGCAAGAGGAAAAAGGATGCATTCATGTACATGTAGATTTCTTCTACCAGATTTACCACGTCAGTGTTATTTCTTTTCTTTCCATTACATGGAGGAAGTTTGTTGTGAAAAGAAAGAGTTGTTAATTACGACTTACAGAGGTAACAGAGGTTATATACAATCTGCATTTCGTCTTGGTCAGCAATTCTGCGGGAAAAATGACCAATGATGGGAGGAAGGGAGAAAATATGAGTAAAAAAAAAAATATTGGCGTGTTTTTTTTTCTTTAACATGCAGATCCCATGGTCGTACCACCATGTAGGGATCTTTTTGGCTCTTGAATTTTTTTTTGTTGTTGTTGTTACATGTTTATTAATGTTACCACTTCAAAGAGACAGTCTTCATGTAATTGTACGCTTCAAGTAAACAGCTCAAGTCTTTTTACTATTTTTCCTCTCCACATCTTGGAAGTCTACCGAATAATATATACAAAAGCTTGATCAAGTTTGGGGAAGTGAGCATTTGGAATAAATAAACGAAAGGTATATATTTCTCCACAAAAAAAGTTTTTTGTTTTTTTTTTTTTTTTTTTTTTTTGCTAGGCGGTAAATTTTTTTTTTTTTTTTTTTTTTGCAATTGGGCGATTGTTGATCCAAAATGCTGAAGATTGTATTTTTTTTTTGCCACTAAACGACGGAAAAAAAAAAAAGAGGCATGCGCACTGCCTTTTTTTACATGTATTGCATGTCTGTCTTTTACGGCACAAAAGGGACACTTATTGTCATATACATGAGGCTTCCCTATCTTCGAGCTGGATGATGCGCATGACGGTTAGGATAGGGTAGTACGGGATGTTGTACATGTTCAAAGGAGGTTTGAAGACACGAGGCTGTTATGATGCAAAGTAGAGGAAGAACGGAAAAAGAAAAAAGAGGACTAGATTCTCGTGTTTGTACATGAACATGTACACTATTCCCTTTTTTTTTTTTTTTTTTTTTTTTTTTTTTTGCCATGTTTGTGTCTTCCCCTGCATGGTCATAGACGGAAGCAGGACGAGATAGCCGAAGGATTTGCACATTGCATTGTACCGCCGATGCGTTGGAGGGTTAGTCTCTTTCCCTTGCAGCAGGGGTTTGCAATGGTGTTGGGAGAAAATTCTTTGCGCCTTCTTACGCGATAACTGTGTACATGTACTCTTTTTTTTTTAAGCAAAGGAGGACACATCAGTATTATATATACTATCACTATCGCTTGTAAACAAACACAAGGCAAGAAATACAGATATTCAAAAGGGAAATACGAAAGACTGAATAAAAGATATCAATTGACGATGTGTCGCGAATTGACTGGATGTAAAACGATAAAAAAAAAAGGTTTGTGAATAAAAAAGGTAGTGGTAGTTTTACCCCAGCATCCATATCCATCGTCATCCTCTTTGAATAAAGCATGAGCTGATTTAGGCAGTTGATTGATTGATAGAGCATGGACACACATGTAAAAAAAAAAAAAAAAAAAAAAAAAGTTATAAACTACACGTCTAGGCACAGAGGGAGATGCATTGTAAGCAACTCAGACAGAGTGAGTGAAAGAGATCGTAAGCAAAGAAAGAAAGGGGAGAATATGACAGCATCATAAAATAAAGAAAAAAAAAGGGGAAGGTGGAAGCTGTTGCAAATGATTTTTGTCCGCAATGAAGAAGGTGAAGGGAGAGATGGAGTGATGAGTGATGGGTAAACTATTGGCCTGTGCCAAGAGGGCAAGAGGGGCCCTATCATGTCGAAACACAAAAGTGGAATTGAATTGGGTTACACATTTCAATCCAACCATTGATACCATGTACCATATATATATATATGCATTCAAGACATTTTCATATGTCTGTCGGTCTGGCCTGTCCGAGTGTCTGAGGAAAGAAAAATGCTTACTGGCTGGCAACAAAATCATTTTAATGTTCTAGAAACATAAAGCTGAAGCAAATGGGGATTTGATTCATTCATATGTCTGTCTTCTTTCTCGCTCTTTCTTCTTTCTTTCATTCTTCCCCCAATCTTCCCTCTATTGTATTGACAGATTCTTTTAAAAAAAGCTGTCTTCCCCCCGCTCTCTCTCTCTCTCTCTCTCTCTCTCTTTCATTCATTCATTTCTCCATATTCCTTTTCTTCTCTTTCTTCTTTTCCTTTCTTCCTTCTTTCTTTCTCTCTTTTTTGTTTTGTTTTTTGTTTTGTTTTGTTTTGTTTTCTATTCATCTCATCTGTAACCTGATTGTTCATTCCAATTCACAGTTACATCGACTTCATCCTTTCCTTTTTTTTTCCCATTATTTTTTGTGTGTTCCTGTGCATCTGTGAATCAGAGTCTGTGTATCCCCTGTGTGTCTGTGCCAAATGTGCTTATAAAAAGCACCTTTTCCCCCATTCTCGGTCCGATCCTTTTTCTCTGTCAAATCAAATTGCATCGCAGCCGAAACCTTTTTTTTACTTAGTACCCTAGTACTTCCGCCACTAAAAATACAACATGAATCCATTCTCAGTCGTGTCAAATCTACCCTTCCTATATCGTCAATCGACCACCAATCCTGTCAATGTAGTTGTCCACACTCCTGCCTCTCACAAGCAACAGCAACCTCCCCCAAACCCTCCACATGCAACCGTTCTCTCAAAGGACATGCAAACACAACAGGTTGATCAGATTGACCTCAAAACCAACATGGTTCCTCGCAAACACAGAAACAATCCCCAGGCTATCTTGCCTGAGCTTGATCAGAAAGAACAGGACTTTTATCTTCGCCTTGCCGCCGTCAATCAACCTTCATCAAGTTTTACAGCTTTTAATGATAATGATAATGACAACCTCGATAATGAAGATTGCAAAAAGTTCAATCGACATAGCATCCATATGATCCCCTCAACTACAGCCACAGTCACCGCTACTACTACACCTACACCTACACCTACACCTTCATCCACACCCCCCAAAACTGATGACCTTCCTAGCCGTCAAGTCCTTATCCGCCATTCATCTAGCCCAATCATTCACACCTCTGCTGCTTCCAAAGTTCATGCTGCTCCAGCTCGAGCATCGATCGACAGCTACGAACGTGCAAAGATTATCAAGCCTTCCCCTGCTGACACTGTGCAGGCCACAGTCATGATCAGTCAACCTCGACCTCCACATCTGAGGCATATGCGTTCAAGCTCTTCTCCTAACATGACCATGCCCACCTCCATATCCTCACAACCTCCACGACCTTCCCATCTCTCATCTTCAACTTTGGCATCTCCTTCTGACCTTAATACACCAGTTTCTGGAACTAACTTTGGCCAAGAGGAGCCTGATCAAGATTCAGAGGATGATAAAGAACGAGGAAAAGCGACGCAGTCAGAGTCTGATGATGACACTCCTCAGACACTTACACAGATGCAGCTTGCTGTCGCACGGGCACTAAAGTTTGCAGAGTCACAAAAGGCTCCAGCGACTCCCTTGGCGACCCCACCCACAACACCCACAACACCCATGCTCCCGGCCACTTCCACACCTAAAGTGACCACCACAAATGTCACTCCATCCATTCCATCCCTCACTCCACCGGTAACACCTCCAATTACCCCCGTTACATCATCAACAAAGTCTTTGGTGGAACCTACAGCATCGATCTCAACTCTGGAAAAACCATGTACTCCTTTGACCTTGTCCCAAACTTCGTCCACTGTTGCACCAACACCAACACCTACCGTAGCCACACCTCCTTCACCCCCTGCTTCTCCTTCCATATCGTCTACATTCCCTTCTGCGGCCACATCATCCTCCTTCCTCGCCTCATGGCAAGGTCGACCACGTACTATGATTTCAAGCATCCCACGGCCTTCACCCCTGATGCCGTTCCGTGCTGCTCGATCTGTAGTCAATTCCGTGACCTCGGTCGGAACAGGACTCATACCGTCGAAGGAGCAGCTTGGTTCCCTTCCAGTGGCGGGTAGGATCTTGAAGCATCCGGTCATGGATTCGACTCTGTCTTATATCGCAACCAAGGCTTCGGAGCGTGGTATCTCCTTACATGCTCTGACCGGCGGCATCGATCCCAAGACCTTAATTTCACCTGAGGATGTACCTTATCGGAAACTAAACAAGAAGCTGATTCAACAGGCCATGACCCTATCCGTTTTAGCGATGGAGAAGGAGGACCAGTCCAAGGCAATGGATGATGAAGCCGGTGATGATGCATTTGAGCTGTATTTGGCAGCCATCAATATAATGCTTCATGCATTGCCATGTAAGCCTTCATTCTAATGTGCATCTATGCCTCCGCTTTTCTACTTGATATACTTACCTTCTCAATTATTTTTTCTCATTAGTTGAAACCTGCGATCCCCTCCGTCGTGAGGCTTTCGAAACCCAACTACGCGATTTCCTAGAAGACCAGCTCGAAGAGCTCCGGGGTGTGGATGAGATTAGCGACGCAAGCGTATCTTCTAAGCGACTGCGCCGACGATGCAGAAGAAGACATCGTCAGAATCATGAGCTCGCAGCTACAATGATTCAGCAGCATACTGCAGTCTCTGAAGAAGCTGTCGCATCCATGGACGAAAAGGCCGCTGCTGCGTTTATTCAACAACAACGCGGACAGCAGAAGCAGAAGCAGCAGCAGCGTAAACAGCGCCGTGAGCAGCATGCAAAAGAATTGCAGGCTTTGAAAAAACAACAGCAGGAGCAAGAAAAGGAGCTCAAGAATAAGAAACAAACAAAGCTGGCCAGTCCTTCATCATCTCCTTCATTGCAACCTACAAAGGCATCACCCTCTAATGGTCACACACACTCCCGTCGTCGCCATACTCGAAGACAACGTCACCACTTCCATGAACACGAACTTCCTCAACACAACGACATTGCCAACAATGACAAAGCCCTCCAGAACCCCAGCCATGTCAACAATGCAGGTGGGATTGGTGACGCCATTATTTCGACAGCTGTTCATTCAGCAATTCGTCTGAAGCAATCACCCATTCCAGACGTGGTCAAGTCATGTCTTCGAACATCCAAGACAATCTTCCACAAGGTTGATGAGCGCTTCCATCTGCAGGATAAGGCTTGGGAGTTGTCAAAGCAATCGATTGAGAAAGCCATCGAGTTGGATGAGCAGTATGCGATCCATGAAGCCGTCACAGAAACCGTGTTCGCCACCCTGACTGGTCTCGTCAAGGCTGGTATTGCTTACAAAGAGACTCCGGGCTATGCAGCTGTCAAGGCTGCTCAGACACAAGGGGGACTGGGGGCAGCTGGAGCAGCTGGCACAATAACTGATGGAGCAGCCGCGGGCTCAAATGCTACAAACAGGTCTCATCATCCTCAAGAGATCGATCACAAGAAACAAATTGATCTCAAGGAGCTTGCAAAGCAGCAAAAGAGGAAGAGAGGAAGCACTAGGGCTGCATTAGCGGCCGCCGCTGCAGCTGCTGTAGCAAGCACAACTCGACGCGGATGGAGCAAACGAACAAGCTCTGCTGTTGCGAAAGAAAGTGACTCTGGCAGCAGCTCAACCACGAACTCTGAGGCAGATTCTGAAGACAGCGATTTCGATTCTGAGAACGAGTCGGATTCCGAGATGATGACGCCGTCCACTGGACCTTCCTCATGTCCATCTTCAGATATGGAAGAGACTAGCTTGGATTCTGATAAGGGTTATGGAAGATTGCAGCCACAACAACAGCAGATGCAGCAGAAAGAAGAAGTGATTGAGCTAAACCAACAGACATTACTCTCTCCTACACCATCATCAACTCCATATACAGATCAAGTTCGTGAGAAGATTGACATGTTTATGGCTCTTAAAGGTGCCGCTTCGTTGATTTATGGCAACTTGTAAAAAAAAAAAAAAAAAAAAAAAAAAGACTTGAATGATCTAGCTGTATCCATTATTAGAAATAGAGACTTGATTGAAATAAAAAACTAATCGTTTTTGTTTGAAAAGTATAAGCAATTATATCTTTAACTTGATTACTCACAGAAGTAAGCATTGTCAGTGCAAGTTATTGATATGCCGCTTTCGGTTTGAGTCAGTGAGAAAAATAGTAATGGTTATATAAGGTCTGTGCGGACTGTCCCTGACATTAATAAACCCTAAATGTCAAATGTCAGGTGATGGCGAATTTTATTAAGACATAGAAGCCATTCTCCACTCCACTCTCTTCGCAAGATGAGCAACTTGTTGGTGATCACCTAGACCGGAATGACCTCTTCTGCTGTATCCGCGTCTCCAAGGTTTTCCATAATACACTTATCAAATACATTTGGAAAAAGGTCATAATTTCAGCTTATTCAAAATATCCCACTGATGAGGCACTACAGAAATACAAGGAGTATATCGAGAAGCTTGAGTTTCATTGCATCTTCCCAAAGGAGTACAGATCATTGCAAGGCTGTAATCGCCTCAAAAGCATATACTTCTATCCGGAAAAATCACAGGATCCTCTTACCCCGAGCAATCTTTCGGATTTCATTAAGGCTCACAGCTCCACAATCACAGAGCTTAATATCACCAGCTCCAGCTTACGAGAGATATGGGGAGCATTATTGGAATGCACTCTGCTGAAAGATTTAGCCATTTATGGAGCAGATATACTCGGTGATGAAGTCGATCTATTATTTCGAATCTGCAAGGAGGTTTGGTACTTGATCATGTCTGGGATATACATCAGTCGACTACCTTCCGACTTTTTGGATGACGACACGGGCAAATTCATTTTCTCAAAAATGAAAGCGCTAGATTTTCATAATGTCCGGATACTCAACCCCCTATATCCGCACACACCGTCGCATTGCCTCGGGATATTGACTAGGAGGTGTCCAAGATTACAAATACTGGGCTTCGTTGAGCTTATAGGGAACACCCAAACTTCACAACCGATACACGTTGGTTTTTATAAGGCAGTATTCCTTAATCGCCCTTACACGCTGACAAACCTATCATATCTGTCTATTCAATCCGTGAAAGCAAAGGACGAGGATATGGCGGCGCTGCTCAGGCAGATGACTAAATTAAGACAGCTAATCGTTCCACTTTGTGATTTCGGTCCACTGTCTGTTCGAGAATTGCTGGTAGACGAGCAAGAGGTTTCGGAAGGTGGACGGATAGTGCGAAAAAGAAGGGAGCAGAGGCTCTGCGATTCGATTGAGGCATTGAAATGTAATGTGCAAAGCGAGAGACCTGATAACATTGTTCAGACGATCTTATCTACTTACCCACGTCTGAAGAGGCTGAAGGGACCTAGAGTAACAGTGATAGAGATCATCGAGGGCGCAGAATGGGTTTGCTCTGACTTGGTTGAACTGTCGGTCAGTCTTGTGGTTGATGTTGATCAAAGACGGCAGAAGGCAAGGAGAAGGGGCGTATTGCGTATGAGCGGATATGCAGGTCGACCCGACTACATCGTTCCTACTATTCAGTGTATCACCATCAGCTGTCTTTTGCAGGCTTGGCTCCAATCGATGGCCAGTCATAAGAATCTAAGATTGTTAGTGTTCAGGTCTGGAGCGAGGATTATAAGGCACGGGGAGCCGAGCTAAACTATTCTAGCCTCGGTGTATCCAGTGATAACCAACGCCCTTACCAGTTAATAAACGCTGATAAAAGATATGGACAGCAAATGTAGCTCAAAGGTCAAGCTTTCTCTACTTTGTCCTAGATCTCCCTCTTTTCTAAAGAGCTCTTATCATGTCACATCTTTAACTCTGCTGTGCTATCCATAAAGCCCTAAGCCATGATATCATCTGATGTATGACCCCTCCTCAAATGCTGTTTTAGAACGTATTATACTTCACTAGCTTAGCTACCCAACTTGGAGCTCATGTCGATCATGAGGTTTCAGAAGACATGCGGAAGCAACGAACTGTGTTTAGACAACTAGGAAAGTTGACTCGACTAGACTACCTTAATCCGGTATATCCAACTTCAGCGCCTGAGGAGGGATGCGGACGTTGGACTTGAGGTTAAGAACAGGTCTGAATGAAATAGCCAACCTGAGACATCTACGCCTGCTATGATTGCAATTTGATAAGCATCAGCAGATACAATCTGGGGATGCGGCATGAATTGTAAAGAATTAACCACCGGAATATGTGAGAACTAGGCTCATTTAATCCTCTTTTGAGCATCGACAAGGTCATCGAACCGCCATGGTCCCAATCACCTTTAAGGGTTTTTTAGCCCTTGCCTTCGCTGATCATCCCCGTAATTATGGTATCTCATCCCTCTTTGCTCGAGCTTTATATACTGCCATCGCTATTCCTACCAATGACACAGGTAGCAATTAATTACGATTCGTACATTCATGTCTTATTGCATCAAATCGGAGAGAGAGGAAATGAGGGTCAAAACAATATTGAAGAAAAAGAGCCACACTTGACATATATCCTCCTTTTATATCTTTCTTTTCTTTTATTGTTATTTTTTGAGAGGCATTACTTTACCTTTTATCGTTATATTGAGAGATGAAGAGTAAAAAAAGAAAAAAGAAAAAAGAATGAAAAGGAAAGGACAAAATGTGCCCTTTTAAATGCTCACCTTCGAAAGTCGGGTGGAAGTAGCATCAGCGTCATTACAGTTCTTGACTAGATACGAAGACCATGGCGCGCTGAGTGATTTCCAAGCGGAAGGGGGAAAAAAAAAACACGAATAAAGGGCGTTTACAGAGTCGACTTTTGTTCCATAAACATTCATGTGTATGTAAAACTCCTTATTAAAGGGTTAAAGAGAAATAAAGTTTGGTGGCAAAACATCAATAAAAAAACTGCGAATAAGAGTGGTTGTTATCATATTCAAAGTAGGAAAAAAAAAAAAAAAGAAAAAAGAGTTTATATTCCACATGCTTGGGTGGCAAGTGGGGCTAACAATTCTATTTTAGTTTTTTGTTCTAAGGCAATGTATTGTATCTGAAATGGAGAACAGTAGATGAGACCTATGGGTGTGTTCAGCGAAGCTTGCACAAAAGAGGCAATGCTGCCATTTCTGCGCCTCAAAAGCACGCCACAATTCAACCCGAGGTTTAGCTCACTTTCACTCAAGTTTTATTTTTTGAACAACACAGTGAATCCTGTCTGTTTTTAAGTAGTCTTTCTGGATGACAGCTATTCACGAGATGCAAATCAATTCCGCTAAATATGGCCAATCTGGAAAGCCAATAAGTATCGAACGGCCGTCCATGCTCTACTTTCCTAGAAGCTCTATTACCAAGATCAAAAGGTACCATGTTACCGACATCCATAGCAATCGGACAATTTCTCAAGTTTTGCATAAAGGAGTAAGTTTCCCACTTAATTTATAGAGTCATTTTTTACCTTATCTTTACTACGATAGCCTCAACATTGCTATTAGAAAAGCGGATTTTTCTCGGATACATGTCCCCAAAATTAAACTATGAAATGGTTATGTACTGTATTTTATTACTCAATGCTTTCAGTCATTAATTCGTGTCCAATATTATGCAATTTGAGTATATTTGCCACCAAACTGTATGTGTCTGGCTCCTTGTCCACAACAGCATTTAAGCAATTGATCCTCGGCCAATGGCTTACAATTCACATCGCATCCTCAGGCTTCATCTGTTGGTGCTTATCGCAGTCAAAAAGTAACCAGCACAATTTCTTTAGGCTAATTAGTTCATCTAGACATGCTCTTAACCTCAAGCCTAGTGTTCGAAATCTCTCATCCTTTCGACGAAATCCAGTCAAATTAAGGACCTAGTCGAGCCAACTTGCCTAGTTATCTAAAAGCAAGGCGCTGCTTCCGCATGCCTTCTGGAGCCTCCTGGCCAACGTCAACTTCGAGGACAACAAACATGTTTGTTAGTCCAGTACTAACCCATTCTGCACCGCCCGCAATATCTGTCACTGTGGATTTATATGCGACAAGTCCCTTCAAGCGTGGGCAATTGGATAAGATCGCCTGAATAATACCACCAGTCCATTGATCCCCTGCATCGAGTGACAATCTCTCCAGTATATCGCAAAGCCTCCTACCTCTTCTTTTTCGCACTATATATCCATCTTTCGGAATGTCTTGCTCGTCCGCCAGCAATGCTCGTATGAAAAGTAGACCAAAATCACAATATGAAGTACTTAGATCTCTTATATTACTCATCTGTTTAAAAAGTGTTGCCATATTTCCGCCCTTTATCTTCATGGATAATAGGTGTAGACCTGATAGGGCTGTCGGTGTATTGGGGTATTGAGGGGATGCTGTTTTGTAAAATCACAGAAATCATCCTGTTCTCCATAAATTCCCAGCAAACGCGGTTCTGGACATTCCCCAGTCAACATGCCAAGGCAATATGATGATGTGTGCTGAGGTGGAGTGTTGAGTATTTGCACTCCACGAAATCGTAACCTGTTCAAATTTGAAAAAATAAAAGTGCCTTTGCCGTCGTTCAGGAAGCTGGGAGGTAGTCAATCGATCGTTACTCGGGACACCTTCAAACATCTAACCTTCTTGCAGACTTGAAAAGGTGAATAGACTTCATCATCGCTTATATGTGTTTTAGAAAGAGCCAAGTGCTCAAGATGTGTGCATTCCAGTAGGGCCCTCCATATCTCTTGTAAAGGTGAATTGTCGGACTTAAACTTGATGAGTGTGGAACTGTGGACCTTTATGAGATTGGGAGATTGCTTCGGGCGAAGGTACCTTGGGATGCCCTGCTTTGTATTTAATGTATTTGGGGTAAATACAACCCTGCAATGACCTTAGCTCCGTTGGGAAGTCTTAAATTTCAAGCTCCTCAATGTATTTCTTGTCGACTTGCAGTGCTTCAATTGTAGGACGCCTGGATAGAGGCCCAGTATGGATCTTTTCCCAAATGGGTTGGATAAGCATATCGTGAAGAGCCTTGAAGACATAAGTACAGCACAGGAGGTCGTTTCGGTCAGGGGAAGCACCAACAAGTGGAATGATTTCTAGAATATGCAAGGGGTCCAGGTCAGGGTTATTCATCGTGTGAAGACGGATGGTGGAGTGAGGTGAAACTAGGATTATAAAACGTGATCAGACATTGACAAGCTGAAGTCTCTTGAGAAAGTGTATAGGAACATGAATTGAAATTTAAAAAAAAACGTGGTTGGTTGCTTACTACCTTTAAGCACGCCTTTCAAATATAAGTTTTGAAGGAAGTGTTGAAGGTGGACAAATCCTCTTTTATTTATTCTCCACCTTAGACACTGAACTACGTGGGTCTGGACTCGTGTTTATATAAAAATCAGTCAAAAAAGGATTCGCCTGTTCTCATTCCATCATCTCTCTTTGCATAATGAGCTGCCCAAAATTGAATCCTTTAGAGATTCCAGAAATTGTTTCGCGTGTTGGCGACTTCCTAAAGCGGAAAGAACTCTTACATTGCATTCGTGTTTCCAAAACTTTCCACAATGCACTTGCCAAATTCATCTGGAAAAGGATCTCCATCGGCAGAGATAATTCAAGATATTTTACTGCCGAGGGACTGCAGAACTACAAGGAATATATCGAGGGACTCGTGTTTTTTGACCACTTCCCGAGAGAGTTCAAGTCATTACAAGGTTGTGGTCGTCTCAAGAGCATAGGCTACTATGCAGAATCATCTCAGGACCCTAGAGCCCCGAGCCATCTTTCTAAGCTCGTCAAGGCTCACAGCTTCACAATCACTGAGTTTCGCTTCAATTGTCCAAGTTTACAAGGAATATGGAGCGCACTGTTGGAATGCACTCACCTTAAAGTCTTGAACATTTTCGGACTAACTATACTTGACGATGAAGTCGATTTATTCTTTCAAGTCTGCAAGAGAGTTATGTACTTGACTGTGACCAGAGTGAACATCAATCAACTACCTTCCAACTTCATGGATGACAACACGGATAAGTTCTTTTTCCCAAAAATGAGCATGTTACATCTTCATGATGTGCAAATATCCAACCTTTCACATCCGCACACATCATCGTATTGCTTTGGGATGTTGACTAGGAGATGTCCAGGACTACGGTATCTGGGCTTTATTGAAAAAAACGATGATACTCAAAGTTTACGGCAAATATCTATGGATTTCTACAGGGCAGCATTCCATCATCGTCCCTTTACACTAGCAAACCTATCAGAACTATGCTTTTCAAGGATGGAGATAAGCGACGAGGATATGGCAGCACTTCTCAGACAGATGACTGAACTAAGACGGCTAGAAGTTCGATGGTGTGAGTTCGGGCCACTCTCCCTTCGAGAACTACTAGCAGATGAGCAGGAGGTTTCGGAAGATGGACGGATAGTACGAAAAAGAAGGAACCAGAGGCTTTGCGATACAGTTGAGATACTGGAAATCAATGACGAAAGTGAAAGAGCTGATGGCATTGTCCAGGCGATTCTATCTAACTGTCCACGCCTGAAGCGCCTGAGGGGACCTAGAATGACGGTGACAGAGATTGTCGATGGTGCAGAATGGGTTAGCACTAGGTTGTCTTTAATAGCAGTCAGCCTTGTGGTTGATGTTGATCAGAAGACTGCAGAAGGCAAGGAGAAAGGACGCCTTGCGTATGGACAGATACGCAAGTTGACTCGGTTAGATCCTTCTAATTTTTCGTCGTACAGAAAACAGCTGTCTTTTGCAGACTTGACTCCAGAAAAAAATCAGTCCTAAGGAATCTAAGCTCGTTTATCTTCAGATTTAATAGCTAGATTGAACAAGGTGGAATGCGATAGCTAAATCAGCGAGAATTTAGGGAACAGAGCTATTCTATTCTAGTCTTGATGTATTGGTGATAGTTTATGGTTTGTCGTTGTAAGAGCACGATTTTCTAATAATGATAATGGTCTTTGACTTGGTGCTTTGAATGGAAGGCATAAGCAACATGTGTAGTTCAAAGACCAAGATCCTCTACACTGTTCTATATCTTTTTTAGAGAGCCTGTATGGCGGCATATTCCTAATCTCTCAACCATCAATTGCTGTTTTAAAAGATACTTCATGCTACTCAATGGCGTGATAGAACTGGAATATACATTTATGTTTCTTAGAATCTGCTTCGCCCCTACATGGCGCAGCTGACACTTTGTCTGTCAAAAAAAATTCAGCATGTATTGTCATCGATTTTTAACCTCAGGACAATCCCAATTTGAATCCTTTGGACATTTCAGAAATTCTTTCATTGGCGAACCAATTGAAAAGTATGTTTGTCTTGACTATGCAAACACTGTTTATATTGTAAACATGAGCACGTTGCAATCCCCGCTGTTCATGCAAAAAAATGGATATCATTGTGCGAAGCAATTGAAAAAGTATGTTTTTTAAAATTGTGTTTCTAAATGAAGCTTTTACAATTTTTAATTTATATTATTCTCTTTTACAGTCACACAACGAGATTGGTTAAATAAAAATAAATATTGATTTTATGCGAAATAAGCAATTCAACAGAGGTCATTAAAAAAATTGTGCCAAATGTAGCGAGAGGATTAAGTACTGAATACATGCTATTGTAAATGATTCATTTTTCTTTAACATTAACAATATCTCGTTTTTTGTATAAGAAGGATGAAAAAACAAATGGCAGTCTGTCTTTTGCCACTCTATTCTGTCTTCAAAATGGACGACGATATCCTTTCTTCCCTTTTTTTTTTTTCATTTATAATATCCCCTGCGAGCTTTACTACAATGGAGTGCCATCATCACTGTCAATCCACGTTGCAAGTGAAGAGACTTTAGAGGGCCTCAATGATCTTCTAGACTTTTATGGCCTTCTTAAACCAATTGAGGAGTCCTGGAATGTGGAGTTTGACCGAACATGTTTCTCCTACGCGTGGGTTTCTCCTCTGCGAAGATCTATTATCAAGTGATGTCTTCGGAGACATATTTTTGTGGGAAGAAACTGTTCCCAGTGGAAAATTAGTCATTTTCGCTAATACTTTTGCAGATCGACTATTCGACGAAGGACGAGTCAATCTTTCTTCAGGAACATCCTCCTCGCAGACAAATGTGTTATGGACCAATGTCGACGAACAAGGGCGACAAAAATTACTCTTGCAACTTTAAGCAGTAATAAACCCGCTGAAATAAACACTTTATTTTTTTTCTTTAAGTTGTAAATCTAAATATGTGTTTACATGTCCTGGCATTGTTAAATGTTGTGTTCTATTCCTGATCTCTTCTGCAATGATGGAAGCAAATTGCATGCAAGCTCTTACAGCAACATGCATATTGTAGGCGAAGTCATCTTTTCCGAGGGGAATAACCATTTCGTTGATTGTATATATTCTGTAAACTCCTCTGCAATCCATGCAATAAAATTTGGTGACATTCTTATAAGAGAAAGAACCAAATATCTTCAAATCGGTAGGAGCTTCTGAAGTGATGGATGCGATATTATTGATTTGACGAATCCAAGCGTCCACCATGCAACTTTTCAAGGTTGCATTAGACAGTAGAGAAGCTTCAGCAAAGTATATTTCAGTGGATTCACTGCCAAAGTAAGCAATTCCGTCAGCCCGCTGATTGGTGTTTCTGTACTGTATTTCAAATGATCTGGACCTAATGCCATGAAGCGACAAGGCACCGCGAATGAATTTCCAGGTGAAGTCCGAAAATACTTCTCTCTCATTTAGAGAGCTAGAGACACAATCGGCATATCGGAAATGGTGGCAACTAAAGAAAAGAAGGAATCGGGATTTAAAAGGGCTCTATTGATCTGCCAACGTTTTTGCTTTTAAATATCAGAGACTTACTATGAAAGTAGGATCTCCATAAAGTAATCCAAAATAGAATTGTTCATGTTTTTCAGCACTGCTTCTCTTATTGATTGCTTTGCTTCGTCAAATGTTATAACGCTCGGAGAAAAGATGGACGTACAAATTGAATCAAATTCGGGGAAAGACGTTGAAATGTATGATTCAATCTCGAGGGTTTTTTTAAGGTGTTTAAAAGCCTTTTTGTTCTGGGCGTTTAAAAAATAAAGAAAAGAGCTCGGGTCTTCGAAATGAATGGTTAGATCGACATAGCCCTTTCCATGTAGAGGAAAAAAAGGTGAGGAGTGAATAAACTGTTTGAAATAATGAAAATAATTGTGATCCTTGTACGTCCATGTTGTCATTTCTTGTCTAATGTGGAATGATAAATGTACTAAAGTGGGGGAAAAATATCAGAAATGGTAACATCAGATCAGAAGACAAACTAAGGTTATATTAAAATAGAATGTTACCTTTTAAAATTTTTTTCGAAGTCAAACCATCCAAATAGGTCAACCAGAAACTGAGAGATTTGGTGTCAATCCATTGTTGGTATTTCTTGTTCAACTTTTTTCTTTTTCCTTGTTCAAGTCGGGTGTTTTGAAGAAGACCCCGATAAAGTTCGTCGGCCTGAACTTTTGAAATAATGGTAAATTTAGAAACGAATGCTGAAAAAGATTTGTCTTTTGATGTAAGGAACCAATTACCATAGGCGCGTTCCGTGATGGCTGCAATTTCATTTTTCAACTTTGGCATTGTTGGTGTGTTGATGAAGCAAAGAAGGTCAATTTAATAATGCATCAGTTGAGCCACAGTTTTATTATTTATACCCCTTTTGTGTTCAGAATGCATATTGTCCTCGTCATTTGGTCATGAACATATTCTAAAAACAAATAATTATTGGCTCAGAATTTTGAATAATCTTAAATGAGTTGGTGGCCAAAATCAGCCACCGATTCAATACTCAAATCCCATTCAATGTGACGCGCTTTTTCTGGGGCCAATTCAATCAATATATTTTTACAATATTTATGTACATGGCCAAATGACGAGGAGCAACTCCTCTTCAACTGCCATGTAAAAAATGGGCTTCAAGATGCCTCTGACTTGACTCCTGCCAAAAGATCGATTTTATACCAGCATCTGTCGGTTTCGAATGGGATAAGAGCTTTTTTTTTTTTTTTTTTTTTTTTTTTCATGGTTTTTAATCGTTCAGTAGCACAAGCTTTTAATAAAATAAAATAAAAATAAGTCCAAACAAAACTATAGACTAAAGAAGGTAAAAGTATCATGAGGCGCTTGGTGTAATCAAGGCCTGAGGGTATGAAAACCAAACCAACTTCAACAGAAAAAAAAAAGTTGGCTCTAATTGCTCTAATTGGTATTCAAAACATCCACATATTTTGAGCGTGCTCCTCTTCTTGCCGCAGAAGATCCTGTTGCCGAATTGGGGGGGCCACTTGCGGGTGAAGATGTACGAGGCATAGCTGGTGGTGGCAAAGGCTCTGCTGTGCTCGATGATTCTGCCCCGCCCTTTTTATTAACCCAACGCTGTTGCTCCTTGTCAAAATAGAACGAAGATTCCTCACCCAGATTTGCTCTAACGGGCCTTGGTGTGGATTCACGCTTTTCACCTACCAAAAGCGAAAGCTTGGGCCACCATCCAGCCTTGGGTTCATTTGATCCATTGTCAGGCGTACTTGAATCCTCTGAAGCTTGGGTTGCTGTAGTGCCATCAGTCTTTTCCGTAGCAGCTGTCTTTCCCTTATTGAGGGCGTTATTACCCATTCCCAAGTCGTCGTCATCATCAAATGTATGTTGGTTGCTGTTATTGACTGGCATTGCAGGCTGGCCAAACGATGGGATAGTTGGGACAGCGCCAAATGAAATAAACTGACCTTCCTCGTAACTTTCTTGGACTGGTTCCTGAGAGTTGTCGTTAGCTGCGAAGACCTGTTGTTCTTCTGTGCCATTAGGGTCTACACTGCCATTACCACCATTACTCCACCATGCATTGTCATTGAAATGACTCTGTTGTGCCTGATCCCCTTGGCCTACTACTTGATCTTTATGGTCTTCCGACATGGATGGTGCATTAGACCCAGAAAAGCCTGGCTGAGCAGTTTCATCCAGAGGAGGTGCATTTTTGGAATTATTATCTTGCTGGTAACCTCCTTGTTGGTAACTTCCTTGTTGATAGTCTCCTTGCTGGTAATCTCCCTGTTGATAACCCTCTTGTTGGTAACCTTCTTGCTGGTAACCTTCTTGCTGGTAGCCTTCTTGCTGGTAACCCTCTTGCTGATAATCACCCTGTTGATAGTCGCCTTGCTGGTAGTCACCCTGCTGATAATCGCCTTGTTGGTAATCGCCTTGTTGGTAATCGTCTTGATGGTAGTTACCTTGTTGGTAGTCATCTTGTAGTTGATGATCTCCTTGGCGATAACCTTGCTGATATTCACTTTGGTCTTGGTACTCGCCTTGCTGATAATCCCCTTGCTGGTACTCAGCTTGTTGGAAATCTCCCTCGTGATAGCCATAGCTCCCCTGTTGACTCCCGATGACAGGAGCTGAGTCATTAGCAACTGCTGTAGGTATAGTTTCGGAAGAGTATACCTGCTGTTCAAGTGTGGGTTCATCAGCAAGGATTTCAGTTCGCTCATATGACCTAATTGCATTACCAGAGGCTTCAGCTGCGGGGGTGGCAGCCAGAGATACTTGCTGTTTTTGATCAGCATCCTGTTCCTGGTAGCTGTAGTCCTTATATTCTGCAGCAAAATCCTGATTGACGCCTTCAATGGTTTGGAATTGGCTCTGGTCTTGGTAACCAGATTGGTCATACTGCTGCTGTCCATTGTAGTTCTGGTCATATTGTTGCTCATCATACGCCTGATCATGCTGCTGACCATAAGCCTGGTCATACTGCTGCTCAGCATATGTTTGGTCGTGCTGCTGTTCACCAGGAGAACCATCATATTGTTGCTCTTGATTGCCTTGATACTCCTGACCCTGCTGGTACTCGCCATTATAAACACCCTCCCCAGTATAGTTATAGCTAGGTCCTTCTGCTTGTATCTCATGTGCTACGCCATATTCACAAGTAGTTGCAAGTATGGTATCAGCACCAGTCTGGTAACCATCCTCGGCGGGCTTGACTGAATCGAGAGCTGCTGTTGCAGAATAGTGGGCCGAACCAGGATTGAGAAATGTTGCATCAGTCTGGGCAGCTTGTGTGGCGACAGATTCATTAGTAAAGTCACCTTGGCCTGCATACTGATTGTCATATTGAGAATTGTATCCAGTATTGTAGTTGGTGTCGTACCCACTTTGAGCAAGCTGGCCTCCACTGTTAGTAAACATCTGCTGCTCCTGAGGTTGAGCTTGTTGACTATAGCCCCTGTAATCCGAAGTTTCCCCACCCTCCTGATACGATTCTTCAAAGGTTTGGTTCGGATCATTGTTATAGCCTTGGCTGTGGTAGCCATATGCCGTATTGGCATCAGTCTGCGGGTATGTCTGCAAACCGTACTCGTCATTCTGGTCATATCCACTGGCTTGTATAGGATTTGCATAAGTAGTGGTTGGTTGTCCTTGGCCGTAAATGTTTGCTTTGGGTACCTCTAACTTAGAGCCCGAGGGACGTCTACTGCGATCAATAGCAGAATCTTGGTTTGTAGCACGGGCTCCATTACTGGAACGCGATAATGCACGTGGTGGAATATTACTCAAATCAGGCAGAGCAGGGGCATTGGCGAAAGGGCCAGATTCAACAGAATTAGCCTTTGGCTCCACAATCACTGGTTTGGGCTGATCATTATCGCCAGCAATAAACTTAGAGATCTTACTATCCAATGCATCAAAAATACCACCAATAGTGGGCTTTGGCACCTTTTTGGTAAACCAGGATTCCCTATGGAAGCACAGTAGATAAAAATAAGAAAATGTATCGAGGTTTACTTGAGGTAAGTGTGTAAATCAGCAATTAAGTACTTACTCAGTAACTGTGAGCTGTGAACTGCCAGTCAAACGCTCGGTAATATCCTTGAGACGTTCAAGGAACACAACGTTGTAGTAAGGAGACCCCTTCGTTTGCGACTTGACAATAGCTTCGATCGATTCCAGATATCTAGTTGAATAGGGTAAATTATTAAACTTATTGTTTGCATGTGAAAAAAAAAAGAACACGCGAGCTTACCTTCCGGCCTCAGAGAACATTCCCAACTCCACTAGAGTCCAGACATAATGAAGCTTGTATGGTTGTAAGAAAGGAAGTGCACTAGCCACACCAGGGCTCTTTAACGCACAGGCAAACTCATAAATTTCGGTCTTTTGAAAAGCAGTGATATTCTTGTAGAATGGGAACGCTGCATAAGGGCTTTGATCAGCACCGATTAAGACCAAGCGGTTTGAGGGAGCATCTAATCCAGAATGCAGAGAGACTTGAGGGGAGAGCAAGTAGCAAATGTGAGCAGCCTCGACCCATCCTTCCTTCATCAGAAGATCTCCAAGAGAACAAATAGCACTTTGATCTCCAGCAGTGCGATTAGACAAGATCATAGCGAGCGTATCACGCCACTGGCCAAGACTAGTCCCTGGAATCTTGGGTTCCTCAATAGGCTTCACAAACGATAGTGACTCTGCAGTGACGAACTGCTCTTCTTGTACTTGGGAGCCATTCTGGGTATCCTCGGGAGGGTTACGAAGGCCCATTGGAATGATTTCATTGATGGCGCTTTGAGTTTGACCAGAGAATAGAGCATATAATACACGCATAGCCTCGCGACCGTTCGCCTGTTGCTCTCCTCCTCCAGCCATAAGTTCCTGGTTAACAAAGCCATTGACGGCCTCTTTCCATAGCTCTTTATTGACAGAACTACTAATGACAAGCGCATGAGCCCAAAGATTTGCATTCATTGCATAGCGGACGGCGCCGGCTCGGTCGCCTCTACGAAGAAGGTCCTGGAGTTTATCAAGGGAAGCAGATGTTCTGACAGGGCCAGTATGCTCATGAAATGACTCGGCCGGATACATTGTCAGGGGAATGGATAGTAGCACGCTACGGACAGCTTCATCAATCTTGGGGCTAAGGTATAGAAAATATAGTTATTACACCAGATAGGCTATAGGCGCTAATGCAGAGTTTTTCATTCTCAGTTAGATCCTTACCCTCCCACTAGAGCGCCTTCCTGCTCAAACATTACTTTAAACAAGCGCCAGATAAGGACGCGGTGTGCATCAAAGGCGTCATCCTGCTGTCCATGCTCTAACCCATTGATCTTGTGCTCAATGAACTTCAAGACATCCTTGCGCTTATTTTTCATTTGAGCGGCATTATCCACCAAAAGAGGACCTGGATAGGTGGCTATGTCCTTATCCACAGATAATACTTCCTTAACATGCTTCAGTTGAAGATCGCCTGGGTATTTCTTAGTAATCATGGTATTGCTAGCCGAGTCGAAGCGTTGTACCAAGCGTGGGAAGGAAACCATAATTTTGCCTGAAAGTAGTCATCAGGACCAATATTAGTAACTATCAAAAATCCTTCTTAGAAACCTGACATACATTTTAATATCTATTAACGTAGTTCGATACCTCCAAATCCGAAAGCGATAATTGGGCATCCATGGATTCTATTCAATGGATCATCAACTCCTTCGAGTTCTTCGGGCATAGGCTCTGGTTCCGGCATGGCCTGCTCTTGTTGCTGGTATTGATCTATATACTGACTAGTCGTGGGGTCATAAAACCCTTGTTGGTTCTGATCATAATATGCAGTATCGCCATAAGTTTGACTATAAGTTTGGTCGTACTCCTGCTGTTGATAGCCTTGTTCATAGTTCTGTTGGCTATAGCTCTGCGGGTCATAACTTTGCGGATCATAACTCTGCGAATCAAAGCTTTGCGGATCATAACTCTGCGGGTCATAGCACTGTGGATTATAGCCTTGTTGCTCATAACTTTGTTGGTTATAGCCTTGTTGATCGTAATTCTGCTGCTCATAGTTCTGTTGGTCATAATTCTGCTGCTCATAGTTTTGTTGATCATAATTCTGCTGTTCATGGCTCTGCTGTTCATGGCTCTGCTGATCATAGTTCTGCTGATCATAGTTCTGTTGGTCATAGTTCTGATCATAGTTCTGCTGGTCATAGCTCTGTTGGCCATAGTTCTGCTGACCATATCCCTGCTGGTCATGTCCCTGTTGACTATAGTCTTGTTGATCGTGCGCTTGCTCATATTCTTGATCACGACTTTGGTCATAATCCAGACCGTACTGCTGCTGAGCCTGATCGTCCTGAGTTTTGTTGATGTATAGATCGTTCTGCTGGTATTCTTGAGAAAAGGCGTTTATACGGTCGAGGTTAGGCATTGGAGGGACGCTTGAGACCGGCAATTCAGTGCGACCGAGTGCAGGTGTCGCAGGGTGGCTAGTGGTAGAGATGGAGCGACCACATTCGGAGCAAAATTTTGAATATGGTTTGTTCTCACCACCACAGTCAGTATAAGGGCATGGCTTTAGTAATATTTGTGGTGAGGAAGAATCATATTGGTTACGCACTGGGCCTATGTAAGGGGTATGAGATGACTGAAGGGCCTGGGGTGTTTGAGCAGGAAGCATCAATGGTGTTTGAATGGCTGTCAAAATGGGCGTCTTTGGCGGCAAATGATTTGCATAGGGTGATGTATCTTGCTGCGAGGATGATGGTAAAGATGCGCCTTGCCTTGGCGTACTGATAGCTGCTCTTGGAGGTGGTGGAAGGCAAGCCGATGGCTGCTTCTGAGTTGTTTGATCAGTTTGGACCGGCGCAGATGCATACATATGTGGACTAGGAGCAATTGGGCTCGGCCCTTGAGGAGGACCTTGATATTGTTGCTGTTGCTGCGATGATTGAATTGAATGCTGGAGTGGGGGTGGGGGCGCTAGAGGCGTCTCCTGACTCTGAGACATTAGAGGCTGCGAAGGTTGCTTTTGAAGAGGAGAGGGGACCATAGTTGGATGTCCATAAGTAACAGCATCTTCTGTTGCGGAGGAAATTGACCATCCTGTAGCTTGGCTAATCGAATTTCCAAACAAATCGGAAGCTGACGCGAAAGGAGAATAAGACTGTTCTTGAGGTGGGACGGGAGCGACGGCAGGAAGCACGGTCCCCTGGGCTGAAAATTGCTCTTGTTGCTGCTGAGGATTCCGCTGAGACTGGCTAGATGCTTGTTGCTGTTGTTGATATGGAAGAGACTGTTGTCTTTGATGTGAGGATGCCTGCTGTTGGTGCTGTTGTTGCTGTACTGGTGGTGGAAGCTGATTTGAGGGAGGGAATCTCTGTGGCTGTGCTTGAGATTGATATCCTTGAAGTGGTCCTTGCTGTTGACTTCCAGGTGAGCTTGTAAATAGATCAGCAGCAGATGCAAAGGGTGATTGATTCATCTGCCGCGACGGCTGTTGAACTTGTTGTAGCCCATACCCTTGTTGAGGTATTGGATGGGCATGCTGCTGAGGATGACGTTGAGGCTGAAGCTGCACTGGAGCAATAGTATTGCCGGTCCGTTGTTGCTGAATAGGCGGTCTAACAGGACCCTGCTGTGGTTGTGGACGAAGAGGTTGGATTGGCTGCCGTGGTGCAGACGGACCTGTACTGAGGCCAGTATTGGCACCGCCGAAGAAAGGAATAGGCTCGTCATCGAGAGGAGGCTGCTGTGAAGGCTGAGTCATAGTTGTTGAGACACGAAAAGAACAATGAGAGGGTCAGGCCAAATCAGCTTGAATAGCAAAAAAAAAAAAAAAAAGGAAGGACGAAAGCGAAAAAAAAAAAAAAAAAAAAAAAAAAAAATAGCTTATAGGAGAGAATAGAGAAATTGTCAGGAAATGAAAGATGATGCAGCAAAGAAAACAAATGCTGCTGGGAAGCAGCAGGGGTAATGAAGGAAGGTGATGATGGTGTAAAAAAAATAAAATATTGTTGCAAGGAAAAGATGTTCAATTAGAGTGAAGGAGTTGATCGACCAATGAAACGTAACCAACAGATAAAGATAACCTTGAATCAGTAATAGATGTTCTCAGGTTCTTCTTGCGGGATGGACGCATATAATGTCTCTTAAGCTAGGGGTCCCAAAGAGAATAACTTTCTTTTGCCTGCTTAGTTTATTTTATTGCTTGGTTGTTTGATTGCCTGGTTGTTTGATTGCTTGTCGTGAGAAAGACTCGGAGTTCTCTTCTTTTTATAATGCTGTCGCGACGCTTGAAAGCATATTTTAAAAGCAAAACGATGTCATGCTTCCGTCCAATCATGATGCCGCTTTTTTTTTCTTTTTTCTTTTTTTTTTTTTTTGTTGTTGTAAAGACAGCCATTGCATCGCTTCATCGAACAATGCATTATTCCATGGACGCTTTCTCTCATGACCAATATGGATTAACTCAAGGGACACCCTCGGTCAATGATCTCGGCATTTTATCTGAAATACAGAGTGACTCGGACGAATCGTTCGTGGCTGCTACACGACGAAATGGCTATAAAAAACATCATATTTCTTCTGGATCGATTGGTAGCTCCAATAAGCATGGGGCTAGTCTAGTAACTAACTTTACCATCAAAGGAGAGGAGGGAAAGCTTCAGGAGAGAATAAGACAGAGGACTGTTCAAGCGGTAATAGAAAGGTTGCCCATGAGGTCTTGGACACTGTCATGGATGAAGATAGTGATATATCAAAAAGTCCATTTAAAACAAAGCGGAAAGTGAGCGATGATAACAAGACAAAGCATGATGATCTTGCAGCTGATTACAAGACTTGGAAGAAAGAAAAGAACTGGAAACGTAAACAGAGGAAAAAGGCCAAAATGCACGAATGGATGCAGAATGCTAGACTCCAGCAGGCAGCAAAAGATAGAAAAAGTTGACAAAGTACAGTGGAAGATAGAAACTGAAAACAAGTAAACAATAAATATTTTTTATATTTGTCCTAAGAAACATCTGTACTATGTCCTGCCTTGGAGAATGACGATGATAAAACATGCCAAGATGACTGTTAGAACTGTTACTGTCGCTATAATGACACTCCCACGACTTGCTGGAAACTGTCCATATGACAATACATTTTGACTGTGAAAGTATCGCGAGGTACCCAGCCAGAGAAACAGAAGTCCTAAAGCAATAAACGAGCCTCCAAGAGGTCGACCCAGCTCAGAGACGGTGTGCAGTTCCTGAGGACCTCCTGATGGGCTATTATTTTGAAGCCTGAAGAGTTGTGTGACGGCCACGCCAACGGTAATGAGTGATAACGATGATCTCAGCCAAGCTAGATATGTACGCTCATTCGCAAGATGGTCTCTAGCAATAGAGCCCTTATTCTCGAGAATCAGCGAAGGTGAGTACTTCTCATAGAGCTCTTTCATCCGCTGCAGTACTCGGGATATCTGGTGTGAGGAACGAATGTTGTCTTCATTTGATAAAGACCCTGCTCTTGGTGCAGTGTTCCTGTGTGACAGTGATTTGGTAGAATTGACCCTACTAAGACTGTTACCACCGCCTGCAGAACCTGTATTGCTTGTACAGGATGTGTTTGCAGATACAGATGGATTGAGGTCAGGAGTAACAGATGGACTGAGTGTGGACTTTCCTTCCATTCGGTTCCTGAGGTGATGGACACTGGATGCTGAGGGCTGGTCCAGCGGTCCAACGGAGCCCTTACGTCTGTTCGGGACAGACTCTCGGAAGGTAACGCTTGCTCCACCCGGACTAAGCGGTGTGGCAGCTACCTGTTCTTCAAGAGACAAAGGTAGAGAGGATGAGGAAGTATTCACGAAAGGATGCACTTTTGTTTCACTCATGATGCGGCCTTGTGTAAAATGTCAATTAATGTAATTAATGGATAAAGATGCACACGCCAGACATGACAGTCCCACAAATCTAGTGGCTAGGAATTACTTAGGGGAGGCGTAAGTCTTTCAGGCAACCGAACCTTTCTGTTCACATTCATTCACATTCACTACCTTACAAAATCACAGAATGTCGACCGCCGCTACTGACTCTTCTAAGAAGATACGTTGGTTGCCTCTCGAATCAAACCCAGAGGTACAAGCATTTTTAATATTTTAACCTTGACAAAGAACATGCAAATATGAAACTAACTCCAATATACTGCGTACAACAATATCCCTTTTCATTTTATAAGGTGCTGGACAAGGTATGCTTTAGATGACAAGAGTTTTTTTTAAATTGAATTCGCAAGTTCAAGAAGGTCATGTACTTACATACCTTCATACTGCTTTTCACTTTTGTAGTATGTTCGTGACCTCGGAACCTTGCCACCCTGGAGATATACTGACGTAATGGGTATGAAGTAGTCGTCCTGACTTTTCACTTGATATTTCTAGGAGATGTCAATTGTCTTAAGCATATATTAAAACTTGATCTTCATCCTTGCACTCCTTTAATCATTAGGTCTTGATGAAGAACTCTTGGCATTTGTTCCTCAGCCTGTCCATGCCATCATTTTGCTTTTCCCCATTACACCCAAATACGAAGAGTACTGCAAGGAGGAGAAGCAGCGAATTGACCAAGAGGGTCAGGTTGTCAGTCCCAAAGTGGTTTTTTACCCGCAGACCATTCGCAATGCATGTGGAACTATGGGTGTGCTCCATTCGATTGCCAATAATTGGGCCTATGGAGGACTATTGAAATTGAGTAAGTACAGGGGACCCAGATTGTTATTGCAACAGCTAGCGTGTTTATGAAAGAAAATTTTGTGAGAGAATAGCAGAACTTCATAGAATTAAAGAAAATATCATTGTGGAACATGATGTTTAATAGAGGAGGACAGCATCATAGATCGGTTTTTGAAAAAGACCCTTGATCTATCTCCAGCAGAGAGGGCCAAGGCATTGGAGGAGGATAATGCTTTTGCCGGTGTTCACGAAAGTCATGCATCCACGGGACAGACACAGACACCCGATATTGCAGATGAGCTGGATCTACACTTTGTTTGTCTGATTGAGCGAGATGGACACCTGTATGAGTTGGATGGAAACAAGCCCTATCCAATCAATCACGGTACCACTTCTCGAGATACATTTTTGTTTGTAAGTCTCCATTTTTCTTATGTATGTATGTGTGAATGAAAGGCATTTGCTGCTCTGATACTCTAAAGAACTTGCTCATCTTTATATTTCGTTCACTTTATCTGCTTTATTTGTAATCTAGGATGCCATGAAAGTAGCCAAGGAATTTGTAAAGCGAGATCCTGATAACTTAAATTTTAGCGTCATCGCCGCGACAACAGCAGAAGCAGATGTTTTGTAGAATTTAAAGAGAACAGCCCAATAAATACCTGAGCTACGTCACCAAGAGAACAAATATGCTTCTGGCCACTTACTGCTCTGGTCACAATTCGACGCTACAAGAGTGCTCTACACTCTTGCTGAAAAGGAGTTTAATTTTCTGCGCAGGGTTCATTTCCTCTTCATCCGAAAGTGCAGAATAACTATGAACATAAAGATATAAATCACCGTGTCTGGACAACATTGGTGTTTGTCTTCGAAGAAGTGTCGATTGAGGGCTTTATGACTCGGGTGTAGCTATTCACATTGATCATATGGAAGTCAAAGCGTTTCGGGACAAGGAGTAAAACTGGCGGATATGCCACTCGCACTGCATTGTGACGGCTTTGTAGAAGGTCTCTCTGCTGACCACAATAACAAAAATAAAAGACCTCATTGCTTTTATTTTTTTTTTTTTTATTTTTTTTTTTTTTTTTCCTTTTCTTTACCTTACCCATCACTGTTACTACTTAACTTTGATCCTTTTCAATCCCGAATTCACAAAACATGGACCCTCAGCAGCAACAGCATGCCCATATGACCGCCACAGCTGCTTGGTCAGTGCCTCATACATCTTACATGATGCCTGGAACACCGATGCAGCAACAACAGGTTGCTCCTCCACACCAAGCATACCAGCAATATCAGCATCCTGGTATGATAGACCCACAGCGTCCTCATCATCTTGGCCATACCTCACATTCACACCATGTCCCTGCGCCCCCCGGTATCCCTCCTCATCCTCAAGGCTATCCCATGCATCCTTCGCCCCATGACGTGCCTCGTGGCCTTTCCGGTAGTGGACGTCGATCCCCTCCGCCTTACCGGGGGTACCGCGATCGATCTTATTCTCCTCCACCTCGTCATCGCAGAACACCATCCCCTCGTGGTCACCGACATTCTCGTGGGTATGATCGGGAAATGGATTATCCTAGCCATCGTGGGTATGATCGAGGATATGACAGGGGACATGATCGTTATGATTTTGATCGAGGCTATAGTAACCGTGGTTATGATCGCGGCTATGATCGAGGCTATGGCCGCAGCTACAACCGAGACTACAGTCGTGGAGGCTATAGTGGTCGTAGTGGCTATGATCGTGGGGGCTATGGAGGCTCCCGTACTCGTTCTCCACCCAGACAGTCAAGAGCCATCAACCGGTATTGTTTTTATTATTTTTATTTCGTTTTGCTTTTTATAATCTGAAAGACATGGTTGATTTGAAAAACTGAAACTTTTTTTTTTCTTTTTATGCATTTTTTGTAGTGGAACAGAGGAGGATCGTCTTGCCTCTAGGACTCTGTATGTTGGCAATATCCCCTATACCTTCCGTGAACAAGAAGTGGAGGACATGTTCAAGAAGTTTGGCACTATTGTCAAGGTCACTGTGGTTATGGATCAGTATACTGGTCGTAATAAAGGGTATAGTGTCGTTCTTTCCCCTTCCTTTTACTTCCCATCTTTTCTGCTTATCAGGCCTCTTTTACTCTTACTATTTAACTATATCGTGCTATAACCTCGATCTCTCTATTGTCTAATTTTTTTTTTTTTTTTTTTTTTTTTTTCGCGCCTTGATTTATCTATACTGGTGCATACTTCTCTTCATCTCCTTCTTCAACTCTTTCTATCTAATGTCTGTACTCATCTTCGTTGTTATCCTTGTGCATGTGTCTTGGTAGATTTGCATTTGTTGAATTTGATGATCGCAAGAACGCAGAGGAGGCATTAGAGAACTATAATGGGTTTGATGTCGAGGGCAGACGATTGAAGTTGGACTGGGATATTGGATTGACCAAAAAGGACATTAAGCCTCCACGCTTGACCGGAACCACGACAGATCATAATGGCACTGCAGAAACATCACTTCAACCCCACACACGTACTGTCACGGAAGGCTCAACTCCTGTAGAAAGCGGAGTGCAAGCGACATCAAACCCTTCTACTGATATTGTTGACCATGAAAAGAACATTAAGTCACAATCTAACATTGGCACTGGCACTAGTATCCAGGAAGGACAGCAGTCTGCGGAGGGACTGACTGTACAGGGTGTAGAGGACCCTTCTAAAGTAACAGAAGCATCAGAGCAACACGCAGTGGGTCAATCATTATCAGAACAACCTGATCATCAACAAGCTGTTGGTCAACCATCGGAGACTGCTTAATACAATCTTCATCAAGACCCAGCTTAGACTTCATATCACAATAATTTTCTTAAAGACATACTCGAGAAAGAGAGAAAGAACAACGAACATGCATAACCCATTCAGCATTTTTATCAAATACCATAGACACAGCATTCCACTTTGTTATAGAGGGTGAAAAAAAAAAAAAAAAAAAAAAAAAAAAAAAATGGACATCAGTGGACTGCTGAAGGAGGAATCAAACAATTCCCGACGGGGTTGATTGTGGACATGGCCAGAAGAAGAAAAAATGAAGAAAAAAAAAAAAAAAAATAAAAATCATTGATTAATGAGTGACACCTGTGGACTAATTGACCTTTGGACGCCAATGGATATCTTCTGGATTTTGACGACTTGCAAAAAAAAAAAAAAAAAAAAAAAAAAAAGACGATTGAAATGATATAGGGGCAATCTTGTAGTCTTTGATTCATCTTTATATTTTAAACCCGCTCCATTTGTTCACAAGTAAAAGGTAAGGATGAAATAAAAAAAAAAAATTTGAACATGTACATGTACATCAATAAAAATATGCTTTCCATTCTCTCTTTCTCGCTCTTTTTCTCTCTCTCTCTCTTTGTTGGATTTGCTTGAGTACTTGTCCTTTGAAAACGCCTTTTTCTTTTTCTTTTATTGATATGCTAGAGGTAATCGTATTATATATAATTACATGTATTTCCTATGGCGCAGGCTCTCCTCTTTTCCCTGTTCTTTAAATATTTAAATATGATGGCGAGCACAGAACTCGGCCATGCGGTTGTATGCCTCTTGGAGCACCTCTGAGGGAGAAGTGAAAACAATGCGGATGAAATTGGGGCATTGGAAGACAGAGCCAGGCAAACACATGACGGATTCCTCTCCCAAAAGTTTCTCTGTAAAGACAATGTCGTTCTCAATATCCTTGAATTCTGCAACATTGATGCCGATCATCACATACATTGCACCCTGAGGAATAATGACCTTGAGGCCAGGCACCTTGGACAAGATGTCTGTGCTCATCTTTGCATTCGCCTCGAGTTGTACACGAGTGTCGTTGTAGAAAGCAGGATCGGTGTTATGGAGAATATCCTGAAGTGCACTCTGGACCAATGAATTGGGTCCGAGAATCAACTGAGATAAGCTGTTAAGGCCATCCCGGATTTCAGCCCCAAAGATATCATTGCGGTCATGAATAAAAAGCCAGCCCAATCTCCACCCGGGAACCAAATACTTCTTTGCAAGGCCACCGACGGCGAGCACGGGGACTGTCGTGGTAAGAGAAGCAAGAGGGAAGAATTCGTTACCACTGAAGACAAGATCGCAATAAATCTCATCAGCAATAACAGGCAGATGATTGCGTTCACAGACAGCCAGGAAATCAAGCAAATGCTGCTTTTTGAAGACAGAACCACAGGGGTTGGAAGGATTGTTCATGACAACAGTGGCTGTACGCTCATCAATCAATGACTCGAGATGCTTGAGATCCATTTCCCAGTTGCTTTCAGGCTATAAAAAATAGTATTTGACAAAGGAGAAGGATTATATTAATATTTGAATTGAGTCGAACTAACGCGACCAAGTGACAAAGGAACGATTGCTATCAAGGACTTTTTTTTTTTTTTTTTAAATGATGCTCTTCTTCACTCACCAACAGATCGTAATAGCGCACTTCGATACCCTTCGAGTCAGCAAGAGTCTGGTAAAGTGAAAAACCAGGACGAGGCAAGAGAATATTGTCACCTTCGTTGCAAAGAACACCAATGCACATGTCGATTGCACCAGAGCATCCGCTGGCGAGGATGACATCCTGAGCAGTCAAAGGAGCGTCGGGACGAGTAAACTTGTCAGCAACAGCCTGGCGGGCATGTGGGTAACCAGTTGAGGGAGGATATCCATTGCTCTTGTAGGAGTGAAGTTGCTTCGAGACAGCTTCTGTGCAGGACTCATGGATTTTGAAGTTACCAAAGAGAGTGGGATCACCCAAAGCAAGAGAGATCATGGACTTTGCAACATTTGGCTTGACCTTGATGTGATCGACAATGGCACGGATGGGGTTAGATGTGCGCTTGGCAACGATGGAGGCAGAGACCTTCCATGAATTACGAGAGTGAGTGTTAGGAGCAGACATGATCAAGTTGAGATGGCTGAGTAAATCAAGAATGAATAAGAGAGTGTGAGAATGATGTTGAAAGAGAATTGTTGGATTTAAATGGCTGTGGAACTGTGGGAAGAAAAAAGTAGAGCCGATCGGACATACTCTTCCACAACTACACCCTTTAACGAACATTTCTTACACGATGGGGTCAACTAGCGCGTTTTTTTTTGTATTGTCCCACAGAGGGGTAACTTGAACTAATCCTCTTTAGAATAGAGTACAACATGGATAATACGCGCCGATTAGGTTGCCACCAATTTCAGTTTTATCGTAAGGCTCTCTACTTGTGCCTGGGGTCTGGTACTGTCACTCTCACTTTTTCATACAAAACCGATATTTATTAATAAAAACCGATACATCTCCTTTTAGAGTCCCGGTCGCTCGCTTAGTTGTAGTCCGTACTGCTTACAAAGTCTCCCTACGATCCCCTTCAGTGGTTGTGGTAGGTAGGTATCGTCGGATAATATCAATGCTTTATTTTGACCTCCTTCAGTACCTCAGCTGTTACCTCTACCTTGGGTCCTACGCAATGCTGTCCCTCGTCGGAAGTGTTGTTCCTGGGTTTCAGTCTTGACCTGTCATGCCAGCAGTTCAGTTCAGGGCAGATCAACAGTGTGGAAATATATTGCAGCTATGGCCATTGGGTTCTTTGTTAACGGGCTTAATTACCATATTTCATAATAAACATCAACCAGAGGTTCTTAGTCCCCAGAGTAAATAATTCTGGAAATATCAAGACACATACAGATAAAGAAAAAACGGGTCCTGCAGAGTAACGTAGTGCAGTTGTACTCTGGTGAATAATCTAATTTTCTTTTTTTTTTCTGTGGGCAAAGCAAACCCCTCAATATATCACGTGATACTATCGGAGTTCTTCCCACGAACGAATTACTACTTCTCCACAAGCTTTTCTTTTTTCTTCTCATTCCTCTTCAACATTCCATACCTTCTGTCATTGTTTTTCACTCACCCCAACAATAAATCACTACCCTTCCTCGCTTTTTTTCAACCCACAGAGATATTTATACCCATAACCCATAACCCACAACCCATAAATACCTCACTATGACAAGCCAATCAACTGTCAGCGCAAAGGATGCTCGCATCCTCGATATGGTCTTCAATCCCGAGGGCACCATGTTGCCGGATAAAGAGACCGAGGCTATGCTTAACAACGCACCAATAGGTGAGTTTATCTAATATATGTTCAGGGTTGAGCTGTAGGCTCAAAATTGATTCTTTCATTGCTTGTTTACTTCACTTTTTTTTAACCCTTTCTTTTTCCTTTCCATTAGCAATTGAACCTGAATTACTGAAACGACTCAAGGATATGGAAGCCGAGGCTGTACTTCTTGCTGAAAAAGATGATATCAACGGTGCGATTGCAAAATTTACAGAGGTCATTGAACTTTGCCCAACATACGCCTCTGGATACAACAATAGGTAAGATTGAGGTCTCATCATTTAATTTTATTTATTTTATTTTATTTTATTTTATTTTTTATTTTTATTTTTATTTTTATTTTTTGTTATTTATTCTATAATGAAATCTGTTGCTTACCTCTTTTTATAAATATGACGTTTGCATTTTATAGAGCACAAGCATACAGGATTCAGGAAAATACTACAGCGGCTTTGCAGGATCTGAATAAGGCGATTGAGCATGGCAACGGTCAACCAGCGATTCTCAAACAAGCCTATACTCAGCGTGGTATCATTAAGAAGTTGAGTGGTGATAAGGATGGTGCCCAAGTTGATTTTGAGCGAGGCGCGCGTTTTGGCAACCCAGTGGCGAAGGCAGTGGCTGTTCAGGATAACCCCATTTCACAACTCTGTGGTGCTATGGTCATGGAGATGCTGAACAAAGAAATCAATGGATCCAAGGAGAACAACGAATCTAAATAAGCACTATTTTTATAATTTAATAATAAAAGAGTTTTTTTATTGTAAATGTAGATTATCGATTGTCAACAGTTAGGAAGTATGCTTTTATTAACTACCAAAGGGAATTGATACACCAAGACTGGACTTTAGTTCTGGTACTTCCTGAATCTTCTGGTCATCAAATCTGAATAATTGGCAAACACGGGTTCTTACGCCTGGCTTTCGTCAAGATTCGAACCTGTAAAAGACAGAAAGCCACTAAACCGCAAAAAGGCATCACGATTTAATCGGGTCAACTTGCGTATCCGTTCATACACAATGCGTCCCTTCTCCTTGCCTTCTGTAGTCTCTTGATCAACATCAACCACAAGATTGACATGCAAGTTAGTCAGCTCAGTGCAAACCCATTCTGCACCACCTACAATTTCTGTCACCGTGACTTCAGTTCCATGCAGTGCCTTTAAGCGTGGACAATTGGATAAGATTGTTTGAACAATACCATCGGACTTGATGCCTTCTCTACTGAACTCCAGTCTCTCAACTGTATCGCAGAGCCTTTGTTCCCTTCTTTTTCGCTCAATGTGTCCGTTCTTCTGAATCTCCTGCTCGTCTGCTAGCAGTTCTCGAATAGAAAGTGGACCAAACTCACAAAACTGGGCAACTAACCGCCTCAGTTCAGTCATCTGTCTGAGAAGTGCCGCCATATCTTTGTCCTTTATCCTTCCGAAATGCATCGACAGATCTGATAGGTCTGTCAGAGTGAAGGGGTGGTCAAGGAATACTGTTCTGTAGAACTCAGTATGGATTTGTTGCGATGATTCAGTGGACCCAATGATATCATAAAAACTCAATGAACGTAACCTTGGACACCTCTTAGTCAACATGCCGAGGCAATACGATCCTGTGTGCGGATGTGGGGGGGAAAGAATTTGGACATCCTGAAGACCAAGTGTGTTCATATTTGGGAAAATACTCATGTCCGTGTCGTTGTTCATGAAATCGAAAGGTAGTTGATCGATGTTTACTCTAACCAAGTCTAGACACCTGAGTCCCTTGCAGACTTGAAAGAACAGACTGACTTCATCTTCGGGTATATATGCTCCATGGATAGTCAAGGCTTGTAGATGAGTGCATTCTAGGAATGTTCCCCATATCTCCCGTAAATCCTCAACGTAGTAGAGCGTAAGCTCAGTGATTGTGCAACTGTGAGACTTGATTAAGTTGGAAACATGACAGGGATTGTATGATATTCCGGCTATACATTCGATGGATCGAAGACGACTACAGCCTTGCAATGCTGTGTACTCCTGTGGAAACGTATGAAGAAACACAAGCGCTTCAATGTATTTCTTGTAGTTCTGCAGTGCCTCAACAGTAGGATTTCTTGAATCGCATTTAATAATGATCTGTTTCCAGATGGATTTGACAAGTGTATTATGAAAAACCTTGGAGACACGAATACAAGACAAGAGGTCTTTTTGTTCTAGGAAATCACTGATAAGCGAAACAATATCTGGAATTTCCAAAGGATTCAAATTGAGATTGCTCATCGTGCGAAGAGAAATGATGGAGTGAAGTAAAACGTGAGATGAAAGCGTGAAAGTTTTTTTTTTTTTTTTTTTTTTTTCCCTAGCTAATAAGGTTTTTCTGATCTGACGTGTGTAACATGTACATGTACTCATAAAAACAGATGCATCGCTGGACTTCTGAGTATGTACAAGCAACAATCCGAAATCCAATAAATTCAGCAGCATCCGATTAATCAAGTAGCGCCTGAGGGTTTCCAGCAACGACAGAAGAGGTCCACTAAGAGAGGGCGCGGGGTGACCTGTTGAGCTGCTTGCATCTTAATCTAAACTTCACGTGTGATAACGGCATTGTTGGTCAACTCATGGCGCAGACTAACAGACACCAGTCCTGCCTTTAGGTTGGGACGTCATGCATTCGGCACAAGTGCCACAGTCTTCTTAAAATAAGGGTTTAGTCCATGTCAGACTGATATTACACACTTTCCGGTTTGACTGTGAGTTTCCAAGGCATACACCTTTTACTCTATTTATTTCTTCAAAAAAGCCACACCTTTGATGTGGCGAAACGGACGGCGCAGATATGGGCGCACGGACCAGGCTTGGTGGATGCTTGAACTACACATTTTTTTTATAATACAATTGTTGTCCTAGCACTCAGCTAAACATTCTGCCATGACTTCCTGGGGCTGAGTGAATGATAACGCGAAAAATAAATTTGATCCTTGACGAAAAGCTGGTGTGATGGTTTCCAATCCCAACTTTTTTTTTTTTGTCTTCATCAATATTATTGTTGTTATTAGACAATTTGAAAATAAATGTTCTGTAAAATATATATAATATCAAAACCAAAAATATCATGATTTTTGATATCTTTGCATATTTGACTCAGGGTAAAAGTTTGTTCTACAATACATGTATTAGAGCAGGAGCTTTCATATTGGCGGGTCGGGGCTGATAGAAAGCAAGGGTTTGATTTGTCCGATTTGCACTTCCAGAACTGAGTAAATGACTAGGCGTAGTTATTGAGGTTTCTGTCTAAGTTGGATGGATCTTGGTGATGAATATGATGAGTGAGCTAATTCAACATATTATCGCCTCATAACCAAATGGGGAAAGAGACTTTTTTTTTTTTTTTTTTTTTTTTTTTTTCCAATGAATAACTCGCTTTAGTGATAAGGATGTTGTGTTTACAACTCAAACAAAGAGAAAAACAAAACGTAGCCTTCATAACATTAGTAGCTGCAAGGAATGCAAATGATATGAGTGGCTTCTTGGCGCCTTGCTTAATTTGTTTTTTTTTTTACTTCATAATGTAAGCAAACTCTTATTCAAGTTATGGCTGTGGAAATGGGTTAATGGTTATTTATCCTTGGAGGATTCCAGCTGTGATGGGGAGGAGATATTGAGGTTTTGACCTTTTTGAACTTGATCGCCCACCTCTAAAGGACACGGATTCTGCACCATCCACATATTTCGGAGCCAGGTGGTGCGATATTCCTTGAACAAATATATTTATTTACTTACTAATGACGGTATAACCGACGGAATGCTCTTTATGAGACTGGGTATGAAGCTATGGCGGTCATTGGCATGAAAGATAAAATGCTACTCTTGCTAGTTTACTAGATCAGGGAAAAAAAAAAAAAAAAAAAAAAAAAAAAACTAAACGATAGCTATAGGAAGAGCAAGAAGACAAACAAAAGCTATGCCAATTGTGATGTTGGATCCCACGAGATGAGTCCGTATTTGCAAAATAACTTGTTACACCGGAGGTTCTCAACTTGGTAAGGGCTTACAGTTCTACAATCACCAAACTTACTTTTGACGGTGCAAGTTTTTGAATATGTATAACATTTGCTACCAACAAAGTAAATATTCATTAGAAGGCACATATTTAAGAGCCATGTACTCCAAATCAAAGTGGAAAGTGAACGTATTTTTATTTCTTTTCTTTAGCCCCAATCATAAATCATAATTGAACCCTGCTGAAATGTTATGTGCTACAAATAAGCTAGCCATTGCATTGCTCTTGTAGTTTACAACACCATCCAAACGTTTGATCTTCGGCCAATTGTTTATAATCCATGTCACATCCTCTGATTGCATCTGCTGACACATATCACGGTTGAACGATAACAAGTGTAGGCGCTTCAGGTTGGCCAGTTCATCCAGACCTGCTCTCAACCTCAAGTCCAGCGTCCGGTATTGCGCTACTGAGTTGTAATTCGTCAAATAAAGGACACGTAGTTTAGTCATCTTAGCTAGTTGCTTAAATACAATGCGCTGCTTCTGCATTCCTTCTGCAGTCTCCTTGTCAACGTCAGCTTCAAGCCGGATGACTAAGTAGGTGAGATCAGTGCTAACCCATTCTTCACCATCAACAATTTCTGTCACTTTCACTTTGGGCCCCGCCAATTCCTTCAGACGTGGACAATTGGATAAGATCGCTTGACCAACACCGGCAGGCGTTTCACCTTGCCTTTGGAATATCAGTATTTCAACTGTGTCGCAGAGCCTCCGATCCCTTCTCTTCCGTACTATGTGTCCACCATCCAGAACCTCCTGCTCGTCTGCTAGTAATTCTTGCATAGAGAGTGGACCGAATTCACAATCTGGGATATCTAGCCGTCTTAGTTCAGTCATCTTTCTGAGAAGTGCTGCCATGTCCTCGTCTTTTATTCCGAAGGATCCCATATACAGGTCTGATAGACTTGTCAGTGTGAAGGGATGATCAACGAATACCGCCTTATAGAAAGCACAGGCGCCTGTTCTATATAAAATACCGCCACGTGCGTATTCATCGAACTTTAATGAGCGTAGCTTTGGACATCTCTTAGCCAATATGCCGAGACAATAAGATGATGAATAAAAGGTTGGAGGCGTGGATATCCGGACATCGCGAAGATGTAATGTGGTCATATTTGGGAAAATGAATTCATCTGTGCCGTCGTTCAAGAAGTTGGGGGGTAGTCGATTGATATCTACATAAGACATTTCCAAGCACCTAACTCTCTTGCAGACTTGAAAGAATAGATCGACCCCGTCATTACACATCTGGGTACTAGAAATGGTTAACACTTCTAGATGCGTGCATCCCAGTAATGCTGTCCATATCTCTCGCAAAGTTGGATTATCCTGTGTACTGAGCTCAAATTTGGTGATTGTGGAACTGTGGGACATAATCAAGCTAGAAAGCTCACTCAGATTAAACAAACTCTGGCTTTGACATTTGATGGATTGGAGGCGAACACAGCCTTGCAACGACATGTACTCCTTTGGAAACTTGTAATAGAATAGAAGCTCCTCAATATTTTCCTTGTAGCTCTGCAGTGCTGCACCAGTAGGATACTTTCTATATCTTGAATAGGCATCTCCAATCTCAATCCTTTTGCAAATGGATTTAGAGCCAGCAAGTGTATTGTGGAAAGTCCTGGAGACAAGAATACAGCGTAAGAGATCACCTTGTTCTAGGAAGTCGCCAACACGCGAAATAATTTCTGGAATGTCCATAGGATTCAAATTGGAATTGCTCATCATGTAAAAGAGAGAGAGAGGAAGATGATGGAATGAGAGATGATAGAGCGAAATGAAGTGTGAACAGGAACATGTTTTTTATTTATTTATTTTTTATCTTTTAAGCACTGCAGGTTTGCATATCTGGCAGGTTCGCCACCTTTTTCTACTAAATTAAAATTTGTAATAGGTCTTAATAAAAAAGGTTCCTGCCTGGCGGTAATAAAAGCAGCTCTCTGATCTCTCCATACGATCGAGCTTTTAATAATGGCCTTTGGCGCAGCCTTACATAGTACCGATCAAATGGATGCACACAAGCACACTGCAAGTTGATTCTGGACAGATTTGTCATTTGATCTCCTTGGTGCTGGGTGACTTTACACTAGTAATCTTTAGTCTTGCTATTACGAAGATTAAATGACTTCCTAATCAGATGCTAAGGAAGAGGAGGGAGACCAACTTGACAACCTCAGTTGGTGTCGTATCTGACACCTCCTCTATCTGTTGTTGATTCTCAAGTCTTAATGCTGGTCATTACAAGATCTCTAGGCTAGTTTTTCATTTGCAAAAACTAGCAGAGCAGTCAGAAGGACCAAACCAAGTCAACTTGCCTATCCTATCATATACAATGCGTCCATTCTCTTTGCCTTCTTCGGCTTCTGAACTAATATGACTTTTTTTAATTTGTATACTTCAAAGGATGCGTTGATTTACGTCCAGATCTTCAAATTTTCAGCAAGGATTAGTAGAATAACGTTTGGCTTGACAGCTTATGAGTTAGACGATATGTCTTTTTAGATGAAAAGCCATCCCTGCGATAAGGCGAATATCTTGCATAGTTATTAAAAACGTGTTGTGTCTGCTCAAGAGTAAAATACGGATTCCTGATAACTTCTGATAGTCTCCTCGGTATTGAAAGGAGGTACATGCTGACCAGTCGTGTTCAGACGCAGAAGCTGAACGTTCCACATATAATGACACTGCCAACAGCATTGGGGTTGTTGTTCTGTCAGGTTGTCCGAAAATTAGAAAATAAAGAGAGAAAAGGAGAGAAAATGAAAAGTGATAAAGGTGTAGGGAAACTGATAAAATGAAAAAGTAAATGTGGACTACGCTAAGTAAATCTATTTCTTTTATGCCAGCACATCCATAAATTTTATTAATACCAATGTTCTGTTCATTTCGGGCATTCCATATCCTTCTTTCCCTGGAAGCAACAATGACCACTCCATCTTCAACCTGTGGATGCCGAGAGAGTCTCCCTGGATGCAACAAAGATCACCATTGGTGATAAGCATATCGCCAGGTCGTTGCCAAAGTTATAGGGGCCAAGCAACATCTTTGCTTCGTGACAATTCAGGCAACTTAAAGCGAAGGTACAAAAGCTTTTATATTCTGGTATTTGCCCCAGTGGGGCTCCTCCCGCGCTGTTCTCCATTCAAAATTTGATCTATTAAATCTTACATGTATGTAGTTTATTGTATTTTATTGTGGATAAATAACACTATTGCTGGGCTGGTAACATGCGAAAAGGTATCGTTCGATTGACATTAACTGAAATATTGTCTAGACGCCATATTTTTCACGGTAGGCACGCATCTGAACCAAGTGATCCGCATAGGTACCTTGCTCCTCCATGTATTCCATGATATGGGACATGGTAACAATGGCCTTGACAGGAGCTCCAAAGTCTCTTTGAACCTCTTGGATTGCTGATAAGGTACCATCCTTACCCGTCTCTTGACGATCCACAGCCACAAGTACTCCAGCAAGCTCAGCCTGGGCGCTCTTAATGATATCGACTGACTCGCGAACAGCAGTCCCCGCAGTGATGACATCATCAATGACCAGAACCTTTCCCTTCAATGGGGATCCTACAATGGTACCACCTTCGCCATGATCCTTTTTCTCTTTACGATTGAAGCAATAAGGTGTATCCTTGTTGTATGGACTATCGGCTAATGCGACTACAGTGGCACAAGCAAGAGGGATCCCCTTATAAGCAGGACCAAAGATGACGTCGTACTCGATACCAGAGTCATTCACAGCCGCGGCATAAAATTTTCCGATCTTGGAAAGGGAAGCGCCAGTGTTAAAGAGACCAGCGTTGAGGAAATATGGGGAGATACGGCCAGACTTGAGGGTGAACTCGCCAAATCTTAGGACTTGGTTTTTGATGGCAAACTCAATGAAATCGCGCTGGTACTGTTTAATGGTCATGGCTGGTAAAGAATGGATGGGAGGTTGCTTATGGAGGTTTAAGGTGGTGTGGCCAAGAACGATGTAGCAAGGGTTGGAGTGACATTAGAAAAGGAAAAAGAGGAGAGGAGAAGAGAAGAGAAGAGAGATAGAAGCGGCAATTAAAGAAATAAAAATAAACATGGGTGCGCCAGTCACGCAACAAAACAAAAAGCGGGGGTTTTAATTTTTTATTTCTCTAAGCTCTTACAACTCCATTCCGGTATCCTGTTCCGTACTATTTTTCTTATCAGCTATAAACCCAACATCGTTCAACTCAGAGTTAACTTGTTTGGCGAATGAAGGTAAAGGAGGAACAGGTTCAGATAGTGGACTGGGGCTAGCTAATGCCTTCAACTCCTCTTCTGCCAGCTCATGCCCTATCTGCAGAGCTTCCTTCATCTTGTAATGCTCTGCTCTCATCTTTGTAAACTTTTCGTGATCAACTATATCCATTAAAAAAAAAAAAAAAAAAAAAAAAAAAGTGTTACTAGCCGCATCCAATCCTGAGTTTTATCGGTAGATGCTATCCAGAAAGCAAAGCCATTGCATGATCCACAGTTCGGGAGGGGAACTTACTTTTCTTGGAAGGAACATCGTCCTCTTCATCGTCAGAGTCCCTCCACTCCTCTGGCTCATCTCCATCCTGATCATCTGTATTTTCATCGCCGTCCACGGCTTTAAACTTGGGTGAAGCAGGTGTAGGTGCTAATGAAACATGCTTCTTTTTACCATCATCAAGAGAGAATGACTCTAATGCAAGGAAGAATTGAAAGAAATGAGGGTTAGATTGGAGATTCTGCAACCTTTTTTTATGTTAAAAGAAAAGAAAAAAAAAGAAAAAAAAAACACGAGGTTGACTGCGATGATTAATTGTCATAAGCTCGGCTCGAGATGCTGTTCATTGGTTATTTTAGGATAGATGACTACCAAAGCTTCCTTGCTTATGCCTTACCATCCATATCCATGGCTTTGTCTAGTTCATGGTTATAATGGACATATGGTGTCTTGGGCTCGTTAATCTTCATCGTAGAGTCCTTTTGTGCTTCTGTAAGCGTCAAGTTCTCCTCATCCCATTTGATTCTATAAATATATATATTTTTTTATCAAACAACAAATAAGAGTGTTAAAGCACGGCAACACGAGGTAGTATAATGCCAATAGGTACGACAGGTTAGGTCCCTTAAGCAATCAGCCAACTGCCGATTGTTTTTCCTGTACAATATCAACAGAGAGCCGTTACACTTTACACTTTACCTTGGAGCACGTTCGTCGTGCTGGTGCTGTGAGGCCGGTCGTTTAAGAATCCCCTTGACTGGCTGTGTCATTAATGTGGGACTATGTCGTACTGGTGAGGCTTCCCTGCTCATGACTATGCTGTTAAATGGGTGGAAGAAATGGAAGAAATGGAAGAAATGATGGAAAAAGATGAATAGAAAAATAGGAAATGTGAACATGCTCCCTTACCAAAAAGCGCGTAGACTATGAAACTTTATTATGCGTGGATGCTCATACACCGTGAGCAGTCACATGCCCAAACATTTTGCACACTGCTATGAGCCTATGAGTACGATTTGATAGCCAAATGGGGGCTAAAAAAGAATTACTTTATTAGTCTTGGTATATTAATGGTAGCTAATGCCTAGTAAATTTCCTAATATTAATAATAATGACCCTTGTCTTGAGGACCTACATAAACAGTATGAGAGAACCACAGGAATTGTCGATGGAGCAGAATGGGTAAGCACAGGGCTGACTAAAATGAAGGCCCATATTGTGGTTGATGTTGACTAAGAGAGCGCAGAAGGCAGAAACTGACGATCAAATCCTTTGGAGTAAAGTTACCAATTATCTTTTTCAGGCCCGACTCGAGACAAAGGTCGGCCTTAGAAAGTGTGTGAAATTTTACACATGGCACAACAGTCTTAATTGAAGTTACCAATAAAAAAAAATTATTGGTTAGACACGACATACAAAGATTTGACATAATCTTGCTCTAGCAACTCTCTCATGCAAGATGAACAACCTCAATTCGAATCCCTTGGACATTCCAGAAATCGTTTCGCTCGTTGGTCGCTTCCTAGATTATGATGATTGCTTACGCTGTATCCGTGTCTCCAAAACTTTCCACAATACACTTGCCAAAGCCATATGGCGAGACATCTGTGTTGACGCCGATTCAACGTATCCCTCTGGCGAAGCACTGTATAACTACAAGAAATACATCGAGGACCTTACGTTTTTTTATTATTTCCCAGAGGATTATTTGTCATTACAAGGTTGTGATCGCCTCCAATCCATCAGATGTGAAGTCCAGCGTAAATCCGATCTCCGTCAGATTTCCGACTTGATCGACTCTCACAGTTCTACGATCACCTACCTTACTTTCACCTGTCCAAGTTTAGGAGATATATGGGAGCCATTACTGAAATGCACTCGCCTTGAAGTCCTAAGCGTCTCTAAGACACGCATATTTGAAAACGAAATAGATCAATTCTTCCAGGTCTTCAAGCAAATTAAATATTTGAACATGACCGACGCAAGCATCAGTCAGCTACCTTCCGACTTCTTGGGAGACGAGGCTGACAAATACATTTTCCCAAATATGAGCACATTATATCTTCATAATGTCCGAATACACAACCCTCCACGTCCATACACATCATCTTATTGTCTCGGGATATTGACTAGGAGGTGTCCAAAATTACAGTCATTGTACCTCTATGATTACAAAAAAGGCTCCTTAACTATGGACCAATTACATCTTGATTTCTGCAGGACAGCATTCCTTCATCATACCTACACAGTGGCAAACTTATCAGACCTATCTCTCGCATCCATGAAAATAAAAGACGAGGATATGGCGGCAATACTCAGACGGATGACTCAATTGAGACGACTAAAAGTCCCGTGGGGTAAGTTTGGTCAACTCTCGATGCGAGAATTGCTAGCAGACGAACACGAGGCCCTGGAGGACGGGAACATAGTACAGAAAAGAAGGGGCCGGAGACTCTGCGATATGGTTGAGGAACTGGAATGGAGTGAACAAAGCGAAAGAACTGATGGCGTTATTCAGGCGATCCTCTCGAATTGTCCACGTCTGAAGAAGCTGAAAGGATCTACAATGACAGTGACAGAAGTTGCCAATGGAGCAGAATGGGTTAGTACTGGCTTGACTGAAATGCAGGTCAATCTTGTAGTAGATGTTGATCAGACGACCGAAGAAGGCAAGGAAAAGGGACGCATTGTGTATGATCGGATACATAGTTTGGCTCGATTGTATGGCTGCTACTGCTCACGGTATAATCGACTTCTATCCTTTGCAGGCATGACTCCAGAGAACAGTCAGTCTTAAGAATCTGTATTTGTTAGTATTCAGATTTGAGAATTAGCATAAAATAGAGAGAAGAAGAGTACAAGCACTAAAATAAGGGGGATTTAAGGAACTGGGACGAGTCTTTTACTCTTGATTCATTGGTGATGGTTAATGACCCACCACTTGATAAAAATTCAGACTCCTAATTGTGAACAATGACAATTGTCTTTATGAATTATGTAAAAGACATGAGCTGCATTTGGAGCTCAAAGGCCAAGTTCCACTACTTTGTCCTAAGCGCCTTTTTTTTTATGAGAGAGAGAGCCTGTTTTGCACCACATAAAGAGTCTGTCGTATGAAAATCCCTGTCATGATACCACTTGATTAGTAGCTCCTCTTCAACCACTGTTTAAAATGCCCTTCCCAGTTATTCATTATCCATTCTGATATGGCTTGGTAGATAGTGCAAAGTTAACAGAAGGAGGGATTGCAGTATATGATATGTGACTGAAGATGTCAGACTGCTCCATCTAATATGAAATCGTCAAATTCCCATAATGGCGAGGTTGGCGAATATTAATATTGTGACAATCGCTATTTGTTGATGTCATCCCCATGAACGAAAACACCTTGACTCATTCTTTCGAGTCGAGAGATTAGATTCACCTTCCACTGGCCTTTTCTTTGCAAGTCCTGCTACCATAGTCAGATTTACAAGAACATCAGAGCCGCCTATGCTATACTCACTTGCACGAGCTTCTTTAGAGAGAGCTTCTTTTAAAAGTGATAGAATGACCAAAATCAATATGCTTGCTTCATTACACTTTACAATAGCCAGGATCTCTATCGAAAGCACGCCAGGAACTTCAGCTTGCTTTCTTTTCCAAGCTGAATAAGTATCAGAGCGAATAATTAGAAAGAACGTCGAGTTAATCAAGGCGCGAAGCAAATGGTGAGACTATGTATATGACCGTTTAGAAGTAGAAAATAAGTTTCATCAAATGAGGACTTCAGCAATCAATCCATCAAGAGCTATATTCACACCTTGGTGCTGCAGCTTGACAATGGTGTGATGTGATCATCTGCTACAATTGGAAAGCGGGCACTGAGTTTTTCAAGTCTTCTAGCAAGCAATAAAGCAGCCTCCTGGGTAGTTTTTCCAGCTCCTCCTTCTTTAAGCTACCAGCGGCGAGCTTGAGCATGAGCTTCTTGGGCCTGGTATTTGAGCCCACGGTAATATGGGATAGATGGCTTGCTTGAGCATCCAGATCGAGTCATTGGATAATTTTTTTGCTGGAAACAGTGTACTTCTCGACCAACAATCAATAGACTCAATTTTGATGGGCCCGATCAGCTCACTCTTCTGAGACTAACTGCTTCCATTTGTTTATGCTTTTGAGGCTGTCGCCTGCTTGACTGGACTTGCTGCTTGTTTGACTTGTCTATTCTGGAAATATGGTTTAGAAGTTTCCTCAGGGGTTTTCTTTGCAGCTTCGCCTTTGTCATTGGAATTGTTACTGAATATGTGTAAATATGTTGATTGGAGAATAAAAATGATGGCTGAACAGGCAAAATCCCTAATTTTTTTTTTTTTTTTTTAAAACAGGCAGTTAAGTGTAAGGCCAACGAAGCAAAAGGAAGGGGATAACGAGAACATGGAATGTCTAAAAAGTGAAAAAAAAAGGGCGATGAAGCTTCGGAATAAATGAAAAAGGGAAAGAGGTATGTAAAGTTGAATTGCAAAGGCAAATCGCGCATATACAGGAAAAGTAATTAGGAGCGAGAGCGCAAAAGATAATGATCATAAGGAAAGGAGCGGCGCGTTGATCGATCTGTACCTCTTACTATTTCTTACTGATATAGCCATTCATGTTCATCCACCCTTCATTCCGACTGTTCCGCGTCATTGTTACTTTGCCACTAATCGCTTCTCACTTGAACCTTGGTTATATTAATAAACTTTATTAGCCAACGCTTGTGGTATCTCAATTGATTGGTGCAAGTAACTACACTTGAGTCATAGGGTTTTCAAGCAACACTTTTCCAGGACATGGTGATTAATACTATAATGCCTATAGTTACCATATTACTCTGCACTTTCAGAAGAGCTGTGCGATCAGCACTTTGAAAGTGAGCCCTACGCAGAAGATTGAGCTTGGTTTTAGAAAGGTTGCAGCGGAGCTCCTATCCTAAGTAGGAAATAGACACGTTACACTATGATGGTGAAGGCGCAGCAATAGCACTAAATATCGCAAGGCGATAAAGCACTTGAAAAAAAAAAAAAAAAAAAAAAAAAAAAAAAGGCGAAAGTATGACCTTCTGAAGTGCACGTACTTCTTTTTGTTTTTTAATATTTCCTCTTCTAACTATTACTTTTACAACTAGCATTAAGTATATCGAGTTTTCACACAAGCAGGTCAGCATGTTCGACAATGGTACTCGCAGCAACCTCTCATAAAAGGTGGAAAGTAAAAATGGTTATGAGTGATTCAGACGACGGCACACAGGCTCTCAGCAGAACTAAAAGCAGTCTATCCGCTCGACAGAGTTTAGGGAGTACGCTCAACAGTACGAGCGGGTTACTGAACCCCTGGACAAGTTTTACACCTATAGAAGCATGCATTTTAGAAGAAAATGAAAGATCATCAACTAACAAAAACAAGTGCTATGGATGGCTCCTTTGGATCTGCTCATTTTTTTTTTTCTCCACATTAAAGCCTCTGCTGTCATATATCTACATATCTTCTTATCCATTGTTCAACCTGTGTTTATCATTACACCTCTGCTTGCTCCAGATTGCTCCTTCAATTATATATTTCAAACATCGCTTAATCGACGCGATGTTCTATTTAAGAAAGCAAGAACAAGCTTCTGGGATCGTTGATGTGGGTGACAAAAAATAAAATGAGAGTAAGAAGTAAGAACTGACAGATATGTAAAATACGATGTCGAGACAGTCTACATTTGCAAACAGCTTACTATACCCATGTTGATCTCTTCCAATTAAGAAAAAAAAAAAAACCATAGGATAAAGTAGGATAGTGAATTGAATAAACGAACGACAAGCCTACTATCTCTTGAAAGCGTTCACCTGTTGCGAGGAGGAAAATCAAAATACGCATAAAAACGAGATCTCAGCTTACAGGCTGTCAGCAGGGTCAGGGCGTTCTCCCACACACAGTCCATGCCAAGTTACATCAACTCATCATTCTCTCTTTGTCTCTCTCTTTTTTTGCATGATGGGCAATCCCAAAGTGAATCCCCTGGACATTTCAGAAATTGTTTTACATGTTGGCGACTTTCTAGAGCGAGATGCTCTCTTACGCTGTATTCGTATCTCTAGAACTTTTCACGATACACTTGTCAAGTCCATCTGGAAAAAAATCACTATTGAAGCTCACGCAAGGTATCCAACTGGTGAGGCGCTACAGAACTACAAGAAATACATTGAGGAGCTTAAGTTTAACGAAAGCTTTTCTGAAGAGTACCTATCATTGCAAGGTTGTAGTCGTCTCCGATCCATCGAATGTTCAGGTGTCTGGAGCTCACCCAGTCCGGATCAGGTTTTCGACTTGATCAAGCCCCACAGCTCCACAATCACCAAGCTTAGTTTCAAATTTTCAAATCTGCGAAACAAGTGGGGAACTCTTTTGGGATGCACTCGCTTAGAAGCCTTGGACATCTATCATACACATATACTCGAAGATGAATTCGCTCAATTCTTTCAAATCTGTCACAAGGTTAGATGGCTGCACTTATCTGGCATAAAGATCAATCAGTTTCCTCTCAACTTCTTGGACGACGACAAGGAGGAATATATTTTTCTAAATATGACCACATTACGTCTATATAATGTTGAAATTTCCAATCCTCCACATCCGCATACATCATCTTACTGTCTGGGGATATTGACTAAGAGATGTCCAGGACTACGATCGCTGGAATTCTTTTATTACAGAGAGGATACCCAAACAACACAACAAATGGATATTACTTTCTATAGGACAGCGCTCCTTCATCATCCATATACTCTGACAAATCTATCGGATGTATACTTTCCACTGATGAAAATAACAGACGAGGAGATGGCAACACTTCTCAAAAAAATGACTAGTCTTAGACGACTAGAAGTCCCGGATTGTGATTTCGGTCCACTCTCTATTCGAGAATTATTAGCAGATGAGCAGGAGGTTTTGGATGGTGGAAGGATAGTACGACAAAGAAGAGATCAAAGGCTTTGTGATACAGTTGAGATAGTGAAAGTCAATCAGCAAAGCAAAAGGACCGATGGAGTCGCTCAAGTATTCCTATCCAATTGTCCACGTCTGAAGAGGCTATATGGACCTAAAATTACAGTAACAGAAGTTGTCGGTAGTGCAGAATGGGTTAGCACTGGACTGACTAAGATGATGGTTCGTCTTGTGGTTGATGTTGATCCAGTGACCAAAGAAGGCAAGGAGAAGGGACGCATTGTGTATGACCGGATATGCAATTTGGCTCGATTAGATCTATCTGATTTGACGTATTTCAGTGGTCTTCTATCCTTTGCAAGAATAAATGTAGCCTAAAGAACATGTGGTGGTTAACACAAAGACCTGAGAATCTACAGCGGATAGTGGGGGGTAGAGTATAAAAACTTAAAGAATCGAGGAATCGAGAGATTGAGACTAGAATTACTGATCATGTTGATACATTGCTAATGGTTAGTGCAGTACCTGCCACTTAATAAATACACGATTGATAATAACTGCTGTCTCTATGATCAATGTAAAAGGCTTGAACTGCATTTGCGGTTCAAAGGCCGAGTCTCTGATTTTTCCAAGGTCTTTTTATCGAGCTTGAGGTATACCGCATAAAAAAGACGTTGTGCTCTAATATCCCCGCCATGATAGTATTCGATGGGCAGCTTCTCCTAAGTTGCTGTTTTAAAAGCGCTTCGAGCCGCACTTTACTAACACTAATATGACTTCGTAGTTTAGTGCAGATTACATAGAAGGAGGGGATGCCAGATACGATAGGCAATTGAGGTTACCTAGTTGATCTCTTCCTCTTCCTTACATCTGATAGGAAAAGCCGTAAAGCCGCCCAGTACCAAGGAGATCAAATGATAATTTTGTCCAGAATCAACTTGCAGTGTGCTTGTGTGCATCCATTTGATCATGAGGGGCTCGGTACTTAGTCCAGATACACTACTATGTAAGGCTGTACCAAAGGCCATTATTAAAAGCTCGATCGTATGGAGACTGATAGTCAAGGAGATCAGAGAGCTGCTTTTATTACCGCCAGGCAGGAACCTTTTTATTAAGACCTATTACAAATTTTAATTTAGTGGCAAAAGGTGGATGAATTTTTCATCATAAAAGGGGTCACACCTGAATTCTGTAAAAACATGCTATCTACGTAAAAATTGGCACTTATTACAATAAATTCAGGCGATAATGAACTTTTTTTGGTTCTTTCACACAGTCAACAACCAAGTAATGGCACAAAATTAACACCTCTTCCCCTCTCCCTCTCATTCTGAGATAAGTGCTACCAGAGCAGGCCGCATCCTCTTGATAAAAGGAAAAATTAGGATGTAGGACTATCATCATTAGTGTTATAGTCAAAAAAAAAAAAAAAAAAAAAAAAGTACTCTTTATGGTTGTGGCTGCGTTGAAAAATCTAGGAGATTTTTTTCTTTAAGTGCAAACGTAAACAAACGCGACTACAAAAATGATGGATTTTTGGGTGTAAATAAACACTTGCTCAAAGTGTATAGTGTAGAAAATCGACATTAGAGCAAGTTTTCATTTCTATTCATTTCAATTCAATAAATATATCAAACTCTATTTTCACTACCTCATTCATATTTATTCATTCTGACTCACTTTCTCCTTGTCAACAAATCGCGGCATTCATTAAATAACTTCAACTGCCTGTATGCTGCAACCCAGCGTTTCAGCAATAGAGGGTCATTGATTTCGTTCTGAGGATTTTTAAACCGTAGGAAGGTTTCGTGTAATATTTCTTTGTTTACTTCTTAGTGATCGTGTATTGTCGGACTTGAAGGAGAATCGAGCACACTTGATAAATCTGATAACTCTAGTCAGGATGACTAGGGATGTATTCAAGGCCATCTTCATCGTCGTCTCTCATCGCCTTGGTAAGCGATATCATCCTCAGTGTATGGGGTGAATCGATGATTGTGCTTTTCAGATGTCATTATCATTCGAACAGCATCAGGGAAAATGACTTCCTTAATTCGATGCGTTTCTGGGACGTACGCTTTGGCAATAGCGACGACTTTCTGGCACCAGCCTGCTCCTTGGTTGAAATGTAGCCTTTGGTAGCAAGGACTGGTTACCAGAGGTTGTTTGGTTCTTTCCTTGAGGCATATTGATGGATGAGAGTGGGGAGTGAAAAAAAAAAAGAAAAAAAAAAAAGCGGCGACGCAAGTAATATCGAAAAATAGAGTTTGATATATTTAACAGAAATGACAACTTGCTATAATGTCGATTTTCGACAATTTGTCAACGGCGAACTGTACAAACGTGAACAAACGTTACAAAAAATGATGGATTTTTGGGTGTAAATAAGCACTTGCTCTAAGTGTCTCTAATATATAAATAAAAACATGTTCCTGTTCACACTTCATTTCGCTCTATCATCTCTCATTCCATCATCTTCCTCTCTCTCTCTTTTACATGATGAGCAATTCCAATTTGAGTCCTATGGACATTCCAGAAATTATTTTGCGTGTTGGCGACTTCCTAGAACAAGATGATCTCTTACGCTGTATTCTTGTCTCCAGGACTTTCCGCAATACACTTGCTGGCTCTATATCCATTTACAAAAGGATTGAGGTTGGAGAAACCTATTCAAGATATAGAAAGTATCCTACTGGTGCAGCACTGCAGAGCTACAAGGAAAATATTGAGGAGCTTCTATTCTATTACAAGTTTCCAAAGGAGTACATGTCGTTGCAAGGCTGTGTTCGCCTCCAATCCATCGAATGTCGAAGCCAGCTTTCGTTCAATCTGAGTGAGCTTTCTAGCTTGATTATGTCCCACAGTTCCACAATCACCAAATTTGAGCTCACTACACCGGGTGACTCATCTTTACGAGAGATATGGACAGCATTACTGGGATGCACGCATCTAGAAGTGTTAACCATTTCTAGTACTTACGTGTCTAATGACCAGGTCGATCTATTCTTTCGAGTCTGCAAGAGAGTTAGGTGCTTGGAGATGTCTTGTGTAACAATCAATCGACTACCCTCCAACTTCTTGAACGACGGCACAGATGAATTCATTTTCCCAAATATGACCACATTACGTCTTCGCTTTGTCAAGATATCCACGCCTCCAACCTTTTATTCATCATCTTATTGTCTCGGCATATTGGCTAAGAGATGTCCAAAGCTACGCTCATTAAAGTTCGGTGAATACACGGATGACGATATTTCATATCCAACAGGTGGCCGTGATATCTATAAGGCAGTATTCGTTGATCATCCCTTCACATCGACAAGTCTATCAGACCTGTATATGGGGTCCTTCAGAATAAAAGACGAGGACATGGCAGCACTTCTCAGAAAGATGACTGAACTAAGACGGCTAGATATCCCAGATTGTGAATTCGGTCCACTCTCTATGCAAGAATTACTAGCAGACGAGCAGGAGGTTCTGGATGGTGGGCACATAGTACGGAAGAGAAGGGATCGGAGGCTCTGCGACACAATTCAAGTACTGAGATTCAACAAACAAGCCACAATCTTTGCCGGTGTTGGTCAAGCGATCTTATCCAATTGTCCACGTCTGAAGGTATTGGCGGGGCCCAAAGTGAAAGTGACAGAAATTGTTGATGGTGAAGAATGGGTTAGCACTGATCTCACCCATTTGGTCATTCAACTTGAAGCCGATGTTGACCAGGAGAGTACAGAGGGCATGCAGAAGCAGCGTATTGTATTTAGGCAGCTAGGCAAGTTGACTAAACTACATGTCCTTAATTTGACCCATTACTACGAAGGGTATTTCCGGACACTGGACTTGAGGTTAAGAGCAGGTCTGGATGAACTAGTCGGCCTGAAGCATCTACGCTCCTTATTGCTCACTCATGATAGGCATCAGCAGATGCATAGTGAAGATGCGACATGGATTGTAAATAATTGGCCAAGTTTTGGTTGCCTGGTAAGCAGCGTGAATACCGATGGTAGTGTACGCGGATTAGTAATTCACTTACTTCGGTCGCATGGAATTAACGTATGATACTCATAGTAATAAAGTAAAATTTTATTTTATAGTCCGATTTGGAGGCAAGAGTATTGTAGACGTAATGCAAATAAAGGAAAAAACAAAAGATAAATCTACCTTACTCAAATGGTTCATACCTAATTGCAAGAAATGTTAACGGAATGGATTAGCACTAGGTTTACTAGAGTGTGGGCCGACCTTGAGGTTGACGTTGATTAAGAGGCTTCTAAAGGTATGGAGAAGCAACGTAAAGCGTTTAAGCACTTAGGCGAGTTGATTTAACTACGAATCCTTAGCTTGAGAGTGAAAATGTTAATACTTGAGAACATTCGGGCACTGGGGGCTTGAGGTTAAGAACAGGCTTGGATGAATTAGTCAATCTGAAGCACCTATGATTCTTATTGCTCGATCACGATAGTCATCGGCGGATGCAAGCTGAGGATGTGCCATGGATTATAGACAATCAGATTTTTTGGGTGGACTTGTGAATCCCAATGCTGGCACACGCAAATTAGTGACTGATTGACTCAGGTTGCACAATATCACCGTAAATAAACATGGTGATTTTGGGGAGGAACATGCATTTTTTTTTTTTTTTTTTTTTTTTTTTTAATTTTTTTTATTAATTCACTTTATTAAGAAGAGTGTTATGTTTATAATTGTAATAAAAAAAAAAAAATAAAAAAAAAAGTAACAACTAATACCCATTTACAAGAAATGTAAACGATTTGGACGGCTTCTGGGGACTACCTGTTAAGATGATATGCGTAAGTATATCCCAGATGAAAGGAGAAGAATGAATGAATGGCTCAGATAATCTTTACGCGTTCTGAACTCCTAGCGGTCGGAGTCGAACTCTTTGGTCTCTTCGCCCAATACATCCTATTCCCTACAGAATGTGTAACAAAGGATGAGTGGACCACAAATGTAAAAAAGAGATACAGTCTTGTCTGATTAATTGCTTTAAATCTTCGCAAACAAACGGGCTTAGCGGAAGCTGATACGGAATGACAAGGCCCCTGAAATCGCTTAGTTGAACAGGGTCTGTGTTCTTTGATCACGTTTTCCCACGCTCTCACCTTCCCCACGTTTTGTATTTTTTTTTTTTTTTTTTTTTTTTTTTTTGAACTCATCGTTCGATATCCCTATTCCTCTCTTTCGCACATTCTTTCTTCCATCGAACTTAAAAGCTCCGCCTACTATGCATCTTGCAAAGGCCTTAGTTCTCCTCTGCATTGGTACGGAACTTTGTAATCTTGCTATTGTAGCGCGTTTTCTCATGTGAGAGAAAAAAAATAAAAATAAAAATGAAGGTTCTTTTACTAAACTACTTTTGTATTATTATTACTATTATTATTATTTTTAAACATATTTTATATAGCCGCAACAGCCATGGCTGGTTCCTGTGAACAGAATCGGTTCCTTGACTGGCGCAAGGGTTTCCGCTCTGAAAGGGGAAAAGGAAGGATGACCACATCAAGGAAAGCACTTTTGCGGTGCCAGTGTGGTGAAAACAACGATGAAGTTGACCAGCAATGGAATTTGAACGTGTGCAGTAGTGAGTTTGGTAGGAACATGATCTATTGTTTCCGCATCTCCGAGACTCACTGCCCGATTGACGACCAAGACGAGATCAAGTTCGAGAGACTTTGTCTTGAGAGAGGCAACGATTGCTTTGTCAGCACTTGCTACATTGGACATCATTAAAGCCAATAATGCTTCGTAGTAAAAAAAAAAAAAAAAAAAAAAAAAAAGTCCCAAAGTGGGATCTTCAACTTCTTAATAAAAAGAATGTGGTCTGTGGGGAGTTATCCCAGCCACACAGAGAAAAAAAGCTTTCTTTTGACAGAACAATGCACAATCATCATGTCTAAAGCGACCATTGAACGTAGAGTCATCACTATCCTCCTTGACTTTCAAAGGGCACGAAAGGTGTGGAGTGACCTTGTCTCCGATGGATTGTCCCAGGCCAATGCTCTTGTCAACGTTCAATTGCAACAAGGGTAAAACCCTAATCAATGTCATAATTAAACCATTTGTCCTTCTCTTGAATCCAACAATGTCTTTTTTTTTTTTTTTTTTTTTTTTTCTCATTTATAAACACTTGTTCACCTTTATTTAAAGGTATGTTGATGGTCTAGGATATTGGCCTCCTGCGCTGGATCAGTTTTTAGACCTGAAGGAGAGGTTCGAGAGTAAGCTTCAAAAGAGAGCCGAAGCCATGGCACAGGATCTGGAGACAACACTCACAAAAATGGTATTGCATGCCTTATTTATTTATTTAACCCCTAAAGCTTTTAAACATCAACTGACATCCAATATTTGTTAAACTTTTTAGAATGCACAATATGCCAAAATGAAGCTACAGACCAGCCAGTTCGAGTATCTAATGGAGGAAGCAACCGAGATGTTTGGAGAGGCATTCACATATCGGGATCCTATTGGTACAACATGTACACTGGAACAGATATGGATTCAACTGGAACGGGTCTTTGGCCTGTACACAATGCAGATGATCATGAACCAAGATATCTTGGACCAATTGATCGCCTCGAGCCTTCATTCTCAACCCATCTTCATTTCCTCCGCTACAACAGGAACAAAGACAGCGACAATAGCCAAAACAGAAGCAACAGAAGCAAGTTTAAGCAGTGATTCTAGTAGCGAAGAAGCCTCAATAACCGGGAGTAACACAGCAATTGCTCCAAAAACTGGGGGAAATACGGAGAATCCTGGTGATAGTTGTATTGGATCTGAGTTTGGTGGGATGTTAGCTCCCTCCGTACGAAGAGATAAGGATCAAGGGATGGTATTACTCTCTGCATGGCTTAATCAACCTCATCTCAAGACAGATGTGCTGACAACATTTGATGAGTTTTGTCAGGTTGAGCTTCTTAATGAGTGACATAGCTTAGTAATTATAACTTTAATTATAATAGAACATCCATCAGGGCATCCTATGGCTGTCATCTTTCCCTTTTATCAGTAATAGAAGCAAAGGAAACAGCGGAAGAATCAGTGTCATAGTCGTATACGGTCATCTCATTTCTTGGACTCACTTCCTTTAATGCCTTCAGTTTCCTTTGCATGACAAATCAAGTGGGGTCAACATTTCTATACTTTTTTTTTTTTTTTTTTTTTTTTTCAAAGTCGATTACACACCACAGTAATGGCCCGTGGTCCATTAACCCAAATATCAAGAATTCTACACGCCGGGCATTCAAGTCTGTGATGTCGCGAAGCTCTAAATCCTCTGCTACTGATAAACATTGGCGAGGCATTGTGGATAGCCTTTTGAATGGTAGTGGTAGACTAGCTAAAAAATCAATGCTTGAGATGGAATAATATGGGCGGATAAAATGTTCTGTCACAGGGGGGACGAAATGTGATTGACTATAAAAAGTATTCCAACTTGGGTTGATCAACTTGGACAACAGCATACGTGGGATACATATTTATTAAACGATATACATGTAATAAAAAATAAAAAGTAAAAAAAAAAAAAAATGACTCGTCCTTTAATCTCGCTTTAAATGCCCATGAAAGCCTAGTGAATGCAATGCCTGGGCCCAGAGTAGTTTGCCTGTATACGTCTCAAGACATTGCAGCAACAATAATCCGGTGATCCACATCCATGTTAGAAAGAATATCTGCCAACTATATCGTACTCCCATCAACACTAGATACACCATCATCATATCCAACATCCACCTTGCCGCTTTCCTATTTCTTTTTACAAGAAAAAAAAATAAGAGGAAGGGAGAGAGAGACTTTGCTGGTTAGCTTTTTTTTTTTTTCTTCCCCTTTTGTATACTTTATCAAAAAAAAAAAAAAAAAAAAAAAAAGCTCTTTTTTCATACATTTTCCAAGGATCCTTGACAATAAAGCTTTCGCGTGCTAAAGCTTGGACAAAGATAATGAATGGGAACACAAAATCCACACGCTGGTCTGAATCGAATACTTTATACCATCCATTCCGTATCCAAACCATCACTGCGGGGACACAGAAGGGTAACAGAAAGAAGAATACCACTAATATCGACATGTTGATATGGAACGCATCCCATATTTTTTGAGGCTTTTTCAATGACAATTTTGAAAAAAAAAAAAAAAAAAAAAAAAAAAAAAAAAAAGTATTAGCACATGTCAACTAACATTTCTGGATAAAGCAAACAAAAAAAAAAAAAAAAAAAAAAAAAATGCACATACATTGGTTGCGGTAGATGCAGCGAATGCCGTCCCTGCGTTCACAGATAAAAGCCAAATGAAAATGACGATGAACAAAAATTGATATGGTACACCCACTGCTAAAACTGCCAGAATTAGCGCCCACGGAGCTCTTGAATACGGTGTATCTCTCGAAACAACCGTGTATAACACATGAAAGCATGGTGCGACCAACTGGACCATGGTATTAAGTACAAACCAGACAAATGCAACGATGCCTACAGAAACATGAAAGAAGATTGGGAGTAATAGCCAGAAGAAAGATTCGTTTCTACCCAACAACGCATCCTCAAACCAGCCATTCGTCAGATCCTTGCCATGAAGCTCCTGCTGTGGGTCATGTTGTTGATAGTATAGCTCCACAACCCTCTTTTTGCTCGAGTACTGGTAAGCAGCGAAGAGGACTAATAATATTGAGAACCTCAGGTAAGTTCCTGTTATGAGTAACTCATTCATAATAACCCCAAATGGTCTGAACGATACCGCATCTCTACCGTCGTCTTTGAACTGTTTCCTTAACGTTAATATCACTACCATGAAGGTGAACACTAGGATGATGGTTCTATAGCGGATTACAACCTTGCCCAAGCTCCCATACTTGTCGACCGTAAGTTTGAGCGATAGAGGCTCTCCTTCTCCTTCTCCATTCCCTTCATGGCAATTTGGGTCTCTCCAGAAGTGAAGCTCTATTCCGTTGTTTGGGGTTAACTGCACTTTATCGTGATATGGAAGGTCGCCATGGAAGTTAATATCTAGTCCAGATACCTTTTCTGCAATATTGACAACAAACTTGTCTTCATGTGAAGCCCAATTCGATTGCTTCATCATCGGCTGGAATTTAGCGTCTTTTTTTTTTTTTTTTTTTTTTTTTTTTTGGAATTATATATATATATACTTTGTTAAACTTTTTGCATCAATTTTTACATGATAACCATGATAGGCTGAAAATAATAAAACCAAACTAATGACTAGACATTACCTTTGCAGCTGCCGCCTTTAACCTTGAGATTATATGCCAGTAGACTGTTATCGATATTCGGTAATCGAAGTGTGGATATCATCGTTGGTTTCTTTGGAAATCGCACTCTCCTAAGTCCATGAAACAAAAGTCCTGAAGAGAGAGTGTGAGGGGGGGAAGAGGAGGGAAGGAGGACAATATTAGGCAAGATGGTGCAACGAAGGTGAGCATAGTAGAGATAAAGTTTTGAAGCACACAGATTATACTAACATACTCATCGTAGAAGTATGAACAGTTTCAATACTAGCATCCTTATTCATGAATTCGGCGATCATGAAGCCGCTAGATAAATGGTCACCCTTATCGTGTACCACGATGTACTGGAAGGGCTCAAGATTACTGAGCGATGTAGACAAGAAACGGAACTCTTGGCCTGTAAAGCGTCCTCCATTCGAAAATAGAGGTAGAGTTGATGTGGAAGTCGATGCCGGAATAGCCGTCAAGGATAAAAAGCTGCTGCGTTTGCAAGAGAGCGAAGAAATGTGCCCTTTCTCATCCGCCTCAGCAGAAGCAGAAGCAGCAACAGACGTATCTTTACAAAGCAGAAAACGGAAATGTTTATGTGGCCCAAACTCTTGATCTGTTAAAAAGGTGAATGTGTCGAGATTGTCTTCTTTGTTGTGCTGTAGGGGTGAGCTCAAGATATAGTAATGCGGTGATTTACGCCGGTTGATTTGAAGCTCATTTGTCCAGATGGTATTCTTCGTCAAAAATGTATGTTTGACATCAGGTAGATAGATAATCTCTTCATCTAAAGAGACCGGTACGTAAGGAGATATTTGAGGTTCTTTAAGAAAAAGCTAAAGATTGAGAATAACGAGATTGCTGGACGAACGAACGAACGATAGTCAGATCCGGCTCACAGTATTGTTTACCTTCAATTTCATCCGATGGATCATCCCCCTTATCAGCTATCAGATGCCTTTTAAGGATCTCCATTCGCTCCTTTAAAGGCCTGACTTGTTCAGCTCGTGTGGGATCTACAATGTCTGCAAGGACTTTCCCGACTTGCTTGACGATCTGATTACACCACAGGATTGATAAATGATCCGATCCCACCCAGGCATGTGGGATCGCCGAAGTGAACACTGAAAATCCATGACTTAGTGGTACTAAATGGTGAATATTGCCTGCGTCACTGTTCACTGTCAGATCTTGGTTGCCGCCCATGATGGATACTATCGATACATTAGTCAGCGCAGCATTTGGTCCGCTGTAACCCTTTGCCCAGAAATCCTCAATCTTGTCATAGACTTTGGTGATCCCGTAGTCAAGTACCAAAGGTGGGACCATATGGGGGGTTGCGAGCGTCAGGATGCTACGAACGGAACCAGGCAGGTAGTTTTCCATTATGAAGATTGTGCGAGCAACGATCCCACCCATGCTATGACCAACGATCAGGATAGATGTCGGTCGAGGTTGCTGAGAATCAGAATCATGATCATTATAGAGGGACAAGATGTATTTGATGGCCGTGTTAATCCATTTTGCCTGATACACCAAGATCTGCCCGTGGAATGCCGAGAATTCTTCATTAAAGTCTACTGTGAAGAAATCAATCCTCTTCGAGCCTGGCTTGTAAGCTGTGGTCGTCTCTCTGGCCAGAGAACGAATCTGTCTAGCACTCCCTGCATTCCCCGGAATAAATAAGGCAGGGATGCCTGTCGGGCGAATCTACATGAATGTCATATAATACATAGTTGAACATTTGATCTATAAAAGACGCCACGAACAGATTTCCTTGATGCTAATCAATAATAGACAAAAGTTGCGTCTATTTACCTTTGCTGATTTTGAAACTGCCCAGTCTGTGCCTCCCAGATGTTCGAGCGAATCTGGGTGTACTACTGAGTGGTCGTCCCCTTCATCTCTGTAGAGCAATAGCCCATAGTTTCCGGGGGTATAGGTGTTTTCTAGGTTAAAGTCCAATAATCTGTAATATGTAGGCTGCATATAGGTCATCATACAGCCTTTGGGGTCCAATTGATAGTGAAAGCTCGAATGGATCGCACATGCCAACAAGACAGCTGATATCAGAAATAAAGCAAAAAGCCTGAAAGAGCATCCATAGAATGCAGCAGAGTATGGCTGCGATTGATGCAAAATTGCTGAAGGATGCATCCATTCGTTCAGGGTTTCGAGTTGGTTGTCATTATGCTTCTCATAAGTTAACTCGTTTGTTGATTGTGCTGATCGAGGCTTGATTCCGAGAGTTGGATCTGGTGAATCAAAAGATGGGGGTGGAATGGATGTTTCTGGCATACCATAGGTAGCGGGGGGTATTTAAAAGATTAAGGTAGTGTCTGCTTTGTCTGCGTTTGGTCGTGAGGAAGCAAATAAATATTGACATGAAATGTAATAAAATACCGTTCCTATGAAATGTGCTTGACAAAAAAAAAAAAAATCTTTGCCCATATATTTTTGCCCCCCACCGACCATTGACCATTGACCTCTCATTGAGAATGATAGGATGTGTATGGGCAGTATAGAGCACATATTTGTATAAGGTACGCATTGTATACAGGGCCAAGAGTTTTGCTTTGACTCTTTACCAGTCGATCAATGATGGATGAATGGATACACATTTCGCATACGCGTCTGTTTTTAATTTCCGCGAGAACCGTCCTCGTCCATTGAAATGAAACTTTTTTTTTTTTTTTTTTTTTTGATGAGCAAAGACCACTTTTTGTGACACTATGACGCGTCTCATTCTCTTCTGCATTTCTGGCACATCTAGCACATCTAACAAATCTAGCATATCAAGCATCTAGCATATCCAACAGATCTGGTAATCACTCGGAAATAAGTTTATACGCTTTCTTGTTAGGAGAAAAAAATAAAAGTAAAAAATTAAACACATAAAAATATAAAGCGTCCAAGTACATGAATCATCTGCTTGTCTCTCAAGTTATAGATTTATGCGAAGCAATGATAAATGTGCCCTTTTTATTAAGAAAGCAAGATCTAAAAAACCCGGTTACAATATCTGACTTGATCAAGCTCTGTTGACCAACAGTAACGATTAATTTTTATTTTCTCTTTTTCTCTTTTTCTTTTTTTTTTTTACTTTTTTTTTTTAATGCAGTCTACAATTGAAACAGGCTTTTTGCTGAACAATGAAAGAAGGAAGGAAGGAAAAAAGTCTAGAACAAGAATCAGATAAACATTATGCAATAATAAAAAAAAATAAATAAAAAAATGCGCCACTTCCTCAAGTGGCTTCACAACATTAATAATAACATTGATGAGCGGCATAGAAAGCGTCATGTCCATGGTCTCCTGGTTAATACAAAAAAAGTAAATGGCCGTTTAGATGATCCCAAAAGCCCAAAAAAAAAAAAAAAAAAAAAAAAAGAAAAACGCCTAAAGGAAAAGAAAAAGATCTTTAATTAGCTTTCCGGATTAGAAATCACTCTGCTACTTTTTATTTTATATTACGCTAAGTCTTTGTCGGCAAAACTGAAAATGTAAGCAACATGACGAGTTTAAGCGATTATTTTTTTCCTTTTGTCTTTCCACCTCCTTACTTCGCCTTGCATGACATTAAAGACAGGATAATGTGCTATATTAATAATTAATGACACACTTGTCAATGTTATAGATGTTGCATCGTATACAGCTGTTTGTTTTTTTTATTTATTTATTTGTAAATAGATAACCAAGTAAGTAAAAAGTAACTAAAATAAGTAGATAAATTCTATGGAAAAGGAAAAATAAAATAAAATAAACGCGCTTTTATAATCTATCCTATCTGGAGGACTATAAGAGTATCGAGAAGGGTATATACACTTTGTTTATCAATTACTGTTGGACAAACTTTTACTTTGGCATTAAGCTTGAATAATCCAACAGAACTTTTTTTTTTTTTTTTTTTTTTTGCGCCCAAACTGGTTGGAATCTAGACCCAAACACGACTATCGACGTCTGTAAACTTGTCTCCTATAGGAAAATAATTATAATAAAAAAAAAAAAATCGCGATTCGTGCATTAGCGTCATGGCCCAGGGGTTGTTTTTTTTTTTTTTTTTTTTTTTTTTTTTTAATTTCTCGTCTGCCCAAAGAAATGTCCAGAGGAAAGTAAAATAAAAAGTAAAATAAAAAATAAAATAAAATAAAAAATAAAAAATTATTATGAGAGCTGCTCACAGCACACATGTCCACACACACACATCAACATTCACACACACCTCAATCAGCCAATCATCAAGGGCTACCATACTAATGCAATGTAGCAGCAACCAAGCAGCAAAAAAAAAAAAATTGACATTTACACAATAACAGGAAACAGGAAACTTACCATCATAAAACCCATTCACATAATCATCCAATTCTGGTCGCTCATCTTCAAGCTCTTGATCTGAACCAGAATTCTGTTGTTGTTGTTGTTGCTGTTGTTGTTGCTGTCCATTCTGGCCACTTGATTGACTTGAACTAGTCTGGTTCTTTTCATTACTCTTGGCATTCGAACCTTCCTCAAAAGATCGTCCGTTTGCAACTGGTGCAGCCATTTTTTTTTTTTATTTTATTTTTTTTTATCTTGTGGAATGTATTGAAACTTAAAACAAAAGACAAAGGAAACGTTGGTGAGTTGGCTGTCAATTATTCAAGAAGTGACATTGACATTGACATTGACCACTTTCTCTTACCTGGCAATAAACCGAGACTTGATCAGGGATATTGAAGCGATGGAGAGAGAAGAGAAGATAACAAATACAAATGTTTGTTCAAGAAAGATTAAAATATATAAGCAGGATAAAAAGACGTGATGCCTTTGAAGAGATGCAGTATTGATTTGCTTGTGCTATGTGGGGGAAGGCTTGTGTATATATAGATTTAAGCGTGTATCATATATGTATATATGTGTGTGTATTAATGTGCCTGTGTGTGTGTGTGTGTGTGTTTGTGTGAATGTGGAGATGATGGTGAGATTGAAAAGAGTTGATTTGTCATGGCGGAAATGGACGAGCTTTTATATCTCCTCGGGATAAGGTTGAACGAAGGTTAATAAGCCGAAAGGACAGAAGGTTAGTGTCCAAGATGAGAGGACAATGCCGATGCTAAATGAAATGATGTGGATATGTGTGAACATTAAAAAAGTCTACGCTTGTCTGCTTGAATGTGTCTAATATATTCCACTACAGCATTGTTTTGTTGTTGTTGCTGTTTGTTTGTTTATTTTTCATTTTTTATTATTTTCCCAGTCGCTATAGAAGTCAAGGGTCGAAACCACTGTCAACTTGATGCCATTGCTGGGGGGACAAAAGGGATGTAACAGATATAGAATTAGATCCGGTGATCAAGGCGAAGCGTTTGGCTGCATTAGAATCGGGAATTGCTCAATGTGTGTGTGTATGCAGTGAATGCAGTGGATGGAATGGAAATGACATCTTTTTTGCCCTGATTGTCATTTCGTACCACGCTCAGTTGCCACCTCCCTCTTTGTCTCTTGTGCGCGCTTCTTTCTTCCTCCCTCTGTGTTGGAATGAGCCGCACAAACACATCTATACACACACAAAACAAGGGTCACGCTCGCATCCCATCAATGACTATTGCACAATTGCTATTACCATTTCTGCCACTATTGTTGTCCTTGTCCTTGTCCTTGTCCTTGTCCTTGTGGGAGGTTTCTGACTTGGTGATTGTTTATTTATTTATTTATTTATTTATTTATTTTTGGTTCCTGATTGATATATATATACATCTTCATATTTACACGAATATTATTGTGGTTCATTCTCCTCCCATTCAGGAACCGAATACAAAACATTCGTCATCATCATAACCATTCCTACCTTTCCTCATCCTTTTTTTTCTGTTGTTTTTATCTTTCCCGCCTTTCGTCTGTCTCTCCTTTTCCACATTTTTACACTTTACATTTGTGTGTCCATCTGCGGAAGTTTAAAAATGAATGGAAAGCGCGTGGTTACTAATGATACTTGTATAAAAATATAACTCCTTGTATAATATCCATAGACTATATTTTATATGTCTGTACATATTGGCTCTTTATTTTTGTACAACAGATCACCCAACAAAGAGAATAGCCACGCTATCAAACAAATATTTGGCCTTTTTTTTTTTTTTTTTATTTTTTTTTTTAAAGTCCCTAAAAGTCTAATAGAATGGGCGAGGCGAGACAAGGCAAAGGCAAAGGCAAAGGCAAAGGCAAAGGCAAAGGCATGATGAGGCTATCCTGCAACAACCTTCTTTTTCAGCGCCGCTTTCCGTCTGATCGACATTCTTATCTTGTTTTCCATGATCGAAATTCATCCGTGCATGAGAGCACCCCTTTGCATTTATTTCTTCATGTTCTTTGTTCCTTGATGCTTTTTTTTTTTTTTTTTTACTGCGCCTATTCAGACTTGGTTGAATTTCACCACAGATGGAAGAATCGAAACCTTTGTCTATGGCTCAGGTAAGAGGTAGTATATGTACAAATATAAAGTCTCTTTTACTCTAAAAAAAAAAAAAAAAAAAAAGTTAAGGTTAGATAATGGCTCATATTTATTATATTATATTACATGGACTCCGTCCATCTGTCCATCCGTCTGCCCGACAGCCGAAGCGCTGCGTGCTGCGTAGAGAATCAACAATCTCCAATTGATAGAGTCATGACATGCAGTCTATTAAACAGCTGCTCCTCTCCTCTCCTTTTCGGCACGTCATAGACCCTGACGGAGTCAAAAAAAAAAAAAAAAAAATTGTATCATGCTCGTTTTGTAAAGAAAAAAGAAAAAAAAGAAAAAAGAGGCACATGTAAAGCTTATTTTCTTGCAATATTAGTCCAAGACATTGGCAACCGTTATAGTATTAGCATCACTTGGCTCCTTAGCACTTACAATCCAATTATCATATCAAAAAGTGCATGTTCCAAACCTGTCCTCTTCGAAGACAATGTCGATCGATGTCCTTTAAAACTGACCTGCAAACCTACTCACGACACTGCTACCATTTACCATTACTTCAGTTCAAGTCATCGGATGACATCCATCCGAGCAGCTGTTGATTTCTTATTTTTATTTCTTGGACAAGGTTCTAAAAAAAAAAATTTACAACCCAATAACAGTTTAATCTATGCTATATCCATTGACTCTTGATCGTCAGATTCTGTTGTTTCTAGGCCTTGGGGCTCAGTTGGTTGTAAATCGTGAAACCTCCATCAGCTCTAGTTCCTTGAGCTTCATAATGCCTCTTCTAGCAACCGTTGGTGAGAAGTACTCTTCCATGCAACTCCCCATCAATGAGAAGCAGCTGTGGCATACCAGTCAAGTCCAGATGTGTTTGGCTTGTTATTCTTCGCACAGTGAGGAAAACAAGAGCCACAGTAAAATGTACCGAGTAGTTCCTGACTGATTTGAGTGTTATATCATACCATGTCTTGATTTCACCTTTACTGAAGGTGTTGTCGGCTGTTCCGAAACCAGAATACATAAAAATGGCTATTGGTTTTTCTTCCATTGTCATTCTCTCTTTGTCAGATGGCGGGTTGTAGACTTTAATGGCCCAGCGGTGGTCAATATTGGCACATCCCTCTGCACAGTGGAAATACCATCATACAACTCCCGAGAAATATGGTCCTGGTATACAACAGACGTCTCGAATTCTGCAACACTTGTTGATAGTTCAAGGGACTTGTTCTTCTCGACAAAGACATCAAGCTTGCGAAGCTGTATCTTTCTTTGAAGACTTTTATCCCCTTTTGCTCCACGAAATACGTCTGAGAGGTACTGCCAATTTTGTGGTGATATATTCAGGGGTCGAGCATTGCCTACAGTATCCTATAAGTGACTACCAGTCTCTGCTTCTGCTTGCCTGACATCAATCAATGCGTTTACAAGAGCCATCTGATAATAACCATGGAGACTCTCATATTCTTGCCAGTGATTTTTTCGGTCTGCTGTTGGCGGTGAAAGGGCATCAGCTGGCAGGATAGAAGGCGAGAGTAATCTATTAAGGACCTGCAAATAAATGAAGGGCACAGTGACACAATTGAGATTTTCATCCCTTGTATCCTGCCTTAGGTGAGTGATACCATCTCGTTCACCATCCCCGATGGTTCTTCCTCTTGATAACTTGAATTCCCGCTCAACAGCCTGGGATGTAGTCGCCAAGGAGACAACGGTGCGGATTTCTCATTCAGATCTCCAACACCCTGGGCTGCTTCCGATTTTTATGGGCATATATACTTTATACACGTGGTGTAATAATACCTTCTCCCAGTCATAGATCGTTAAGAGATAATCCACTGATAGGAGAAAATCGATAAATCCAGGAATGTATCCAGTGTCAGCTAAAGATATTTTAAAATGAGGCTGATTCCACACATAGTCGCATAGGCCTTTGGAATGCTGAAGAACTACATCTGAAGAAAAGGTCGCATATGGTATTCCAGGATTCAATTTCTCAAGGCTCTCTACAGTACGAGAGTTTCTCTCAGTCATCATTACTTTGTCGCAGTTGTATTGGAATTTATCACAAAACATGGACTTTGCAGTAGTAAGATCCAGTGGTTCGAGTGGAATCATTACTTTTCCATATTCCGTAGCCAAAAAATGCATGTCCTGCGCAGACGTCCCAGTACATATTGGGGGGATGAGGAGCTGGTGGTCGCTTTGAACCTTGCGCATCACATTCCCGATCTGTTTCAACATTTGTTTGAGCTCATTGCGGGCCATGCTCCAGCTCCAATGATTGTATTGTTGGAGACAGTCAATATAGAGCTGGTATTCATCCATGTGGATTATAATCGCCTTAAGAGCATGGCCGTGCTCTAGTGAGTGTAACTCGAGAATCTTGATCACTCGATCAATATCGATATTGAAGCCTTCAACGGTAAGCTTATCCAGATTGAGATTCATTGATCCTTCGAACAGACCAGCTACAAACGCCACACAAATTCCAATCTTATTAATGGAGGTTGATGTTTATCAAGTCGATGGTTGTATTGACATTCATTACTGAAACCAACATACAGATAAATGAGGTTTTCGAGAGCATTCTGTAAGTCGTCATTTAAGCTGGGAACAATACCCCATTTTTTTTGCACGATGTAACAAGCGACGTGATTCCCAACCAGCACACGATTTCCCTATCCCGACACCTGGAATCAGAACCATCGTATGATTTGCTTGTGAAATCACGCCACGACTTCTGTAGTTGCATGTGGCGGCGGCGTCAATCAACTCTTCGGTAAGCTCCTTGCGATTGTAGAACTCATGTCGAAAAATCGGGTGAGTAACCTGGTGTTGTACTGATACTGAGTCGATCCTTATCTTAGCTAAGGAGAAGTACATTCGCGGAATGAATATTTAAACAATCCATTCACTCCTGCTCAATTTCCTGCCGCCTTTTGCACCCAATATCTTATTACCTGAGGCCAACATAGGAGGAATTACACCAAGGTAAGTGTAGCAATGATATAAAGAAATGCCGTTAGAATGCTCAATGCACAACAAACGCATTTGAATAATCCCAAGCACACCAAGTGGTGGCAAAAATGATTGATCAATGATGTCATGCACAAACTTTTAGAACAGAGAGAGTATATCAGCTGACCCCTTACCTGCCGATGGTCGCTGAATAATGGCGTGAATGGTTTTCTTTGGTGGTGCCGTTCCAAAACCTTCAGAAATCTCACTAGTCAAGTCGTCTAACTCCTCTGGCTCCTTTGATCTCTCCTCGATAGTCAGATTGTTGAGTGTGATTTGTCTTTTCGGTACAGAAGGGATTCAAACATGGTAAAGATTGAGCTGATTTGCGGCAATATCGCCTAATCTAGACTTTTCCTCCTTGATTGCATCCTTGAGATGGCCGATAGTCTTCTGGGGATTGATGTCCACAGGGAATGCTGTAGACTCTCCAGCGAGAATGCAAATGAGTGTAATTTCGTCCGACATTTGGTATAATTGAGTGCTGAATAGAAGAAAGATAAAAAAAAAAAAAAAAAAAAAAAGATTTAAAAGCTGCAAAGGGTGGAAGGCGAATGGGTTAGTCAGAAAGTGCTGCGCACAGAACCTTAATTAGGAATTGTTGGTTAACCTTATTGATTCTTCAAAAAAAAAAAAAAAAAAAAAAAAAGGTGTGGTGATGATCATTTTACGAGCATTCTCGCTCAATGGGTTATAGAATCTCATAGATTGGATAAATGAAATAGGGCCTAGCGATAAAATAACCACCTTTAAAAACCTGAACTTCCTAGATCTACTTCTCTTGTTTGATAGTTTATAGTAAAAGCGGCGAAAACCCAAATCGAGGGTGATGATGAGAACTTTCTATTCGAAAACTCATTTCTTAGGGCATCTCTTCCCCCAATCCATGCTTAGAACCATGCCCGCCTCTGAATTTACTCATCAACGTGGGCAGACCTCCTCCTCCTCTCCTTCTTCCTCCATGACATGGTTATTTTATTTTACTTTTAGCCTGAAGCACCTTCCGGTCAAAGCCAAATAAATCAACAGACCCATAATAACATGGATAGGACGTGTACGTTTGTGTGTTGTAATAAAAAGAACGTTTTAGTTGAAAGGAAAAGAGAGAGATGGCGCAGGTGCAGACGCAGACGTAGACACAGACGCACCTCTTCAGGACATGTTGAGCTATTAGAGTCTGAGATCCTTTCTAAAGCACTGTCAAAGAAAACAAAATGTCACCTCAAACTAAATAAAGGCGTAAAAAGTAGCCTTATCTCGTGAATAGGGATTGAAGCAAGCCTCATCGTATTTATGAAACGAGATCTGATCTTAGCATCGCCTCAACGTAGTCTGTGCTTGGCTCCGTAAAAATGAATATTGCTGTGTGACACAGCAGTAGACAGCGTTATCAAAATCTTTACTGTCACCATGAGATATCACATACTTGTGAATGGATCGACCCAGAGACTCCTCAAATTGTTCTTGATGATAACATAACGAAGACAGTGGTAATAGTATGAGTGCTGTAACTAATGGCGATAGTGGTGATGGTGAAGGCAGAAAGCTGAGGAGGCAAAATTGGCGCTGGAAGTGGCGGTCTTGAACCAATAAATGCGTTGCGGATCGTGTAATTAAAAAAAAAAAAAAAAAAAAAAAAAAAAATGTCCTGACGATGATGACGCTCTGAATTAACAGTCCTTTCAGGGGCACCAGCTTCCTTCTCTCCGTCCTCTGGTGATTATGTCATTGGCAGTGAGGCTGTTAACAATGATGATGATGATGATGACGATGATTGTCGCGATGGTTGGGCTAATATTGCTCTGTCCGGCCGGTCTTTTTGTCTTCTTTCAGATCCAAGTCGTCGCTGTAAGCACCGATTGGAGATCGTATGTTGAAAAACTTTACTCACTGATCCGATAAAGTCACTTTTATTCATAAATCTATCATGGACCAGAAAGGTACGACCATCTCATAATCGGTTAAGTCATCATTACCTCGCGAGTATTGAAGGCATAGATGTGTTGTTTAAGGTTATAGATCGATCAGCATATCCAGGGATCTAAAGGATAGTTGTGCCGAAATGAATATTCAAATCCTGTTGCTGCTACCGCTGCTGCTATTCTTGTTGTTGGCAGGGATGGCGATGATGCTATTAACAAAATATAAATAGTGCGCTAGATGATATCGAGCCAACCACATGGGAAAGATGATCTTGATCTGACAGAATCTGTAGCAAAGACCAAATTAATTGTTGTGGCTGAAGAATTGGTTAAAAACTTCGCCAGAACATATAAACAATATGTCCCCTATGATCTATTTCCTTGTTTCGACTCGGATTAACTTGGTGATGATGAACTATATTGCTGTTGTTCCCAGAAGCGTGTTTCTTCAGAGAAAGAAGGATATAGGGAGAGAGGGAGAGAATAAATTAGATGTTAGGATATCTTCATTCCTTCTATTTCCACAGGAATGAAAAAAAAAAAAAAAAAAAAAAAAAAGACTTTAGGGACGTAACAAATCAGTATAGACATCCAGCTAGAGGACATGGGAATGAAGGAAAATGGTGGCTGCAGGTTGTCTGTCCCTCCTATTGTGTTAATATATGCTTGTGTGCCTTGGTATAGATATCCCTTCAGATGTATCTTCAAAGGATCGTGTGTTCTATATTTTGTCCAGGTCGATTGTCTGTGCTTGCATAAATTCATTCACATAAATTTACTAAAAAAAAAAAATCAGCCCCTTGTTCCACAGAATGGTTGGTACCCGTCACACTGGAGCCATCTTTACGGCTCATATGATCATCTTCATGATCTTTCTTCTCTCTTCTTACCTTATTTTCTGCCTTACTAGAATAAATATTGATAGAGCCAGACTATTGTTGTTATTTTTTGAGTTGGGTCCGGACAAAACTGCAGTGTAAAAATAAATGTGAACAGCGTGACCTCGAATAATTAGAACAAAAAAAAAAAAAAAAAAGAGCACTTTGGGGAGTAAGCGCGTGTATCGCATCCGATTTAGGATACCATCGCGTCTTTTCATTTTTTTGTATACAACAGATGATGTGCTCTCTCTCCCTTCAAGTGGCCAAATGTTCAAAACACGTTTGATTGCTTTGATAAAGGAGTGCAACAAAGATAGGGACGACAATTCCTAATGTGCAACAGAGATTTTAATCCTACATCAGCCTACCGTCCTGTGCTGTGTGGATATCGCCTAAATGTTGTCCTAGCTGTGGTCAAATAACAAACCATTGAAGTAACCGTCCACAGTATGGAGGGATAGAAGAGTAGGGACGGAGGGGAGAACAGGGGCTGAAAAAAAGACAGTAAGCAGTTTACATGAAAATGCACTGTACAAAAATACATTCACATTCACTTGAATAAAACAAGAACCTTGACTACCCTTGATAAGCTTGGCTTTTTTACTTTTGATATGGACTACCACCATCGCATCGCCCCTCTTTTTTTTTTTTTTTTTTTTGAGACTAAAGACTAAGGTAAAGACTATTTGATTCGTCTCTGCATCGATGTCAGGTCACACGGACGGAAATGGCCCGCAGCAGGGCTTGTCCTCCAATCGCGCCAGGCAACAATAGAATGAGCGCATCTGACAATGACTCTTTTTAGTAAGAGCATTTTTTTTTATTTCAATTCAAATTCAAAATAAATTATATATAAATGTATATATATATATATAACACATACGGAATATAAAAACTGCTGTACTTGTGCAGTAAATGCATGTAAAGGATGTTTTGTTTGTTACAATAAACTATAATATGTGTGATATAATGCACACTTCATTTGTAGGGAGGGTCCCCTTGGAGTCGCCGTCCCTGTTCCTCTCGCTCACTTGACCTTACCCAACATCCAACCAAATGTACTTTGCTACCATATAAAAAGGAACAGCCCCTTCGACATTCTTCATCCCTTGTCTTCTCATTCACATTCACATTTACCTCTACTTTCCTCATTTCACTCCACTCTCCTTATTCAAATTCCTTTTTTCGTTGGGTTCGTATTACTATCTAAAACCTTGGACATTCCTCTTTTTAATTCAAGACAAGAACAAAAAAAAAAGAAAAATCATAAAAGAGGGTACTTCAGTCAACCATGAAGATCTCCAAGACTCAGTCCTACTCCCTTGTTGCTGCTGTACTCGCCGTTGCAAGCACCGTCGGTGCTCATCGTGCTCGTGTCCAACCTTTCGGTCCAGACCTCTCTCATAAAGAGTACTTGACCCCTTCCTCATCCGAATCTTCCTGGACAAGCTTCTTTGGTCGTATTCGTGATGGCGGTGAGGACCAGGTTTTCTACACTGGCTATGCTGCTACTCCCGAAAGAGTCGCCCTCGACTTTGTGGAGGAGAAACTGACCAGTTCTGATTACATTGTCAAGAATGCTTATACTTCTGGCCATAACGGGGTCACTCATGTCTACCTTCGCCAGGTGATTAACGGCCTAGAGGTGGTGAATGGTGATATCAACGTCAACGTCGACAAGAACGGCAATGTGATTTCTTATGGAGATTCATTCTACAAGGGTAACAGCAGAAATCTCCAGTATAATAAACCACTCTCTATCAAGGATTGGTTCAAGAAGGAGACTCAATCTTTCCAGGAACAAGGTCGTCAGATTGCTTTTGGTCGATGGGGACGTCGTACTCATGAGGTATGGAAATTTCTTTATCTTTTTTTTTTTTTTTATCTCTGAGAGAGGAGTGTGTGTACGTCTCCTTTTCCCCTTTCCCTCTCAAGCTTTCTTTAGGATTGTGATTGATTCTTACCACATTAGGCCTAATTTCTAACCTGTCTATATTTTAACACGTGACCTTTTTTAGCGTAACTTCGAGTCCGAAGAGGCTGTAATCTCACCTCAGGACGCCCTTCTTTCCTTTGCACGCCACCTTAATGTCGAGATCCCTCGTCCAGAGGAAATGGACGTTGTCGTGTCTAGCTCACTCACATCAGACGAAGTAGAGGTCCATCTGACAAACTGTCCATTGACTGCCAGTGGTAAGGTTCCTGTTGCTCAAGCCTATCTCCAGACCGAGAATGGAGAGCTCGAGCTTGTCTACGATTTCCAGGTGGAGATGAAGGACACAGATAACTGGTTCCATTCCCAAGTTAGTGCCAAGACTGGCAAGGTCTTGCAGATGGTTGACTGGGTAGCCGATGCCACCTACAATGTCTATCCTATGGGCACGAACGATCCTAATGACGGTGACCGCAAGTTGGTCAAGAACCCTCACAACACTCTTGCATCTCCTCTTGGCTGGCACCGCCAGGGCCAGAACAAGAACTTTACCACCACTATTGGTAACAACGTCTACGCGGGCGAGAACCGTCGCAATGGCAATGACTGGCAAAACAACCCCAAGCCCGAGGGCACGGTTGATGAAGATGGCGAACTAGTTTTTGACTTCAAGATCGATCTGGAGAAAGATCCCAAGACCTATGTTGACGCAGCTGTGACCAACCTGTTCTACTGGAATAACCAGGTCCATGACGTCTTTTATCATTATGGTTTCACAGAGAAGGCAGGCAACTTCCAGGAGAATAACTTTGATCGTGGTGGAGTAGGTAATGATGCTGTGATCGCCAATGCTCAGGATGGATCAGGCTATAATAACGCCAATTTCGCAACCCCTCCTGATGGTCAACACGGCAAGATGCGCATGTATGTCTGGGATTTGACGGAGGTAGCCCGTGATGGTGATCTTGAGAGTGGTATCATCATCCATGAGTACGCTCATGGTATCTCGACTCGTTTGACAGGAGGTCCTGCCAACTCTGGATGTCTTGGATGGGGCGAGGCCGGTGGCATGGGCGAAGGTTGGGGTGATTTCTTTGCTACCATGTTCCGCCAGAAGAAGCACCATGACTACAACTCCGAGTTCGACATGGGCTCGTACGCTACCGGTGACAAGGGCATCCGCCGCTTCCCTTATTCAACCTCCCTTAAGACAAACCCTGAGACATTTAAGGTGATGGACGGTCCCGGCTACTGGGGTGTACATGCTAAGGGTGAGGTCTGGGCTCAGATGTTGTTTGAAGTCTACCAGAACTTGCATTTGCGCCTGCCCTTCACAGAGGATTGGTATACAAAGGACATCACCAAGTATGCTAATACTTTGGTTCTCCAGCTGGTGGTCGATGGCATGAAATTGCAGCCATGCACTCCAACCTTTATTCAGGCCCGTGATGCCATCATCCAGGCTGAGAAGGTCCTGACCGAGGGTAAATACCGCTGCGATATCTGGAAGGCCTTTGCCAAGCGTGGCTTGGGTCCCAATGCCAAGGTCGTTGGCGCTAACTCTCCCTTCGGAAGTATTCGTACTGAAGACTTTAACACCCCAAGCACTTGCGAAGAAGACGATGAATAAGTCATCCAATACCCTTCTTTCTTTTTTTTATACAACACATAACCTGGTCTTGTAGTATCCTTCCTTTTGTCTTTGTCTTTTTTTTTTTGTCTTAGTTTTTTTTAGTAGTTTTTTATTAGTTTTTTATTAGTTTTTTGTATATTTATATGTTTGCTGTAGCTTTAGTTCCAAGATGGACATGCCAAAGGCTTGTGCTTTATTAAAAATAAAATTTTACAATATTAGCAAATCGCAAGAGTCCATTCGATTTGAATATCTGAATATTTATACTAAGATAATGTGTTGTTTTAATGAAATATATATAATAAATATAATAAATATAATAGTTGACTATATATGAATATATGATATATGATGACCATCACGGCCAAAAGTTATGAAGGAAAACCCCTCTTTTTTTTTTTTTTTTTAAAAAAAAAAAGTTATTGAGCCTTTGTTGCGGGGCCAGTTCCGGAAGCCGGAGTTATATCAACGACAGCAGATGGAGGAGGAGAAGCGGGTTCTTCCTCAGGAACAAGGGCCTGGCCGTTATTATTACCAGCCACTGGACGTGAATAGTTCACCTTGGGGACAGGAGCCGCTTCAGACTCCATGAGTTTATGGATTTCAGTCAGAGGTAACTCCAGTAGTTCCTTTGCAGACAAGCGTGAGTTGGACAGAGGGTAGTTGTGATCCGAAAAGATCCAGTCTGAAGGGACGGGAGCACGGTGAGCGATCATGGCATCCACCTCGGCTTGGATGACCTTGCAAAAGTCATCCAAAGGCAAATCGTTATAATCGTCGTTGAAGGGGTTCTCGATCTCAAAACCAATACCCAAAATCCCCAAAAGCGTGAATGAAGCAAGGATAACTGTGGGGATCATGAGAGCACCCAAGCTTCCAACGAGCTGGAAGGGTAAAGCGAGGAGATAGATCCAAGTGGCGTGGTGCAAGTGGATAGAATAAGCCAAAGGGATGGGAGTACGCAAGATACGCTCAAAGCTGGTCAGGCAATCCATCATCGAGACCAGTGCATTGTTCATCACTGACAACGTAGCAGAATCCACCAACTCCTTTTTGGTGCAGCTCTTGATGTAGCTTCCAATATAAAACGACAGTTCAACAGGGATGTTGGTGGGTGTCAAGAAATCGAATGCAAGGGCCTGCATCTTGGCCTGGTGACGGCGAGAGCGTTTGTGCACCTGAGCCTCGTTGAAGGTGGCTTTGCGATTCACAAGTTTTTCTGCATTCGGCCGTTGTTGTTGAAGTGAACTCAAAGCAGTGGGGATATCATCACGCCAGTCCATAGCCTGAGTCGAGGTTGGGAGCGAATACTTTGGGATGTGGGTCAAAAGATCAATCATATCATCATAATTGTAGCCATATTCCTCACGCAAGTAGTGCTTGGTCGCAAATGCAAAGGCCACCAACAGATTAATGGCTGATTTTTTCTCGAGCACATCGCGCGTCTCATTTTCGGCAACATTAACCCAAATGCTGCGAGTCAAGTTGCGGATGCAAAGCGTCATTTGAGACCATAAGCGACGACCTTCCCAGTAACGATCATAGGCTATTGTTGCATACAGATAATATCAAAAGATGTGAAATGAGTAAACGAGAGAACATTGCCTTAAATAAAAAGAAAAAAAAAGCACTAGCCCATTGTTTACGCCCAATGATAAATAAGAGCAAACGCAAATGGGAAATATTATATAAATGAATGTTGCATGAACAATAAAACTTTTTCTATTTTTCCTCCCAAACGATCTGGGACGGCAAAAAAAAAAAAAAAAAAAAAAAACTTACCAGTGTTGGTTCGGAAGACTAAGAGCAAAGAAACGACCATGCCCATGACGGAGACGAGAGACTATAATTGTATTAAAGGTGAAACATTTTTCCAGGGACCAAAAAAGTGAAACAATCAGCCATTGATAACAAAAACAAACGCGCTACACTCCCGTAGGACAAACGGACAAACGGAACGGAAAGAATAAAAAAAAAAAAAAGAAATCAAAGAGAATAGGGCTAAATGAAGGAAGAGCTACAAAAAAGAAAAGAAAAAAAGAGCCCTTTTTTTTCTTTTTCTTTTTCCTTTTCTTTACCAAAGAGTAGTTCATCTTCCAGTCAGTGAATTCATGGATGACGAATACGATAGCTGAGAAGATCCCGACCAAGAGCACTTGCCACCAAATGCTCAGGATGACTGTGCCTTTAACGCGGAGCATCAATGGCCATTTGCTATGTATATAGGCCTTAATACTGTATTTTTGAGGCATGATGGCCCTTTATATTCAAAAATATGAACGATCTAGCAAGAGGCAAGAAGAAGAAAAGGAAAAAAAGAAAAAAGAATGATAAGTTGTTAAGTTTAAAGAGATGTTAGATTGAGGAAGAAAAGACAAAGACGAGATGGAATGAGATGGAATGAGATGAGTAGGCAGGAAAAAAAATATATATATATATTATAATACACTAGTCAAAAGAAGGAGAGAGAAAAGAATTGTCTGCGTGCATGGGCTGAGTGCAGTTGCAATTGAAGAGAGGAAGGTGCGTACCAACTCTGGGGGCAATGGATGTGGTTGTACGCAAAGATAGCACAAGCGAAGGGTCAATAAATGTCGCAGGGGTTGTTGTTGGATTGACGAAGAGAGAGAGGATGAAGGATGAAGAAGTAAGGAGGAAAGAAAGAAGAAAAGGGGAAAGAAGAAATAGCGACCAACTGTTAATGAATGGACCTTAAACTTTGGCAGTGGAGCAGAAAATTAAAATTATAGAAACAGGGGAAGGCGGAGGCAACACACCTTGGACATGCATTCTCATGAGAGCAGGAGTAAAAAACACAACGGAACAAAGAAAAAATTCCACGCACAAATTGTTTGTTCTCCTCATTTATCAATGATGGTATAGACTTAGACGTGGTTTTATGCATTAACTCAGCAGAAAGAACTAACCTGTAAGCAAAAGAAGTCATCGCCTTGTTTTCCTCTACTATAGCGAAACAAAACAGTTGGTGATTGATTATCCAAATCTTTTTTTTTTTTTTTATTTTTTTTATCATGCCTTTATCTTTGCTTCCATCAATGAATGTACTCGCATCTCTGTGCTCTATCACTTGTAATCTCATTAAACACCTGGCTCCTTTATTGTTTTCATTTCATTTGGCAACAGCAAAATTTCTCCTCGGCCAAATGAAAAAAAAGCAATTGACAAAATTTCAGTTCTGAGCCCCTTTTCCACAACCTTCTTTCTCATAGAGGAGTTTAAGGGATTGTACCACCAATGTGGCGGTGTCTAGCGTCCTTCCATCATTGAGTTAGTCTCCAAGAATAGTCAGACAAAAAGAACGTCGATCAAAGACTGTAACACGATTAACAGAAAAGGCTCACACACGCATATCTTGCCCTCATATCATAACCATGCGGAATCTTTTTGCACATATAAAAAGAAAATGGGCACCGCCCTCTTCTCATCATTTTAGGCTATGGTCTGACAAAACAGATCATTCTCTCCCCTGGTCGCCTCTCGATGTTATTTCAAACTATCTATTACACGGCGCTTTACTACCGTGAAGCACGTTGGTGACAGCACGCTGAGAAAATGAAGTGGAACTTTTATTTCGCTTACACCTCCCTGTCCTCTCTCACTGAAACACAGAAGCGCGTAAAATACGCGTGTTTAAATCAGGGTATAGCATTACTTATTTATTTCTTGTTATATACATATTTATTTATTTATTTATTTGGCAGGTATAGGCCATGGAAGTACAGTTCATTTTTAATGCTTTAAGATGGACCAGTTAGTGCCATTGCTATCTAGTGCTCTGGAGCAATAGTTCCTTGAGTTTCTGCATGCGGATTTTTTGTTCTGCCTGTTGCTCCTGTAGCTGGTTCTGCAATTGCTTCTCCTGATACTCCTATAGCTGATTTTGCAATTGCACTTGCACCCGCAGTTGCTCCCGTAGCCGCCTCTGTAGCTGCTCCACTCGTGCATCCACAATAGCGATATGTTTCCCCACATCCTTATTGGCATCAGCATCCAACTTTCCTTGATAGGCTTTTTTCTGTTGCGTAGTCGCCGCAAAATATATCTCCTCAGGGAAACAATCGTACGTCTCACGGTAGCCAGGGATATAATATGACATATTTTCGGCTGCCTCGATGAATCGCAGACGCGATTCAATCCATGTCATTCTCCATCCATCATCACTCTTTGCAAATGCCACATTGATAAGTGCTGCAAGGAAAAATTAAAAATAAAAGAATAAGTCCCCAATGGCCAAAAAAATATGGTGTCAAAGAAATAAAAGAAAAAAAAAAAAAAAAAAAAAAAAAAAACGTGCTAAGGGTTGCGTACCAATAAGCACATTCAGCATCAAGATGACTGTGAAGAAAAAGAACATCATCATCATAATATGGAAAGCCCAGTCTTGAGAAGTAAGTTTTGAGTCAACAGGATCATATCGACCGCCCTATATTATGAAAAAGGGTGTAAGGATGGATAACACATTTGTGAGATTGACTATTACTCAAAACGAAGGATGTAATAAAAATTATGTCAAATAATAAAAAAAAGCTTACCAGCATGAAGTGCGTCGCTGATAATGCACCAAAGAAATGAATGGGGAAGGACCCTTCACTTTCTACTCGCCCACATTCACTTGTAGGACAGGCATGAAGGAGATGTAACATTCCAACCGTGAACGCAACAATTCCCGTCGCAAAGATCACGAAGAAGACTTGAATCCCTACGGTAGCCTGCTGAATAATCGTCACATATTTACATACCATCTGATTGACCCTGAGCTCAAACAGCTATTTTTTTAAAAAATAAGAATAATAAGAATAAGAATAATATTATTATTAAAAAAAAAAAGTGCGTGAGGATTTCGTGCTCATTCGTTAAGAGTATGAAGAATAAGGTCATCGGCATGCAGGTGCTTAGTATAATAAGAAAGAAAACACAAGCTTATTACTAGGTGTAAGGACATGGTCAAAATGGAAAAACTCACAGGCCTGGTGTTTCCATGTTGATCGTCATTAAAGATATCTCCCAAACTCTCAACCTAGTCAGGATGTCCGCTCTATCGCCTTCAATTAATATGCATTAGGCCCCACTAGCACGCCTAATGTGCAATAAATCAATATCATATATAGCAGATAGCGGTGCCGTTAGGATCAGATATCTTATTTAACACGAATCTGCAGGCTCATCACTTTAGTCCGAGTCCTTGTTAGGGTTGCCAGGAAGGGATGTATAGAAAGAACATGAGTGTCGTCCTTATGAATTTGACACATGGTCCACGCAAAACGGATCCCCGTTATTCCAATCATTTGTACATCCAATAACAAACCACAGCTGCTTTCTGCATGCTGTTATGATTATTCTATATATGACAGAATAGAAAAGCCTTAAGGGCACCACTGCACTCGTTCTCCACACTTTAAATCGTCTTCTTTTGTGCTCAAGCAAGCAATCCATGAGGAATGGTAAAATAAAAAACATGAAAAGAAAAAGAAAAAAATGTCTATTGAAATGTCAAGATTGTCACTTAGAAACATAGTTCATGTATAATAATTTTTTTAAACTAATACAATAGAAAAAGGAAAGGAGAAAAATTATGCACGGGCGCCCCATGCCTTCATACGATCCATACGACCTTCGATCCTCTGCTTTGACTGCCTCTTGGATGCCTCAAGAGCCAACTCATTGCCCTCCTTAGCAGCCTCAGCTAGAACTTTAGCAATAAGCTCCACGCCGCGTACTGAGTCGTCATTAGCTGGAATGGGATAAGAGACAATGCGAGGATCGACATCTGTGTCCGTGATGGCGATCGTAGGAATGTGGAATCGAGTAGCCTCCTTGATCGCAATCATGTTCTCTATCGGGTTCAGGACAATAACCAAATCGGGACGGAAGGGCTTGGCCAGTTCACCTGGGCGAGCGTTAGGCAAACGAGGCGTGTGGGGTCCAACAATCTCCTGAGCATTCGTAATAGTGCCAGGACACCATTTGGAGGCGACATAGTAGGCATTGCAAGATTTTGCAGCATCAATCGTCACATTATTCACTCCATCACGCGTACCAATGAATAAAATGATGCCTCCTTGACGAGCTACAGCCTTTGTGACAGTACATGCACGACGAAGATGTGTTAAGGTATGTTCCAAGTTAATGATGCTAATGCCTTCACGAACGCCAAAGACAAAAGGCATTGACGCCACGTTCCAAAGAGAAGTACTATGACCAAGATGCAATCCTGCTGCTAAAAGCTGAGCAATTGTCAAAGAGTTGGATGTGGGATTGTTGCTGAGTGTTGATTTGGATCTAGGTGCCAATTGGCCTCCATATGATAGGAATTCCGGCACTATACACCGAGTTTTTTTTTTTTTTTTTTTTTTTCCTCATGTTAGATGACTGCCAAATGGAAACCCATCAAAGGCCAAATAAAAGCATGGCAGTTTTTAACTTAGACCGAGTAGGTATAACTTACTAAGCGCCTTGAGCCTTTTCTCAATATCGACAGGCGTCGGAACAAATGTAGGCTCAGGATCAGCATTCATATCTTCGGTTGACGATGCGGATGTAGAGGATTCCGCATCTGTTGATGAAGTTTCTAAAGATGCTGAGGTAGGGGTACCAGGTGTTGCTACTTTAAAATCCGAGGCAATGTCGGCCAACATAGCGTCCAGAATATCATTATCGTCAACATTTGATTCAGATTCAGATCCTGATCCTGCTCCTGCTCCTGCTCCTGATCCCGATCCTTTGCCAGTGGAGTACATGCTGATTTGTGATGCGCGTGCCCAGGTAGGAGCGGTATATTGCTGGGTCATAGCACGTCGAACAACTATCCAGAGCGTAATAAAATAAAGCTTAATGAAGACATAAAAAATAGAGAGCAAAGCACGCTATGTGCAAACTGAAGTAATGGTATAAATTCTTAAAAGATGGAAAAGAGTATTCACTTTTTTTTTTTTTTTTTTTTTTTTTGCGGTTAGGTGAGACTAAATAAAACCTTTGGTGCTCGTTATCACTTGTCTCCGAAAGCAGAGCTTTCTTCAATGGTTTTTAAAACCATATAATTCCATAGTATGCTATTTTGTTGTTTCCCATGTTTCCATCTCGGTTTCCTGATTACCTCGTGGAGTATTATTGACCAGGGCCTGATGGGCAGCTCGTAATGAGTTGCGGAGGAAGTATGTCATTATGAATAAAAAAGTATGTGTGTCGAGACTGGTTGAATGGATCAGTATTTGTTCTCTCTTCAATTGATAATGAGAGATAACCAGAGTGGAGCAAAGGGACTAAGGGACAGAGAACAAAGAGAGAGTCAATGAACAATAACGTTGTTGACACTCGCTTCTGCCTTATTCTTGCACTCCGAAGGTGTGTGTCTGAGCGGATCAAAAACAAAACAAAAAAGCAGTGGTGGCTTTTCATTTTTCCTATTTGTTAACCTTGGGCACGTGAGAAAACTTCATTGTGTGATTTGTATATACATGTTTAATGAACAATATTATTCTATGTATTGATACGAGATTTTTCGTCTGAATCCAAAGCGGCGGACCGCATTTCCTGAAAGCCATTCTCACCAAAGTTGGAGAGGTCATAGTTATGGGAAGCCAGATACTGCCTAAAGTCCTCATCTTCCTCACCCAAAGCCTTCTTTGAATAGTCAGGAATAAGGATATAGGTGAAGACAGAGCCTAAGAGGGCGAGGCATGAGGCAAAGATAAAGACACGGCTTTGACCCAAGATCTCGTCACCATGGCCAAAACTAGAAATGAGGGGCTTGAAGATAGAGGTACCAACAAATGCACCAAACTTCCCGAAGGCAGCAGACCAACCATAAGCAGTCCCGCGGACAGCTGTGGGATAAATTTCTGCAGAAACAAGTCCAAGCATGTCTCCAGGACCGAACTCTCCCATCATCATAAAGATACCATAGAGGACGACAAACAAAGGGAAAACGTTGAGTAATTTCGTGTAAAAGACACCCATGATGATGCCAAGGACGCCTTGGCAGAAGAAACCAAGAGCCATAGTTCTCTTACGGCCAATCTTATCTGAGGCCAAGGCACCGGAAATGGATCCTGGGAGATAGAAGCAATTGAGGAGCAGCATCCATTCGGCCGTTTGGACGAAGGTGGCATCGGCGCCAATGGCATTGTCGAGGATCGTGCCAGCAAAGATGCCAAATGGGTACGAGATAAAGTTATAGAAGAACCAGGAGCCACCGGTTCCTAGAAGATATTTCCAGTAGCGACGGAAAATCAAAAGATAGGGAACGTTCTTCTTCATCGAATTTTTTTGGAAGATCTGCGAGTTATCCATCTTGAAGCGGAAGTACATGACCGAGAGAGGGGGGAGCACACCAAAGGCAAACGAAGCCCTCCAAATAACTGGATAGCTGCACCCAGCCGCACCAAGGATCAATGGAAATAAAGCCGAGAGGACAAATCCACAGTCAATGACAAAGTTGGTGACAAATACGAAAAGCATACCGCGTCTACCAGGCAAGACTTCATCTGCAGCTTCAGAGGCAGAGGCTGACGAGCATGGATACTCCCCTCCGACACCGACTCCAAGAATGCCACGATAAACCGTCAGGGCCCAGAAGAGGCCCTCAACAGAGCCTCCAGCACCGTAAGCACCAGCACAGAGAGCAGCTCCTAAAATGACGAGGAATGTTGTGAGCAGCAAACCGACCTTGCGGCCGACTCGATCGCAAATATATCCAAATCCAATCTGTCCAATAATACAGCCTATAAAGAGCGAGTTTCCAATGCGTGTTGATATGGCGGAAGTAAACTCGTCCCCATAGATCTTTGTGAAGCAGACGTTGACAAGAGATAGAACACCAACTTGATAACCATCCGATAGCAGCGCGAAACCTGTAGGGAGAAGAATGCATTTATTAAAATGATCAGAATGATACTTTTACACTTGGAGTAGCGAGTGTTTAAGCCCCCCCTTTTTTTTTCTTTTTTTTTTCTTTTTTTTTTTACCTGAGAAGATGACAGTGAATATGGAAGAGAGCCTTGATCTCTCCTTTTTCGCTACCTCATCTTGGTTAACTTGGTCAATAGGTTTCTGCGGAACGACAGTAGTCAGTGTAGGGTCCTGATATTCAAATTTATCCATACCAGTGATTGAATATTATTCCAGGTGGCGAAGTGTATATGGATAAAGAAGATGATATATATGTGTGTGGGAGAAAGAGGGAAATGCTGCGAACTGATCGTGGGATGAGGAGAAGAGGGAGTGGAAGTAAAACTTGGAGGTGTTTGAAATGATGTTCCGTTTTTATAGTGGCTGAAGTAAGAGGTGAAAGGATATCCCAGATGCACTACAAACGGAATATCAAACTGTATACATGTACGTTGTCTGGTTCCTCCTGGGACAACACCCTGACCTTTGACATCTGAAGAGAAAAAAAAAGAGCCATTTTGTTTGACGCTAGGCTATTTAACGTAAATGTACTATATACATGCGTGACTATCTGGGTCTCAAAATTCTCTTACGCTCTCCAATAACAGAGGCTACAAAGGTTGCAGAAATTAACACCTCCAGTCCGGTCATCCATGAGGTTATAAGACATAAAAAATTTCCTAGCTCAGCCTGTCGAGACTCAGCTTGGTTCATCTCTTGTCAATGGTAGAGCCAGGGCAATTGATCTGCTGAGGTCTTCCAACGCAAATTACACGGTGGTGAACTGAGTCTATGCTTCAATACGCTTTATCCAATTAGATAGCAGGATCGCTCCAGACATCTCCCTGGAACAAGAATTGTTGGATGAGCTATTTAGGCAATTGGGCGAATGGATTCTTTATTAAGCATCTCATAGAAAAAAATTCTTGCATTACGTTTTGATGCTCTAATAAGAAAGCCGTCAACTCCGATCAGCTTTTTATTGTTGGCTCCAAGGTAAAAGAAATCGCATTGTGTACCTTTACAAATGGATATTATGGGAATATTTTTTTTTATTTCCATGTGTTTAGAAAATTATATATTTGATGCTTTGGCCAGTTGCTTTTAAAGTCAAATTTTAGTTCATCTCCCTTTCTGCCGGTGCATTACCTGGTGGCATATGCTCTCCATTCAGGAATGTGTGTAATAAAGTCTATCTTTCACACGCTGCCTATTATTGCATTGGCTATGGGTTCGAAGTCAGTGCAAGAATATGTAATATATAATATATATATATGTATAAATGTTATATTATTCTCACAACTTAAGAAATACTCAAAGTAGCTGCTTCATTGAAACAATCACTTTGTCACGGACAGAGTTCTTTGCTTCCAACTTCTGTTCTCAAGCCATGTCGACTAATGGCCTAAAGTAACGCTTATTGAAATTTTACAGTCACAACACCATCCCCTGGCAGGTAACGTGGCAGCCTATAGTTGATGCTTCTCAAACGGGCTTCATGTTGACTGAACTCTCTCTTGCAACATTCCCATTAAACAACGACTATGGCACAAGCACCTAAGGATCCAACATTGCGCGAGCAACAAATCGGTAAATGACCAACTTCAATAAGACATCTGCAGGACATTTCAATTAAGGCTAGTTTATGCTGTACCTGAGCCAAATAAAGCACTCGTTATTCATCATCTATCCACCCCTCATTCAAATGATGCAACTGTTATATAGCGGCCATCGCGACCATGTTGAACCTCAACCAAAAGCCTGACACAACATCTCAGGCAGATCAGGTCATCCCTATGGCATCTGATGTAGAGTGGAAGGTTTTAATTTTTGACGCCTTTGGTCGCGACGTCATCTCCTCGGTTCTTCGTGTTAATGACCTTCGTGAGAACGGTGTCACTGTTCATATGCAAGTCTTTTTTTTTTTTTTTTTTTTTTTTTTTTTTGCTGGAAGCGAGAAAATTGATCTATGCACTGTCTCTGTATTTGCTCCGCATCGATAACTATCGCTAATGATGGGTTTCTTTTACAACACAGGCTATTGAAGAACGAGCGGCAGCCTATTCCTGATGTCCCTGCTGTCTATTTCGTGGAGCCAACCTCTGAAAATATACGCAAGATTAGCGAGGTTAGTTCCTATCTGTCCATGATTTCAGGATCAGCTCATTTAAAGGATTCATTTTTTTTTAAAAAAAAGTTCTGCTGATACAATTTATATTTCCAACATGATATCAGGATCTCTCGAACCATCTTTACGACTCTTACTACATCAACTTCTCTACAGTAATACCACGACCACTTATGGAGGAGTTTGCTGCTTCAACAATCCCTAGTGGGAACTCATCATTGATCCAACAAGTCTACGATCAGCATTTGAACTTCATTTGCACAGAACCCAACATGTTCTCACTCAATGACCGACAATCTTACTTGGCCTTAAATGACCCAACAGCGCCTGAGACAGCAATCGAGGCCTCAATTGATAAGGCAGCCAGCGCTCTATTCTCTGTTCTAGCTACCATGGGCGTTATCCCCATCATTCGCTGCCCCAGGCGCGGTGCAGCAGAGATGTTGGCCAAGAAGCTCGACAGTCGTTTGAGAGATCATGTCATGAATAGCAGGAACAATTTGTTCTCGGACTCCAACACTATGAATTTCCAACGCCCCGTACTTGTTATTTTAGATCGTAATATGGACCTAGTTCCTATCCTCAGTCACTCGTGGACTTACCAGGCACTAGTGCATGAGGTCATGGACATGAAGCTGAATGAAATCGTAGTCCAGGTACGGTCTGTCGTTCATTTGACTGGAAACGAGCTCTCAGAAAGTACGCTTTGCCTATAACATTAAGATAACATGCATTTATCTGGTTGCTTTGGTAATAGACGGAGGAGAATGGTCGTGTAGTCAAGAAGAAGTATGATATTGATGCTAAGGATTTCTTCTGGAATAAGAATGCGTCAGCACCTTTCCCCCAGGTCGCTGAGGAAATCGACAGTGAGTTGACAAAATACAAGAAAGATGCTGCAGTGATATCACAAATGACTGGTGTCAACAATTTGGACGATGTCAATCAACTGTAAGTTACAATATGGATTTGATCAGAGAGCGGCTACAAGTCTCAATTGAATTGGCGGTTTACTCATTCATCTTTTTTTTTTTTTTTTTTACAACTATAGAGACTTCTCATCAGGCGCAAAGCACTTGAAGACTGCCATCACAGCCCTTCCGGAACTCACAGCTAGAAAAGCAACATTGGATATGCACATGAATATTGCGACTGGATTGTTGCAGGGGATCAAAGAACGACAACTGGACACTCTGTTCCAAATGGAAGACTCAATCACCAAGCAGACAAAAGCGAGCATTCTCGAGGCCATTAATGATCCAGAAAAAAAAGTTGCTGAAGATAAGATGCGTCTTTTCTTAATTTACTATCTTTCGGTTCAGGAGGACATTCCTAATGACGTTATGCAAGAATATGAGGATGCATTGGTGAAAGCTGGATGTGACCTTGCACCGTTGAGATATATCAAAGGAATTCGTGCGTACATCCGTATGACGAACATGACACAGCAGCAGCCTCAGAGTTTTGGTCGCCCTGATTACCTTTTGAATCGTCTTGGTACTATTGGTAACAAGGTACCTTTTTTTTTTTTTTTTTTTCTCCATAATGTATCAAAATTAATGGCTGTTGAAGAAGAAGGCCGTTAACTTATTAGATGTTTCTTTCTTTTCAATTTTTTATTTTCTTGTCCAAATAGCTTTCTGACCATCTCGGTTCCGGTGGGTTGGGTGGTGGATTTGAAAACCTTTTGGCAGGTGTGAAAAATTTCCTTCCGGCCAAGAAGGATCTACCAATGACTCGAATTGTCGAGTCAATTATGGAGCCTGGTGGGGGTACTAATGAAACGAATGAGGATTTTCTTTACTTTGATCCTAAAGTCAGTCGAGCATCCAATGCCAAGATGCCGCGTACGAAGACGCCGTTCCAAGAAGCGATTGTGTTTGTGGTGGGTGGTGGTAACTATGTAGAGTATCAGAATCTGAACGAATACGCACAACGCCAGACAATCAAGAAAAAGATCACGTATGGATCCACAGAAGTACTGAGTCCCAAGGAGTTCCTGCAGCAACTGGCTGTCCTTGGCAAGGAGCAATAATAAAAGACACGGCTTGTTTTAAAAAAAATTGCTACATAAGACTAAGTAACTAAGACAAAAAAAGGAGGAATGACCAAACAACAGAAATTGCGGATTTTTGTACGCAGCAGATACGCAGTAGACAAGCAAAAAAAAAAAAAAAAAAAAAAAAAAAAGATAAAATTTTCTTTGTCAAAGTGCAGAGCCATCTCTTTACATCCTACCATCCACAACCCATTCTCATCCCAATCACCATGGCCGGAGGAAAGTTCAAGAAGCCTCAGCGTGGAGGCGGCAGGACCTTCAGTCGTCGCATTGAAGCTGTTCATACAAACTCTGTAAGAACTCTTCTTTTTTTTTCTTCCTCTTCTTCTTCCTCTTCTTCTGCATCCCACTTCATTCTTGTCAACAAGAGATCCTCTTTTTGAATCAACCACGAACAAACCCCTTCGCTTGCTACAAATCCCCAATGGGCAACGTTTGGCCAAATAAGTTTTTACTCACTCCCTTCCCTGTCTTACCCTTTTAATATGCAAATGAACTCTTTAGTATCGTGACAAAGAGGAATCCGAAGAGGACACTTCTGAATCGGAGGCCACCACCGAATCCGAGTCTGAGTCCGAGTCGGAATCTGGAGAGGAGGAGGTTGCCGCTGTAAGTCCCAGGTTTGTATCTTATCCTATGTTATGGTGTTACTCTAAGACTATCGGTCCACTAATGAAAGGAGGCTTGACATGTTAACTCATAGAAACCTGCTAAGAAGAGCGCTGCTCCAGTCATCGACGTTGCAAATCCTAACCGCTCCGCTGGAAACAGAGTCATGAAGGCATCGGACCTTGCTACGCCTGTTGAAATGTCTCGCAAGGAGAGGTAAATGGTTAACACCATAGCCTTTTTCTTTTCTCTTGTCGTTTTGAATCCTCTATCTAGAGGTGTTTGTTTCTTTTTTTTTTTTTAGTTTAAACTTGGGCTGGGCTAGGGCTGATCTATCCACTTTCTCCTATCTGACTCATAAATCATTGTACTGTGGTTTTTTTTTTTTTTTTTATGAAATAGGGAGGCTGCAGCAAAGGAGGCTGCTGAACAGAGATACTGGAAATTACATCAGGAGGGTAAGACGGACCAGGCCAAGGCCGACATGGCTCGTTTGGCAGTTATTCGTCAGAAGCGTGAGGAGGCAGCCGCACAGCGTCTTGCCGAGGCAAAAGGTAAAAAAAATTACTGCGGTTTTTTATTATGATTCGTTTTGTTATTTATTGTTCAACTTATGCATGTTCTTGTCCTACCAAGTGAATATGACACTGATATGCTTTTTTTTTTTTAAAAAAAAATGTTATTAGCAAGAGAGGAGGCCGCTGCAGCCAAGGCTGCGGGTCGTAAGAAATAGACTATTTGTACGGTTTTTCAGGTGTAGATTGGATAGATTAGTGTATCTTTATCAGCATAAAGACTTTTATTCTTGACACCATATTTTACAGAAAGACTGATTTGAAAGAATACCATAATTCAGAGGAATAACCCAGTCACGCATCTTTTTGTTTGTTTGTTTGTTTTTTCTTTTTTTTAAAACATGTACAATTCCTAAAGTCAATTTTGCATTGGCGCTTGCATGCTTTATTGTACTAATTGGAAAGAATAAAAAAATTACCATGGTAAGACAGTCAAGGATGGTAGTGGTGGAAAGACTTGAAGCAAAAAAAAAAAAGAAAAGAAAAAAAAGAAGCTTCAATGACTTTAGAAAAATAAAAAAATAAAAAAAAAAAAAACTGTTGAAAGTTCTGACATGGACAAGATATTCTCTAAATAAATTCATATTCAAATAGACAAATATTAAGGCAGACCACAAGAGTGGTAAGAAGAAGGAGAATCTCAATTGGGAAATTAGTAAACTCCAAGCTCAGATTGGAGAAACAACGTTAAGAAGAGCACAGAAGGCCATTGAAGCTGAACGAAAAAAAGAGAATGCATCGACTTCAACAACAGCAAGAACAGGATCTGGATCAGGTACAGGGACAGGGACAGGAACAACAACAGCAACGACGCCCGAGGAAGGATCTGAGGAGGCAAAAGCAATTGCAGAGAAATTACTCAAATTGAAAGAGGTCAAAATTAGTCAAAAGATTGTATGTGGAATGATTTTACTTTTTTTTTTTTTTTTTTCTTTCTATTTGTCTTGTTTTTATTTCAAGTGAGAGTTCCATCTAACGAATGAATCATATCACGAACATCTTCGTTCTATGGTAATTATGGATAACATAACAGTATCAAGCAAAAAAAGAGATCAGGAGAGCATTCGTCAAAGCAAAATCATTTGAGATTCAGAGACTTCATAAGCGGTTGAAGGAGGCCAGGAAAGCAATAGAGTATGTTTACTTTTTTTTTTTTCCCTCTCTCCTGTTAATTACATATGAATCATCTATTTAAACACTTTCTATTCAACTAAATGAAGGAGCAAGAGTGAATCGAATGGCCACAAGGAGGAATCGCCAGAAGAGACCAAGCAAAGTAAAAAGAAAGAGTTAACAAAGGATGATATTCCAAAGTTTGAACAGGAACTCGAATTGGTCAAGGTTTGTTACATGAGCCAGGATGTTTTTTTTTTATTACAGAGATTGATAAGTATGCAGCTCCAAGAGCAAAAACAGACTGAAAACATATTGTTATATTATAGAACATGAATATGGACTCATTATCAGAGCATGCATTTGTTGCCAAGTTAAAGAAACACCCAATACTTGGGTCACATGCACTGATGAAGCCCTACATCGAAATTGAAGACGCCAATATCAGCTCCAAGGTTGAAAAGAATCAGCAGAGCGAGAAACCCAAAACTGACTCTTTAGAAAACAATAATTCAACTATGAAGGAATCACTTGTTCAGATCATTGAGGCACGTCTGACAAATACAAAAACTGTAAAAGAGCACATGACAAAATTGTGGGACGAACTCGAGCATATTGCCACTGGAAAGAGAGTGGATCATAATGAACTGGCAAAGAAACGGAAAATGGGTATCGATGGCAATACTGATAATACTGAGGCTGAGGTAATACGTTTGATACGTCGGAGTCAAATCCAGAACACTGTCCTTTTGTCGATATTACCATCATCTGAGTTGCTTTATAAAAAGGATTGCATCTAAAATATCTCGTTTTTTTTTTTTTTTTTTTTTTTTTAAAAAAAAAAAAAAAAAAAACTACAGAAGAGCAAGAAAGCGAGGACAAGTAAAGACATCAAGGAATATAGACACAAGAGCAATGACAGTGACGAAGATGGAGACGAAAGTGATAATGAATCTGTTGACATGTCACATATCAGTGACGGTGAACATAATGACGGATACGACTCGGATGGTCTGCCGTTACCTATGAACGGAAAAGCTACTACGGCAACATCCATGTTTATCGGCTCTTTGAATGCCGGTGACTCGAAGAAGAAGAAAAAAGACAAAAAGGATAAAAACGACTGGGTCGATGACAAATTTGATGAAATTTATGGCAAGACCAAAAAGAATCGACCCGGTCAGCGAGCACGTCGACTGTAAGCACTTCTTGTATTATATTCATTTGTATATGCTCTCTTGTCCTCTTTTTTTTTTTTTTTTTTTTTTTTTTTTGAGGGCAGAGGAAAGGGGTAGTATTCTTTTTCTGATGACTCATTCTATTCGTCATTTGCTTCACTTTTCACTTGAATATTAGTAAAGCGGAACGTAAGTATGGTAAAGAAGCCAACCATGTCAAGAAAGCAGAAGAAGAAGCTCGTTTGCGAGAAGAACGAAAGGCCGCACGCAAGGCAAAGAAGGAACAATTCAAGGCCAAGGATGCATCGTCTGCTAACGCAAAGAAACTAGCGAATCGACGTGCGATTGGTGATGGTTCGGTAGCCAAGCCAATAACACAGACTCCCTCGGGACCAGATCTTAATGACCCTACACTGCATCCTTCATGGATTGCCAAGCAAACTGAGAAGGCAGCGATGGCGGCAGCTTTATCCGGGTCCAAGAGCAACAAGATTGTTTTTGATGATAGTGATTAGACCAGTAATAAAGCAAAGTGATACACACTCATTTGACCCGTCAGGTTGAGTTGACCTAGTACATGTCGAATCAAGTGGTATGATCGAAAAACTCTTTACCTCTTTGGGCAAAATTTTCTTTCCTTTTTCTCCGCCTCTCTCTCTCCGTCTGTCGCTCACACACTTTACATCGTCGTCAACGCTTCGATCCTTACATCTCTTTTACCATTGACCTTCCCATTCACAGAGGAACCTACGCAGCTACTATTCATTCATCCTATCATAAATACATCGCACATCTAGTGCCCCAATGGAAGACCTCTCGGTAAGCATACAAACTGAATTTACTCCTCCCCTCTTCTGTCCTGGAACCAGAGTTTCTCTCGCGTCAAAAGAACACACAAACAAAAAAAAAAAAAAAAAAAAAAAAAAAGCAAACAAGGACTGCCCTCACCAGCAATGCATCAGCACATGCAATGACTTTGCCCATGCTAAAAAAATAACAAAAAAGAAAAGAAAGGAAGGATAGGAGAACTGAATGTTCATACTTCTTTTTAATATTTTGTCTGTCTGGGTATTTTTTTTTTTTTGTATTTTGTTTTTTGTTTTTTTGCAACTAGACCATCACTGGGCGAATCATTCCGTCCCTCCTTGTTACTCAATTAAAGGCTCTCATCAAAACACTGAACGAAACTATCCGCCCGGCGCCTCAACTCAAACTCAGTGGCAACAAGTCGGATTTAATTAATAGAGTCGTAGGATTCATTACTCAATACCATCAACTTGGTGACCAAGCTGTAATTCGACAGATTCGTCACTGTGTCGCTGCATTCAACCAGGGGTATGTAAAGCCAGCATTAGACTCATTTCCTTTTTTTTTACTTTTCGGGAATCATGCATTCATGCTTCATTTAGCAATGAAACATATTTCATGTGTTCCTTCTCGTCACCAATCGTTATCGCTATTCTCTATTGCTATTACATGCATCGGCATCTTCAGATTCGATGATTATACTCATGCACTTCTTACTTGATTCACCTATTCAATAGGGACGTATCTATCACAACGCCGTCCGTTGCATTGCACCATCCTCATAGTAGTAACAATATCGGGAGTAGTAGCACCAACGTGTATAGACTATCTTCTGGATCAACATCGAGTTCATCATCAATGCTCGGTTCAAAGACAGGAGCCGGCTATCCTCCTATTCAATCACAAAATGGTAACATGAATATGCAGAGGAGCCAACACCAAACACATCATTCTGCCACGCAGCATCATATTCAACATCGCCAATCACATCCGCCTGCACAAATCTTTAAATCCAGCCCCTTTTACAGAGACATTCAAACTTTGACCCCACCTCGGCTCTGTATTGGTAAATTCATAACCATTTTTCATAAAATGCTCTTGTTGACGTTAAGTTGTGAACCAAAATTAGATGGTCTTGGTTTTTTTTTTTTTTTTTTTTTTTTTTTTTTTCGGATGTTGCAAAATCGATTTTAATTCAGCGTTATATCTCTTCGGCTGGGTCTGGATCATTTTTTTCTTTCATTAGAGGCTAAGGATCGCACACTTTCAGTCACGCTGTCTTTTACAGTCGCACCTATGTTATCCATTCAGCTTAAAAAGTAAAGAAGGAGTGTTATTTTTAATGACGTGCCATTGCTTTTCACAAAAATTAAAGGAGAGCGTACTCAGGATCTACAATGAAAAATATATTAACGTCTTAGCATATCATTACTGCTACAATCAATAGGGATCCGGAATATCAACTCATGGTATTTTCTGGATGGGCGGATGGCCCAAGTTCACCTGTGTTAATGGAGTTTCCTCATGTCTGTGAAATTAAGGTTAACGGCAGAGTCTTGGAAGCAGTAAGTGAGCTTGGATATGCCCTTATACCTTATTCCAAAAGTATGAATCACATACACATTGGAAGAGATCCTGATGTTCATATTTAAATGTTATCATTAATTATCTCTAGAACCTTCGTGGAATGAAAAATAAGCCTGGCACGGTATCACCAGCCAATATCACAAAACTATGTCGTCTAGAAGCGGCAGACTACAACAAGGTTGAATTCATTTATGCAAACTCCACCAAGGTATGAGCATACGTAGCCAAAACTTGGTCCAACCTCCCCATTTCATAATTTATAGTACAAGTCTAATTTTTCTCATTTAATATATCCGAAATTCATAGAGATATTATGTGTCAACTCATCTCGTAAAGAAAACATCTGTTGAATCGATCGTGGCGGAAATTGAGCGCGGAAAGTTTTTGAGTAAAGAGAAAATGTTGCGAATGAGTAAGTATCGTTTTGTTGTGGCAGCCATAAAGGATATCAGCATATTGGCAAAAGACACTAAAGTCCACTCACTTATGAAAACATTTATAGTTGAAGACAGGAACAAGGATGACGATATCATGGCAACATCTAGCACGCTATCCCTTAAGTGTCCTGTAAGTCGTGCAAAGAAGGAACGCAATGATCTGTATCATCGATGATGTCACTTTATTTGTCTTACAGATACGTTGTCCTTTATGATTCTAAATAGCTTGGGTTTCAACGAATCAAGATTCCATGTCGTTCCTCATACTGTCAACATTTACAGTGTTTTGATGCCTACACGTTTTTCAATCTCAATGAGCAAACACCTACGTGGACATGTCCAGTATGCAGCAGAGTCATGCACTCGTGGGAGGAAATTGTTGTAGATGGGTACGTTTGTTCAAAGCCCATATGGCAGTTTTAATATAGCTCCGTATCTGGCAGGCCTTGCTAACTAATGTATTATGCTTATTTACATTCTTAGCTATTTCAAAAATATCCTCAACTCAACGCCGAAAGATTTAGAAAATATCACTGTCCAAGCAGATGGATCATGGGAAATTCCATCAGCGCCATCTCAAACTGAACAAGCTGCCGCACCATCTCCCAAAAAGAAAACCCCTACAGGGGATAGCGTGTTCATTATTGATGAGGATGATTCGGACGACAATGAAGACAGTGCATCAGCTGCCCCACCAGCAAAACCATCAAAGCCAGCAACTGAGGTCATAGATCTGATCTCCGATAGCGAAGAAGATGAGCCAACAGCAATTGATACAGAAGGCGACTCTATTATGAAGGATGCGGCAAATTCCCTACAGAATATGGCGGCAGCAGCACATGTAATGGTACCGGGGGAACCGCCTTCTGTCAAGACTGAAATTTTTGACAAGCCCACACCCACCGAAACAGGCGTTACACCAGCACCTCTTGAACTTCACAGTATATTAAGTTCTACCAATGCATCACGTGCTGCATCCTCGGAATCATCTCCTATCATTTCTACTCGAATGGCTCAAACAGAGCCTCTTCAATCAGGCCCTATTACACCGCCGGTATCTAGGGTAGGACCCGTATGGGAATCTGGTGAGGATGTATTTATGAACGCACTATTGAACCCTAGGCGAAAGCGGCAGTTTGATGGTAAGCCGGACTCACCGTTTAACTTTTTTTCTTCCTTTTTTTTTAATTAAAAAAAAAAAAAAAAAAAAAAGGGTGCCATCATTAACGCATAACGAACCATCTTTCTAACAAATCAATGTATATGAAATGTATTATAGACACTGGAGACAGTGAAAGCCCAAACAGCATGGCGTATGAGGCTAGACAAAGGATAGCAAGACTGGACATTCACTCAAACGCAAGCTCAGAAAGAGGATCGTCCTCTACCATTCCCTCACCAGATGCGCCTAGACGTTCGACCTCATCTCCGACCCCCATTCCAGCATTTCATGATCTTGATCGGCGAGGGGCTGGCGAGCATCAAACGGAAATTGATGATGGAATACTACGATCACGGCGAGAACATACTTTGAGCCGGCCTGTTAGTATGGCCTATTATGACGGTGGTAATCAATCTTCATCCGGGCCACCTATATCCTCAGCTCAATCAGTATTTGCGCCACCTCATCTCTCACCACACCACCAAGGTAGCCGCAGTGCACGAAGCTCCACTATGTCTCCTCCACTTCAACACCCGTATAACAACTCATCTCCTCATCAGCACCATCATTCAGCTCACAGATCAACGAACTCACCTGGCCCAGATTATTATCCAGGTATTTCACGGCCACCATCCAGCGGATCCATGGCCACTTCGACCAACATAGGGTCGAGGTCTAATGCAGCTATCGCGCCTTCGTTTGGTGGCTCGACTGCAGCGTGGCCCTCAGATTTGTTCATAAATGGTAGTCAAGACCGAGCCAATCGTGGATGGGCAGCTGATCAACTGCCTAGTATCTATGGAGGTAACGTTCATTTGAATCATGAGAGTAACAGTCCGAGAAGAGTCAGTGCGGATGAAACACGGGCGAATTCAAGTTCGAGACACTCTTCGCCTGCGCAGACTGCGTCTTCTACAAAATATCCTCACCTCTACAACTCTCATCCTTACTCGTCACCATCAAACACCCAACAAACACAGCAGTCATCTCATCATCAACGACACCGATCAAATGACGAAATGGCAGGATACGGAAGGCGAGAAGATGGAGTGGACAGTGGGAAATATCAGCACCGTTCTAGTTACAGCATTGATGAAGGTCAAGACAATAGAAGGAGTGGATACGGAGCTGGCCACCACGTGCAAAATGTATATAATTCAAATCAAGCTAGTCAGGCCAGTGTAAGTAATGACATCAGTCAGCTTAACGGCGGTAGTCAAGGAATAGGAACTCCATCAGCGCTGGCAGCTACAAATGATCATCGATGGAGTGATAACATTGTAACACACGTGAATACAGGTGTTTCCAAGGATGACGAAGGCCCAATCTTCTTGCATGGCCTGCGGGGTGCCCGAGCACGATAAACTATAATTAAATATCTCGTAGCTATTTTTTTTTTCCCTTTTTTTTTCTTTTTTTTTTTCTTTTTTTCTTTTTTCTTTTTTTTTTTTTTTTTTTTTTTTTTTTTATGTATTTGGTGACATGCGCGAATTCCTATGAGAATAGCAATCTCATCTAATAATAACATGTCTTCACAATCAAAATTGATCGACACGCTTGCTCAATAAATATAGCTTGATGGTCGATTTTCTGTTATTGATCCTAGTTGATGGTGGGTGATTTTGGAGACGTTTGCTCCAGTTCATAAGACCACGAAGTCGGTGGTTTACGACATTGATGGGAACATGATCAATAAAGGATGCTTAGTTGTAGACAATCTTCTTTATGTCAAAAGACTCATCCATCTTTGCCTTTTCTCCTCCACAAGCTTGCTGATTTTGCTTATTGTTCTGTTTCTTTCTTACAAATTCTTTCATATTTCTCAGCTAAACTTCTGGTTAAAGGTCAATTTTATACATACTTTTCTTCGATGTACTCCAACTTCTTCCAAGTAGATGTCCATGCTGCAGCTGTGATTCTTCTGCTGTCACTACACTGCATTACTGGGGCTTTAGCGCTTCAGACCAACAGCAACAGTAACGTCAATATGGCCCTTGTTTTGCAAGGTGGTCCGGATGGGACTAAGGAAGGGACGAGTAACGCGATGGCACTCCAGGGGGCTAAGGAGGCATGTATCGGGAACTTGCCTACGAATGCAGGTTATCAATACAAAACCTGTACGTTGCACACGTTCACACCTGCGTCAGAGACGCTGCAAGCTTATTCGAGCTTGATTCCTCCCAAGGCGAAGGAGAATGATTTTATGATGGCTCTTGGGTATTTCCCCTCAAAGGCCATTCAAGCTGCAGCGAATACAAATGGCCAGAAGTTGTTTGCAATCGCAGATTTCGAGTTTACACCGCCAGTGGCGAACATTGTGAGTGTGATGTATTCAGAGGATCAGATCGGTTATTTGGCCGGTCTCTTGGCAGGTGAAGTAGCCAAGACACGGGGAGGAAAAGTCGCAGGTAAGTCTGATGATATGATACGATACGATGGCATTTTCAAGGGAGAATAGATGAATAGATAGCTCTACTTGGTTACTAAGTGATGTATCGATTTCAAAAGTCATTGGAGGAATAGACCAGCCTAGTGTGCGCCGCCAAGTGAACGGGTTCGGTAACGGCGTTAAGGCTTCGTGTTCAACCTGTCGTGCCTATGGTATCTATGCAGGGACCTTTGATGCAGATCCAAAGACATCGACCTCTGTGTCCCAGGCGTTCAAATCGCGTAAAGTGAGTGTGGTGTTTAATGCAGCCTCGATTTTTGGAACCACGACGCTCAAGAATCTGACAGTGCAGCAAGGGGTCTATGGGATCGGATCTGGATCGGATGAATGGGTTACGAACTGGGCGTATGGGTCTGTCCCCGGTAGCGAGCATATCTTGACATCGATTCAGACTGATTACAGGGTCCTTGTGCGATCTGTGATGCAGAGTGTGTTACGGGCCAACTTAACAGGTGGATCGACGGTTTTCTTCGGTGTGAATGCTGATGCAGCGCAGAGTGCCATTAAATTGGCACCAGTGCATGAGGCTTCGAATGTGTTTACGAAGGAGCTACAAAACAAGATGGAAGGGTACATTGAAGACATTACCAAGGGTAAACTCAAGACCGGAGTAGATCATAAGACGGGTGAAAGTCGCGCAAGCGGATCATGCAAGTTCTTTTGAAATACTTGACTTACTACTGTCCACTCCATAAATACATCTGTGTACTTGTCCAATGTGTTTACTAACAATCATAAATATTGCATTTGCTCTCATCTCGTCCCAAACTTTTTTTTTTTTTATTCATGCGCATTTAAAATGCCACGTACAGCCCCAACTAGCGTCGAGCTCCTATCACTGACTGCTAATGACTCCAAAGAATCGAATAATGACGAGGATAGGACCAATTCTACAGTCGAATTAACCTCGTCATCGCACACTTCATCAGCATCGCTACTACTATCGTTTGGCGATCAGAGCCAGAAGATGGTTTATTTTACAGAGTTGTTATTGATTGTGTTTATGGTTCAGATGATGATGGTTTAAATGGGATATAAAAAAAAAAAAAAAAAAAAAAAAAAAAACAATTTGAACTTTTTTTCTTTTCCTTTTTTCCTTTTTTCCTTTATCACAGAAAAGAATAAAAATACACAGGAGATTTAGTTTTCTGCTCCCACGCTGCAGAAAGAAAGAAAAAAGAGCTGTACATGTAGATAGCCTCATTGGAATTGCAATGTCGGCTCTATGATCAGGAATGTACAGTATTTTATGAGATTGTATTTTTTTCTTTACTGTCTCTCGATAAAACAAATCTTTGGCTGTGCGTATGTCCATAGTACGATCTTGAACTTCTTTTTGCTGCAAGCGAACTAACCATTAACAGCGTAAATCCTCTCTTCCTTTCAATGAGCATGGAAGTAGTAAGATTTGATTAGATTAGTGTATGCTCAGGAATCAAAAAGTTTTTTTTATTGGTGCTTCGACTTGATTGTAATATTTTGGATGCGTACTATTGATCTCTTTCAGTGGGTGAACGAGGAGTTAGAGCGTAAACATGGAAATAGTTTCAGACAAATAAAGAAAAAAAAAATATTCATGTCAAAACAAGTCTAAACATATTTATGTGAACCCCATGAACAAAGATCGACCTAGTGACAGAAAGTAGCAGAAGGGATGGATAGTATATACCAGCACAGGATCTAGGCGCCAGAGGTAGCCGAAAAGGCAAGGGTTTTGGCGAAAGGAGAGCATTTTTTTTTTTTTTAGCTCTCCTTCAACAGATTCACAGAAAAGAACCCTGGAAATATTACGGGATGGCTGAAAAAAAAACATCCCGCCCGTGCTAACTGTGTGCGTGGCAACGCAAAGTGAAGGACCTAACTCGGATCATTTGGAAGCAGGAGTGCAGTAAATGTATACAGTAGATTTGGACTGCATATTCAAAAGGCTGGAGACACTACTCTGGTCCCAGGCCTTGCTTCCTCGATCATGCTCTTGATCTTTTGTTAAAAAACAAATGTATACATAAACCATGGTAATCATGATAATGAACCATCGATCCAGGCAACAAGTCAGTCCGCATAATCAATATCCTGGTCTTATTCTTGTTGAAATTGAAATTGATTAGAGAGAATGGATGCCACATGGTGTAAACAGGGTACAAACAAGGACAGTTGAGAGAGGACATAGCCGCATCAATTCGAGACCAATCAACAAGAAAAAAGCCATTGTTGGAGGCAGGCTCTTTCTTTTTTCTTTAACAACTCATGACTGATTGTGTGCACTGATGCGGAATGTTGCTTTGTGTGATTTTGGCCTGCAACTGGAGCACAGGACAAAAGAGGTTAGAAATATAGTAAGCAAGCGTGTGGACGGATGGGATGTCCATGTGTCTTTGTCTGACCTATTCTGACTGACTGGCTGACTGGCTGACTGACTTCTTTTCATCATCCGTTAGTCTACCATGAGTATTGGAAGTGTTAGCGTTGGTCGTGTTGAATGTAAATCTCAAACTGACTATCACTCTTTTTTCTCCTTTTTTTTTTTTTTTTTTTTTTTTTTTTTTTTCCTTTTTCCATTTTCCCCTGTGCCTGTATTTTGTTCCTGTGCATTGTGTTTTTCCATTGTCTTTTTAATCCTTCCAGCCCCCCCGTCTTTCTTTCCTCTTCTCACTCTTGTCCTCACTCTTCTTCACTCTCTTTTATTCACTGATGTATAATCTTCATCCCTGATCCGACGCTTTCTTACATTACCCTCCTCATTTCATTTACTTTATTTCTCTCGCTCTCACTTTCTCTTTCTCTTTCTCTCTTCTCTTTCTTTCTCTCTCCCTCTCTCTCTCTTTCCTCTCTCTCTTTCTCTCTCTCTCTCCTCTCTATTATTTTATTCTGTCTTATCCTCATAATGGGCACAACTCTCTCACGCGACCATGCCAAACTCCCTTTTGGCTACACTCATGCCCGTAAAGACCACTCATTTAATACTTCGTCAGTCTCGAGGAAACGGCTCGCTCCTCGTCTATTAAGAACACCAGACACCACCTCAGTCACCCCCTTCCCCATCCAAGATGGCACCTCATCTGTCGCTTCCATCCCAGAAATGGTCTCACAACCATTACCCCTGTCCACTAGTGTACACCTATATGAATCTTTGTCCTCTCAGTCTGCAAATGGTAGTAACACAAGTCATAATCATAGTGAAAGTGTACACTATCATCATACTGTTCCAGAATCTGGAACAGGGGCAGGGTCTGCTGCGATCTTTTCCACCAGTCCGGTGCCTGAATCTGATATAAATGAAACAGCCGCTCGCACACCCTCAATACGTGTGAGAACAACGGTGGCATCGCGGACAGCAGTGGGTGCTACAGTAACTACAACAACAATAGCAGCAACAAGATCTGCATCTTCGCAAGCGAATACAGTTCATGCACAGCACCGGAGTATGGATCAAGCTGCACAGATTACAACTCTCTCCACACCTGCCTCTCCAGGCTCATCTGTCTTATCAACCAGTCCAGGTCAAGTCCAGACTGATATTGTTACTGCAACTATAACTTCAACTGAGCCATCCACAGTTCAGAATCAAAAATCAATGCAGTTAAGCCGTACTCAGATAGGGCAGGAGAGCGAAATGGATGTGATCTCCACTCTAAGGATCACCGATCAACCAAATCAGAACCCGTACAATTTTTTTAGCTCGTCCTGCCAATCCTCACACCCAGAACCTCAACCACATCTGCATCGCCCACCAATGCTGACAAAACAAGACTCAATTGCATTATTTGTCAGCGGCTCACAGTTACTGGAGATGCAAGAACAATCGCAGAAGAGTGATGAAATACAGATGAGGAGCACCCAAAACAATAGGACCATTAGACCTGATTTTCGAGCCCATCCATCTTCAAAGCGGACGCTGTCGTACGAAGTGAAGATGACTGAGCGTGAACTTCAACGGTTACAGGAAGAAGACGAGGAGTTCAGTGAGTCTTGGGATGCAAACACACTACATCTAGAAAACTGTCGTGGTGGTGAGACTGACTCGATTCTGGACGAGGAACTAGAACATCTCAGCCCCATACCATTCTCCGAATTGCCCAGTCTGACCAACATTGGATTGTGCTCACATGGCATCGTCAGATTATCGTCCAACATCCGCCTTTTAGCCTCTGCGACATGTGTACAAATGTAAGCAAGTTTTTTATTATTTGTTATTATGATTATTTATTGTACTTATCGTTATTTGATCTTTGACAATAGCCTTTCAATAAAATATACTAACCACTTGGCTTTTTTTTTTTTTTTTTTTTTTTGTACTTTAAAAAATCTTTTGGCGCTTGTTTGATTAATTACCGACCTAATTCCCTCCTTCCCTACACCAATGACGATCACTGTCTGTGTCGAATTTAATTATTGGGACTAAATGAAACTTACACGGTCCTTACTGACAATGGATCTGAACGCGACCCCAAATTGGATCTTTACCCCATTAACAATATCATCTCAACCCTTAACAATACCATCAATCAGTTGCTGTAACGAACTCAGCAGAGTTCCAGCAGAGATTGGCTTCCTTCGCAACTTGACCCTATTGGACCTTTCCAAGAACAGATTAACCCGTTTGCCAGAGTCTATCATGCATTTGACAAAGCTAGTGGATCTCAAGCTGTCCTATAACCAGCTCGAGTCCCTTCCAGCAGGCATCGGTGGATTGGTCAAACTTGCTGCGCTTTCCCTTGATGACAACCGCCTTGAATCCCTCCCGTCTCAGATTGGACTCATTAAGGGACTTGTCAATCTGGATCTCTCAAACAATCCTATCACTGTTTTGCCTGCAGAGGTTGGAAAGCTTCAGTTTTTGAGACGGTTGAACTTGGATGGATGTCCGCTGGTCAAGAAGTTTGAGCACCAACCATTGCATTCCCCACCCACTCTTCTCGAGCTGGCAGCTAGAGTCATGGTCCGTCATGATGTACCGACTCCACCGATGGTTCCCCAACATCTAAAATCGTATCTCAAGAGCGCCCGTGCTTGTTCGTTCTGCGATGGCCCATATTTTGACTCTTGGGTCAAGAGAGGCAAGATGATTGAGAAGAACGAAATGTTCATTCCACTCGAATACACACTCTGTCAGCCACATTGGAACACAGAGATGGAACGGGTCAAGCTTTTGTTTTGCAAGCGTCCCATTACCTCACCTCCTCTCAAATCACCCACGCCATCAACACAATCATCTTCCTCTACTGAGAACAACAATAACAGAAAAAAAAGCGAAGCTAAGAAGCAGCCGAATAGGACGTTAGATTCCTTACCAACCCTGGAAGCTGAGTATCAATCTAGCCTTCAATCCGATTTTTCCACTACCACAACCGCTGTTACTACTCCTGCCTCAGAGGTCCCACCATCTCTGTCGACGGCAGCATCATCATTGACTCGTCCTCGTAACAGAAAGTATGCATCTGAGGGCGGTGACCGCGAGCGGCCGCTGTCGACCATCGGTAACCGATTGTCGATGCTACTCAGTCCTAAAGCGGATAAACGTGAGAGGCCAGCATCAGCCAATCGGACTTCCTCTCTGCCAGTCATGGCCACTGCTTCATCCTCTGCTTCCTCGAGTATGGCAGCATCCTCTGCTACGACGCTGTTGTCCTCTCCATTATCATCTCCATCCTCACCTTTTACAGGCCCATCAAGTAGCCAAACAGCCACTGTGGGATCACTTGTATCAAGCACCCCTGTCTCGGAAGATATCATTAGCAATAGCAGCGCCTCTGGGATACTTAGACCTACAACACGCCGAACTCCCACAAGTAGTCTTTTGGCTCGAGCAGCTTTCAAGCTGAAACGACCGTTGTCCATGGGGTCTTCAGCGTTTGAGCCCATAGGCATCCCTTCAAATCCACCAACATCAACAGAATAGATTGATTAGATTCTTTTTTTTATCTTTTTTCTTTTTTGTAAATCAACACCTTTATACCCTCTCATCTCATTTACTTAGAAACCCATTTTATTTGTCAATATCATTCCCTCCAATTCTTTGGTTTTTTTGCACGCACAATTTTGTCACCAACAAGAAAAAAAAAAAAGAAAAAAGTACTGCATACTTTCACTTTACCAACAAATCTGATTGTATTATACAAAAACAAAATGAGCATATTCATATTCATACTCATACTAAGAGTGAGTGCCAGAATTGCAGCCCTTGTCTGAATAATTCTTTTCTTTTTTCTTTTTCTTTTTCTTTTTACAGTACATTCAACTTCAAAAGTTCGAGGATGTTTTTCAAAAGTTATTTTAATTGAATAACAAATGCTTTGCGAAAATGCACTTCAAAAGGACTACTGCCAAAAATTTAATTAGGCCTTAGGAGCTTCCTTGACAGAGACGGCAGCCTCCTCACCCATCGCAGCAACAACAGTGACAAGGAGCTAATAAGCAAGCAGAAAAAAATATATATGTATATTGGTTAAAGATCAAGTCCAAACAAGTTAAAAAAAAGTCAATTGAGGAATTAAAAGAGAATAGCGAATGTTCGATTTGGGATGATAAAGGGTATTAAAAAACTTGACTTACGTCCTTGCCAGCTTCAAAGTCAGCCTCAATCCTCTCACCGAGTTCACCCTCTGGAACTTTAACATCGTCCTTCTGGTTGGAATCAGCGTCCAAAAGGTTCAAGAAACCATCGTCGATGTTGACGAGAGTGTACTCAGTACGCTTGATGTTGGGGACATCCATGTTGTGGGTGGAGGGAGAAAGATCCTCGAGCTTCTTGCCAGTGAAGATATCGATGGCAACCAAGTGGACCTTGGCGTGACCGTGCTTGCCAGTCTTTGAGGTCGACATGTCGACAATCTTGCAGGGACGACCCTTGATAACAACGTGACCGTTCTTGCGAAGGGCAGAGCACTGCATGGGGAAGGTCAACGAGGCTCCGGAGGAGGTACCCTCGAACTGGACGTTGTGCTGCTCGTCGTCGGACATTGTGTCTAATAAAAAAAAAAAAAAAGCAAAAAAATGCACTTGTCAGTTAAGTTTCGTAGTGTAGCCTTATTGAATAACTTTCAAGCTAAAAAGAAAGAGAGAGGAAAAAGTTTTTTTGAAGCGTTCCCCATCGCCAGAATCTCCCATGGAAAACAAAAAAACTGTAACATCATACACTCTTTTCTCATTTGCCCTCTTCCCTCCTCCCCCCTCTTCAAATCCGATGTTCTGGGTTCAATGAGATAATAGCTCCTTGTGAGCTGTGGTTTTGGTCCAGAAAGAGATGTTGAGAAATTCCTTAGATCATAGCCAGTCGGTCGATCCGCCCGAACTTTCCAGTACTGCTACGGAGCATCTTAATTGTCCATGGATGGCGTTTATGTTAAGCAACCTAGTATTCCCCTTTTTCACGTCCCTTCCCCAATTATATTATAGTAAATAAAATAAACATGAACTAACAAAAGTATGATGATTAAAAAAGAGAAAGATGAAGTGGAAATAAGGGTAATGTGTCTTATAAATAAGAGTATTTAAAAAGGATGGAAAAAAAAAAAAAAAAAAAAAAAATAGGAGGAGGGTGCGAAGGAATGGGGGGGGGGTGCGTGCATGGGTTAATGGTGCATGGGTATTACCTTGTAAATTGGTGAGGAGAAAAGGAAAGAAGGATGAAGTTCTGATGGGGGTCGGTCCTATTTTATGTTGTTGCCAAAACTCTTTAGACCCCAGCCTGTGAAGGGTGTCTGAATATTTTTTTTCTGACACACATCACACTAAACCAACGGGGGAAAAAAAAAAACAAACAAAAAAAAAGGTTATAATTAAGGGTATATTATCACGTGCTATAATGATTAGAACAGACACGTAGATCTGCTCGTCCAACAGAAATATCGTACGTAGAAATGCATACAGAGAACACTCCTGCCAGTTGAGGAAACAGAAACAAAAAAAACTTGCATCGCACATTCCACATTACACATTACGTTAATTGACCTTTATTTTTAAACTTCTCCTTTCTTTTCTTGCTCTTGGAGGGTCAGTCTCTTCGTTCTCTACCCGTGTGGCATACTCATCCGTTTCTGTCATCCTCCTATCACGGATACTTAGTGTTCCAACCAACCATGTATAACGTAGACGCGTACCTCAAGACCTTGACTTCCAACGCAGTCAAACTCTCTAAAAAAGTTCAGGATGGCATAGTGGAAAATACTCGTGACTTTCGCTTCGAGAACCAAGCGCATTTTCTCGACACAAACGAAGACAAAATGAGGTAAATAGCAACAACTCACCCCATATTAGCCTCAGAAACATGACAACATATTCTAGCGTAGTTTTTTTTTTTTTTTTTTTTTTTTTTTTTTGAAGCCATTCACACATATCTGTTCATTTTAATATAATAGAGAAATCCGCAAGAACTTGGATTCAAAATATGAGAAAGAAAAACTGGATGGTTTGAAGCGGTTGATCGCTGTACGTAGTTCTCTCAGCCCGGAGTAAAAGCTACCAATCAATAGATGAAAGATGTTATCTGGAATAAGTTCGACAAATACTTTACATCCATGTTGTAACTCATTCACACTCTCGATTCTTAAAAAAATCGTCCTCTGACAACAAACCACGTATAGATGATCTCCAAGGGTAGAGATGTGTCCGAGTTTTTCCCTGATGTAGTCAAGAATGTGGCATCTACAAGTTTGGAAGTCCGCAAATTGGTCTACATTTACATCTTACGTTATGCAGAACAGGAACAGGATCTCGCATTGTTATCCATCAACACATTTCAAAAGGATTTGAGTGATAAAAATCAGCTTATCCGAGCCATGGCACTACGCGTCATGTCTGGTATCCGTGTCCCCGTCATTAGCCCTATTGTCATGCTGGGTATTAAAAAGTGTGTTACCGATCTGTCGCCCTATGTCCGCAAGATAGCTGCTCATGCAATCCCAAAATGTTATCAGTACGTTGACCATATAAGCAAAGGAAATATGAGCATACAACATGACAACTCGTCGCCTTTATTTTTTTTATTTTTATTTTTATTTTTATTTTTATTTTTATTTTTATTTTTATTTTTATTTTTATTTTTATTTTTATTTTTATTTTTTTTTTCCTGGACCCATATTTATCTTATAGTTTTTGTATGTAAAAAAAAAATAGATTAGACCCAGCCCAAAAGGAAGCTTTGATCGACATTATCAGTACAATGCTTGGCGACAACTCGACGTTCACAATTGGCAGTGTCATCATGGCGTTCAACCACGTCTGTCCTGATAGATTGGACCTCATTCATCCTCAGTATAGGAAGCTCTGCAGGATGCTAGTAGACATGGATGAGTGGGGTCAAATTACAGCTATAGACTTGTTACTGCGCTATTCAAGGTAGGTCTTCGATGGAGCGCTTAATATTTGATCAACTGAAGCGTTTCATATCCTAATGATGCCAATGATGTTTGATCTACTAAATCAATTTATCTACTAATGACCGTTATCAATTTCTTCTTACTGGCTTTCAGGACACAATTTCTTAATCCCATTGGAAAGACATCCGCACCTACGATCCGCGCCAAAAAGGAGAAAAGTGTTGTAAAATCGTTTTATTCGGACGATGATTCAGACATATCTCATCACTCCTCCGACAGCAATGATTCATCTGATGACGATAGCAACAATACTATAGACCCAGATCTCGCTTTCTTATTGAAATGTGCATTACCACTGTTACAGAGTCGGAACAGTCAAGTAAGATGTGTTGCCTAATTATGAAGCCGCATCTATGCTCCCAAGTCAGCTTTATTACTTCTTCTTTTTAACACACAGGCTACTCTTGCTGCAATAGGTCGTCCTTTCAGTTGCTAAACTTTTTATGCATTTAGCACCGGCGGAAGATTGTTATAAAATTGGACGCCCACTAATTCGATTGTTAAGGAGTCATCGGGAAATCCAATATGTAGTTCTCAACAACATTGTTGCCATAGCCAGTGAACGACCCTACATTTTCGATCAGTTTTACCAACACTTCTTTGTTCGTTCTACGGATCCGATTTTTATCCGCAATCTAAAATTGGATATTCTGACAATGATTGCAACTGAAAGTAATATCACGTTTATTTTGCGCGAGCTACAAGAATATGTCAAGAGTTCGAACAAGGATTTTGTCACACAGGCGATCGAGGCAATTGGTCGATGCGCATCAAATATACCCGAGATGGCACATAGCTGCCTCGGTGGCCTTCTCAAGCTCTCATATAGCAAATCAGGCAAGTATAACCTGCATACCCAGATCAATACACTGGATCGAAGAGCTGCAATCGGATGCTAATACCGACTGTTATATCTCGATTTATTTTTTATGTAGATTCTGTCGCTGCCGAGTCCGTTGTCGCTATCCGTCGCCTTCTTCAACAGAGACCGGGCGATAGCGTGGTCATTATTACGCAACTCGCAAGAGGTTTGGATGATATCACTGAATCATTGGCTCGCGCAAACATTTTTTGGCTCGTTGGACAGCATTGCGAACAGCTACCCACCATAGCTCCAGATGTGCTTCGTAAAGCCGCCAAATCGTTCTGCTCAGAGGTATGTGGATACATCAACGAAGCAGTCAAGAGATCCATCAATCATTGCACTTTTATTCTAAACGATACAATCTTCTATTTACAACACTAACAACAACAACAATAACGAAAAAAAAAAAAAAAAAAAAAAAAAAAAAAAATCACTAGAATGAAACTAGCAAGCTTCAAATCCTAACACTTGGAGGAAAACTGGTAGCACAAGAAGGAACATCATCGAAAACTATCAACTTGCTGTTTCAATACGTTCTCAACATGGCACGCTACGATCTCGACTACATTGTCCGTGATAGGGCTCGATTTCTCAGGGGACTCGTTTATGGTGGCGCCCAAAATAATACTGCAGCTTTAGCTTCTACAGATGTGGATCTGGAGCCAGAACAACATGAAAACGGTACATCACATGATATCAATCAGGACGATGGTGATACAGGCGGTTTTGAATATAATGAAAAGGCACTCAATCTTTCCGACCATGCTAAAGCTATCTTGTTAAGTGAAAAGCCTGCACCAGAGCGCGAGAACCCTTCACATGGTGAGTAAAGTAGATCTGGCGATCTCCAAGTCCTGAGATTATTTATTTTCTTACTATGTTTATTAACTTTTTTTTTTTTTTTTTTTTTTTAATTGATTATTAACTTTGCTGTTACAATAAGGTCGTGAGCAGTACAAGATCGGATCCATGTCATTGGTGCTGAACCGTGTCGTGGCTGGATATGAGCCTTTGCCGGACTGGCCCACAACTCAACCCGACCCATCTGTGCGTAGGTTAGCTGCCACGATGGAGGCGCCTGGATATATGAATGATCGCACTGGGTTTGGTAGTGATTCCTTTTATCCTCAGAATCGCCAACATCAGATGAGCAGCAGTGCTAGCCCCAGTATGGGATCACGGTATGATCGAGGTGCACAATCGTTGGACAAATTCTACGAATCATCAGAAGAGGAGACAAGCTCGGAAGAGGGGACGAGTTCGGAGAGTGAAAAGGAGACCGGCGAGGAAGGAACAAGTGAAGAAAGTGGCTCAAGTGAAAGTGAATCGGAGGATGGTGAGGATGATGATGACGATGAGGAAGAGGAGGAGGAAGAGGAAGAGGAAGAAGATGAAGAAGAGGCGTCATCGTCTGAAGAAGAAGCTATCCTACCTCCATCGATGAAGCGAACAAACGGGCGGCGTTGAAGATTTTTTTTTTTTTTTTTTTTTTTTTTCACTTGCTCGGAAAATATCAATAAACAATTGTAATAACAACGAACTAAAAAAAAGATGTGACATGATTATTCAGATCCATGGCTGTGGTTGGATGGGTACTGCCAGCGGGATCGGCGATTGCTCCCCACAGAACTTCAAAATACAGAACGGCTGGGGAATAGATCACCTGTTTCTCCGAATCCTGGCCACCCATCTGTCTCTATCTTTCTCTCTCTCTTTCTCTTTGCGTGTATGTCATCCCTTTTCTACCATTCTGATTGTCGCATCACACAGTCTTGTCTTCCTTTTCCATTACTGACACTATCTTTCCCATCTGCAACGGACCAGCAACAGTATTACTTTTAGAATGGTCCATGCATCCTCCATCACAGAGGATGCTCTACAGCCAGGGGACAGATCACCCTCCTCTGTATCTCTTCCACCAGACAACAAAAGCATCCTCAACCATAATAAAAAGAGATCCGATGAGGGATTGTCTTCCGAGCTAAAAACCGACATCCCAACCACAACAACCTCCTCCACTGTCTCACATCTCTTCCCTATCACACCACATACCTATCAAGCAGCACAGGATTGGGCTTGGAGTATGTTTATGAATACTTTATGGACCACTCTTCGGTTAATGAAAATAAGAAATTATAAGATCTGTTTGTATTTGTCCTTGAGTGAAAAAAAAAAAAAAAAAAAAAACAACTAACCTTTTACACGCCGATCCTTTTTTTTTTGATTTTTCCTTCATCTGTGGTATCATCACTCAGAAAATAGAACTGTATTGGCAGCATCAAGCGCTGCTGTATGCAGTGTGCTGTCGGGCTTCCCTGTAAGTAAGAGTGCTAGTCAAAACCAACTATTGCCATGCTGTCAATTTTAAACTTTGCCACTCAATCAATTGATTAAGTCAATGGACAAGAAATTCCTATCAGGAATGTTTTTTTTTTTTTTTTTTTATTTTATTTTTATTTTTTGGATCTCGACAAAATGTTCATATAGACGATGGAAACAAGAAGGAGTGGCTGGATGGATAAAAAATGGCAATAGGGATTGTCGTTAATTTTATTTTTATTTTTACCTTACCGATAACTGAAATGAACGGTGCTCTATTTCTTTATTTAACTGATGTAGTTTGATTCTGTCAAGACAAGGATGCAGACACATTCATACAACTCTATTATGGACTGTGTTAAAAAAACATATGCAGAAGAGCGACTGGGAGGATTCTTTCGAGGTATGATAAGAAAGTTTTTTTTTTTTTTTTTTTTTTTTTTTTTGGATAGACGGAATCAAAGAAACTTTCTTTAGAGCAAACAGAGAGAGAGAGTAACTTGGATGTGATTTTGATTTGATAATTGATTTAGGTATGATCCCACCTCTTATTACGGTCTCGATCATCAAATCCATTTCCTTCTCTGTGTACGAGGGAACTAAACAAAACGTCAGGAGTTATGCTGACGCCATGCATGGTAATACGATACCATCGCTAATTGGCCTTACGTTTATTTCAGGATCAGTCGCAGGGACAGTCGTTGCCTTGATGTCCAGTCCTCTGGAACTTGTGAAGCTGCAGCGACAATTGGAGAAATTAATGGAGATGCATGCGAGGAAGGAGGCAGAGATTACAGCATTGACAGGCGATACTCTTTTAAGACAAGGATTGCCTATGGACAAAAAAACTGGAAGTTCAGCTGTGTCGCCTGCGGCCGCTGTGAGAGCAGAGAGGCAGTCCCATGGATCGGTCTCCCAATATGGAATACCACCGAAAGAAGAGGCTGGAGCATCTAGTTGGAAGACTGCAAAGGCTATTGTACAAAAGAAGGGCTGGACTGGACTGTACAAGGGCGCCAACCTGCATATCGCTAGAGACCTGTTGGGCACAGGTATCTACTTTTCAAGCTATGAGACCATCAAGCGACTTATGTCGGAAACGATTGAACATATTAGACCCCACCACGACATGAAACCTACATCTGGATCGGCGGAAACACCGATGACAGCTCAATTCAAAGGTCCAGGACCAATGGTCCACTTTTTTGCTGGTGGTCTCTGCGGTGTATTCTCTTGGTTGGTGGTCTTCCCAATTGATCTTGTCAAGAGTGTAGTCCAGAAAGAGGTTCTGGTATCTAATCCAAAGTACTCTGGCGCATTTGATTGTGCTCGAGATATTGTCAGACGCGAAGGTGTACGCGGGCTGTATCGAGGACTGAGTGTCACATGCTACAGAGCCATGCCGATCCACTCGCTTAATTTCCTAGTGTATGAAGCTGTAATGGACTATGTAAAGCAATGGTCGGGCCACGGTGGCGATGTACTGCCACCTGGAGCGCGATAATGGGATTAGTGATAAACACCCTCATGAACTGAAAGCATCCAATAGATATACTGTTTTGGCATAGAATAGACAAAAAAGAAGAAGAAGAAAAAACCCCCCTTTGTACAATAGATAAAGATGATTTATTCAAAATCTACTTTATCTGCTATCATCTTCACTTCTTTGCTCATTCACTGCAACAGCGGGTGATATGTGAGCAGTGAGATTATTCCGATGATAATGGAACAGATGGCCACGCATACGCATGGCATACGCAGAGTACACGGCAGCACCCACGATGACACAAACGAATGAGAGTGTGCAAGGCATAAAATATTGCTGTGGGTCTGACCAGACCATGGTCAAGATGAACTGGATCAGTTCAAATAGGCTCATCATGGAATAGTGCCAGCCGTTAATTATACCAGCGTTGTTAGCATCAGATTCAACGTACTCTTGCATGATTTGAGTGATCACTAGATCAAAAGACCATACTCCGACACGAGAAAGTGCCATACCAGCTATACAAATGCGCATACGAAAAGAATGGAAAAATAAATTCAATAAATTGAAAAAAAAAAAAAAAAAAAAAAAAAACGATATTGTTGACAATTTTGATAGTTCACCATGCTCTTTGTTTCTTTCTCTTTTTGTTTTTTACTTTACCAAAGATCATCGCCTGGATAGGCAAATGATCCGAATAGATTGAAAGGAGCACTGGTGTCAGTGTGACAACCTCAAACCAGATTGACCAAGCTCCACTACGGATCAGGCCAATATAACGGCTTGTGATGGGCATAAGAATGGTCCCCAAGAGTTCAGAACATGTGCAGACTCCCTTCAATAGAGCAATCGAACTTGCAGTCAAACCACGCCACTTTAGATACCCAATCATAGTTCCCGAAACACTATAAAAAAGATCCGAGTAAAATAAGAATCACTTTTTGCAAGCTAATAATGAACGGAATGAACGGTGAAAAATGGCAGATCATACCTCATCAAATTGATGTAAATGATTGCATAGGATAGTGAAGCTAAAATAATAGTAATAATAAAAAAGGAATCAGACAATGCCTATGATATTGAAGACATTAAGACTTTAACATAGCTTTAGTTTGTTTTTTCTTTTTTTCATTCCCTTACCAAGGAACACGACATGATGAGCATAGTCCTGAAAGGAGTGGATACCTCTTCTAAAGAGTGAAGGTGAGGGGTGAATTTTTCTGGTTGAAGACTGTGCTATCTCAGACTCTGTTTCTGAAAGCAGATCTCGTCGGGGCTCTACTTCATCATGATTGTATTCTGTGGTGAAGAGAGGGTTGACCACACTGCTATAGCTGTTGGCCTTCTTATGTTTTTGATCGCGACGTGTTCGGACATTATTATTACGATGGGATCGAATGGATCGTGGTAGGCGCAGGATGGGGGAATTAAACCAGATCCGCCTTACAAGCACGAGTTCTAGACAAAACGAACACATGCACCAGGCTGCTATGACTAGACTACAATACCCCGGGTTCTGGAGCAGAGTGAGCAACGTGGCAAACGCCAATGGTGATACCAGTTTACAAACAAGGTCAATCCTTTTCATGAAGACGTTGATTTCTAGTAAGGGAGAGAGAGAAAATCAATACACGACATTTCTAAATCAACGCTTTTTTTTTTTTTTTTTTTTTTTTTCCAGTTATTATTGATGTATTGATGAATATGAATTTATTTACTTGTCAACATTTCAGAATCGGATTGACAGAGAGATACGATCCAGTCGCGTTCAATTGAAATAGACCACCCAAGTGCAGAGAGCTTCAAAACTCCGCTCGCTATGACCAAGAAGGTAAACAAGGAATAGCCTTGATAGAGCGAAAGGGTAGGCTCTGATATTGCCACTATTGTTTTCGTAGATTTTATAGCGGGAATATGAATATCCGATGATGGATCAAACCATGTCAAGAGTGCCCAAAATACAAGGGCACTGAGGATGGTAGTCAATTTCTGAGTCAAGAGGAATGACTGGACCGCTAGTTCGGAAAAATTAAAAAAAAGAACGTGACACAACAGATAAGGAAAAAAACGCTAGACAAGTGTATAACGTGGAAAAAAATAAAAAATAAAAAAAAGCCCACTTCACCTTTTAATCGTGGTGTGGTGTCTACGAACGATCCGACAGTTGTGCTCAGTATGATGCCTGCTACTGTTGTAGAAAACCCATAGATGGACATTGGCAACAACGTATTTTTGAAAATCTCCATGATGAAAAAATAAGATGCAAACTCATACATGCGTTCGTCAAATGTACTATCAATAATAATACTATTATTTAATAATCAATTTTATTTGTTATTAAAAGCGATTAACGCCGTTTAAAACTGGATCTATAAACCTGACTTACCAGAGAGCATGCACTACATAAAGGTAGAGTAAAGGTATGGGTGATCTGAATGGATCCCCATCCATACAACGGCCTAGATCCTGTAGTCTGTTTTCAGCAACATCTGTGTCTATTATAGGTGATTCGGGATTGGATTGTGAAACGGCAGAGTATCGAAGATTAGATCTTGAGACTACTGGACCTCCGAGAGGTGGCTGTTGATGGCCTTTCCATAAAGGTGAGTATTCCTCCGTATGCCTGTTCAGGTGGGAAGAAGAGGATGCTGCATTGTGATGTGAATTGATCATTGCACTGGTGAATGAGGAGCAATGAGTGTTATTAGGTTAGGAAAGAAAAGACATTATCCACGGACTCAAGGTTTTATTAATAATGGAAAATAAAGTTTCAATTAGCATGATCGGCATACCAATGGAAGTATGAGGCATGTATATAAGCTGGGTCTTCTTCATAATCCTGAGCACCTTTCTCTCAATAATGGCACTCATCTGGTATGCCCATGAGAAATAGCATTACCCTCAGTAATAGGCCATGGAGAGGAATGTAAACTAATTCATGCATCAATTTAAAAAAAAAATTCCCGCATGTAAGACTTGTCATTTTTACCTCCACAATTGCAATCCTTGAGCATGCTGTCCATCAAACACGGTCACGAGCAAGCACGAGGGCTGTCAGGTCCTCGTCTGATCTGCTGTTGAATTACTTCCTTTTCCTTCTTCTTTCTTCTTCAATTCCGTTCCTTGCCCGTCCTCGTCGACCCTTACTCCTCTTTATCGTTATACCACCTTCCCCGAAGTTATCAAGGGAAAAATAGCTATTAGTGAAGGAAACAATATTAAAAACCATTCAAACTCTCTGTTCCTGGAACGAGACGCAAGGACATTACTCTAAACCTCACAAAACTAAGCATTAGGCTTCAAACTTCATGGACAATTCCTCAGCTCACGACGACGCAGCGGCAGTAGCTAGCCCTCGTCCTCGTCACGAATTCTGGTGTCACCAGGCAAGCACTTTTCTCCGTTTTACTGGTTCTTTCCAATCAAACAGCACAGTTACATGAGCAATGACGCATTCAATGAAATAGCACATGTCATTTTAACGAATTTTGGATGTTTGCTTTGATGTCTTGGCATTTAGTGTGCTGTAGAAATCACCCCGCTCATGGTACCACATCCACTCTGCCCAGAATGCCATAGTGAATTTGTTGAAAAGGTACAAAGGCATTCTTTTTTTTTCTTTTTTTTTTTTTTTTTTTTTTTTTTTCCCAAGTTCTGTGAAAATGATTATCTTTGCGATAGAAATTCAATTAACGGTGCAATAACCCCTAACATGCATGACGATTTCTTTTTGAACTAGATCGAAGAAGACAACGATCCGCGCAACTTTGTTGAAAATGCAGGCGAAGACATCGAGAACGGTGACGAGCAAGGGCATATACAATTATTCATCGAGGATCTACAACGTATGGTTCAGCTTGTAGGATTGATGCGACCAGTAGGGGAACAGGCTAGTCGACCACGGGCCCGACGCAGTGAAGACATAGCAACAGGAGACCATTCTGACTCCCTTACTCTACTTGATCACCCACTACGGTCTAGGGATCGCTTTGATGGCCTCACCACTATAATATCAGATGATGACGAGAATGACAACGTTGGTGATGATGGCGACGATGATGATGGCCATGATAGCCATGATATAATTGTGGACATTTCACAAGCAAATGGCGACCCCGATGACCCAAATAGAGCTGATAGATTTCAACAATCTCGAGCGTTTTTAATTAGGTAGGAAGAACGGTAATGGATTGAATGAAGTGAACAGGGGTTGACGTCTTGAGGACAATAATGAATATTTACCGTAAAATCACACGGCCATTATCGACCTATAGCTTTTTGGAGCGAATGCAACAAGAGATGAGCCCTGCTACGGAGAGCGCCTCAGATAGCCCTGGTCATGATACGGGCTTGAGTGGTCTATTTAATATGATTGGCAATCCTGGGGATTATGTGTTCAGTCAGGCAGGATTGGATGATGTCATTACACAGTTGATGGAGATGCAAGGGTAAGTTATCTCTTTAAAAGACTATGTTGCTCTGACTGTGTATGTCCTGGAGTTCAGTGTTTTAGCGGACCATATACTAAATCATTGTTTTTCGGGGATTTCAGGCGCCAGAACGGACCTGTTGGAGCATCCGATGAGATCATTGAAAGCATACCACCACATATCCTCACGGACGAAGAGTTAGCAGCAAAAACTGAGTGTAGCGTGTGCAAAGACGAGTTCACAAAAGAAGATAACTTGTTGCAACTGAAATGCAGGCATATCTTCCATGAAGATTGCATCAAGCCTTGGCTTAAATTGAATGGTACTTGCCCAACTTGTCGGTTTGAATTGGTACCCCAACATGGTGGGCACGATAACAATCAACAGAGAAATTCAACTTCAGGAGGGAATGACGGCCAGTCTTCAGGGCAGGACAACAACGCACAGACCCTACCAACTCCGACCGGACCCACATCTGAAGGAGGTGAGGTTGGAAATAGGATCCTCACATCAAGAGTAAACTCTATTCCTGGTGCATTTCCGTCTTCTACGCGATACAGTCCATTTCGACATGAAAGTAATAGCAATTCGACTTCATCTCCTTCCGCAGATGATGTTGACTAATAGAATATAGCACGTTTTCATAAAGAAATTTGATTTTTTTTTTTTTTTTTTTTATGTCATGCTGACAGGCTGACAGAAACACATGGTGAAGAAAGAGGGGTGTTGAGGCTAGAGAATTAGAAATATGCGTTGTGTGGCAGTGATAAAGTATACATACAAACTAAGATCAGTAAGATCAATCAAACCTCTCTTGTTCTTTCTTGCTTCTAGCGGGATCAAAAGGCGGAATAGAGACGACAGAAAAGTAGAAAGGCCTCCAAAAATCCCGTCCCGTCAACCGGCTCTGTTTTGAACCAGTTATTCTAATACATCAATCATTAGTCTCACAAGTTCTGCGCCACTCACTCTTTCGAAACAATTAAAAAAAAAATATAAATATATATAATAACGGCGCATTTGCCTTCCTGTGGTATTTTTTTCTCCTTTTCTCTTTTTTCTTTTTTTTTTTCCCTTTACTCTCCTTTTGTTTCCTTCAATGTCCCTTACTCACATTGTACTGTGATTTATTGTGCGTGCGATTCAAGTTTAGACCATATACAGCATACGTGCAAATCCCTTTGTCGTATAATGATAAAAAAAGAAAGAAAGAAAGAAACAAAGAAAAAAAAAAAAAAAACGTTTGCTAACATTGCTGCTGTCTCTCACACATATATTTTTTTCGTTCTCACGCTCTTTAAAAAACGTCCTCCTTGTTAATTGCTCCATCTTGACATAGGAACAAGTACTCCGTAACAAAGTTGTGACTCAGACAGAAAATGATAGGCACTGGTTACACTTCCCCCTCGTCTAACCAAAGGCGTTACCCGACAGTGACTAATTTTCAGCAACCACAAGCCCAAACGGGGACAGGACACGTTGCTTTAAGCACCCAAGTCATCGGCACTGACAATAGCCTGTCCACTCGTATTAGGTCCTTTGACGCTAGCTCTGCGCCACCTATTGTTGACTACGGCGTCACTTCAGCGCCAAGGTACAGCTTCGCTACTAATATTGACGCCACTACAACGGATAACAACAATGTCAATGGCCATGATAATAGAAACCGCTATGCCAACCCCATCAGTCGTGCGACAATAATAAGCGGATGGGCCGATCATAACCAGAGACTGATTGCTCTGGGCGTCGACCAACTTGAGCAAAGACTCTCTATAATAAGTGACAGCAGCCTTAGACAACTACCGAATCCACCACACAAATTCACCGAGGGATTTCGGCTCTTCGATATCAATGAGCTGAGACGGATCAAGCGTCAGCTGGAGGTGGAGTACCATCATTTTACACACCATCACAACAAAAAGTTCTATAAACAAATGGACAACATCATTGAACATGCACCTAGAGATCCACTTGTCGAGGTTTTCTCCAAGATTCGCCCACCGCCCTTGCCTGCTGAATTAGATCTGGACCAGTGCGCGTACATTAAAACATGTTCCAGGATTCAGATGAATCATTTAAAGCTCTTTAATCGTCAGCCACGAGTGATGCCTGCAAAGTTTGAAAAGGCATTTCGACGAGCCGTTGAGCATGTCAAGGCTTTGATGGCTCTTCCGGAAAAACTCTCCATGCCTACGGTCGAGTCCCTTAAGGATGTTCGTTATGATGGCTCCAAGTTTGCTGGACTGGAGTATGCGCGCGATAAACTTTATAAAAGAAGAGAAGCGCACACATATGCGCTTCGACATGCAGAAGAAGTCTGGACGTCGCTCATGGATGGCAATCTAGTCCATCCACACGATACTCGACTGGGAGGCAAGGGAAAACAAGTTGAGATGGACAAGGATATGCACGGCAAAATCAAGGACCCGGATGCTGAGAGTTGGTTGTTTTCATCCGGCAGCAGGAATCTCGACAGTTTGGAATCCATCAACACATCCATGGGTCGATTAATCCTTATGTTGAGTCATCGCGACTTATTGATCCTGGGCTCACTGGAACAGCCCCTTACCAAGGCTTATTTGGATGATAAGTGGCCTATCTACATCGGCCAGAGTTGGTACTATGGCGGAGCCGAAAAATTCGTCAACAAAATGTCTCGGCATGCTATTTATCATTGTTTCGACGCAAAGAAATTCGATGCTGCAATTGATGGCTGGCTTGTCCAAGAAGCCCTACAAGTACTCCGAGCTCAGTACGAGGATGGAATGAACCCCAAGTACGATACCTTGTGGACATTCGTCTACAAAAGCTTGGTGGAGGTGATCATCTGTCGAGATGATGGTATTCGACTGCAGAAACACGTGGGAACCACAAGTGGGAACTGTTTCAACACCTTGGTTCAGAGCATCATCACCATGTTCTTGGGTTACACTGCGCTCATTTATGAGGCCGAGAAACGTCAAGGAAGCATTGGAGTCTACTTGATCTTGACACAATGTGAGATGGTAGTCCTTGGCGATGACATGGTCATGGCTCTGGAGACACCTTGGATGGGTCTAACCAAAGAGATCCTCGCAGATGTAGTCAAGGAATGCTTCAACATTGACTGGTCCGGAAAGAAATCATTCTCAACTAATCGACTGATGGATGACAGCGCCATGGACTATAAGAAGTTTCAAGGTGTTCAGTTCCTGGGCATGTATTTTCGACACCAACGACTAGGCAACTCTCCTTTTGCTCCCAAGGTTGTTATCCCTTATCGACCCTTCCGTGAGAGCTACCTGTCCTTACTCTTCCCCAAGCATGGTGGCTACACACGGGAGGAGTCTTGGCTTCGAGCCCTTGGGATTTACCTCAATGCGGCTGGAAATCAAGAAACACAGGAGTGGTTGGAGGCTTATCTGGACTTTTTGGAATTGGTTCCTTTCGTCCGTCCAACTGCATGGCCTCCTAGTATGGAACGTTGGGTTAACAAAGATTATTGGAATCATGACACCAAACCTCCACCACCCAAAAGAATCACCATTCAGGAATGGTATCGGCTTGCATGTGAACCAAGAGACGTTGATGATTAAAAGGAAAACAAAATGCCTCTCTTTTTTTTTCCTTCCTTTCTCTCTCCCTCTCTTTCTCTCATCGTTTCTTTCTCTCTTTCTCTCTTTCTCTCTTTGTTCTCTTTCACTTTTTCATTCTTCTCTTTTCCGCGAAAAGAGGGTTAGTGAAAGCCAAATCCCGGTTTTGCAGTCTCAATATTAACTGCCATTATCGGGAGCAATCATATTATATGTATAAATGAAAACCATCGGTGACCCTGTCTGCAGAAGAGAATACCCTCTGGAGTAGTGACAATATCAGTATTATATCAGTCTCAAAACACCAATAAACTATATTGTTTTTCCCAAGTATATATAAGCCTAAACATTAGTTTTGTTAGCATATAAACTCTGTTATTTGTCCTCACCATATCAATGGCATACTGCATCGGACGCATTCTTCCACAGCCTCTAGATGTCACTTGTTGTTTTTTTTTTTTGGTCAAGCTTTCTTTTTTCTATTTCTTTTATTCATTATTATATCAAACAAAAGTGCCGTTTATCAACAGGGCATATCCTTTGATGCGGACAATACTTCTGGGACATTAACTAGGAAGTGAGGAAACGACAAACGAAGCAAAAAAATTTCGCGATCAAAAGATTGCTCTTTGGCCGGGAATTGAACCCGGGTCTTCCGCGTGACAGGCGGAGATACTGACCACTATACTACCAAAGACCTGATTATGGAAATGTTCCAGATTAAATATATTATATACTTAAATAAACACCTTAATTATATCACATGATACTACGAGAATGCAAGTAAAGATGGTGTATAACAATGTGGCTTTGTCGTAGATACTAGTCGTGTGGACGCGTTGATTGGATACGAAGTAGAGCCGTGCCACAGGTCCTCAGGGACTCCATTTATGGAGCTAACATCTAAATAAATCCTACATGACGTCGTGGGTCCTCGTTATAAAAAAAAAAAAAAAAAAAAAAAAAAAATGAACGCGTTGATTGGATACCGCTTTATGTGCAACCTTGCCACAAAATGGATTGTTGCGCGATGTTCGCCTTGACTTAGCCCAGAGGAGAGTTCTGTCTCCTTTCGATGAACCTCCGTTGGGGTGTTCGCAAGTGCAGGTTGGAGGCTCAGGGAGGCCCTGCTTTCCTTGGTACTCCCTCGTTTCGATCACTAAGGTAGTTGCGGATGGTGATACTTCTAATCGAAGGTGGTATGGCTGAATGATCAGCAGATGGTAGGCTAGGGGGGGGGAGAAGTTGAAATGACGCCCACAGAATGTTGCGTAACCAACCTTAAGCGACAGGAGCGTTTAATATATGTGTGGGAACAGTTCCGTTTGGCCACAGGGTTTTGTGATCATTCGTTCTTCAACTGAGGAATATCGAAAAAGTGGGCCTCCTGGCGGAGAGTATTGATTTTCGGTGACAAATGCCATTTACGTCAAACTACCCACAATCCTTCTTTCCTTCTTTTTCAACCCCACGGTGGGAGACAAATATCTACGAAAAGGAATCAGACCGCAAAAAGAACCGTAAGAACGCCAAGAAGAAGAAAAACTTTATGGATCACCTCAATAGTTGAGCCTTCAAGGATCTAGGACTTGGCGAAAATTGAAATTAGTGAATAATGGACTAGATTAGCTTGAACTTGAAAATTTGCTTGATCTGAAAAGGTTGAGAAACAGAGAGATTTCTTCAACCTCTTATATTAACCGTCTAGAGCGTTATTTGTGGTAAATGTCGGAAAAGGGCCTCAAGAGGAGGATTCACCCATAAAAGTAACAGATGAAAGACTTTGGCGCGAAGAAAATCTCCTAATTGTGGATACTGAAAATATTACGATATCAATAATAATAAAAAGAATGTGATCCTAAATTATGTCAACAAACGCAACACCCTGTCGATCTCGGTATGATTACGGTCATATGACTGTTAGAAACCAAATGTCCTGGCGGCTCTATTCTTAGTGAGGCACGTCCCTCCCTCGTCGGCCACGAATAAGAGAGCTCCATACCAGGCAGGTTTAAGGACATTCAAGCCCGAGTCTCTCCAGACTAACCTCTCTCTGATATTAAGATTTGGAATAAGACAAGACGAGAAGTAGTGATTGTACCATTTATGTATCGTGGGATACTGTAAACCAACACACGTCCACTCTACAACTATCGGATGAGAATGGAGCTAAAAACTATTTATGGCAAGCATTATGGGCATGGCCGTGTAAGCTACAGGCCTCTCTCCTGTGCAGATTGTCGATACAAACAAAAAAAAGAAGAAAAAAAAAAGAGGCTTGGATGGATTGATCACACGGTGCGCTTGGATCAATGCTATATCTTTTCGCTAGAACTACTCTGATCATATTATACCAATCAACATTATTGAAGAGTAAAAAGGATGCATTTTACTGTACACAGTAGGGGTCGGATGATTTGGCAAAGGAAGCCATTATTGTAGGGCTATGAAAACTGAGGCGGATAAGGAACAGCATCTTTGAGCAGTTCCCTCCAATCGAGGCGCTTAATCTCAGAGCCGTCCATCAATGATTCACTATCATCCACATCCGATGAATGCGCCGCAACAGCATAACAGTGCTCGTCGTCAAGCAATGCTTCCTCGAATGACCATCCATCTCCTGGGAAGTCCGGTGTTGGGCTATGAACTTGCATTGTTGTGGAGTGTATCGGCTAATGCAGTATTGATCAAAGGCGATACGGGGAAAAGACATTGGTTAGAATGATGGACAAGATAAATCACGATTTAATCAAGCAAGTGGTTAGCCCATGTCATTAATCGGTGCTGACTGATATGGCTCTCATTTCCCCATCTCCTTGGGCCATTCCTAGTGCTAGCCTAGCTTCACATTACCCCAGAGCTCTTTAGCTTGGTAAGTTACGCGAGCTGTGTTTTATGGCTATGCGCAACTAAACGCGTAGTTGTGTGAAGCATTTTCTACGAAATTGTGTGGCATTCATACTTAAGCAAAACTATTACCTTTTGAGTCTCCTCCTCCTCATGGATTGAAAACTCAACTGATCTAAGATTGTAATCGATGCCAACACCCAATGCCTTGCCTACAGACTCTTTGAGACACCAGACCCTGCAGAACCGCCTACGCTGGTTGCTAGCATTTTGAGAGTCCAAGAGATCTGAAGGTGCATTCTTCACAAACGATAGCTCGTTCAAAGTGAACTATTGGGTGTTCGAGTCAACAGCATTTGAAAGGCGTCGTGTCAGTAAGCATGATCAAATTTTTTTTTTTTTTTTTTTTTTTTTTTGGTAACCCAGGAATTAGTTACAAAATAAAAAAAGACAAATGACATCATGCTAATCGTGTAGCCATTGAATGCATGAATCTGGGGAAAAAAATAAAAAGAACCATACCTGATCTCGATAGCATGATAAAAATGCGTCAAATGGCTCCATTGGAACCTGCTCCTTGAAGTCCGTGACATCAGTGCCAAGTCGGACGTTGCTTTCCAAAGATGTACTTCCCACGAAGACGACCCAGTTTCCATGATGTGAGACATTAAAGCTGACATTCCGAAGGTGTTCTGGCTCTAGCTAGGTATCATGCAAACCAAGAAAAAAAAAAAAAAAAAAAAAAAAAAAAAGAAACGATCGATGGTAATGAGCTGTAGTGTACTAGTATGACTTCAAATGTTTCAAACACTTTATACACGAGAATGAGATGAATAAATGAGGGTATTCTGACGCGTTAGTCGCCTTCAATTCATAAGCCATCATTGACGGTGGGAACATGCAAGAAAGTGCTATTTTAATCGCCGCCAGATAAGACGTCTATTTCCTTTTTTTACCATGGATTGTTTGAGAATAATATTCTGATCATTTTCTTGTTATACTATATAAATAACATACTTACCAAGATGGGCTTATTAGTCGCGGACCTAGAAAAGACCATTGTCTCCCATTGACAACCATAATGCGCGACAAAGAAGGCATGGATCATGAGTCGACCGATCAAGGCGCGCCGAATGTCATCGTCATTTCGATACCGAAGTAAATAGTCCGAGTCTTCGCCTTGCAAGAAGTTTAAGAGGTTTGTTACTGGAACGATATTGGAGCTATCATCTTCTACCAGCGAGGTAACCAAGGGCTCAATGTGTTCCAACAGCAATGCTTGCCGGATATCGAATGCCCAACGTGTGATCGGCATTCTGTGCTGCAGTCTCCTTATTTTGAATGTGTATCAAAAAAAAAAAAAAAAAAAAAAAAAAATGCGCCGGGTCTAGAACTGTTGTGTTAAGTTGTGAACAGCTTTTTTTTTTTTTTTTTTTTTTTGTTCAACAACAGGCAGTATGAAGAAGGAATATGTTGGTACAGAATGAAAGTGGGTCGTGGCTGATAGTGAAAGAGCACTGTTGAGCGTATGAGCGTGTGCTCGGTCAGTCTTTTTTAAAAATGAAAAAATGAAAAATGAAAAGAACACGCGATAAATCGTTGAGGAAAAAAAAAGGGGACGCAAAAGAAAAGAAGTCGAAATCTGAGCAGCTTGGACAAAGGCAGGGGCAAGGCAGTTGCGAATGATTACAAAAGTACGAGTTTATTGAGATGAATCTGCGAATGGAATCAAATGAATCAACGATTCATAAACCTGAAGAAGGGGGGTTTTGAAAGGAACACGGAGTAACAAGCCAATGATGAAAAGGAAAAGAAAAGAAAAGAAAAGAAAAGAGAAAGAAAAGAAAAAAATGGAAAAAAATAAATAAATAAAAATAAAAATAAAAATAAAATTAAAAAATAAAAAATAAAGAATAAAAAATAAAAGCAGGTAAAGGGAATGGGAAAGGACAGGAATGGAGCCGGGTACGCCCATCTCAATTATTTTAATAACATCCTCAGATGAACACAGATTCTGATACAGATGCAGCTGCAGATTCAGATACCAACAGATGAAAAGAAAAAGAAAAAAAAAGACCTGATAAAGGGTCCTCTTTGCTCGGCAATGGAGTGGGAGGAACAGTAAGGAAAAGAACTCTTCCCTTTCCCTATTCCTGTTCCTTTTCCATTTCCATTTCCATTTCCTTTCTCTTCTCCTCATTTGCACTTGCCAATAACCTTCTGCACTTTCATTTTCAGCATCTCTGAATCTTAAACTGACGCATCTGGCTAGATAACATTAAAGACTTTAGCAGCTACAACTTTTTATACTTGTTTCTTCTTTTAATCTGCCTACTCTGGCTAGGCCTCTGTTGCTATTAGGACTCTTTCTGGCTATCATAAGAGCATTGTCGGCACCGGAACATGTTTTCCACTTCATTTCCTCACAGTTCACTATCCTTTTACTGTTTTTGAGCAGAACAACTGCTAACCAGTGTATATATTCAATCAAAAGACGTATCTGGCATTAAATACGCATGTCCAATTGGAGCACATTCCAGTTAGCAGGTCCCAGACAGAACTCACGGATAGGTTGTAAAAAAAAAAAAAGCTATAGAAATATGCATACACATCATGCATGCGTGCATGCAGGTTACTCGGCCTTTTAGCACTTCTTTTATACCCTCCTCCCCCTTGTCATCCTGCTCCTTATTTCTACTCTCCGCGTCCATGCTTGATTTGATCGGGGGCACACACAGCAGAACCCTTTTTTTTGTTGTCGTCTCGAAATAGCATTGCTAAAACTTATTTTAATTTTTAATAAGGGTTTTATAATCATAGTTAAAGTAAATCATAAACCTTTGTTATTGATCCATTAACTATAACCTGTTGATCCATTAACTATAATATATAGAACGCCGTAACCAAACAGTACAGATGATTGTGACATTCATGACTATAGGTAAATCGAATTACTATAAATGCTCGCACATACTATGGGAAGAACCAACAGCAGCGGATAAAATTCGAGGAACGCTTATGAAGTATATTTATCAGACCCTATAAAATGGTTAAAAAAAATAAAGAATTCCAAATTCAGACCCTTGCTCTTCTGGTAGAACCCTGCCAAAGAACGGTGGTGTTCCTGAGCCGGGTACCATATGATTATGCGCATACTCAGGGTGGAATGGAATCAACTTGGGGACGGAGTATTGCTTCTACCAAAAAAGAAAGTTGGCACTAAACAATTTTCAAGTCCGCCTTCCATAGTTGCCATAGTAACGCGTCAGTCTGTTGAACACATATACCCCTCAATTGAATACGACTTAGCCCAGAAGTGTTACGCGTACACACATATACACATTATATCAGATCTCATCGCTTCTCCTACACATTCTAAATTCCTCATCCCGCTTAAATCATCCATAATCGAATCATTCATAACTGAAATGTCCTCTTACTATGATGACCACAGTCTTGAAGACCCCTTCAAGGCTCGACAATCCAACAATCGCTCCTTGAATCCTGATCTCTCCCATTTCATGCCAAATGAAGATGATGAAATTTCGTCTTCTTCCAATCGTTTACCACCAGGGACTACGCCAAGGGCAAGCGATTTCCGGAGACTTGCAGAGTACGACAAATATCTAGCAGATGTGCAACTACCCTCTTTTGGGAGGCAGAAGTCCGCTATATTCGATTGATGTACTTGCACACATGTTAGATAGTCCATTCCCTATTCCTCTATCGCCTTTTTTTATTGACTTTATTTTTACTTTTAATTATACAGGATGTTTGGGGCATTCCGTGAAAGGGAGGAGCCCTTAGGAGATGAAGCGCACCAAGAATTCCTGGATAACCTGATTACACAGTTGATGGACGAAGCCGGTGCCAGGTAGGAGTTATAGATACTTTTTTATTATTATTATTTTTTTATTGTTATGATGTATTTTTTTTAACACAAATTCTCGGATCCGAATATTGAATAATTTACCAGCGGAAAGCATGGACCTCCTCCAGCCTCCAAGTCATTCATTCGTGACTTGCCGTTCGTTGCACAGAAGGAGTTGAAGTCAGGTACTGTACCAGATCGTTTTTGCAGAGTCAAGTAATACTCAGATCCCCATAGCTGCTAACGTCCTCATTGCATATCCTTGTTTTTATTTCATTCTATCTTAATTACCGGGTTGAATATGTTGATAGATGAGGCATGTATCATCTGCAACGAAAACTTTCATGAGAACGAGTTCAAGGCTGGGATCACAAAGCTGCCATGCAAGCACTTTTTTGATCGTGATTGCATCGTTCCATGGCTTGAGTTGGTAAGGAATATATATATATTTATTTCCTTCATACCCTTGAATCAAATATGTTTTATGTGGTATGCCACTTGCTTGCTGCTCCTCATCAAACCACTCATCCAAATATTTGCATTACGATAGCACAACAATTGCCCGGCATGCCGTGCCGAAGTTCCCTCGGATGACCCTGATTGGATCAAAAAGAAACGTGAGGCAGAACTAGCAAAATATGCTGCAGAAGCAGAAATTGACGAGGATTGGATGTACTCTTAGATAATAGATGCCTATTTATTAGACATATTTAGATAATGATAACAATACCTAGAGCAGTTCACAGTAACAGTAATAATAATAGTCGATACTTCAGTAAAAAAAAAAAAAAAAAAGCATACTCAACTCTCGGCTCCTTCATTTCAAACCCAACCTACTTGTTTCGAGTGATCTATTATATGAGATCCGTTGAAGACAAAACAATAATAAAAGCCAAAAGCAAGATTGCATTACTATTATCAAAATATACATTACAATCATACATGACATGTAGTAAAATAGTTTTTTTCTGGCGCAAGGAGCCAACTGGATCTAACGATGGCGGAACACCGGGCCGCATTTCAGCTACACAAGCAACCTTAAAGTACTTGTGAAGCGCCGTGTTGAAAAATTGTGCGCGGACGCACAGTTGACAAATTTCAATTCACCTTTTGACAATGGACAAGTAATGGGTAAATACTAGGCCCGCACGAACGCAAACCTGAAAATTGCTAGAGCCTAGAGGTCTCTATTCTTTTTTTTTTTTTAAGCCGTGTCTTGGGCAAATGTCCCTATAACCAATGCTTTCCAAGTTGAAAAAAAGCTGAAGCATGTGCCATGCTGTCGTATGACTATCTCATATCCTTTTATTGTGCTCTATGTTATCACGAATGCCCCTATCCCTCCGATTATACCTCTCCTCGCCTACTACAAAGAGCATCCCCTTGCAGACTTCACTGCCTTATCACCATCATCTCATTGTATAGAGTCCCAAAAAAAGACTTTCTTAGTTCAATGAATTTAAAAAAGCCACAGTCAGTGGCTTTGAACCTAATCTGATCGGGAGCGATTACAAAGATTTATTAAAGATACACCTTCAAATTATTTTTACTAGGGTGATGATAATCGATTAATAATTGAAGCGTTTTTATACAACGTCTACTCATGGGTCTTCAACTGTGTACAAATGTGTGTTTGTGTACATTAAGCTTTTGCCATCGCAACATTTTTAAACAAAATGAGGCATCAGGTTGTATTAGGAACCTCTCCAGATCCGAAATGATGGAATTAGGTTTTATATTTATCCATTTGTAAAAAAGTTTACGGATTTGTAAGGAAACCAATTCTTTTAAATACCATCCCTTCTTTCTCTTTCCCATTCTCCCTCCTTTCTCTCAACTTCTCATCTCTCGCTTATCCTCTCTCTCTCTCTCTCTTTTCCCCTCAAGTGCATACTCAGTTCATTTGCTATACCCATTCCTAATCCTTCTTGCACACCAATCCAAAGACGACCAGCAAATCATTAGACACTAAAAAAAAAAAATAAAATAAAAAAAACAATAATAATGTCAACTCGCCCAGAAAACAGTTTTGCCAACACCACCTTCCAGGCTTTGGTCAACAGCGATCCTCAGATTGCTCACCTCAAGGATGGAGCATACTCTAAGGCTGCCAGCCCTGAGCGTTTCAACATTACCAAGGCCGGTCTTGAGGCCAAGGGCTTCAAAGTCACTATCGCTGAAAACAAGGACGAGGCTTATGAGAAGCTTAAGAGTCTCATCCCTGCAGTAAGTTTTTTTTTTTTTTTTTTTTTTCTTCCTTCCTCGATGAGAAATTTTATTCTGTGCCCAAACAAACAACAATCAAATTCTATATCAGCCAATCACTAATGATGTGCAAAATTTTTATTTATTTTAGGGCGCTTCTATAAATCTTGCACACAGCACAACCCTTGAAGAAGTAAGTGCAATCCATTTATTTTATTTATTATATACCATATAGACATGTATTATCACACTACAAAGACAATTGACTGACTTTTTTTTTTTGCTTTTGTTTCAATCGCATAGATTGGATTCATTAACTATCTTATGGGAGAAACCCCTTATGTCAACATTCGTGCAAAGATCCTTGCAGAAAAGGATCCCGTCAAGCAAGCAGAGCTCCGTCGTATCGATGGTACTACAGTCGACTACTTTTTGACCTCCATGTGTGCTGTCACCGAGAATGGTGAGTTGGCACATGGTGATCAAACGGGCACCAAAGTTGGTGGTGTCGCCTTTGGAGCCAAGAACGTGATTGTGGTTGTTGGATCCAATAAGATTGTCAAGGACGAGGCCGAGGCCTTTAAGAGGACCACAGAATGGTGCCTACCCTTCGCTAGCGCCTTTTCTAGAGAAGTCTTCAAGGCCCCAGGCGCATCCCTGAACAATTACCAGGTCATTCGACAGGCCAATCCCTTCAACCCTGACCGCATCCAGGTCTTACTCATCAACGAGGCTCTCGGTGCTTAAAAGCATTAGTATTTCCATAATATCATTTATTTTATTTTATTTTTTCTCCTACACTGTATAAAAAAAATTAGCATAATAAAGCACGGTATATCCAATTCAACTTATTGTCCTTTCTCAGCAGTGGTCCTTGTGAAAGTTTTTTTTTACTCGAAGGGTCTTTGGCTTTAAAGCGTCATATGTTATGGGAAAAGCAAAAGAATCCCCATATCATGTAATTTTAAGCTTAGCGAATTTCATCATAACTTGGTGGCAGGTCAGAAGGAACAGCCGGGGGCTGTGGTTGAGGCTGTTGCTGTGCCTGAGGAGGAGGAGGAGGATAATGAGGGGCTGAAGATGTTGCTCTGGCCTCCAAAGGAGGAGGGGGATAATGTGGGAAATGCTGGGGTTGGGGAGCTGGCGCAGAGGTCGTTGCTGTAGCCATGGGGAAAGGAGTTGAGCTAGTGGTTGCTGATGGCCCAGGAACGGGTTCTGAAGGTGGAGCGTATACAGGCAATTGCTCCAAATGTTGAGGCGCCGCTCCATCGAGCTCTAGAAGAAATACATTTTTGATTTTTTCTGTCAGATCAAAGAGGATCTATCATATGATTTTATGACGTTCCAATTTTCACTCATTTTACCTTGTAGCCTCTCACGAAGGGATCTGTATTGGGCGTCGAATTCATGAAGGTCTACAAAATCACCAAAAAGAAAAGAAGAAAGTCAGCATTTTCAGTTCTTCGTTTCAGACGTTTTATTAATTTTTGATGTGGAAAAGGCCGAAAAAACATGTCTTTTTTTATTGACTTACTTCCGCTTGAAAAAGTGATAGAGAGTCGGGCCGGCTGTTTGAGTCCACCACCTGGAACAGGCATTACGACTGCCTTGAAAACAGGCGCCGAGAACCATGACTGAACCAACTTGCTGTCTTGGACATTGCTCATTGGTAATGAAGCTGAAGTGAAAAAACTAGTAGGGGCAGCGCACAGATAGACGATCCTTTGATTCGTCAAAATGATAGTGCCGCTCTTTGAAGCGTAATTAACCCTGTCAAGTATTTTCTGGATGGTCAGTGAAGGAAGAGACGAGGGCGAATGCTGATACAAATGAATGAAAAGCTGATTGAAAAAAAAAAAAAAAAAAAAAAAATTGCGCTGATATTTTTTATTCATCTTTTTTTTTTTTTTACCCTGCTCCAGGATAGCCGCCATTAGAATTATCTAGCTCGAAGCGAACATCTTGTTCACGGAAGAAAATGGTTTCATTCTCGAGAGGAACAATGTCTTTCCCGTCCGGGGTGAGCATGACCCAGTTGACTGACATATTCTGTTTATTCTTTGAGAGTTCGTCGGTAGTTTGAGTAGTTTGAATTGAGTGTAATGAGTGGTGTTGAGAGTTGTAGAAACCTTTGGAAAAGATATGGAAGTATTGTAGGAATTATGAAAAAGTCTACCTTTCACAAGGAAAAGCAGTCGCTAAGAGAAAGAGCGGCTTGGTTTGGGAGGTTTTTGAGCAATGTTCACATTTTTTGTGGTCACATACTTCATGCCAACCAGAACAGCGTCGCGTTAATCCTTGAATTCCAGGACAAACACCTTATTCACTAACTACCTCGGAGCCATCCTACTGTTCGAAACAATGATGCAGCAACAGCAAATGGCGACGAGCAGTCGCAATCAGATCACTTTACGAGGCTCAACAAAGATCATTGTCGAATTCTTTGGTATGGACCTTTTACACTTGAGGTGTTGTGTAGTAGAGAATAAAGTGCAGCAAGAAGCTTACCGGCAATGCTTCATTTACTGTAAAAACAATAGAATATTGTATAAATAGGTAAAGACCATGCTGCGCACTTTCGTTGAAGGATTAAGTAGAGCAGCTTTTTTTTTTTTTTTTTTTTTTTTTTTTCTTGGCTCACACATGGTTTTTTCTTTACTCGAACGTTTGTAATACCCATTGGTCATGATCCTCAGCTTACTCTTTCAGCGAGGATTATATGCACCAGAATATTTCAAGATGACCAAGAAGTATGGCCTCAATATGTTGGTAACTACGGATCCACAAGTCAAAGACCATATGAGGGAAATTCTGAAGCAGGTCGAGGGTAAAGAAGTCTTTTTCTCTTTCTTTTTTTTTTTTTTTTTTTTTTTTTTTACGGTAGCAACACGGATCAAATCTCATTATAAAGGGTTTTGCAAGGAAGTATTTTCTCTATAACTTTACTCTAAGCTCCCTCCATATTCTTTTTTTTTTTTTTTTTTTTTTTTTTCTTTTTTCTAGCATGGCTCATGGCATGTAAAGTTGAGAAGCTTATCTTAGCTATTAAATCAAAGGAGACAATGACTGTTTTAGAACGCTGGCAATTCGATATTCAAAACACAAAGGATAGTAGCAATAATAATACCATGTCAGCAGGACAACAGCAGTCGTTTTCAACACCATCCTCATCGTCAATGTTCAATAACGTTCGGAGCAATGAAAATATAACAGATCCGACCTTGCCATCCTCCAACAAGCAGAAGGCTGAGAAAACAGAGAAGGAGATCCAAGCAGAGATCCAAGCTATCCTCCGACAAATCACAGCAAGCGTCACATTCCTACCCATGCTAGATGAAAAGTGTACGTTGACAAAACAGCGTCTGGAGCGGTTTTGTGGTATTTTTCTATAGCTTGGTCGTTTTCAGAGTATTTACACGCTACAAAACTTTCATCAACCCATTTTTTCTTAGGCACATGGACGATTTTATGTCAGACAGAAAAGGATGCAGAGGTCCCAGCGACATGGTCGGATGCAGACCCACATCTAGTTCATAATGCAGAGCAGGTCAAACTTCGATCCTTTAGCACTAAACTCCATAGGGTTGATGCGCTGGTCGCCTATCGTCTTCAGGATGATTTGTAACTCATTAATAAAACTCGGGGTTTGGACTATGAATGGATTACGGTAGCTAAGGCATTGTAATTTTATTTCTATGAGGATCATTTACTGGCGAGATATCCTCTAGTCGTAGCGTTCCTCCATACCCATGCCTTCATCTTCATCTTCATAATCCTTCTCTTCTACATATGATTCTATATCGTTAACGTTTTCGTCTTCATCCCGATGGGCGAACTTTGCTTTCAGAGCGTCATAGTCTCCTAAAGATTCCTGGCCAAGAGCGTACCGCAACCCTGGCCAAGAAGCAACACGTCTTTTCCTTGTTTTGCCCTCTGGATAGGCATCCCCCGCTTGACTGTATGCATCTCTAAACGAATTCATCCTGGAGCAAATTGTATTCTCGCTGTCCTCTGACAATACTCTCGAGTTGCCTGCATCTCGAAGGTTTCGACCATGGACCTTTCGGTCCAATTTCTTCTTAATTTCCGAGCGGCATTCTGCAATCATTTGCTCAATCCTCATACGATTAGCAATCATGTGAAGCTTGGGGAAGGTTTGTCGCTCGCCTACTGTCAGGCAGTGTTGCAGACGGCCTTCATCTGGATCTGATATTATATTAAACCAATCAGAAATCCCTGATTTTGGCTAAAAAAAAAAAAAAAAAAAAAAAAAAAAGAAAAAAAAGAAAAAAAGTTCAGTCTTGAGAACAATTGGGATACTGTTTCTACTTTCATTTTTTTTTCTTCTTCTTTTACTTACAAGGATGGTAACATGTCCATCGAATTTCTGTAGCCAGATCCACGACCAGTCTTGGTTCATCACCTTAGGCAACAACTCCAAATCACGAAGCACCTTGAGCCATTTTGACAAATCAAGCTTCAGGAACTGCTCAATAGATGCTGCCAAGAACCCTCCGCGCCAGCCTTCACCATACAAGTGGCTCACCGGACGGCCAATGCTGCCTCTAGAACCATAGAAGAATAGATGTATATGCGGGTTCACCTGAGAGACAATGGTATAGTTGACGTTGAAATGGGTGTGAAGAGCCTGAAGAGGGATATCTGCCCGCAAGGATCCGTCCTTGAAGCCACGCCCTCCATAACTGAATGGCACCAACTTCCCATCAGGACGCTTGCGCATCAATACCACCGGATTTAAGATTCCTGGAATAGCAGCGCTCGCAATTACCGCTGACCAAACAACACAATCTGGGGCCGTCAAATAGTTAAGAAGTTTCGGTGGCGAATGGGGATCATATGGGACTACTGAAACGTTAAGAATGCGTCCTGTACGTTCATATGCCTCCAGGAAAGTCAATCCGCCTTTAGTCACCCATTGCGCCTTGCGTGCCCAGTCCTCTGCATCGAATCGTGCGCCTTTCCGGATAAGGCGAGGAAGCCAAGTCTAAAAACCAATGCAAAAAAAAAAAGTAAGTTTTTTTTTTTTTTTTTTTATACATCGCATCACGAAGGTTTGATTTAAGACCGAACGTACAAAGATGCTGTCTGCGCAAGCAGTAAATTTGTGCGCGAGTTCTGGAACAAGAACCTCGTTAAGTTCCTCATCTGTGTGACAACACACCAGAGCAGCTATTTGTAGAAATTTTACCACAGAGAGAGTCAAATGTGGGGATTTAGTTGTTAAATTACAGCGAAGAGCGGGGGAATAAAGGGAATAGAGCATAAACTATTGTAGCTTACCCATCAAAGCTCCAGCACTTGTTCCAGTGATGACGGTTGGCAAAACTCCTGCCTGAAGAAGAGCGCGCACTACACCTAAATGGTAATAACCAAATCCTGCTCCACCTGAAAGACAGAGTGCGGTTCGACCGTAGTTCTTGTGAATACTCTTGAAGAATACCCGTTTTTCTTCGTCTGTAAGTTGCTTTGATTCTACCACGGCCTGCAGTGATGTCGTTACTATCGGTTTCAAAAAAAATTCATATCGAATTAAAGTGTTCAGCATGATTGAAGTGAACGATAGCTGGGCGAATTTTAAAAGATGTGACCAAAAACCAAGAAAGGCTGTTATTTATGGGTTTTACCTTCACGAACATATTCTTCAATAGGCTTCTTGGTGCCATGGTATGTCTGTGAGTAAAGTCGTGCGTTTTCAACGCCACCAAAGTTGGACTTGACTACACCTTGCAAATGGTCTTTGAGTTCATCGACCCTGTTTGCTTCTCGGGCAAGTCGAAGATTCCTGTTAACCCTTGATAGAAGATGGTAGTCGTAATAACCAAAGTTGGGATCGTTTTTCCAGTCATCCTTCTTCATGTAGGTATCCAATCTTTGAGCTGCGGCCTTCCAGTCGCTATATGTTGTTGCATTACGAAGTTCCTTCCGAAGTTGATTACGACGCCCACGCCTAATCGTATCATAATGGATCCATGATCAGTATGACATTTATTTATTTTTATTTTTTTTTGTGCATGTGCTCGATACTTGCCATGTAACAAAATATTCCCAGAGATTGACGATCTGTCGGACACAGATATATATCCATAACTCTACAGCAACGATACTGAAAATCAAGACCTGCATTATATGCACAAGCACATAGATTGTTAATATAATTTTAATAAAGATCATATTGTGATCTTGAAGATCCTACAGATTGGGTTACACATTACCATGAGAGGTATTCTTAAGAGGGTGTAACTATAGCCTTTGTATATCCTGGGAGTCTTGCGACTCCGTGCACGTTTTGATGATGCTTGTTGAACTGGCATAAAATCGGTCACCGCAGAGATCAGTTCCGCCGAGGTTTCACTACGAACACTGTCCTCGAGTGCTTGCCGAAATTGTTGCATGTGATCTTCATTAACATAGGTTTGTTCAAATTCAGAAATGTGAGCATGTTGAGTGGGAATCGGACTTGAAGCCCTGGACGAGCCATTACTGAAATCTGAATGAGATGTTTCCTGAGTTTCATCGTGTTGAATCAAGCCGTTGCCGTTGCCGTTGCCGTTGCTTGTTGGTGATGATTTAGCCTTCCCTCGTCGGTGGGAGGTCATTCGAGATTTGCCGTTGGATCCGGCAACTGTAGAAGTCGCCATAGGGAAGATATAAAAAGGAAAAGAGTGTATTTATTTGAGGGTTTTATGTCCCTGTTTGCGTTGATGTTTGTGTATGTTTATACAAGAATGAAAAGCGAAGAGAATGGTTTGTAAAAAAAAAAAAAAAAAGATAAAATGAAAGAAAAAGAAAAAAAGAGAAAAGGAGATGTAATTCACTTTTTGTCATAAAAAGAAGGTTTCAGAATTGTCAGATGCATGTGCACTTTCGGTATTTGTGCTTATGAAGGCGAATTTGGTCCAAGCTCCACCATTGCCCCAGAGCATCCGTCCTTTTCCCCCATCCCACTTGCGGATTGCCCTAATCAGTCCGCTCTGTACTTTTTGTTCCCTCACACGACTTGCACACGATTCGGTGATCCAACCTTGTAATCCTTTGCTAAAAAAGAAATCTTTCTACACCTCACTGCTCCCCCACCTTTCTCTCTCTCTCTCTCTCTTTTTTTTTTTGGGGGGAGAGGAGGAAGTGGTTATTTCGTTTAGATGTTAGGGAAGGCTCTCTCGATCCGTCGCTACTTTGATTATTTTCTTCAGAAAGTAACCCAAGTGCTCAATAGAAATGCAAAAAATCAATGGGCCTGATTAACAACTACTTCTAACAACAGCAAAAAAAGGATTGGATGATCAGTCTCCGTAGGACAGAACGCTTCAATGGTGATGCAATCTATTAGCGATTTAGCCAAAAATAAAAAAATCAATGACGAACCCTCCTGAGTTTGCATTATGAGCATTACAGTTATTGAATACAGTTCACTAGAGAGATTTCAATGCGTTTATATTTTTATAAATTTATTTGTATTGATGTGTTTGTTTATTGGAATGAACATGACTTAAAAAATATGAATATGACGAGTTGTATTGCAACAAAAGAGTGAGGAAAAACAAAAAAAAAAAAGCCGAGCAAAATAACCATGGGGTCTTCAAGGAGAGCTCTGTTTGTTCATTGCTACTAAGACCAGACCTATTCAGGAGATATCACGAGTCGAAGGAAAGCAAATATATAAAAATATAAGTATTAAAGAGTAAATTAATAAAAATAAAAATAAAAATAAAAAAGACGAATCTTGGGCTGCATAGGATTTACCTTTAAAGTGGTGTCCCAGCTTCCTGTGCACATAGCCATACCATCGCTCGCTACACCCAAGCAGCTAACGCGATTATCATGTCCCATTAACACTCCTACACGCTCTCCACGAAGAGTATCCCAGACATTACAATTAAAATCGTCGTATCCAGAAAATAGTAGACGTCCCGAGATTGAAAAGGCAACAGATGTAATGCCACAGAGAATATTGTCGTGTGTGTAGATGTTCATTTCACGATCCGCGCGAAGATCGAACAGGCGGCATGAAGCATCATCAGAGCCAGTAGCGAATGCATCTCCACTTGGGAAAAACCTGTATCAAAAGTTTTCAAGGTTAGCCTCAACCTCATGCAACTTAAAGAGTCAATGCATTATATCCTAAACATGAACTGTTGCCTATACATACTGGACTGCGTTAATATCTGATTCGTGCCCTGTAAACGTTTGAACGCAGCGTGCAGTTCTAATATCCCAAACCTTGGAAGTCGCATCGCATGCTCCTGAAACAAAAACGCGCTGGTCAGGGGATATAGACAGACTGCAAGCGATGATACAGATAATTGGGTAACATTGAATTGGAGTAAAGATCATAGAGTTTAGTGAGTTTAGTATGCAACTGTAAACGAGTTCACTTAACGGAAAGCACATTATCCCATAGTGTGTGAATGTCAAAAAGCTTCACCTCATAACGTCTCCTGTGTGATCGCTGAACTCCGTTAGCTTGACTCCTGCATCCAGATCCCAAAGCATACAGGTCATATCACCACTTGATGTCAAGATTTGGCGATCATTAAGGAAACGACAACAAGAGAGATATCCAGAATGTGCACTCAATTCCCTTGCAACTTTAACCGACCCCTCTCTTGTACGGAGGTTATAGACTGAGCACATGTTGTCAAGTCCTCCGCATGCAACATAGTTGCCTGTTGGGGCATATGCACAAGTCATAACCCACGACGAACGTAGGGGAATGGCATACACTTTATTAGTCGTATAAGCATCCCAAACAATCAATTTGCCATCCTGTGATGCTGAGACCAAGTGCCGTTTATCTGTCGCCCAGTGCATGGCGTAAATCTTGGCAAGATGGCCCTTGAGTACTCTGCGGATACGCATCCCAATGCGAGTCAGAGGTTCAAGCTCTTGAGACATGGACTTCACTGTAAAGCGTTCATGATATTCCGTATGTTCCCATCATTGTTTTATCGTTAGCAGGAGCCATTGGAGGAAGCCAAATATGCAATTACGACAGACACATGTTAAAATAAGGTTGATTCGATCGTGGTGTTAGAGTGTAATCCTTTGTTTAGCGCGTCCCCAACGAGGAAGCAAGCAACCAATGCATTTACAGATCTCTTTAGCATATGCTAAGTAGTCTGTAGTTAGTCTTACATGAGGTGTCATTCAGGGCTGACTTCTTTTCTCTGATCTTGTCCTTAAGATATTCAGCCTCTTTCCGCGCATTGGCGATGCGATCTGCCATTTCTTGACTCATGGTAAGGATGCAGCTGACGTTTGGGCTAAGGTTAGAGTGCAGGGTTGGCGACAAGTGATTAATTGCGCCAGCAGACAACGGAGGAAAGGGCTATAATTGGCCAGTTGGTGTTACAACATGAGGATAATAGGGACATGTTTTAGTAAGAAAGAACTGTCTCTTTGACCAGGACGGTAGCAGGTGTGAGATTGAGAGCATCAAGAAATTAATGAGCTGCAGGCCCAAGCATCAAAGGCAGCAAATGAATGTGAAAAAACAGGGGAGGGAAGAAAAAGCTGAAATTCTGAATTCACACTTAAACAGGGAGTGCAAGCTCATCCAATAGTTAAATTGAATACAAAATACCTCAACTAAGGAAAAGTGAGTGGTTGAAAGGCCTGTAAAGACAGGTTGTGTGAAGTATTTTGTTTGATGAGAGCGCTCTGAGAGGTGAATAAGAACGAGGGGGTGAGTGAATCAATGATACACAATGCGATGTGTTGATGGATAAAGTATCTATTAATTTGTGAACGGTGATACTACTATAGGCGAAGTAAACAATGACGGAGTGTGAGTGGAAGAGCTGAGAGAGAGGATGTACGTCGTCAGTTTTTTTCGATTTCTCTTTTTTAAAGTATTGTCTATGCAAGAAGAAAAGAGTTCGAGCCAAGAACGAATGGGGTGCAACCAGTAGAGTGGGATAGTTGATAGTCGGGATATGGATGGACCGGCTGGATGATAGAGTATGAGAGAAAGTGGCATGCAAAGGGATGATCGCACATTTGTACCTGATGAGAGGCGATGCTGAATCGTCTTTTTGAATGGCTGATGAGAGAACAGAAAAGAAGACAAAGAATGAGAGACACGAACTGGCGATGGAGGGAGAAAGGAAGGAAGGAAAAATAGAATGTGCGAATGTGAGAGAAAGAGTGTGAACAACGAACAAGAAGGGAGAAAGAAAAGGAGCGTTTGCTCTGCTCAACAGTACAAATGTTCACACATGCTCTCTATCCTTAATTTCTTTCCTTCCCTTCCCTTTGCTTCTTTTATTTATTTTCTCAGGTGGATGAAGGTGCATCTTTGGTTTTGCAAAGTCGCGATTTCAAGTTGTTTAACTAATATCCCAACGACGCTTTGGGCATCCCAATCATTTTTTTTTTACATTTTGTCGCTGTGTCTCTTTAGTGCGCCATTTACAGGCATGCGCTCACGAATATTTATTTATTATGGTTCCGAAGCACAGATAAAGCAACCTTGAAGCTTGAGTTGTCATCGTACACACCACATTGACTTGTGTCCACCCTCAAACCATGTTTTCTTTTTTTTTTTTTTTTTTTTTTTTTTTAAACACTGGCGTTCTCGGGAATTACGATGTAATTCCTAATAGAAGTTGATGCTCTCAGCTCACAATGATTTTTTTTTTTGCCCTCCTCTCCCTCTCTTCTTAAGCCATGTCTAGGACCCAATATCCAATGGATGCGCTTACTTTTAATCAAGGACTGATACACCAAGAAACAGAGAACAAAAAGGATGCTAACATACAAACCACCAAAAGGTTAATGGTATTCATACTTCACATACATTTGGCCGCATGTTTTAAAGGGTGTTCAAACCCGATTTTTCTTCGATCGATCTAAAAAAAAAAAAAAAAAATGGATCGTGGCTGGCCACAGTAACAAGTCTACTCCAAATTTTGCAAGGGATTTATTTTTATGGCATACAGGACAACATGTGGTCTAAATAAAGCTGTGTCACTAGAATATTGCCACCGGTGCCTTTATTCCTTCGTCTGTGTGAACAGGGCGAAATTACCTTTTCCTCCCATGCTTACCCATTCAAAAGAAGGTTCAAACTTAGTTTCGTGGTGTGGAACTCTTTTTCCCACCACGGGTCTTTTGTTCGGACATATGAAAGAGAGGCGTGGCTTAAGAGGTGATTTCCAAAAAAAAAAAACTCCGCAATCTTCGGCAGCCACAGGGTGTGAATATTAAATCCCAATTCTTTTTTTTTTTTTCTTGTTGCCTGGTTGAATGGTGTAGAGACTGTGATGCGCTTGCACTTGACATTGTACAAAATAGCCACAAACAAGGGCTGCACATAGTTTGATCAAGAAAGCTAAGTGTGCGACAATTGCCTTACAACAATACAGTGAGCCACCCGGTCGTACACAAAAATACAATAATGTCTTTGAGAGCGGTTTGTCGAATAGTCGGTATACGCTTGCACTTTTATGTAAGTGATCGAGAAAACATGACCACTGGCTTTATACTCGCCTTCTGATCCTGTCTCCTAAAGTCAGGGGTTGAGTCCAGTGTCAAGGTTGTCAAGGCTATGAGCCTTGGACGTACTTAGCTCAGAGATGCCATCTGGGATACTGGCGCCAGCATTGATCTTGGGCTGATCTGCACTGAGATCTACTCGCTTCTCTGTTTTCCTTTGAGTGTCATCGTATTCGTAGAAACACTGTGCTTTTACATTTCTATTTCTTAGTGATACGTTGAATAATTCTCATTATTACTGACCTTGGCAATGGGTATATAGAACGTCGGATGCAAAGATACCTCGGAAGTCCGCCTACCGAGGGTGATATGGTTTCGATATAAACTCCTGCAGTTGTTGTGAGCGAATGCATGCGTGAATGAGTGAATGAAAGGATGTCTTGAACCAGCTTTGTTTCATTTTGAGGACCAGGAAAAGCCACAGTTTAAATTTCATTTTCACACGTGAACCATAGTGCCTCATATTGATTTGAAGTAGACACTGACGACAACAAGGTTGAGCTCTCTCTTTTTTACTATTCAACTTCATTATGGGTACTGTGTGATCAGGACTGTGTGTCACACAAGTGAGAGAATGGATGTGCTAGTAGAATCCATCGCTAACCATCGATTGTTGTTTTTATCCATCTATCTATGCTTATACCGATCATACCGTTGTTTTCCATACTTGAAATCCGTATTGATGCTGGATTTTGCCTCGGGGGACCTTATTATTATCATTATTATTTTGTTATCTGAACGGGAACTTCTTGGGCGCGACTCTACAAACATGTCATGATACCATGATTATGAACAAATCTCATGGAATCAATTTACATCTGATTTATCAATGGAATCAAAATTCATTTGTTCGGATCAATATTAATTTTTTGATTGGGAATCTTTTTCGGCTGCTGATCACAATATCTGGACATAAATCGAAAAACATCACTTTTGTTCTGATCGCTCCTTCTGAAACAATCAATTATTTGAATGCAACAGCCGTTGGAAAGAATAAGTAAGTCTTCCGCCGCACTATTTATCAAGTTAGTGTTTTTTCTTTATTGTTCAGACTATTAATACTAAAGGTACTTTTATTTTCTTGTAGGCGTCTCTCGAAAGGCAAGAAGGGTCTCAAGAAGAAGGTGTAAAGTATCGTTACAGGATTCTTTTTATTTGTCAATCAGAATAGGATTTTGGATTAGAAAGTAGTTTCAACTTCAGCTTTTCAAGGATGATAAATAGAAAGGATGCTCATTCGAGAGTTTTTCGTCAGGAATCAGCTAGTTGGAGAGGCATGAGAGACATGAGTTGCACTGGATCAGCCTTGGCAATGATGCGTGATGGAATGGACTTTTTTCAGGTTGTTCCTGCCACATCGGCCAGAGTCTGTACTTAGTTTGTTCAGTGAACGCACGGAGAAGATCTTTCATGCCCCTTCAGATGTCGATGACACTTTTACCATTTTTATATTAAGGCGTATTGACAGCTTTATTCTTTCCAAAGAAAAGACAATTTCTCACAGATAACGACAGCAAAACAGGATAGGGTTGAACTGAACTGCAACGTTTTTTTCAGGAATGATTATGGACAACGTGATTCGATTTTTTTTTTTTTTTTCCTTTGTGTATATTCAGGACGAACAGCTCTTCAACAAACTGCCATTCTTTAAAAAAATATCATGAACGAAGATCTGATGTTCGATGAACGCATTTTCTGTTAATTTCATACTGTAACAATAGTGTCGACCCTTTCACCCGTAAGGACTGGTACGATATCAAGGCTCCTTCTACCTTTGATGTCCGCAACGTTGGTAAGACCCTTGTTAACCGTACCCAGGGTTTGAAAAACGCCAACGATGCCTTGAAGGGCCGTGTCCTCGAGATTTCCCTTGCTGATTTGAACAAGAACGAGGAATACTCTTTCCGCAAGGTCAAGCTGCGCGTTGATGAGGTCCAGGGAAAGAACTGCCTCACCAACTTCCACGGCATGGACATGACCTCGGACAAGCTCCGCTCCATGGTTCGCAAGTGGCAGGTACGGAATTCACATCATCATTTCGATGATTTGCATCATTAGGTAGATGGTCCACTATGGCAAGGTTTCATAGCCGACTAACCATATTACATACTATGTTCTATATTCATTAGACAATTATTGAGGCTCACGTCGATGTCAAGACCACTGATGGATACTTGCTCCGCCTCTTCGCTGTTGCCTTCACCAAGAAGGGTGTTCACCAGGTCAAGAAGACCACCTACGCCCAGTCTGCTCAGATCCGTCAGATTCGCAAGAAGATGTTCGAGATCATGACTGCCCAGGCCACCTCATGCGACTTGAAGGAGCTCGTCCACAAGTTCATCCCTGAGGTTATTGGAAACGAGATTGAGAAGTCTTGCAAGTCCATCTACCCTCTCCGTGATGTCTACATTCGCAAGGTCAAGATCCTCAAGGCCCCCAAGTTCGATCTTGGCAAGCTCCTCGAGCTCCACTCTGGTGCTGACGTTGACACCACTGGCGCTAAGGTTGAGCGCAAGGGCGACTTCAAGGAGCCTGAAATCCTTGCTGAGGTTTAAAAGTCTCATTCCCCCTCATCTACGATCCTCTCTACTTTGAACCTTCAGAAAATAAAGAAAACTTGTTATCTTTCGGTAACGGCCATTTTTTTTTTCCTCCTCTCCTTTTTATTTGTTTGAATGTGGGTGCTGTGGGGTCAATGCTCAAAGAGAATCGCATAGTTTAATGACTTGGTCGAATAGTTAAATAGATGGGCAAAGTCTTGTGTTTCTTTCGTAGTATTTCTTTTACATGATATACAAACCAAAAGAGACGTCCATGCAAGGAATTTGCTCTCAAAGTCAATATTCTGTCTTTAATCTGTTTGGAAGAAAAGGAGGCATGATTGGTCATACAAATAAAAAAAGCAGTTTACCTATAGCATGTGCTTGTGCGTTTTTTTTTTTTTTTTTTTTTTTTTTTTTTTTTAATTATATGTATACAATTGCATGCTTTCCTGATTTTCAGAAATCATATGTTGGCACGAGCTACAGCTAACATGGTCATGGCTTTATGAATGAAATCCATGAACAAATCTATAGAACACTAGGCTTAAGCACAGCCGATCGTAGCAACAAGGCTACTCTACAGCTTACAGTACCCCGTTCAATTAAAGACGTCTGCAATGTATTTATCTTTTCCAATATTTGGAATTAACCTTAACAGGAACCTCATCAAGTCTTTCCGTTCCACAAGATAATTCCGCGTAGCAAGCATGATCCAGGAGCCGAAACTCCATTCAAATTCAACTAGTTATCGGGAAAGGCGGTAATCGGCGCGCTGTAGCACAGATTCTGACTTGCAGGCGTTCGGCCATAATCTAACGGATGATAGCTTCGGGCCATGGCCTGTTCAAATACCAATTATTTGAATGAACGGTTCCTCTTGTACAAAGTTCAGTTACTATTGTATTGCAACAACATTTCATCACTAGAATAAAACTAACCTGTCTCACGACGGTCTACGCCCAGTTCACGTTCCCTAGAAGCGGGTGAACACTCCAACGCTTACTGAATTCTGCTTCATATGATGGGAAGAGCCGACATCGAAAGATCAAATAGCAGCGTCGCTATGAACGCTTGGCCACAGGTCAGTTGTTGATATGGCTCTTTTCCTGTGGTTTTACCATCCTGTTATTTCTTTCATTTTACTATCGGTCATCACCAGAGTCCAAAAGTGTGCAAAATCGGTCGTAAAGTTATGACAATAGTTTCGTACAGGAGGCATTCCATCACTCTTTCCCTTTTCTTCCTTCGTATGCACAAGTTCAAATATGTCACATAAAAATTTCAATTGATGCTGTTATTGCTATTCTGGTGGGGTATATACTGAAGCTATTATTGATGCAATTGTTAATATCTGCATAGAGCTGCGATCTAACGCTGCGATCTAACGCTGCGAAATAAGTTTGGGATATTATTTTGGCTGCCAGGTTCATTCAAATTCACATTTCTATTGATCACAAGTTCCGGCCACCGGTGCTTGAACCATCCCCATTGAGGTTCATCCTCAAGTGACCCTCCACTAACGTCATGGCGACTGCTGACATACGAAAACTTACGGAGATATGGCCAATTCTGCTCCATAAACTCCACCTCGGCTTGGCCTGGCAAGATCCACCGCGGCCAATAGTCAGTCCGTAGTCGTAGAACACGTAGGTTTCTGAGTCCACGCAGCAAGTGTAAGAGTCCCTGATTTCCCTCCGCTGCACAACTATCGTGCTCCTCGTCTTGCCCTATTATAATCGGAGCTTCAAGTCTCAGGTCCTTTATCCAGTACACGTCTGGCATGCTGTCGAACCCCGTATTACCAATTTCAAGCTCTTGTAGTCTCAACAAATGTCCAACTTGAGTCCAAAGGTGCGTTCTCGGTTCCGTGTAGGACTTGTAACCTTGCGAAGATGATCCCACTCTTTGTGAACCAAAGCTTACATAATTAGAAAGACGCAGGACCTCTAAACCCGTGCAGCTCCATCGGCCAGCCCTGAAATCGATGTCCTTATAGTTCTCTCTATAAAGGAAGTCTTCTTCTCGAGATGGAGGACCTTCAGCACACTACACTGCAAAAGAATCTGGTGGACAAATGCACTCGAGATCGCGCTGAAAGACTGCAGGGTCAGAACGGTTAGGGTATCAGTATGTCGGCAGAAATTATGTTCGTCAAGCGCTGAGGCTCCCCAAAGCGATATAGATGAAAGCGTGTTACATTTCCCGAGAATATCGTCTATCTCCGAGTCGAAACAATAGTCGGATCCTGATGCATAAGCGAAATGCTGTAGTTTTGGACATTCCGATCAAATGGCATGGCCAAGATCCCAAGCTGTGGTTTCTTCTACTCTAGGAAGTGTGAGAGACTGAAGGTTGGGTAGGCCAGAGTGGAAGAGGGGCTCTAAAAAGGTAGCGGGATATGGGAGATACTGGCGGGGAGGTAGCTCCAACTTGGTAATCATATGATATCCATTAGTCCTCAACTGGGGCTTAACGTCGTTGAATGCTTGTATCTCTTCTCTTTCTATTTTATCCTCATCCTCATCCTCATCCTCACCAAAAAAATCGCTATGGCTGTAGCTCTCAAATGAATAATTGCTACGCTCGTCATCGGAATTGGAATCCTCGTTAGTACGCCAATCTCCAAAACGAATTACCTCCAGTCATGGATGCTTGTTCAGTAGGTCGATTAGCATCTGGAGAGCTACGGGTATCGTTGGACTTTTAACAATCATGTAGATACGCAGTAATTTTAAATGCTGCAAGGCTAGAAACGCTGACAAGAAAGCATTTGGAACTTCCTGCACAAGGCAGGTATTGAGCTCCAGTTGCGTCAAATAGCGTTGCCGACCAATAGTTGAAATCAATGGATGCAAGTACCTCTCCTCGTTGTCGAATTCGTAATCGTTGGTTAAATTGTTGTCTTCGGTGCGAACGTGTAATCAAGTAAGTGAATCGCATCGTTCAATAAAATCGAAAGGTTCAGGACACAAGAGAAAAAAAACCCATGTCAGTGAACGCACGTGCTCCATATTTTGATCAAAACCCTCTATTGGGCATTCGTCATCCTCAATAGAATAATAATACCAAAGTATAAGGTGAAAGACGTTATGGAGGTCTTTGCAGGTTTGACAAAGTCGAGCAAGATCTAGGTCGTCCAAGAACCTGGAAATGATCCAGGCGATCTCCGGGATAGTAAATATGTTGATCTGACTATCCTTAGATGTACGCGATTTGATTGAAGTTGCCATTCCATACTCGTACTTGTTGACATTGACATACTCTTCAGATCTTCAGAATAGTGTATAGGCTCGTCATGGTTGTCATCGGCGGAGTCCTCGCTGTCTGTATCCAACTCGGATATTCGTCTCTTCTTAGTATTATCATTGTTGTTGTGGTTGTCGCCGTAGTTGTCTGAGCTTGTTGAAGCCCAGGATGTATCTTTTGGTTGGACGATGTTATCCGATGGCTTTTCTAGTGACGGTGACGCGTGAAAAACAACAGGTTTCGTCGGCGCGTTCTGAGCGATCAAAGACTGAGCATGGAGCCGTAAGACCGGTTTAACAAACAAGGCGTGACCGCTGAGATAACCCTTGTTGCTTGGTCAAGCCCCTTTTTCGATTGATCTTCTTTTCCATATCGTTTACAAATACTTCGATGTATCTCAAAATGTTTACTTTGTTTGGAGTCCTATTCCAGCCATTTGCATCACAAAAGTCCTGTGAATGAGGCAAAATAGGGGAAGTAAAGCAGGAAGGTTAATTCGCTTAAAAAAAAAAAAAAAAAAAAAAAAAAAAAGAGCGAGGGACAAGAGGAAATTAGTTTTTTTTTGACTTACTTCCCAAAAGACAATACCCGCATCTTCGTCAGAAAGTGATTTCATACGAATTGCTCTTTGGCGTCGAAACTCCCTATCTTCGTCTTTTGACAACCTACAGAATTTTCTTGATTTTCATTGTTGTGATCAAGTAATTAATTAAAAGAGAATGAGAGACCGAGAGTAAAGAATGGGAAGAATGAGAATAGAGTGAATAAGATGGGAGAAAAAGAAAATACAGTATGTATGTTGGAGATGGTTAGGTTGGTGCAAGTGATGAAGTGAGTTTGATGGGAGAAATGGATAGAATGAATGGAAAAAGAAACGCGTCTTCTACACAAAGCAATAGCGATTGCAATAGACGACACAAGCACTCATTCAGCCATGACCTTTAATAAGAGAGCGATACTCCGATACTCCCAAGCAAAGGTAATTGATACAATTAATTTACATGTACAACATTAATTGCTGTGATACTCTGTACTTTTATTTTTTACTCTTTGTTTTGATACACCAGTCGGTCTCTTGAGGTATGCAGGTGGCTCATGGAGCAATAGCAGTAGCAGCGAATGTGTAAAAGGTAGTTCATGTAGACAATGAACAGTAGATAGATGCTAATCTAGGGAGAGGGAGAGCGGCTTTATCGTTTGCCCAAAGCATGTGAAAGGGAAAAGGAAATAGAATCATGGAGCCCTGTGCATTGTGCACCAAGTTTAATTTTGGCCTAACAATTGTCGTTGTTGCATTTCATTGAGCCAATTCTGCAACGATAAATCTCATGCCATCAAGGCCATAAATACCCTTCTCCTTTTTTTTTTTTTTTTTTTGTTTTTTTTTTGTTTGTTTTTTTTTAAACACATTCCACTCTATCATTTATTCATACAGAACATCATTTCAACATACTTTTTTTATTTTTTTTTGTTGTTAACAAATGGCAAACGCAATTGAGAAACCAAGGAGCAAGGAAGAGTGGATCAAGTCTGAGGATGGCCATGATATCTTCACAAAAACTTGGTACGCTGTTGGTAACCCTGTTGCTTCAGTCGTCTTTGTTCATGGCCTTGGAGAACATATTGTTCGTAAGTATAATCATAAAAAAAAATTAGCCACAAGTAAAAGGCATATCTACATGTTAACGTTAACGTTAACGTTTATGATGGGAATGGGTAGAATTTTAAAAAAAAAAGCTTCTTTTTTTGTTTAGGCTACGATCATATTTTTGAAGAGTTTAATAAGGCTGGATTCCAAGTATCGGCCTTTGATCAACGCGGATTTGGTCAAACAGGTAAATCTTTTTTTTTTTTTTCTTCTTTTCTTGGATAGTTTGCATGGATGGATGCTCGACTATCGCCCAATCTCATACATTATATATATACATATATATATTTTTATTTGTTCAATAGGGAAAAAGTCAAAGACGTTAGGACGATCAGGAGGATACGTAAAGGCTATTCCTGATATCACAGCCGCATTGAAACGTGGGGAAATCCAGGGTGTACCATTGTTCCTCATGGGTCATTCCTATGTACGATTTCTCTCTTTTTTTTTTTTTTTTTTGTATGTTTGTATGTGGACTCGGGAAAAAAAATAAAAACTCTTTGGTCAAAGAGTCTGATCTTTTTGTCTTTTTTTCTTAGGGAGGAAGCCTGGTTCTCAATTATGACTGCATTGGTCCTTTGCGTACCAAATTAGCTGGTGTCATTGCCTCCGCACCTCTTGTTCTTGCAGCTGCATCTACTCGACCCAGCAATCTAGCCGTGTCGTTTGTAGGGGCTGTTTCCAGGATTGCACCATCATTGCGATTCCCTTTTAACCTGCCCTCAGCCTTTATTTCACGCGATCTTAAGGAGGTCTCCAAGTATAATGACGACCCTTTGGTGCATGGGTACGGCACCACTCTAGGCTTTTATGACATGTTGACCAACGCAAAGTTGTTGCTCACTGAGCGATACAAGAGTATCACCCCAGATGTCCCTCTGCTGATCTGTCACGGTTCTGCAGATGGGTTAACAGACCAGAGCGCAAGTAAGGCTTTCTTTGACAAGATCCAGGTCAAGGACAAGGAGTATAAGATCTATCCAGATCATTATCATGAGCTCCATAACGAGCCAGAGGACGATCGCAAGATCGTCATCGATTATTATATCCAGTGGATCCGTGCGCATTTGCCAAAATAATTCTTCCAGAATCCAAAAACTACCTTCATTAGAAACTCCAAATCAAAATCCAATCCACTGTTTTTTAAATTCTTTAAGACGAACACATTTTTTAATTCTTTAAGACGATCATGTTTTTTTTTAATTATAAAAAATCATCTTTATACTGTTCGTCAAATATGCTTCATTGTGATTATTCCTTGTAATCCTGACGTTGAGTCTGCGATGAATTAGGCGTTGATGTGGATGAGAGACCCAGAGAAGCAAAGAGGGACATGGGCGATATGCTTTTCATGGAAGGGAAAGAAGTAAATGATACGTCTGACCATTGCCCATATGACCCTTGCTGCTGCTGCAGTTGCTGCTGTTGTTGCTGTTGTTGCTGTTGTTGCTGTTGTTGCTGTTGTTGTTGCTGCTGTTGTTGCTGCTGTTGTTGTTGCTGCTGCAGTTGCTGCAGTTGCTGCAGATGTTGCTGTTGCCGTTGCCGTTCCTGTTCATCCTGCTGCGCTAGTAGTTCAGCCATTGTCAACTCTTCTCCGTTATCTTCGTCATCTCTCTTGGCATCGACCAGACTGTAATTGGCATCATCAAAGTGTGTTAAAGATACAGACGCTTGAGGCTGCATACCACCAATAAAAATACCAGTTGCTTTATCCTTGTCCTTGCGGTCATCTTTGATCACGCTATTACGGATGTATTTTGCTGAAATCCGAATACTTCTCGTCAAGCTCGATTTGACTTTCTGGGTCCGGCTGGGCGTACTGGTCAGACTGAATGTGCTGTTCCTGTTGCTGGCGTTATTGCCACTATTGTTGCTACCACTGCCTGCCACTGAGGCGCCAATGATGCTATCCCAAATATCAATATTAGGCAACGCTTCACTCGGTAGATGATGACCCTCAGCGAACGACAGCGGCGCACCTTCATTGTCAGAAAGCGGTGGTGAATGCATCGGCGGTTGCGTGCTACTCGCATCCGAATGCTGAGAGAATGATGAAATCATGGATACGGGACGAATTTTGGTGAAATCTCCAGATCTCCTCGCTTGTGCTTTTGTAGTGGCACTAGCTCGATCCTTATCTTTGGAAGATGCTGAAGAAGCAGGTCTTATAGTGCTGAAAAGACTTGACCCAATCCCTCCATCGCTCTCACGCCTTTTATGGAAGAGTGCAGATATATCCTGATGGTGGCTGTTAGCCCATACAGGCGGTGGGTATGATGGTGCTGGGTTTGCGGGCACAGTGCGTGTATCATAGTGTTGTCCAGCACGAGCGCCATTGGTGGCTGAAGGCGGTAAGGGCGACATGAGATTGGATCCATTTGTAGATGTCATAGATCCAGATGATCGTAGGCGAGGTGTGAGTGTTGGTTTAAAATCTAATGTACTTGGTATGGAAGGGACGGATGAGCTGGCTATGTTCATGTCTTTCACACTGCTTGGTCGCAGCCTGGAGCCTCCTTGCCAAGATTTAGTTCCCGTTGTTGAAGTGCTGGCCAATGGGGTAGACGTAAGTGGAGAAGTGGGCTTCGGTGTTGCTTCTCCTCTGGCAATACTCTTGGCTCGAAGATACTCCATTGCACTAGCTCCATCCTCACCTCTCAACTCTACAATCTGCCCAACACTCCTCCGGTGAGAATTATCATCGACTGGCTCCGAGTCTTTCGAGTCTAAATCCGCTAACGATGCAAGCGCGTTAGAGCTGATGGAAGCGTCCAAACTTGTGGTCATCTGTTCTATAGATAGCCGTGATCCAATGGAGCTCGAGACTTGCAGGGGGGCACCTCGTTCGATCAGGCCTTCTGATATCAATTCCTCCGAACGGGCCTTGTTCCCTTTTTTCAACTCGGGTACCTTCGCAGCAGCACCAGACTCAGAAGGGAGCTTAGACTTGTCAGCCGTTGTTGTTAGGCCATTGCTAACCAATTTAACCTCCATACTCGCATTACTTGCAGCTCCGTTCAGAATCAGGAATTCCGCAAGAGGATACACTTCGAACCGGTTATCAAGGGTAAAAGGCACTCCATGACGAAGTGAAATCAGCAATGGTGAAGTCTGCAATACCATCACAGATGAAATGGCACGCCCTCCCCCTAGAGGCCTTGGCCGGATTTCCAAGATACTCATTTGCTTTTGCTGCTCCTGCGGCGAAAGTATTTGAGTGCTGCTGATATTGGTCCTAACTCCCTCATCATGATCTACGTCAGTTGCTGGTGAAGACGATATGGTAAGCCTCGATAGTTGAGATGATTTATCTGAAGTAGAGGCCGAGCTTTCAAGTGATGGCTGTAATGCTTTTTCGGACGGGATGGGTTCACCCGTAGTGTCGAAAATATCCCTAAAGGTAAATGAGGTTTCGCTTTTCCTGGGCGGCAATGGAGGAGGCTGCGAGGAAGGCTCATGAATTTCAGTGAAGGGCCCAGAATCCATCATGTCATCTGCCTTTTGTACCATATTGAGGTTAGCACCAGCTGCGAACGCGGCAACCGCCGCTGGGATATCATTTACAGCCACTGCTCGGAAGAGTGCATCAGTCGCCTCTGCAGATTGGCTTTTAGAACTTTGTTGATTTGGTCGGTTCAAGAATGCTTTATCGACATATTTCTGACGAATGAAGGCGACTTTATATTCACGAGGATCATTCACCACCGGTTTCCTGAAAACGGTTTTGGCTTCTGCGGGTTGCGCGGTGGCCTTATGCAAGAGACCATCTGGGGTGATAAGGTTTGCCTCCCAAATGTCGTTTGAGATGTTGTTGCCCACTGAACGAATGAACTCAAAAAGATCCTTTGTATATGATGTTGTATCCAGGGTCAGCGAGCGTACTTTGGAGATATGGGTCCCAAGACCTCTGTGGATACCAGAGCATTCTACATCCGCAAAATATTTGCTTATTGTTAGTTTGTTGGTGAACACCTATAAATGGTTGAAAAACAAAGCACATTTCTACATTACAGTTCACTTACCTATACACACTAAGATACCGAGGTTGATTACGCACCAATCTGGGTTCTTGGCGCCACATTCAGCACAGATGGTGTTACTTGGATGTTTCTCTCGCATTAATCTCAGTAGTTGAGTGCCAAGTTGATCCGAATCTTGAGGAACGTTATTGCTATCAGATGAATCCCCGGCCTCGCCTTTTGGGTGAATGAACTGCCCAAGCTCAGTCAGAGCATCAGCTGCACTGCCTCCACGTTTCCGACCAACCGCTTGACCCGGCTGTACTCGATCCTGGATCGACATCGGTAGCGATGTGTTAAGAAGGATATGCTCCATACTAGCTCGAGCTAATCCTAATCCAGAGGTCAATCCTTTGTTATCCGAAGATCCTGCTGTTCGATAGCCACTTCTTGCATACTCCAAGTTCAGGTTTCGACAGCTACTTGTCCCGTTCAAGAGGCCCTGAATCGCATTTGAGATAACATTTATCCAAGAGTTCATATCTTCCGCACTTGTTGCTTGGTAAACTCTTCTGAACTTTGGTGTGATTACTTCGAAACAAAATCTTCGATCTTGGTCGCGACACGAACGAACCGTAGCAATTCGAAGGTTAATAGGGTCGTTATGAGGCTGAGTGACACCTTTTCTCCAGTGAGAATACTCATAGAGTTGGCCCTCAGATAGAACACACCAGTATTTGTGCCAATTGATATTGGGTTTCTCAAGGACAGTGTTATTGTGCCCACTCGGTCGGCTGGTTGCAAATAGAAAACCTTCCTTACGTCTCCCCAGAGCGAGGCCAGCATCGATATCCTGGTGTTCTAGGTCACGAATGCCCGAGATACTGAGCGAACTGGCGTTACTAGGTTGAGATGGGTTATCCGCAGAAGTGGGAGTGTTGGCATCAGATGCCAAAGGCTGAAAATCGAATGAGTCTCTTTCAAAGTAAGGTGTTCTCGGCGATTCTAAACTAAGGTTGGATGATGATGCAGTGAGCAAAGATTGTGTCAGGACTAGGCCAGGCCCGTCCTTGGTGTACTGCCTTGAAGGAGGGCGCAGTAACGCAAGGGAATTTTCAACGGCTTGGCGAGCCTTGTGCTGATCCATTCGCTGCCTATTGGTGGTAGCAATAGTAGCCAGCTCCGGTCGGAGCCCTTCTGCGACTGTGCCCATGTCGAAAATACACTGGCAATGCTTCTCTGCATAGTTGGTAAGATTGACACAAATTTCATCCCCTTTACTGCCGCCAGCCTTCATTTCAATCAAAAAGTTCCAATACTCGAGTCGCTTGCGTTCGAAGTGCCGCCGTTTCTTTTCGTGCTTTGCGTCCGCTTCCATCTTTTTTTGAGTATTATCCTGCTTTATGCTCATGTATCGCGATAGAAAGCTGTAAAACTCCTTGCTTTCCTCATCAAACGATTTCCGACGCATTTCTGCTTCTTTGATATCAACTCCGTAAAATTGTGATAAGGGCTCAATGATAAAAGTCTTCATATACTGCGTCAGCGTCTCAGACTGGCCTGCAAGTTGAGTTGTTAATGGCCGCAAGTATTGTTGCACTAAAGGTTCTGCCGCCTTCATCAAATTCAACTCCTTGACAAGAGCTTCCTCCGCAGCCACCCATGCCTTCCTGGTTTCTAAAACATTCTGTGCAGCCTTCAAAATCCGTTTCGTAGCCGATTTCATGTTACGGATATGCTGCTCGCATTCCACAACAGTGGCCCGAAATAAGGGCCCATCCTCCGTGTCGTTAGCCAGGGGTATCGGAGGGACTGCTGTTGACGTTGCAGATGCTCCAGATATGGTCTTTTCTCCTTCTAGTTGAGAGAACACATCCTGAAAGCTTGGTAGAGAGTTGTGGCTCGGAGGTAACGATGGTAATTTGTTCCAAAATGCCGGGATGCGGCTATTGTAGTTCTTTTCAGGGGTGGTACTTCTACGCCAGTGGCGCGCATTCTTTACCGAGTTCCGCTGGATGCCAGATTGCAATCTCATACCCTCATTGACTACTGAATTTGAACCATCTGCATTAAAAGAATATTCCCCCAGAAAAAAGAGAAATAAAAAAGAATTGAAAACACTTTTAGTATGTTGCTAAATGCAGTCAGATGCTTTTCAGGTGCGATAAGTAAAATACCAGGACTTACATTGAATCCAAAACGAAAACATTGATAGGATTTCCAATGCACCAGTTGAATGGCTACGGGTCATGAACTAGGTTTGTATCAACCAATAAGAGTCAAAAAAAGTGTTTAATATTGATCAATATATGGATAAAAAAAAAAAAAAAAAAAAGTCTGAATATACACTTACAGCAAAAACAGCTTTATGACTCTGTGCCGCTAGCTGTGGCCGATCGTCGGTTTGGTAATCCCATTCCCAAGTGTGTGTTTCGTTATCCTCTGAAGGTAGTCTTATCTGCACAGTTGAGATAGATCCAGGGTTGTCCATTAACTAAGACCATTGTAATAGTTGATAAAATGCCTGTTAGTGTTCAGTTAATCTTTTTTTTTTTTTTTGTGACTCTTGCTTTTTGATTCTTTATAGTTTTAAAGAACCTTTCGGGGTGAATGGTTACCTGCTGTTGAAATGCAGTTTCGCTGCATAGGGCTTTCATGCTCTGCTCTGTCCGCGTCTCGGCAAAATATATTGTAGATGCATAAACTTCAGTAGCTTCTGCCTCTTCTTCTTCCCCTGCTTCCATCTGCACCTCAGTATTTTTCGGGAACACTGTTGTTAGACTGTTCATGACAGCAGTATTTTTGTCACTTTTCTCACGTTCCTTTGGGTGATTATGAGTAAGCCCCTGATGGAGGGTGGGTTCTGGCGTATGTGCCTTTACTTGCTGCGTCCGTGTCCCTGGTGCTGTGCGTGCTTTGACGATCTGCTTTGGTTGTACAGAGTCCAACAGATTACCTTTGAGCTCAAATGCCAGTTTTAAGCCCTCCTTTACAGGGATTTTAAGCAACAGTGATGGTAGCTCTTTTGGGATTGGCGAAGGTGGAGGGTTGAAGTTAAGGTTGAGATTGGGTTTCGGTGATGATTGGTCAAAAAGGGGTCCTGAAGTAGAGTATCGCTGTCCATGATCTTCTGGATCCTGAATGTACTCTAATATGTCCTGAGTTGGATGCTGAATTGAGATTTCCGAGGAACCATTGTTGATGGCCATGCTCAATATGGGTGTAGGCATGGTCACTGCCTTCGAAGGTGAGGTTGCTGTCGTGGCATCATGGACAGTGATTCTAGAGATAGCGACTGAAAAATTAAAGTTAAGAAAAAGAGATAGCATGATGAAGATGTAGAATGTGCTGGTCAGTAAAGTGTTCATATTCTCAAACGTCATTATAATAAGAAAGTAAGAACGTTGAGTGATTTAAAGTCAACGTACATCTGTCTGTATCGGCTTGAAATAGGGGTAAGATTGATTGAGTTGTCTTTAGTGTTCCCACCATCCTGAAAAAAAAAGAAAAAAAAAAAAAAATGCTGGGTATCTGGAAAAGGGTGAATGTGTGTGGAAGGAGAAGACAAAGGTATGATATTTATTAAACGGGAGCTGAATGGTTCATTCGCCTGTCGAGGCCCACTGAGATAAGAGTCGTTATCGGCGGATGATAATGATGCCAAAGGGATTGAACAAGGACAGGCCAAGAAGGAAGGGGACAGCAAAGATATAAATACACGTATATATTTATACACAAGATAGAAAAGGAGATAGAGAAGAGGAGAATCAGAAATGAGTTTTGCTGGACAGGAAGGGTAATGCTGGAATGTATGGAATGTAGAGAGCAAAGAATGAGAAAGAGTGAATGCGTTTTTTTTTTTTTTTTTTTTTTTTTTTCTTTTTTGGACTACAAGAGCAGTAGAATAGCAGAAGGAGAGGGGGAGAGAAAGAAGGTCCAACGACGAAAGAGTTGCGTTTGTTGAAGTTGATTTTAGGACAGGAGAGAATGAATCGTCAGGGTCACGTCGCGTTAGAAGCTTTTCATCCAACTCTTCCCCCTTTTTTCTTCTTTCCCTTCATTGGCACCGGGTGGGCAGGCACGGACAAAAGTCAGGCAAATGGGTCCGCTTTCTCTTTTTTCCCTTCTCTCAAAAAAATAATAAATAATAAATAATAAAAAATAAAAAACAAAAAATGAAGCATGTCATGATGCACATGCTCTTTTCTTTTTTATTCTTCTTCTTCCCCCCCCTTTTTTTTTTAAAATATCTGTATCCTGCATACATCTAACATGTTCTCCTCATCCCGAGTATGCAGCCTGTCAGGGCGGAGCAACGGCGTTCTCTATCACTCGCTGTGCAACCATGATAACAAACTATGACAATGGCAACGGTAATGGTATACATCCTGCATGCTGTATTCGAAAAGCTTTCTAGACAGAATCCACTAAATCACACATTGATTTTTGTGCTCCACTTGAAAAATCATGGATGGACTCAGTTAGCATTGACCAGCTGATTTCTTTTTGTACAACCATTCATCTCGTCATTCATTCTGTAATCAGCAGGACAACATTTTAGTCTGTGTGATACATGATATGGTTATATATTTTACAAGTGTCGGTCATGCAAGCAAAAGCAATCAATCCTCTTCTTCTAACAACTGCCTTCATCTCTCTTCTACTGTTGTCCTCCACCACCACCACCTCGGAACCCTCCACGGCCACGACGATCATGGTTGTACCCTCCACGACCTCTTCCTCGACCTCCATCAAAATGCGATCCATGTCCATTATTGCCATCTCGGTCTCCCCAATTGCCTCGCTGGGGTCTATCCATCCCACCTTGCCATTGGCCAGGTGGTCCATTTCCAAAGTGACTAGGTGGGCCCCCTTGTCTTTGTATACCAAGGCCTCCCATACCAAAGTTCGGCGGACCCTGTCCTCCAAAAGAAGGCGGATGTGGTGTAGGGCCGCCCATACCTAACCCTGGTAATGCTCCAGGATTTCCACCTAGTCCTGGTAATGCCCCAGTATTTCCGCCTAGCCCAGGGAGTGGCCCAGGATTACTGCTTAGGCCCGGAATGGTTCCAACCGCAGGTCCACTAACTGTAGGACCTGCGGGGCCGCTTCCAAGGCCAGGGATCCCTGACATTGGTGTTATACCAAAGCCTCCACCAAGCATGGGATTAAAGTTCCCAAGACCTGGGACAAATTCATCGTCATCTTGATCGGCCCCCAGGTCATTGAGACCCAGTTCCTCTGCCTTTGCAATACCGACATTGAACTTATCCTGCATTGACTCTCCAGGACGATTTCGGGTCCAGAAGCGTGTCGTATGATCATTTGATCCAGAGACGAGGATATGGCCAACAGGGTGCCAATCAAGTGACCACACGTTCGAATCATGAGCATTCTCCATGATTCCAGAGGGTTCTGATTGACCCATGATCCAGAACATAATAGATCCTTCGGATCCCCCTGTTGCCAGAAGTGATTCATGTTGTGGGTGCCACGCAACGGAGCAAACCTCCTTCTTATGGCCTCGAAATGTCTGCAAATCTTTCATCATCCTGATATCGTAGATCTTGACCAGCTGATCACGCGCTGCTGTTGCAAGCCAGTTCCCATTTCTGTTCCATTGAAGTCCCAAGATCGTGTTCTTGTGGCCATGACTATAATGTTCAAGTAAAAAATGACGCGTTGTTCAGGATTATAATAGATTGCAACGTACAATATGCCGCCATCACTCCTTACATCCCACCAATGACTTACAGCGTCGTAAGTGCTCGTCCACTCTTGGGATCCCAAAGCTTCACAAGATTGTCCTTACTTCCTGATGCCAGAAGCGATTTTTGAGGGTGCCAATCAACACATTTCACATCCCATCCGTGGCCAGTCAGTGTCCTTTCTTCAATACCCTCGTGGAAATTCCAAATCTTAATTGTCCCATCATCTGAGCATGTCGCGAATCGAGCGTCGCTAGGTGAAAAACTAAAATATGGATAAAATAAGATCAGCAGGAATATTGTGACCGATTATGACACAGGACTTTTTCTGTTTCCGGATCAAAAAATACCTCAAGTCGCGAATAGCTTCCTTATGCCCTTGAAATATTTTAAGTGGATTCATATTTATTTGCCAGTATTTGATAAATCCATGATGATCGGCTGTGACCATCCAGTCTCCATTATGGCTCCATTTCATTGCGCGTACTGCAGTATCGTGAGCCTAGTAAAAAGGAAAAAAAAAAAAAAAAAAAAAAAAAAAAAAAAGGATGCATGGCATGAGTACGGTTTTTGTAAAGTGCAGCATCAAGCATTACAAAGCGTAGAGGATTGAATATACGCCACTTACTTGTAAAATAGTTTCAAAGTTAAATGTCAATCCATTCCAGAGAGTAAATTCACCACTAGAGGAGCCTGTGACCAGTCGCCGTCCTTCAGGTGTCCACTACAATAATTAGAATACATGGTGGTATGAATACAGCATGTGTTAAATTCATTTCAACTTCTATTGTCGATAAGCACTGTCAATAAACACAAGCAGTCCAGTTCCATTCATATCACCTACACGAATAACATTAACAGGACACCGGTTCTTATTGGTGGATGTATGCACAAATTTCGTGGTAACTGCATTCATTGGGTTGTTGGTATAGGCGGACGGTGGTAAAAGCTGATGATGGCAATAAAAAAAGATGTGTCAATTTCTCCTTATTCCAATATCCAATCGTCATACTGGGTCCTTTGAGGAAACAGAGTAACGAGCGTCTTCTTACATCGAAAATGAAGTTTGAGTCTGGACGAAGGAATGGAAGATCTCTCTTGTTCTTGATGAACGGCGACATCTAAAAAAATTTAAAAATAATGGATGCCACGGAGTAAGTTTCAATTGACCTCCTAATTCCATCTCTAAAGTATAAAATCGGCTCCACAGTCCTTACTTGGCGCCATCTTGTAATACTATGATTATAGTCTACAGTCCTTCTCTGGATTGATTTCCGCATACGCTTTCCATCTATTCATACAAAGTGGAGCGCCCACAAGGAAGCAACAGTGTGCAAGGGACATGACATCTCGATAATGTTAATTGCAGGTACCACAGTTCTTTATTTAGTCCTGAATGCCTTTTTTTTATCTTGACAAGCAGGTATTTAAGAGTGTTAAAATAAGAAAAGGTTGATGTGGTTGTACTCTACCAAAAACTATCCTGTTGCCATATTCTCTTTGACTACCATCACCGCGATCGGATCGCGGCGTGAATTCTCTCCGTTGTGCAAAGTTTGACATGTCCTCTTTTCCCTCTCCTGTAGTCTATTATTCCTGAGATTGCTATTTATTATATCCGGCTAAATATATATTATAAAAGACGGTACTGTTCAGTCGAGTCCCAAAAGGAAGAAGAGGATGGTGCAAAGATCTTTCACCCATCTCTCATTTTTAGCTTGGACACCTGCGTCACCGAAATCATTTAAAAGCTGTGGCAACCTTAATTAACACATGATATTTCGGCGCAGTTGTCAAGGCTTTCGCCCAAACAACGATTCAGTTCATCCATCGACGACGCGACTTCTTCGAGGAATCCCTCATTTAGCTTTAGCCTGACCCATAATGCCGAAGGAGCCGTTACCAAGGTATCTCCATCCCGACTACAATCCCATGCGGGATAAGATGGATCGACTTCGTGAAATTCTTATTCATAACAAGGTCAAGACGCCTTCCGGGAATGTCAGGAAACAGGATTTTATTGATTTGTTTGAACAGCATATCAGGCCTCAGATACCAGCACTTAGGAAGTATTATGAGAATATCAAGCCGTCGGAGAAAGGGATCATCAAAGTACCTGCGTCTACTACGACTCATCTATCAAATGATCGCAAGCAGGTCAAACCTGCGGTTCCGCCACATAAATCAGCTACTGTTACCTCTTCCTCCTCTTCCAGCTCTACATTACAACAAGGCCATGTATCACAACCACTCCCGTCTTTAAGTTCGCTACCAGCTTCGACATTAGCTTCATCATCAGTTCAACCAGTGCCAGAAACAGGACCTTTGAGGCAGAATGGGCAACAGACATCAGGAACTGAATCAACAAGTTTCAGTAGAGGTAGTAGCGCTGATAAGGTACCAGACAATTTGATAGTGTGAAGTCTCACTCTTTAATGCCTGCTGTTTACTGAGAAGCGTGTCTTTATATTATTTTTATCTTTTTATTTTTACAGTCAGATTTCACGAATGTATCAAACGAAGTAACTAAGGAGGACCATCCGACAAAAGACGTAGAACGAGGAAGAACGCAACGAGCATCGACAGATATTAAGGATACGAAGAGCATTGATGATAGCGGTCGGGTTAAGCGTCGGAGAGTAGGCCTTTTTATTATTATTATTATTATTATTATTATTATTATTATTATTGTTATTATTTTATTTATCTGAAGTGTCTGATAGGCTGATCATTGCACATGTTAAAATGGATCATTTGCATCCGCTAACAGTCTCTTGATCCTATTGTCAAGTAGAGATCTTCCTCAACAAAGAAGAGAGCGCCTAGTCAAAATTTTTCAAAGGAGAATCCATTTCAGAGTAGCAAGGAGTCAGAACGCAGGCGGCGGTCTAAATCAAGGGATGGTGTTTCTTCTACGTCGCATCCCTCGTTAAAATCGCGTTCAGCCTCAAAGTCACGCACATCAAGAGCGCGTAGCAAGTCGGGTAATGGATTGCGAGAGACCAGGAGGGATTCATCAGGGAGAATGGAGCACGACGACATCTTTGGAGCTGCAGCTCTGCCTGCATTTTCAAATTATATTCGTAGACCCAAGTATCCAGTTTCAACATTTGACGATATCGACTCTGATGGTCCCCCTTTCCACAATTCGCCATTGGTGGCTAAAAGTCGAAGGATATTAGAGGCTACACTTGCTAAACCCAAACCTTTAAATTTCGGGGCGATGCATTATCATCAAGGACAGAGAGAGGTTGGCTTTAATAGGATTCAGAATGAAAAACAGCAAAGTTCATGGATGCCATTCCGATTATTGCTTTCTGTGGCAGTTCTATTCTTTGCATCATGGTATCGGCAGACACGCTTTCAAATTGGCTTTTGCACATCGGATTCTTCCACTCCCAGCAGTCCTAACGAATATCGTATGTATAAGCTCTTAGTTTCTTGGAACAAGAGAGCTATAGACGGTTTTGCCTTGTTTACTTTATTCAGCGACTAAAAACATTTATTTTACATTTATCAATAGAGAATCAATTCTGGGGTTGGATGTATCCCACATGTATCCCATGCCCAACACATGCAACGTGCTTAGATCCCAATGAGCCGCCTCTCTGCCCACCAGAGTATATTCTGAAGCCAAACCCACTCAGTTTTGATAACTTTCTGCCGCTAACACCTGTTTGTGTCCTCAATAAGGCGAAAGAGTATCAGAGTCTGCAAGTAGCAGATGTGGCTGAGCATATCTTGCATCGTAAGGCTGGAATTGAGGAATGCAAATTTTATGTTCAGCCACCAAGGACACTTGAGTTCATAGCACGCCAACGGATATCAATTAGAGACTTGAAGGACGAAATCTATTCAATGAAAGATGTAAGCATCCATACCAAAAAGAGATTTATGGCCTCGCCTCGTATATTTCTTTGTTTTAGGAAGAGTCTTTGACCTTTTTTTCCTTATTTTTTTTTATCTTTATTTTTATTTACTTTCGTCTTATTAATTACAGTCTAGCATATCCTTGGAGGAATTCGAGCAATATTGGGATCTTGCCTTGAAGGAATTGTTCCGCAGGTCAGATAGCCTTGTTTTTGAACAATGGATCGATGAAGAGTATCTTCGTTCACTCAAGCCTAGTAAATCTCTTGTGTGCGCGATGCGGCAGGGATTTCTTGGCTGGTGTCTTGAGTACCAACTGTATATCTTGACTATTATCATTGCCTCATTATCTGGATTTTTTTTCCGGCGCCATCTCCATAACAAACGCGAAGAGTCCAAAATAGTTCAATCCCTTGTTGAGACTGTTCTTAGCAAACTAACAGATCAGTCACATTACTACTATATCGATCCCTTCAGCTACCCTGAGCCATATCTATCTCAGATTCATCTTCGGGACGCTCTTTTGATTGATGTGGCTCAGCCTGCGCGGCGTAACGAACTATGGGAGAAAGTTTCTACTATTGTTGACAAGGATGCGAATGTGCGGGTGAGTTTGCAAGAAGTGAGAGGTGAGATCCATCGAGTTTGGGAATGGATTGGTGCATCGGGTATATTGAGCAACAAGCCTAGGAGCACCGCAACCAGTAGTAGCCCAAGTAATAGCTTCAGGCCTTCTAATAGCATCAGTAGCTTGCATGTTACAGCAGCAATTGAAAGTAGCCCAATTGATGAGCTCGTCTCATATCCGATCATTTCCTAGGAGCTATCCTGCAATAAAAAAAAAAGTTTCAAGCCACATTAGTCCTATACAATTCCTCTGTGCCTTTTGCTTGTATGAGAGGACCACTTCAACTGGTTCTTTGACCATTTCATTGCTCATTTTAACCATGGACGACCATGCACCACTGGAGAGTACCGGCATCGAGGAGCCTCTTGACCTCGTTCGCCTGTCATTAGACGAACGCATCTATGTTAAGCTTCGTGGAGACCGTGAGCTTCGTGGCAAACTTCATGTATTATTCCTTCTTTTTTCTTTTTTTAAGCATTCGTTTACCTTTGTTGCTTTCTCTACACAACGGGTTAAGCAATATGAAGCATGGCTATATTAAGTGTTCAAGCGCCTGCTAAGCTTCATCCCTTTCTCTTTTTTTTTTTTTTTTTTTTCTTCCATTCCTTGATTGCTGAACATTAGGCATATGACGGTCATTTGAACATGGTTCTGGGCGATGTCGAAGAAACGATCACTGTTGTGGATGTGAATGAGGAAACTTTGGAGGAAGTTATCAGAGTAAGCAACCAATGGAACTCTACTATTGTTGGCGCTCGAGAATCCTTGTTTTTTTTTTTTTTTTTTTTTAATATGTTTGTTTTTCGATTATGAAAATATGAGAGAACCGGCCAAACGCAGATAATCAACCAAGGAGAAGGAATCAATTGATCCGCTACATTCAGTAGTGGACTTTTTTTTTTTTTTTTTTTCTTGTTATGATGGATCACTGGATTTCAAGTTGATATATATTTTTTTTATTCTCCCTTTAATATCCTTTCATGTATAATAGATTGTCAAAAGGAACTGTGAGATGCTTTTTGTCCGCGGCGATGGAGTTATTTTGGTAACGTGCATTTGACATTATCTTTGTTTTCTCGTTCTTTATTGATATAAAGCGGTATACAGAATCAATGGATTACTTACGGCCTTTATGTCTCATATCTTGTTCTATGACAGGTTTCGCCACCATCGCGTGCATAGAAGTAGAGTGATAGCAAAAAAAAAAAAAAAAAAAAAAAAAAATTCAACAAAGTTATTAAACCACAAAAAAAAAAAAAAAAAAAAAAAAAAATCACAGTAAACTTCTGTTGTCTTTGGTGTATTAATATGACTTACGAGGTCACAGATGTAGAAAACGTTCTATTGTATGCAAACGCGTAAGGAAATTTATCATTCCTGGCAGCGTGGATTTGTGTGTCTTACACAGGAATAATTACACGCGTATTGTAGTAATGTCTTTGTTGTAATGTACTTGTACTAGTGGTGTTTACTATTTACACGCTCTTTATTTTATTTTTTTTGTTTTTTGTTTTTTGAAGACTACCAAGCGCACAAACATGAACAACATAAACATAAACATAAACATAAACACATGCACGCATGTGTGTAATTAAAATATAATAAAAAAGCTTTTAAAATATATGCTTGTAAGGCTTGGTTCATTGTTGATGGTGTTGATAGTTGAAATGGCCTTTTTCAACTCCTCTGTACCTCTCTGCTTTCCTTTCTTTCTTTCGTTCATCCTCTTCCATCATCTACCCCTTTGCTTTGTTTCTATTCTTTGAGATTTACTTTTAACCTGACTTCAACGTTGCCCTGGCTTGAACAGGTTGAATTTTTTTTTTTTATTTTTTTTTTATTTTTTATAACAGTCCTTTGGTTTGGATATTCCTTTCACTCCTACCACGCCCATTAGCGTCCTCTCACTCCACTCTCAGGGTCTAACGTCCCATTCATTTTTTACTCCTTCTACAAGACAATTTCTCTACACTTTCTTCTAAACACATTTGCATACTTCATTTTATCCCTATCTCCTGCTTGTTTGCTTGTTCACACCATGTCATCCACTACTACCTCTGCTATCTCGCTGTGGGAGTCCTTCCGTGCCAATCCAGCCTCTCCAGAGTTGTATCTGCCAGATGCGCACATCGTCTTTTTACCAACGGGTGTCGGTGCAGCGACCGGGAAACAAATTTACGAGTTTTTCAGCAATGGTAACTTTTCGCATCCGAAGCGATTGTTGGTGGAGGAAAGGGTCATTCATCGCACTGTGGGTGAATCCTCTGCTGTGGATGAAGTGGAGGCGACCGTCAAGTTTGTCTCTGGTGCTGGAGCTTGGCTATTACCTGGAATTGAACCACATCACCTCGAAGACTTGACTATCACTTTCCCACTGGTAAGTTGATAAATCATGTTTATTTCTTGTCCCCTCTAATCTCATGCCGCCAAAAAAAAAATAAAAAAAATTGGTGGTCAAAGAGGCGATGAACTGCATGCAGAGTTGCAGCAAATTAAGTGATAAGAAGGGGGGGGGGAAAACTCAATTGGTGTATTCATTCTCCACCTTCCCACCCCACAGAGCGGACAGAGGGAAAAGAGGGGGAAAACAGAGGGAGCACTGACGCTTTTTGTGCTTGATCGGAGCGGAGCATGGATGAAAAGGGTTTACTTGCACCTTCGCATATCCGCGTGATTCTGCAATGGAGCGTCAACCTTTTTTAATCATGTAATCAATGATAAAAGAGCAATTGTGAGAAGGGGGCAAAATGTCAAAAGACGTGGGAGAGAGAGAGACAGAGTTTGATTATAATATAATTCTAATGGTCTTTGGCTCCCACCATTCAGGATTTAGCCTGGACCCACACCATAACAACCACAACAACAACATTAACAACAGCAGTGGTCTGTAATGAATAAAAAAGTGTACATTTGTAGTTGTCATGCAGAATCCTACTAAACAAACAAAAAAAAAAAAAAATTCATCTTGCTCAGGTCATTTGCGCCTCCTTTGCAGAAGGCCACATTGCCAGCGTCCGCTATTTGTGGGACAATGCTAGTGTTCTCAAGATGGTGAAGTTGATCGGTTCGCGTCATTCCTGGCCTATTGTCACCGAGACTCAGATTGAGGGCCTCAGAGATCCTTCCAGATTCCGTCTGAATCCCTTTGGCGGTGCTAGTACGGCTGCAGGCTCACGCTCTCAGTCCAATGTAAGTAGAATATCAATCACAAGAACAACGAACAATAGGGAACGCATGTTTATGTGTAGTGTAAAAGATTTTTAATTTGGTATTAGGATTGACATCGGTAATGAATCATATATCAGCTGGTTGTTTGACATTAACTCCATTTCACAAACAGATTTCAAAGATCTTTAGCCCCCCACCCGTTTCGCCTCCTGAGCATCCCGCCTCTATCACAAAGAAAGGTCATCCAGCCTTGACATCGACCGTCTTTGGCCACCTCAAGGGCACAGACACGAACGGTAATGGCAACAGCAACAACAGCAGCATACCCATGTCTTTGAGTCCATCGGGTTCTGATGAGGCATTGGCCAGTAGGTCAACCACTGCTTCACCTGTACAGTCACCAAAGAAGGGTCATCCAGCTCTTACTTCAACATTGTTCAATCATCTCAAGGATGCTGACCCAAAGAAGGCGTTCGAAGATGAAAACGGCAATATCCATAGCAGGAACAACAGAACGCGTGGATATTCTTCGAGCAATGGAAATGAGGATAGCGCTGCTATCACTCCAACATCTCCTCGATCTCCTCGATCCTCCGTTTCCTCCCCTGTGGCCAAGGGAGGCTACTCAGCTTTAACATCAACCGTGTTTAGTCACCTCAAGGATCCAGCCCAGCAACCCCAGGCTGCTACTACTACTATCGATACTACCTCAAATCAACCTCCAAGAACCATGGTTCAACAGCAGGATCAGCAAGAGATCAAGCCAGAGGACCGCGGAGCAGGTTGGAGGGCTGATTATGTAAAGCCCAAGGGCCACCCAGCATTGACTTCCACCATCTTTTCGCAGCAGTCACCACCGCCAGCTCCTCAACCTCAGCGTCAATACAGACGAACTAGCCACAATATCTTTGGAGCCCCTGTCGAAGAACCTACAAAGACCAATTCTAATCCAGCTCCAGTTGTAAAAGAGACAAAGGGATTCACATTAGAGTCTTCTGCTATCGAGGCTGAACTGGAGCGGAACAAGCAACAGCAGAGAGAGTTGAAAGAGGAGACTGAGGACGAGGTTGCAAAGAAAAACGCTCAAGAGCTTGAAAATCTCGAACGACAGATGAAAGAAGTTGAGAAATTGAATACTGAGGCTGAAGCTGAAGCGCAGGCACAGGCACAGGCACAGGCACAGGCACAGGCACAAGCCAAATTGGACCAAGAGCATCGCCAACAGCAAGAAGAGGAGAAGAAGGAGAGAGAAGAGCTGGCTAAACTGAATGTCAAGACACCTCCAGCGACTCTTTCTCATCCTGGAGCGCCACTGTCCCCTCAGTCCCCACCATCCTCTGCCAGGCGAATCCATCCCAACTATAGAACTTCGTTCACCATTGGTGGTGCTCGCTAAGATGATACCAATGAAGCAAAAAAAAAAAAAAAAAAAAAAAAAAAAGGTACAATACAATATAACCATCAGCCATTTTTTGTCTACATGCTCCTCAGAATAAGTTTGAATGAAAATGAATAGTAATAAAGAGGATTTTATTTTATTTTATTTTATGTTATGTTATGTTATGTTATGTTATGTTATGTTATTTTTTTTTTTGTGTGTGGATCAAAAGGATGGAGAATGGTACAGAAGACAGAAAATGGAGATGTTTTAATGTACTAGATAAATTTGCGAATGACCATGGCGACCAAAAGACCTCCAAAGATGAAGATAAGGGTGTCAAGCCACACGGGAATACCAGACTCTGTTCGTCGATTGTTCTGTGCCCGAGCCTGTGCAGGTGCTTGGAGATGCTCCAAAATCTGTGTTTGAGACTGAGAAGTAGCAGCTCCTGTCCGGGCACGGATCTCTGTTGTTGTTGATGATGATGATGCGCCTGTTACAGGGGTCAATGGCCTTGAAAGGCCTTGAGGCACGTTCGATGAAGACTGTACTCCCGCTGAAGGCCCTTGTTGTTGTTGAATGGAAGATTGATGCATGGGCCTTACTGTAGATTCTAATTCAATGGCAGGCCTGCTGGATTGAATATCATCTGACATGGTTGGAGTAAATCCTGTAGATGATGGTGATGGCAAATACTCTACTGCTGACTCGGCTAAGTTTCCCTTATCCTCGCAAGCTTCATTTTTATTAGTGTTATTATTACTATCGCTTTCCTCTGCCTGCTTCTTTTTGTCAGCCTCATATCCAAATGAGAATTCTGGAGGCAATTCATCAGCTTTGAGAGATGCCTTGACTGCGTTCTCTGGTGCAACGTCTGGCAGGATCGATATGTTCTCTGATTGACACGTTGGACACGACCATGTTCTTGATCTGTGGTTCACAAAAAAAAAAAAAAAAAAAAAAAAGGTCAGGACATTTCTGATGCTTAAATCGGACAAACAAGCGATTATTTTAAAACATACTTGATAGCTAAAGCTTTTCTAGCTTCTACGCTTGTATCAAGTCCTCCAATGGCGCCTTTGCTTTCTGTGGGCAGGAATCCCATGACTGCGACCAGCACTGTCCGAATACCCCAAGCAGGTTGCCAATACTCTGGATGATAACCAGTGATGCTCAAGCAGACTTTTTTGTGGAGTTCGAAACGTCCATTGGGCTATAATGTTGTTTAACGAATATAAATTAAAGACGAGGGGAAATCTTATCAGATATAGTAATGTGTATAATGACATTATTCTTGATAATCTTTTCTTTCCCCACCCCCCCCAAAAAAAAAAAAAAAAAAAAAAAAAAAACACTAAAAATTAAACTTACTGTCAAGAACATGAGACTAGGTGGAGCAAATGGGTAGTTATTGGGAAGTAAGATGCGACCATGATAGAGTCCTCCCTCAAACTCAGTGTCCTCTGGACCTCGAATTGTAAAATGCCATTCAAAAATATCTGTCTATTGTTGAAGGAAAATAATAAAAAAAAAAATCAATTTTTCAATTACAAATGCATGCGCCCAAGGCAGTTAAAATGATTTGCCATTCATAATTTCTGCGCCATCCAACTGATACTTGATATCTTTTTTTTTTTTTTTTTTTTTTTTTTTTCTTACTTCGAGTGGATTGGCAGCAAAATCAGTTGATGGTTCACGAGCCAGTTCGCGAGCTTCTTGCATAATCCTTTTGACAGCTTCCGATTGAGCATTTTTTTTATTTCGTATGCGTGTACGATTGTTGAGGTGGTTAAAGGAATATGTAGCAGGAGCAAGTATGTAGAATAAAAAGATGTGTTTAAGAAAGGTAAATAGAAAGAAAAGAGTTGTAATAGTTCGTTAGACTAGGTAGATGCCTTGTCATTCATCGTCTTGGTTGCATTCATTCATTGTCAAAGCTCAAAATTGCACTCAACCATTGCAAGGTAGTTTTTTTTCTTTTTTTTTTTTTTATTTTTTACCAGAGCTCTTTTTATTGTACTGTGCAGTGATGCCCGCCAGTGACGCCATTTTATACACTAGTCGGGGGGGGGGGGGGGGGTGTTTCGCGAGGAGTTGGTTGCGGAGGAAGAAGAGAGGTGAGAATGTGTTTGTGCTGGATGGAGGAGACACTTGAGAAATGTGTATATAGGAGAGAAGTGAGGCTGTGACTTTAAGTTAGGAATGCTTGCTCCCACTCATTAAATAAGTTAAATTTGTCAAGTGATATGAATATTGGAGTACATAAAGTTTATGTGCATCACTATTAACTATATACATTAGCTGTCCAAGACAAGGGACTAGCCCGAGTCCCATTCATTGAACAGATATTATAGAAACCAAGCGCAATGCAATACAGACCATGTTTGTTCTCTCTTTTTTGTTCTTCAGCCCATCTCTGACATGTTATTTCTCCTCCCTGCCAGTCAGATCGTACCACGTTCACAAAAAAATTTTATTAATGTCAAATTTCCTGGACATAGTTACCTACATTAGGAGAGAAAAGAATTGCCTTGTCAGTGACCAGTGTGCGGCATAGATTGCGCATTTGGTAGATAAGGGATCATCACAAATTACCTGGGAACAAGCCTTGTTGACCATTCAACTTGCCAGTCCACCAGTCATTAGAACTGGCTGTTCGCTCTACCAACTCGATCCGATCATCTTTTCGGAAACTTAAATCGCCTGGCTGCTGTGCATCATAGTCATACAACGCCACCACCATCTTGGGACCAGGTTCATGGAGTTTCTTGGGCATAGGTGGGGGAGGCGGGCCCTTTTTGACAGCTTGCGCTCGTAAATAATCTATTCCATTAGTTGCATACGGCGACGGTGATGCTGCTGCTGCTGCTGAAGGTGCCGAATAAATGTTGGCGTTCCGAGGCGTCATAGATCGTGAATAAGGACTGGCGCCTGAGCCAGCAGGCTGCGCACCATTATGAGCAACACCATCATTCTGGATTGTATTATAAGCTGGGGGTGGCGGTGACGCGTCTTCTCGTGATCGAGAAATGTCGCTTGTCGCTTGCCATGGCTTTGTGCCTACAGAAGTCGGGCTCCTTTGCCAAGGCTTGGGAGCTGATACTGGAGACATAGAAGTTGGAGATCCATAAGTGTGTTGAACGGGACTAATGGGGCTTTTCTGGGGAGCTAGTTGTCCATATTTGCTTGTATAAGCTGTCAGAAAAATAAAACATAAAGAACCAACAAATGTCAGTTCTTTGTGAAAAAAAGGACCATATTATACATGCATTATTTAGTAATAGTAATCATCAAGGACATTACTGGCAGCGACAGATCTCTTGGTGATAGTTTCAACTGATTCAACAGTAGGAAGGGTATCTTGCTTCCGTGCTTCGTATCCTTGTTTTATGTCCATTGTGAGATCAAAGTAACCATTGGCAGAGAGAGGCCCGATACGATCAAGCATGATGTTGTAAATACGTGTCTGCAAATAGTAGAGTGCATGGAAAATTGGCTCGATCAATTGGGCTCTGTAATAAAAGAATCCTGGCAGTTCTTCGCGTAATAGATTGTTCAAGCCTTCATAATCTGCAGTGGCAACTTCTAGTTGGGATTCAAGCTGGAAAAAAAGAAAAAAAAAAAAGATCTGAGGTTAATAAGGTTTGATGATCCGGATATACTTTTACCAGTAAACGTACAAATTATTGAAATAAATAATGGCGGCGTAAAAAAAAAAAAATACGCACCCTGTAAATATGCTTCTCATCATTCAATGTCCGTTCTTTCTTTTCTTGCAACTTCTTGAGGGAGATGCGGAAGCGATCATAGTCAATCAGCTTATGCTCTCTTTTAATAATTGTCTTGCGGATCAGCTTCATGTTGTTCTGCATCTCTTCCAGAGGGCGAACTACCAATAACTCGAGTTTATCCTGTTTTAATCCGCGAATGCATAAAATACATAAAAAAAGAAATCATTATAAGCGCTAGATCCAGTACAGCTGCAGAAATGTAATGACTGATCCCAGGTCTGTGAAATTTGTTTTCAACAATTGTAAGTCGTACCACTTCAGGTAAAATAGTGTCTCTCATCTCTCTCATGACTGCCTGAAAATCGTCAATAGCTTGCATAGACTCTGGTGCTGTCTGCGCTCTTCGTGGCGTCACTACTCCACTGGGCATCCCCAAGGATGGGTCGTATACCTCAGCAAGGACGATGCCAAACTCGGCTTGATGATTGAGCAAGGCTATTATGTGACATGAATGATGATATGAGGGAAAAAATTTCAGCAAGCTGATCAGACGCACAGCAACATGAAACAACACAGCATAAAATTTTCATAATTTCACTAAGACAAAAACCGGAAAGGAAAAAAAAAAAAAGCCCAACTGCGCGGTTGATCATTTAAAAAAATAAAATAAAAATGGCGGCTATGATCTTTCATCGTCAGTGTTGAGGAATGATAAGGTCTGTGCCTTACCAGTGACATTGTCGCGATACTTGCATATGTCTGCCAGCAATTTCTCTGTAATTTTTTCACATAAAGTGAACTTGTTGTTCAGTTCATTGAATTCAGGATCTTTTGTCTCTGATATATTGCGGATTTGGGAATGAATGCATAGACGGTTATGAAAGTATTAGCAGAAATAAACAATCTTCTTTTTTTGCAAAGTGAAGTCGGCGAATTGAAAATTTTATCGTCGAGGAAGAAAGATAAAGATTACCATCCCGAATGCCAGTCTTTGTTGAGATCGCGTGGGGCAGTCTATAGACAGCTTTAGTGAATCCTTTCCTATTGTTGGTTTGTTTGCAATGCTTTATGGGGTAAGTATGCTATGGCCTACACCTCCTTCAACAGCTGCATATAATCGTCAATGTTCCACAGATCTGCTTCGATAGGATTGACTTGCCAACTCATGTCCTGGGAAAAAAATTTATTGTTGAATTGGAGTTAATTAGGATAGTGAGTAATAGGGTAGTTTCTAGAAGCCAATAAGGTGAATAGTCTGAAGACGAGAATAGCAAATGAAGAAAAAAAAGTTGTAAATGTGAAGGAATGAAGAAAGGACTTGAATACTTAGTCAAAGTAAGACACTCAGAAAAATGTGCATCATTACATTACTGCATGCATGTAATGCTCTCAGAAAAAAAAAAAAAAAAAAAAAAAAAAATTCGCTAGTCACTTTTCAAAGTTTCTTTTTTTTCCCTCTCCACTTTCTTCTCTTCAGGTCATCTTTGCCACGCTTTACTCTCATTTGTTTGCATGCTTGCCAAGAAGCATTCCTTCCTGTACATATTAAGACTCTAGCATTCTCCATCTCTTTTTTTATCATTAACCATGTCTGTTCTGAACAACAGCAGGCCCGCTGTGGATGGGGCCACTTCGGACCTTCTCATGGATCTTCATGTCAAGTATATTCAGGCACTTGACACGGTAATAACAACAATAAAAAATAGTAGCTTTTACCCTTCTCGTGTTCGACATCAACGAGCATCTTCTTTCTATATGCAGATAAAACATTGTCGTAATGAATGAATTCTGGACAGTAGGACTGATACCAGATTTCTGCGCTTCTCGTTGTTTCATTGGTATCGCAGAAGAAGAATGATCTCGAGTACTGGTTGACAGAGCATCTTCGCGTCAATGGCCTCTATTGGGGTGCTACCGCGCTTCACATCCTTGGTAAACCCGAAGCACTCGATCAGGATCAGATCGTCGAATACCTGGTGAAATGCCAACATGAGAACGGTATAATCTTTACTATCTTTATAGTCTTTATGACGTAATAGTTGTCAATGCAGAAACAGCCTACCAATGGATCATTTGATTTTTTTTAGGTGGATTCGGAGGCCATATCGATCACGATCCGCACATTTTGTCAACGCTGAGTGCAGTTCAAGTGTTAATTACTTATGACCGATTAGATGCTATCAATGTTGACAAGGTCGTGGACTGTACGTCATCCATACAGTTATTTCAGCAAATGTTTAAAATGCTGCATTATCTTCTGAAAGTAAATGCTTACTTTTCCTTACCATTTGGTTTTAGACATCGTGTCCTTGCAGAACGAGGATGGATCCTTCAGTGGAGACTCATGGGGCGAAACAGATACTCGGTTCATCTTTTGCGCAATCAACTGTCTTAGTCTACTAAAGAGATTGGATGATAAGCGCCTGAATTTAAAAAAGACTATTGATTATATTGTACAATGCCGGAACTTTGATGGCGGGTTCGGGAGCTCGCCTGGAGGGGAGAGCCATGCTGCTCAGGTATATGTTTGCGTAGGAACATTGACCATTTTGAATGCTTTACATCACGTTGACGCAGACCAGCTCGGTTGGTGGCTCAGTGAGAGACAATTGAAGAACGGCGGTTTGAACGGTCGGCCTGAAAAGCTGGAGGATGTATGTTACTCGTGGTGGGTTTTGAGTAGTTTAAGTATGCTGAAGCGGGCCCATTGGATTGATGCAAACAAGTTGACCCAATTCATTCTCGAGGCACAGGTAGAGTGTTAGTTCCGGTGACTGGAAGCGGCCACTATAATTGCAAGTGCATGAGTGAACGATCTCATTCTTAGATTGTACTCTAATCTTTGTTAACTATTGTCTTTTTAATTTGTCTTATACTTTTATACTTTAATAATCGGCTCGCTATACAGGATTCAGAAACAGGTGGCATTGCTGATCGATCAGGCAATATCCCTGATGTATTCCACACTAACTTTGGTATCTGTGGACTATCTCTGCTGAGATATCCTGGCTTGGTGCCAGTAGATCCTGTCTACTGTATGCCTCGTCATGTGATTCAGCGGATCGGGCTCACCGACAAGCATTAATACCGTAGTTCCTAGACCAGGAAGTATCCAGAATTGCAGAACCTTTGCATTACTCGACGTATTTCAATAAAGAATAGCCTGTATGCTTGTACGCGAGTAGTGTTTTTTCATCTCGTTCTAATTCTACGCATATCAAATTTAATAATGAGAGGCAGTCTTTATCTGGGTTGGGAAGTGGCAGTCAAAGAGTTTAATGTTGATGTCTACGCGACTGAGACTGAACAGAATCCAGGAGAAGCTTTCATCGATAACATTATTAACAAGAGCTTGTAAATGTACAAATGATGCAGATCTCACTGCTGATCATAAGAAACCAGGAGACCTCATTGATAACCAGGCATTAGACACATGGAAACGCATGGTGTCAAGAGTCTACGACTTTTGTATTCAATATGGCGCCAGCATTGATTTTATTCATCACCAGCCAAAAATTTTTAATCGGTTGTTTCCTGGTATAATTTTTGTCTTTATAATACACTTTCGCTATAACACGTTGGACATGAGTGCAGCCCCACATATTGAATGAAAGCACGTTGGATACGACCTGGACTTCTTTTCAAGAGTGATATCTTGCCGATTTACTGCACCAGTGGACGAGATGAGAGTTTAAGAGAGGGAAGGGAAAAAAATACTGCCATACTGCCACCCCTTTTAAATAATGAATGACGCACATTTGTGGCCCAAATGTTTCCCACAGAAGATGGAAAATGACGAGGCTTCTTTATTTTATTTTTTATTTCCATACTCTTACTTGCTTTCTCTAAACGATACCAATAATTTTTCAAAATCAATGACATCTACCCCTACGCCTGATCAGATCCCTATCGAGGAGCAGCCTGTGCTTGAAGCTCTCGTCTCTATCAAGCATAGGCTTACTGCTATCAAGAAGGACCGTTCCCGCTTCTTAAAAACTTCAACTGTCATAGCCCTCTATGACGAACTCTGTGTTCAACTGCAAAGACTTGAGGAAATCCGTGGCGCGGGGAATGCTACCATTTGGGGCTACAAAAACAATGTGAACTGCATTCTCGACGATGTCTTTGTCATTCTCTCATTATGCTTCATGGCAGTAGGCAAAACCAAAGAGAGTCCTGCTACTTATGTGCAGCTTCTTACCATCAAGGTAAAAAAAGAAAAAAGAAAAAGAAACAAAAGAAGACTTGAAGCTTTCAAGGGAGTGAGAGACATTTGTGCATAGTTTAGGGCAAAAAGTCTATTTGGGTATATTGAGCCTGACCAGCATGGGAAATCAGACCCGTTTTGATTCTGATAATGCGCCTACTTGGTCAATTTTGGGGTTTTTTTTTACCATACCTGACCTAAACTCTTGTTTATTTTAGCAATGCCTTACAGGCTTACAAGAATCTGGAGTCTTTGCTGCTGGTAACATCCTTATATTGATGTGCTTGTGTCTTTTTGTATAGTTCATATTGATATATATTTTAAAGATGAAACTAAACCTGTTCAGTTCCGCCATTGTTTGATATAATTCATGCTCGTGTCTTTGCTCTTAACAGAGGATCTAAAGCAATACGAGGACAGGTTGAAGCAGCTGGAGGATTTCATCAAGGTGGATGAAGCTAAGTCATCCACACCCGATATCCAAACAAAGATCCTCAGACGCAAGCTCGACTTTAATAGTACGTATTCATCTCGCCTGTTTGTTCATGCTTTAGCAATAGAAATGAAACTGGAGAGCCGATCTTATTTCATGATCTACCCGTATTGATGCAGTTCTAAATCGTGCTATGAGAATATACCTGATGCAATTTTGTTGATTTTTTTTGTGATCTTTTAGACAAATTGCTCAAGGAACTACAGGATGCAGTCAAATCTATTTCTCCAGAACTGGCGCCTATCCACCGGCGTTTGGTTCAGCTCAAAATCGAACTTGCGACATTGGCATCAAGATCGTCCTCTTCATGGAGTAGCTCTGAGGTCCATCATATTCAAGAAGAGCTGCGAGAGATTGAATCCAAGCGAGAAGATGGCAAGTTTATGGATGCAGAGGGCAATGTCGTCTGTGGACAAGCTGCAGTCATCGGATTGCTTGAAGACTGTTACGACGACTGCCACAATTTGTTAGCAACCAAGGAGCCAGTCCCCCAATCGTTACGAGATATTTTCGATCGACTGGAGGCGATCAAATCAGATTTGGAGAGGCTGGTTCTGACACAGCGCTGGACGCTAAGGGAAACTGATCTATGGCAGTATGAAATTCAATTGAGTGAAATCAGTGCACTTCGCACTAATGGAAAGTTTGTCAACCGGGATGGTGACGTGGAAGAAGGCCAGGTATGGAAGCTAGCAAGCATTTTTTTTTCTTTTGCATGGAGGCCGTGGATAATGGGAGTTATTATCCTTTTACTGATCAAACAAGTCAACTTTAAACGTTTAGGCTCTCCTTAATTTCATGCTTCACAAGTGTTATCGTTTAATTTATATCCTTTTGACAGCATCAGAGCCAATTGCAGAGGCACTGGTGCCGATTCATAACCAACTGCTGACCGTTCGTCGGTGCTTACTGGAAGTCAAGAAATGGGGTGGAGACTTTACAGGTAATATGGTGGAAAGGAGACCAAGATCAATGGATGCTTTCGCTCGATAGAGATGAATCATGATTCATTTTGGACGATTTGTCTTACATAACGAGCATGGTAACACGTTATACTTTGACTACAACTAACCCTTTGTTCTTATTTTCTTCTATTTTCTTATGCCTCTAATTAGTACGTGATCTGTACCCATATCAAATGAAGTTGGCCTCAATGGATAACATGCGAGTTGATGGCAAATTTTTGGACAAGGATAATGAGATTCCTGAAGGTCAGGGTATCTGCAATTCACTTTTAAGCGAATGTTATGATATTATGTATGAACTACAGGACTCTGTCGTTGATGACGCCTCAGATAAAGAATGTGATAATGAGGAAGAAAACCCTGGGATGGAGCTTCGAGGATCCAAGGGCTTGGATGTTGTAGTTTAAAAAAGATATTGTACTCTATATGATCATAAACATCCACTATCTTATATAATTTATTTTGCCTTTGCGCTCGCCTCTCCTTTTAAAGTCAACTTGAGCAGTTGGCCACTTGTGGTCATATCGCTATTTATCATTGAACATGTTGACAAACACCTCGTCTTCAGTATTTATCCAACGCAGACAGGCTTGGTATGATGAAAATAAAAGCACATCATTTCCATTCAAAATTTCTGCCTACCTTTGGACGCGTCCACTTCCGATAATATCGTGAATATGAAATTTATGAGGAAGGAACGATCCTCGTAAGGGCTTTGATACCAGGGCCTAAGAAGTAGTACAGAAAGATGAATGTTACATTTAGTTTAATAATGGGTACAGACATAGAAAAAAAAAAAAAATCGCAGCTGAATGGTTGGTTGCTCTTATACAATGAGTGAACGAGTGCTATTTACCGAAGTCAACATGTCCCCAAAGGTCTGCCGCCGAATCATCCTCAACATCTCAAGCCTTCCCTTTAAAAGATGAGTTACAAAGAGGCCTCCCTGACGGATCGCAAACCTGTAGGACACATCATCAGTCACGCGTTCATGGCGGCCTAGTACGGCGGAGATTGTTGTGGTTTGGGATGGTGCTGAGGCTGTAGACACGCTGCTAGTTATTGCTGCCGCTGTAGTTGCTGTTGTCTCTGACTTAATTGCCTTTGCTTGTTCCTGATTCGTTGCATGGATCAGTTGGTTCAATGCCGTGTGGCCACCGCCTGTGGTGTTGGTTTTAGTACTGTCGCCCCCACCTCCACCTCCTCGTCCTATGGGTTGGTTCAGATTGACAAGATGGGGGTTCGCAGGCACCGACAGACTACGGTTGAGTAAAGAGTATCGAATCAAAGTGCTAAAAATAAAAAGAAGAGAAAAAAAAGAAGGTTTGCATCAAATACTTTATAAAAGAATAGGCAAAAGGATCAAGCTTGCTGCCTACGTACGTAATGTCTTCATCAGTAGCTCCAATAACGGATTGCATATTAGAATGTTGGATAGAGATTTCAAAATAACGTCCACTGGTGACCAAGTCCTTGAAACGATCAAAGATAGTTTCGTCCGCTTTGAAATCATGACGTTTACCAGTCGTAGTAGCTTCATTGACTGAGGTTCTAATCGGAGATGCTCTGCTAGTCAAAGGTTCTGAGGCTCCTCCGTTGGTGGAAGAAATAGTAGATCTTGTGATCGGCTTTCTTAATGTTGTTCTCTTTTGGCTAGCTATTTCTTCCTGCCCTTGCTCTTGATCGCGGTCCTGTGGCTGTATCTTTCGTTTATTATTATTATTATTATTGTTATTATGAGATGATGTTGTTGCTGCTGAACTAGTAGTACTACTGATTGTAATTGTTTCCTGAAGGTCCTTGAGATATTGCTCCTTTGCCTGTTCGATCTGCGTTACATAGTCGCTCGTCAGCATGATCGCAAACTCGTCAGACCCTGTTCCCCCAAGATAAAACTTTCTAATTGTACCATCCTTGATTAGTTGGGCCTATAAATGAAGCGGTATGGTATATACAAAAGTATTGAATTGAACCTGTTAGATGTTAAAGTCAATAAGGAAAAAAAGAAAAAGGAGAGATAAAGGGGAAAAAGTATTACCAAAGTGCGATCGACAGTGGTATGGTCGTCAATGATACTGTAGATCTGGTGAATCAGACAAACTCTCGGAAAGACCTTTTGTTGTTTGACTTTGGAAGGGTGAAGTAGATCCAAAAGATAGTGTATGGCGCTTAATGTATCTTTTGGGAGTGAATGATCGCTTTGGTTTGCCATTGCTTGATGAACGTAGATATAAGCGAGGGATCCAAAGTAAAAAGCAGTTGTAGGTCGCCAGTCTTTTTTTTTTTTTTTTTTTTTTTTTTCAGCAACGTGTGCTTGTGACGATAGCTTCAAGAATTGGTGGCGTAAAAACCTTCTTGCACAGTCTGAAGTCCGACTGAAGAAAGCTGTGGTTACGAGAGAGGGATTTTTTATTTTATTATTATCTTCCCTTTCCAAAAGTGTATGTGTGTATGGGCGTGCTCGTGATATTAATGGTTTCTATGCTTTTTTTGAATGGTGTCTAAAGTTGTTGAATGAGAACGGGAAGAATGTTCATGGGAATGAGTCCTTTATTGTGTCACAACTGTCTCTCTCCGCAGCAGTGCAACAGATTGTGTCCTTTAATGAATTGGAACAGTCACAATTTCATTAACCAGAGTGTACTGAGTCCTGGTTGGGCTCCAGCAAAGCTCATCCGGTCCAAGATAGAAGGGCAAAAAGTGAAAAGCGCCCCACATTTTCTTTTGCCTCCAAAATATAAGAGTGCTAACAAGATCCACGTCCTCTTCAATAGCCTATGATGAGCTTGATGCCATACATGTTCTGACAAAGGATCTAGAGAGTGGAGGAATTATTCCGTAAGGAGTGCAGCATTAGTTCTTTTGTGAGATTCGAGGATAAGAGAGACATGCTCATACGATTTTGGTCAACGACGGCGGTCCCTCGTCCTTGTATTCTGGACTCTGCACAATGTTTTTTTTATTATTATTATTATCATTCCGAATCTATTCTTCTGTCGCCCCCAACCGAAACTTACTAGGAGGCATATTTATGCATTTTTCCTTGGACAAGTTTCAACATTTTGGGAATCCATAGCATTCAAGACGCTTACAATGGTTATCTCATGTTAAAGCGAAATGTCTATCTATTCAACGATCCTATTATTCCCAAGCATGTTTTAAGAGACAGGGAGAAAAAGGGAATTCACAATGCTATTTAAATAATTGGTTCTCTCCACCTGGTTGCGAAGTCATTTTATTTATGATAAATATCGTAGCCAGGTACTGGACCGTGCTTTTTTTTTTTTTTTTTTTTTTTTTACATGCGAGGATTAGAGTAATCAATAATGTCGTAATCTACACACAAGAGATCATCAATGTTGGGACGAATGATTTCCTGAACGACCTTGACGTGTTCAGGCGCTTTCTCATAGGTCTCGAGTGCAGCTCTATCCTTGAAGATCATTGTGAAGGCATGGGTATAACCCTTGGAACGAGCAGAAAAGTTGGCACCAAGATGCACAGATTCAACCACTCCTGGGAGCTGATCTTTCAGGGCGGCAACGGCCTTGAGGATGTCGTGTGCCTGGTCTTCGCTCAACGAGGGCTTGATCTTGAGGAGAATAGTGTGAGCCAGAACCATGATGCTGAAGGAAAAAAAGATATGAAAGAGAATTAATCAAAGGATGTGAGGAGAATCAAGGAAGATAGCAAAACAGGACCGCGAATATCGACTTTGTGGCTCATTTTTCATGACACGCTGTTCCTAGAAAGCTTATTGGATGAAAGGTATTTTCTATGCCCTATACCAAATGTCACAATGCAATTAACCAATGTCAAGCATTCGCCCGCTTTTTTTATTCGACCTTTTAATATAACTATTGACCCCTGGTGCATTTGAATAGCTTTTATGTGTTCGTCCTCTTAATCACGTTTGAGATTGTTAACGATATAATATTTTGCCTTAAGTAGGACCAGCAAGACTAATCCTGTTCAAATAGTCAGTAATTATACTTGTCTATTCTTTAAAAGCCCACTTGAAGGGGACAAGCCAAAGTGGGCTTTCTGCAGAACCAAAACAAGTGCACCCCTGGTATACTAAATTTTGTGATAAGCTGCTTCGTAACGACGTCTTGAAAACATTTCTTGATCTCTACCACCTTACTCATCACAAGTTGACAGTTGACAGTTGACAGTTGACAGTTGACGTTGCCTTAACTCAATGTCCTGTTTCGATGCAACCTGTTGTGGAAATATCATTGCGTGCGCTTTTTCCCTTCTTGAGATATGCATCCTAGCATTGTGGAAAAGCGGTGATGAATTTGAAGCAACTTGGCAATCCAACGTCTGTCCTCAAGAAGACAGGAGGGGTTCACGCTGGATTTGAGGCCTCACAACGGCAAGAGAGTGAGGCCCTGCCAGGACTAAAAGGGTAGATGCAAGCGGAAAAACCACACACCTATGCTTTATCCCGTTTCAACTTAATTCTTTATGATTATGAAAGTATTCAACAAGAATCAAGCAAAAGAGATCTACCGGCTGACCAGAACTTCTGAGGCTGCATGGTTATGTCAAACTTTTTGCATCTATTTCACGCACAAACAGCATGCGCCAGTTCAACGCACAAGTATCATGCATCATTTCGTGAACAAATGCCACTTTTTTTTTTTTTTTTTTTTTTTTTTTGTTCGGTTCGTGCTATAGCCTCTGAGCCATGTGATAGGATTTAGCATAGAAAACAACCACATTTACCGTTAAGTGTTCAGCTCACCAACTAACCTTGGTGTCCTCGCTATCATGGGCACCGCACTGTAGAAAGAGAACATAGCGATGGTCTCGGAGCCACTCGTTTGAAAGCTGTTTTATGCATCTGTATCTCTATCAGTAGGAAAGCATTGCACAGACACAAGTAAACCAAAAGCCATTCAATGGTTGCAAATGACTCGTATTGATTGCTCCTAATTGATCTTAGGGCCATCACTATTCGACGCACAGTTAGTGGTCAAGTTGGAGACAATTAGATTCCAAGCAGCTCCATCTGGTATTATTGGTTTAGGGCATTTCTACTTCTGTGACTGAAACAAAAAAAAAAGTGAGAGTAATATCCCTTGGACCGTAGAACGGGCAAATTCATCCTTTAACTTTCATCAACTCATGGACATGGCCAGATTCAGTTCTTCGTGCTTCCTACGAGAAGAAAACAGCCGGCTATTGGCTTCTTACCACCAAATGCTGGTGTTCCGACTTGCTCGATTCGCATGTCAAGGATGCAATCAAAAAATCAGAGAAAATCAAAGCAAAAACCAACCAGCAAAAACCAATCAGTAATAATCAATCAGTAAAAAAAATCAATAAAATCCATATAGCAAGCTGTGTCATTACGATACCACTATATTCATCTTTAAATAGCCTCCGCTCCTCTGCGCATTTCCCAACTTTCATCTTCTTCCACCCAAACTAAAGATAAACGAGTGTCTATCTCTTTTATTTCCTACCTCCTTCGTGATTTCTTTTTGCTAGAGGTATGCTACCGAGTTAATCTCCATACTGGTCTAAAAAAACGATTGATTGCAGACTCACACAGCTTGGATATGGTGCTGCTGGCATTCATAGATATTTTACCAGCGCACGTTGCCACCATACCAGCCGCACCAGCTTCCTGGAATATGGTGCCGAAAATACTGGTGGGAAGTCCCTTGTTCATAGGGCATCTCAAATGCAACCCTAGAAGTTTAATCCCATCATGATAGCAGCAAGGACTGCGAGAGGTCTCTGCATTAGCTCTGCGAAGCGCTCGAGGAAATAAAATTTGTAAGTGAAAGGATCATAGTTTTCATATGCTCGAGCAACACCATGGAGTGGAATGAGCACCCGCTAGTAAGGACAACGCAGCGCTATTGTGCGGTAGAGCCATGTCGGTCACCGGCTAATATATAGGTATTTCAGGCCACACTGTACCTCACACAACGAGCCATATGACACAGCATGTTTCCCCCCAAAAGACCAATATACAACAGCCTTTACTCATAAAACAACATATTGAGTGGACGCGTCTTTTTTAATTTAATTACGTAAGCAGCAGAGCGGCCTCAGGAAAATAACTTAAATAAATAAAAAAATAACGCGTCCACTCCCAATCATTGAATCATTCCTCTTTGCATTATTATAATTACATCTGCCCTTTCGTTTACGCACATCAATCCTCTCATTTATTCTCCTTCCTTAGTTCCAACTTCTCTGTTTCTTGTTATCCACTTCTAACACTCATTCTATTTTCGGCTTCATAAAAGGCAATGGAAGCAAATATGTTGTTTTATGAGTAAAGGCTGTTGTATATTGGTCTTTTGGGGGGAAACATGCTGTGTCATATGGCTCGTTGTGTGAGGTACAGTGTGGCCTGAAATACCTATATATTAGCCGGTGACCGACATGGCTCTACCGCACAATAGCGCTGCATTGTCCTTGCTAGCGGGTGCTCATTCTACTCCATGTAGCATCGAATGCTTTTGCTAACTATTGCATTTTTATCTTAGTTTATTATATCTGTAGTCAAGTACAGGATGTCCACTAACGTTCCCCTTTCCAAAGTCCTTACAAAATGAGCAAGGGGATCAGGCTACTTTCTATCTAGGGAAGCTGGGGATGCAGACCCAAAAGGCTTTGTGCTCTTTAGGGCGAGCCGTGCGATCATAAAGCCTGCTGAGGTTGCTGCAGAGTGGAACAAATTTATGAAGAAATTCAAGAACAGTGATTCCCCTCAATGGAGAGACTACGCAGAGAGCGCCCCTTTACTAACGAAAAAAATGGTGGCAAGTTGGTCAAATGAAACTACCGATGGTATGGTACAATGAATTATTTATTTTAGATGTCATGGGTGACCATATTTTGCTGACTATTACTCTAGGATCCCCTGCAATTACCATAGGGGAAGGCAGCATGCCAACGCCTGCTGGTCCTCAAAATGGCGAGAATGGCGAGGATGATGGTGGTGCTAATATCCAGTCAAGTCCTTCTAGCTCAGGTTCGCCATACTCTAGTGATATTGAAGCTTTGAGAAGCATCTCTGGCACTATCTCCAATAATACCTCTGAGACTACTACCACCACCGATACTAACACTATCCTGGTAAGCGAAGTACAAAGAGAGAAACGGAAGCGGTCAGCGAAACCAAGCAAGCGAAAAAAGCAAGCTTTTGTTATACATGCAGTGGCACATCAAGAATTATCCACTTCATCAGATTCGACTTCTAGTTTGCGTCAAAGATTTAAAAAATTCCAGATAAATGCTGCAAAACTTGTGTTGCCTGGTCGTGATATTTCTTCGCTGCTTCCTGAGGCTTTGTAAGTCTACTATTATCATTATCATTATCATCATTATCATTACTATTATTGTTATTTATCTTTGACATGAGCTAGGTCATTGAACGGGATATGGTGGACTGATCAAGCGTCATTGGGCCTATCCAGCCAGGAACATATGTCGTATCTTGGCTCTTTGCGATCTGTGTACTCCCCTGCCCCTCATGACGACCTGCAGTTCCTCACTCTTAAGGTGCAAGCAATATTACAGAGTCTGCAATCGGAGGAGCAATTGATGGACAGTATACAGGCGCTGTACGGAGGCAGTATCGAAATGAAACGGGTAGTGAGGATCTGGCAGCGGCTGTAAGTCAAGTTGAAAACAGATTACTTGATACATTAACTTGCCTATGTCTTAATACCGCCCCTCTAAATTTATAAATAGCGTGGAGATACTTCCAACCAGTTTTCAGGCCCATAACGAGCATGGAGAAATGGGCTTCATCTTGACTCGTCTACAATGTTTTCTAGATGTTGTGTTTGGACAAAGAAGCAGCTTTCTCACATTTTATAATATTGAACACGATTCTGGAAACGCTTCTAAGTCAGGATACGAAAAGGGCGTTCGACCAGATTTCTTCGTTGAGGTACCATGTCGAGCCCTCTCAAGTGTTTTTAACTCAGAGGTAGTAGGTATTTTGGGTGAAGTCAAGCCCCCTGAGAAGGATCGTCGGGAGTGTATAAGAATCCATGATTTCTGGAAACTCACTAGGATGGCAAAGGATGAGATAAATTCCCAGATATCGAAGGGAGTTCTCAAACCAATGGTGATATGCATCCAGGTATTTGGATTCCAACTCAATATGTTTGTGATGACCATGAATCCGGATGATGGCCTGTATGTCCTCCACAAAGCAGCAGAAAGCTTTCTGCCAAGATCAATAACTGATGTGTCTGGAACAGGATATGTCATTTCAATTTTTTTTCATGTCAAGGTACGATACTCTATAGTTAAGTCTTAGAATGTCTTTATTTTATTCTTATTTCTTAAACATGTCAAATATGTAGTCACTGTTAATAGCATTTCAAGACCAGCTCAACAAGACAGAACCCCACAGCACAGACATGCCTGATCCTCCTCTATTACAGAAGTTTGTCCAGAGTGATGTGATCTTTCCAGAATAGTTGGTTGCTTACCGTATATATTTATGTATTTCTAGTTGTATTATTCATTTCTTTGTATTATTGTTGCTATTATTATTATTTTTCTTCTTCACTTGGGCATATGTTTCAAAGTTTTTACAGATTTGTATCCATATTCGTTACTGACTGATTCCAGTAACTATAGCCTACAAACATTACGTAAATGATTTCGAATAAATGATAATTAGGACGTGAATTGGATTAACCTTAATGATGAAGCGTAGCAACGCAAAATAGAGAGATCTTTAATAAGTGTTGCTAACTACAGTACTAAGTACTGAGAATTGATGATATAAGATGACAGCCGGCCCGATAGGCATGATGTATTTCTCATTGCCACTGCTCTTGATTTGAAAGTATACTACCCGATGTTTACCTCCTTGGGATGAAACCCACAGTACTGCACCCTCGAAAAATAATCCACAGGGTTATCCTCATAGGGAATCCAAGTTCGAACAACACGACGTTGCAATCGCTCAAGTAGGCGCCATATCTTAATTAAGGTCTTATTAACATAGCTGTTTGATGAGGAACCTTTTAAGAGACAATGGTAGAGAGTTTGGTTGTCAACATATATATGTACAGGACCATTCTTTTGAGCGAAAACGCTTATCCCTTCGTCCGTCACAAGGGCAAATTTGCCATTATAAATGGGCTTAAAATCCAGCAATCCATGGGCATTGTCTTGAAATTTTATTTCGATGTCGAAATAAATGACCGAAAACTAAATTGTCATGGAGCTATCCTGGCTTCTTTATTTGTGCAAATAAAAAACTTATGAAAACTTTCGCATGACACTAGCATCCCCTTGGGAGTCCATTGTATCGTTTATTTATTGACTGATCTAATATAACAGCGATAATATTCGCTGCCGTAGTATCGACTTGAAAGGAGGGCAATCTGAGTGGTTTCATTCTTCCGCACCATGGAGCTTGACTAACTTGATCTTTTCTTGTACAGCTCGGCAAGACTTGATTTGTCACATCGTTCGCTTCCTCGTCTTCTTGCATTCCCTTGATATATCTGGCTTGGTAAACAGCTTATAGAGTTTGTTGGGCCTAGTGAAACCAGAGGGAACCACAGCAACATATCATACCCAAGGTGATACAAATATCTCTGTTGGAGTGAGTGGTGAATTGTGTGTGGTTCAGATGTAGTGGACATAAACGGCGAAAGAATGCATCGAAAGGATGTAAGCGGTTATGAGAGCAAGGAAGAAGGGGTTGGTATGCCTGTTAAAGTCCTTGGCAAGAGAGCATGAGTAGCAGTTGTGATCAATGGTATAGTTTCTAGACCCTATCTTCCACGTACAGCATTGTATTATTGTTGTTTTCAGACCTGGCACCAATCATGCGAGGTATTTCTCTTTCTGAGGGTTCCTTGTGTTAAACGGCCAGACAGAAAGCTTAGAAGAGATACAGACACAACGGTGAAAAAAATGTATGTGAGCAAACAGTTGCTGTGGACTTTTTTTTTATTGTTTCGCAAATCCTGTTTCCTTTTTTGTTCGTCAATCACTGTGTGCACGAATAAGCAGCTGAAGCATCTCTTTGATTTCTGTAGGCTCGTTCCCATCCTAGGCTCGTTCCCAGCCCCTTCACTTTAGGTGACTCAAAAAGGAAATGGAATTTCCTGTCACCTTTATAAAGTGAAGAGGGATGGGAACGAGCCTACTGTACAGTCACCTGAAACAAAGATTGGACAAAAAAATAAAATATTGAAATAGTTACGTAGGGAAGCGTTTCCTTCAATCTCTTTCCTTCCTGTTTTTCATATACAAACAGCTTGAGTAAACCACCATGGCGAGACACTTAGACATTGAGAATAAAGGTATCATCGTTGGAATGCACCTCGCGGGCATGAAGGCTGCGGAAATCGCATTGCAACGCGGTGTACCCCGAACCTCTGTTATTAATATTATCAGGGTGTACCAAGAAAGAGGCACCACTGCTTGCACTCCGATCCCAGGACGGCCCAAAGTACTAAGTGAACGGGACCTCAGGAGCATCGTTCGCCATACTAAGCAGAATAGAAGGTGTACTCTTAATGATATCACTAACCAATTGCCGAACAAAGTTTGCGAGAGGACAGTTGCGAAGGCATTGCATTCACTGGGTATTTTCAGCCGGATTGCAGTAAAAAAACCATTCTTAAAAGAAGGACATATAAAAAGGAGGCTGCAGTTTGTCAAAAAATATATGAGTTGGTCCATGGAAGACTGGAATCGGGTAGTTTGGACTGACGAATCATCATTTGAAGTTGGTGAGCATTTTCGTCAAATAAGAGTTTGGCGTAAAGTAGAGGAAAAGTACGATCATGATTGCCTCGCACCCACTTTCAAAAGTGGTAGAACAACTCTGATGGTCTGGGGGGCGTTCACAGCAACCAGAAAGTCTCGGTTGGTTGTATTTGAAAGAGGTCGTAAAGATGAACGGTGTTTCGTGGAAGATGTATATCAAGGCGAGCTAGCCAGATTTATGGCTGAGGTAGGGGATGGCATACTTATGGAGGATAATGCTCCAGTTCATACTTGTAAGATTGCAAAAGAATGGCGCGAAAAAAACAGCATCCCGAGGATTCCAGACTGGCCTTCATGCTCCCCAGATTTGAACCCTATTGAACATGTATGGTCACTTCTTGCGGATGCACTCGATAGGCGCGCTAAAGGGCCAAGAGATCTTCCCACTCTCACACGGGCTCTTATCGAAGAGTGGAATAATTTACCGCAAGAGAGGCTGGCCAGCCTTGTCGCTACCATGCCCGAAAGGCTGGAAGAAGTGAATGGGGTCGATGGTAGGAACACTCACTATTGAACCTACATGGCACTTTTGCTACTCTAACAATGCCGTCTTCAAAACCCCAATAAATAACAGTATTGACCTCTTTAGTGAGCATGTAAAATTTCATGTGTATTGATGAAGTCTTTATGTATGTTGCATATGAGCTGTTTGTCCAGGTTGTTCAAAAAAAAATCAAGAAAATCCATTTTGTCCAAACTTTATTTCAGGTGACTGTACATGTATAAACACATTTTACATCGCGGCGTCTTTTTTTGTTCAAAACACAAGCGTTTTCCATTGGTGCCTCCAAACAAACTTTATTTTGGTGGCCACTCCACAATCATCCCATGGTTATAACAATCCCTAGGAAAGGATCAAACGCGTCGGTATCAATCTCGCTTCTGTATTTCTAGATGCATATATTTTGGTGATTGGTATCATCTATCAAATTCACACATACACACACCAAACGACCACCAAAAACCACCACTCTCGCTTCTGCTCTCCCTCCATCCACAAGGCGCTGCGCAATATCACCATTAACAAGGCATCGTCCAGTAAGAAAGGGTGCTTAGATAGCTTTTACTCCAAGCAATAAGCGCATGCAACTACATCACCCCTATCTCCGCCAGTGATGCCGGAATCTGAGAGTCAATGAATATCTCTGCTTTAACGCAATAGTACTGGGGCTGTTGGAACAAAGAGCATCATATGAAGCCATTCTCTGATAAAAAGACTTTTTTTTCTTTAGTTGTTACCTTTGACAAGGATATAATCACCGAGTCATATCTGTCAATGCATTTATTACCCCTGTTCAAAATTATAAATCTTCTTTTATTCATTAAATTCCTCACAAAGCACAAAGCAAGGGCCACTTTGGATCTTTAAACCATAAAAAAGCTCATCCTTTTATACCTTTGTCGCTCTTTTTTTTTTCTTTTTCATTTCTTTTCATCACCACCATTTTTCCTTTTTTCTTTCTCTTTCGCTTAGATATTGACCATGGGGCTGAAGTCCTTCTTCAAACTGGTTGCGGATCGCGGGGTTTTACCTTCGGAAACTGACGTGGGCACTTTCTTGGCGGCAAATCCTGACCATTCTGTTCATGTAGATCTCCTCGGTACGTTCTATTACGACATCCTCCACAGAGTCGTCCATGCAAAGATGAAAAACGAATCCATCATCGATGTAGGAAGGTCCCTGGCTCTCGTGATAAAGGATCTTTTCATAACGGACAACCTGACTATACATATTGGTGGAGAACCTTGTACTGAGAAAGAAAAAGCAAGGACAGAACAGCAAGCCATAAGAGAAAAATATATGGATGCTTCGGAGAACGATATGAGCACCTTCGAGAGAAATTCTTGGAGTGGGGTATGGACTCGTCCTCAAGTCATGAGGCGCATCCAGAGGGGTCTTCGAGAAGTCCACACCCTGAGCGTCCAGGACAACGATCAGCTGGCAACAGGCCTTAGTTCTGTCTTCGATGTCTGTCTGTGTGCATATGAAGCGGACCCATGCATAGGGCGCCATAATGAGGAGAATGATAGGATCGTGATATCCCAAGACTCTGATTTTTTTGCGTACGAACGAGTCTGCTTCCTAGTGCGACCCCTTCCGCACCGTAGACGGAAGTTTGGGGTTTACGACGTAGACAACGTTATCCAAGCACTAAGACTGTCATCACACGCACATCTGGTGTTATTCTGTGCCATCGCAGGCAATGACTACTCAAGGAACCTCGAGACGTTAGGCCCGGTTAATAATCTTCGATTAATTCGAAACGTTGCGTGGAACGAGAACTACAATAAAGTGCTTCGGGACTACCTAAGGGAAGCTAGTAAGGTGTTGGGAAGGAACGCAGCCTCTGAAGAAGGCCGTTTCAGAGTAGCTCTCCGTGTTTTTACTTCCGGCCATCAAACGTCGGCCCAAGCATTACCATTGAACAGTGAGTTCGATAACTTCAAGCAGCGTCTACTCAATGGAAAGGATCTTCGCCATAGAATGGCTCAGCAAAGGCGAGCGCAGCGCCGCAGAACGTAAGAAGGCTCAATCTATAGTTTTGGCCTTGAAACCATACGTCCCCAATACTAATCGTTAGTCCCTTTCTTGGATAATGTAAAGGCGCACCATCATTATATATAGCGGAAGGGTCACATAGGAACCAGTTCCGGCCCATCTTTTCTGACAAGGCGAGCATATTGGATGGGCGCACAGTTGATATCAGTAACTGCCGTCAGCACGATAGGCCGGCATCCACCACGTCGGAAAAAGGTAAAAAAGAAGCAACAGAAAAAACAAAAGCGGAAGCACAAAGGCAAGAAGCCCCACAGGGCTAAAAAAGAAGGTGCACCAATTAAGAACTTGAAGGATGCTACGAAGGTTGATCACAGCTACAGCAGTAAGCACCCTATCAAGCCCTTAACAATTGGGTCCCTTAAGGCCTCCATGGCAAGGAAAGGCGGACTGGACGCAGATGAAAGGGATAGTATTGCAAGCCAGATCCGAGGGGCAGTTGTTGTCCTCAACCGACTACGCCGACGTGCATACTGGGCGATTGCCTTGGACATTGAGAGGATCATGCGGTTACCAGGGGCAGCAAAGTCGAGGAAAAAGGCACTGGACGAGGTCTTGGATAGCAATGATTATTCCTTCCGTCTCGCCACCCTTCTTTTGAGTGGTCAAGGTGGCCCCAATTCAGCTTACGCGAGGGCAAAGAAACAAGGAAAGGCGGTAGAAACGCCCCATTATCTCCTCGCTTATGAACATTTCAAGGCCACCGCTGAACTTTCCCCAATAAAGGAAATAGACATCACATTGGGGGACGTGCAAGGCTTTGATCCCAAAAAGATCTCATTTCCAAGAGCGTCAGAGCTACTAATGGGCCAAGTACAGACATCATTAAGTCAGCACTACAGGAACGCAATGGTATAGCTTGTGTAAGGTATTTTCATGCATATTCTGCAATCAAATGCTCTTTATTCAGACTCTTTTTTTTTTTTTTTTTTTTTTTTTTCTAGTTTGATGTCGAGAAAACAAACGAAGATATGAGCGACATTGAGCTTTTTTTGCGGGAGAACAAAAAAGTGAAAAAATACTCAGACTTTCCTACGTCCCCCTGGTCACCCGGGTATGTGTATCATCCCTGTGTTTGGAAGGGATACGTACAATGAGTACTTTCAATGGATGAACGAGGAGTCCCAGACACAGATAGGATCAAAGAATTTGGATGTGCTTCAAGAGTTCTACGAGTCCAGATGGCACCTGAAAAAAAAATGGGACCTACGAAAGGCCAACGAGCTACGTTCGACTACGCGGTACAGTGAGCGTTGAAGATGCTCGGGGAAAAAGGAGTGCTTGTCGTCGGCCTAGGGTCCTTTGAAAGTAGTAAAGGAGTTCCCAGCAAGCACACTGCTATAACGAGGCACCTTGTCACAAAGGTATGGCTTTTTTTAAAAAAAGTAAGAAAAGCTGGAAAGCCATAGAACCCTTGCTAATGAACGACTGTCATTTGAAACGCTTAGGTCAAAGCACGAGGACACTTCGCTGTAGGGGCGCATGAATTTTACACCAGCGCCCGCTGTCCCCGACCCCTCTGCGATAGCTTTTTAGAGACGGTGTACCCTCACTCTAAACATTGCCGGACATGTAAGGTATTCTTCAGTAGGGGCGGAAAACATCGCAAGAATCGGCCTTGCTCAAATTGGGAGGCAAGAGAGGCCTGCAAAGTACAAGCCCACGGAAGAGTCGCCTGCTCCGGCTGCAAAGCGCGCACGACGCTAGACACAAGTATTTGGGTGCCAGCACACCCACAAAAAATTTGTAAGTAGTGAAGCAGGCAGCGAAAGTTTCTGTCTCAAAAATACTTGGACCCTCCGAGGTCTCAGGAGAGTGATTAATTCTTCAAAAATATCAAGTCGTCATGCAAATCATCTGATAATGTTCTCTTCTCCACTGTTTAACTGGCTTTGCAATTCTTCATCATTTTCATTGGCACCATTAACAGAACCACAACGGTCAGGAATATTATAGGATTGTTTCTTGGATCGTTGGTGAGATGTTTTCTACGTCGGTGCAAGTCAAGGAAATCAAAAGTTGTTTTTATTATTGTTGCCAGGCGGGAGCTTTTTATTAAGGACCCGCCATGACCGTCACATTGTCTACGGTGCCATGGGCGTATGTGTGTCACCTTTCTTCATTGAAAATCCGACGAGAAATAAAGAGAGTAACTAAATAAAAGATCCCTCTGCCCTGCAAATCTGATCTGCATCTACTTCTTGAGTCAAAAGGGTAGTGTGAGTGGGACATACGTCCATGGTACCCATGACAATGTGAATAGGTCGTCCTTCGTAGACCATTCAGTAGACCATAATTTTCTGACCTTATGTATAAAAACGGAGGTGCTCCTGAGGTGCACTCCCAAGCCTCGGTACGTAACAATTGGTATCCTCGTCCCAGGTGTTATTGACAGTGTTGCCTCTTGAGTTTACGAAGGGACATTCAGGATTGTTACGTCGATGACAGTTGGAGTAGCCGTCTTCACTCCGTGCGGTGTTTTCCAGGATTGGGCGTGGGTAATTTTTACTGTATCTCCTTTCGACTATGTATGGTATCCGAGAATTATGAACCCTACATGGTCCATGTGTCATGTTGGGATGTCACAGTATCGTATGCTAGCAGGACACCGTGTCGATCAGGGATCTCTGCAGACACAATAGAGTCAATATCGTCTGCTGTTCGAGGCTTTGTCCCTGTCATCAAGGATTATGAGGAGATGGTGATGCGACAAATCACGCTTCTGGGACTCGACGACCCAATTGTAGGCAATCAACCTTTCCTAGAAGCTCTCTTGAAAAGATCACCCCCAGAGTATTCTTTTTGAGGTTGAACACGTGCATACAAAGGTCGGGTCAATCAGGACTACTTTTGCTAAAAGGAGTCAATAATGAAAAGATTTGGACGATATTGCTTTCAATGATGATAAGACTAAAAGGGATGAACTAGGCATATAGATAAGTTGACCTTAACATAAAATTGCTTGGTATGTTGACATGATTAAGTAAGATATTATACCTTTCTTTGAGAGACAGTTCATATCGGGATTGTGGATATCGAGCATATACCGAGGAGGCCTAAGAATACCTCCCTCCATTCGCTGAGGTGATGCTAGGTGAAGAGCTATTGTCGTCGTTAATAGCGAGTAATAAGTTAAATAATTAAACATGCATTGGTTAGACTTAATTGGCTCTTACTCTGTTTGCCAATTATCGGCTATTATCCATCGAGCCAGGACCATATACGTGTGAAATCTTTTATTGCCAAAGAAGTGAAACAAAGCAAAGTGAATAAAATCTGCTCCGCTACCAAGTGGAGCTGCATCTTCTTGAGCCAGGACGTGAAGAAAGAAAAAGAAGAAAGAGAGAAAAGAGGAGATATATGGTCCTGGCTCTCGGATAATAAGCTTAAGTCGTCATGTTATTCGACTTGCCCAGCGACTCGCACACTTGGGGATTCATTCCATATCCGTCCAGCATTAGACAGTAGGTATTCAGCATAGCATTTATAAACAGGTAAGGCGCCATGGCAGGTATTTTTAAGCAGTTTGGCGTTAGTCTATTCCAGGCCACTTTTATAGAAAGAAATACATGCGTAAGCGGTTTGTTGATCTTTTTATGTTAATTCGAGATCGTTATTTGCCTCGTTAATAACTTGTAGAACGAAAAAGACGGGATGATGAGAGATATCATTGTCAGTCACTAGGTTTTACGTACTGAAGCTTAGCACGTCCATTTAATTAATAAGGTCAGAGCATCTGATCATGACGGATCTTTAATAAAAGGCCCCCGCCTGGGAACAATAATAAAAGCAGTTCTTGATCTCTTGATTTCGCCATCAAACATTTCAGAATAGAGCTCCAAAGTCTATAATGTTCAATAGAACTGCACAGACCATAAAGGCCATGTTCCTGAAAGAGGAAGAGCCTTGAAGGATTGTTTGTTAGTGGTGAATATATTTTCTGATGAGTTGCAGGCGTGTTTGCATGTCTTACATGAATGATTCAAAGAAACAAACGTGAAACTGAGGAAGAAAAAAAAAAAAAAAAAAAAAAAAAAAGTAATGGGGCAATGGGTTGTGGATGAAAAAAGAATGTTTACGCGTCCTCATTATTTGGATTTGTGTGGATCTGATCCTTTTACATTCCTTTGTTTTACAATGTACATCCATTAACGAACAAATTGCTCTCTGTTGATGCATCGTTTCCCCAAAGCTTTATTTTATTCACAATGCCAGGCGAAGGGTTTTTTTGATTGAAATATTTGGGATGTTAAAGAGTTCTTGTAAAAGTCTGTTAAACCACGTCGGCTTTGTATGATAATCAGCGAATTGTGGAACTACTGTTTTGGATTTTTAGGGCTATCTATGAAATATTGCTTCATGACCGGTTGTACAAGGACAAAGAGAGAAAGCTTGCAAGGCGACAGATGAGTCTGAATAGTTACTTGGACGAGCTTGATAGCGATCTTGGATCGCGGATAATAATGGACCCCCTTATTGATGACTCGCTTAAAACATTGTAGCATGGTAGTAATAATTAACGTGATTAGAGTCACAACTACACGTTCTGTGTGGTATCGCACAGCTACGGATATGCGCATTCACTGCGTTGGTCCATTGGCATGCTGATCACCAACGGGTCAAACATGTGTATGCTGTTGCGGTCAACCTGTCAGTGGACGCGTGCGTAGAACAGCTTTAATATGGGAACAAGCAAATAAAAAACCCTAGAATACCCAGAACCATCTCTGACCTCGTCCTCTTATTCTCCTGACCATTGACTTTTTTTTCTCACTCTTCGATCTCACTTTGTGCGTGTTGATCCTTGTGAGGCATCTCCTTCACCTGTTAAAGTTACCAATGCTTTGAAGTCGGTGGCAACATGCTCTTTCAGGACATGCGGGAATGGAATGTATTAAAAATAGTTGAGCGCTAAAATTGCAGTGGCTTCACGTACATGTACCTTTTCTTGTCAATGTCCCTCAACAATGGTCGGTTCCTCGAGTGCTCGCGAGTTGATAATCAATTAGAGATATGCTTAATAGTGGAGAGCATGCTCCTGTGAGGTGCAAGGGTAGCCTTGCAGGACCCTTCTTCATTAAGACCCATTTTTACTCAGTCGGCTCGCTTCTTGTTCCGGTGTAAGAAGCTTTGATTAAACAATCTGAAATTGAGACGTAGGACTTAATACAACTCAATCATTCTGCTCAATTGAATAACATGATTCAGTGTCATATTTGGAAATGGAATATTGAAATTTTACACGGGATTTAAACGGTCTGAAGATCAAACAAGTTTGCGGCAAGGCCGTCGATTGGAGACAAGAAAAAATATGATCGAGCATTTACTCGGTCCAAGCTCAAAATAACGGTACGGAACTTTTCTCTCTCTCTTTCTCTCCCACGGACTCTTTCTTAAAGTCATTGTCTTCATTGTCTTTTTTTTACTCCTTTCATTCTTTCTTTTACTTCATCAACTTTATTCATTTCATCCCATTCACTCTTCTTATTCATCCTACATTTACAATGACATCCATCTTTGAGGTCTCCCCAAGATGCCAGGAGTTACAGAAGAAGCTTATCGACTTTGTCGAAGTATGTCCATCATCAACTGATATGGAACAAATACACTTCTCTACTTCAACTACCTCACCGTCATCCTTCTACTCAATCAAGAACAGCCTCTGATAGATAAAGCCTTTTTTTTTTATCCATTCTGTTTTTTATTAGAATGACTGTTTGCCAGCGGAGGAAGTCTATGAGAGCCAGGTCGGAACTGGTGATCAGCGTTGGAAGGTAAATTTTATGTTCAATGTCTTTTTAGCCATCAGTCAAAAGCCTCTTTGGCAAAAATTCTTATTCGTCCAGCTCACACAATGTTCCCGAAATGATATAGACTGTTCCCCCAATCATGGAAGAACTTAAAGCAAAGGCCAAATCTCTCGGTCTTTGGAACCTTTTCCTTCCTAAGAGCTACCCTGAGGGTCCTGGTCTCACCAACTTGGAATATGCCACCCTTTGTGAAATCACAGGTCGTTGTCCCCGTGTTGCTCCTGAAGCGCTCAACTGCTCTGCACCTGATACCGGAAATATGGAGGTCTTTGCAAAGTACGGCACTCCCGCTCAAAAGCAACAGTATCTAGTGCCTCTCATGAATGGTGAAATCCGATCTGCTTTCGCCATGACCGAGATTGCCGTTTCGTCCTCTGATGCTACCAACATTGAGACTCGCATTGAGCGTGTGGGCGATCACTATATTATCAATGGACACAAATGGTGGATCTCAGGTGCAGGTGATCCTCGCTGCAAAGTCTTCCTGGTCATGGGCAAGTCCGATCCTAACAATGAGCACAAGTATAGACAGCAGTCAATTGTCATCGTTCCTGCAGATGCTCCAGGGATTGAGGTAGTCAGACCTATGACCGTGTATGGGTACGATGATGCTCCGGAGGGACATTGTGAGGTCAAATTCACAAACGTCAAAGTTCCTGTCTCCAACATCATTGCAGGAGAGGGACGTGGCTTTGAAGTTATTCAAGGACGTCTTGGACCTGGCCGCATTCATCACTGGTGAGGATTATACCCATCTTTATAGTTACTTCATCAGGTATCAGTTATTATGGGTTTTTTAAAACACTGAGATTATTAATAACTAAATCTTTTTTTTATCCAATCTTACAGCATGCGTGCGATCGGTGTAGCAGAGCGTACTTTGGACATCATGATCTCCCGTGTTACGAACCCTTCACGTCGCACATTCGGAAAGGTCTTGGCCCGCCACGGTACTGTTGCTGCTGATGTGGCCAAGATGCGTATTGAAATCAATGCCGCTCGTCTTATGGTTCTTGCTGCTGCAGACAAGATCGACAAGCTGAACGCCAAAGGTGCAATGCGTGATATTGCTATGGCCAAAATCATGGTACCGCAAATGTTGCAGCGCACCGTTGATTTAGCTATCCAGGCCCATGGTGCTGCCGGTCTCAGTCAAGACTTCCCATTAGCGCGTTTCTATGCGCTCGCTCGTACGCTTCGTATTGCTGATGGTCCAGACGAGGTTCATATGATGCAGTTGGCGCGGTTCGAGTTGATGCGTGGTGACGAAATTCGCGAGAAGGATGAAAAAATCAGAGCACGTCGTGCTCAGATCCTTAGCAATGGTTCCAAGTTGTAAAAAAAGAAAAAGAAAAAGATAATCTTTACTGTATAAAAACTATTTATTTATTTGATTCCTATTCCACTGCCAAAATATATCATGATTGTGAGATATCATACATGGATTCTTATTTGCTTGAATTGAACAGTGAAGTTCCTCTCATCTCGAATCCTTCAACATATAGGACATGAAGTTATATTTATAATTGCGAGAAAGCATCGAATACGATAATTGCTGTCCATCGATGGTACATCTTGCGCCTCAGTAATGAGAAGGCTATTAGGCGTAGACAGTGGTGAAGTGATAGCAACCCGTAAATAATGATAAACCGACTTTGCACCTCAGCTGGCACGCAAGTTACTTTTATTGGGAAATCGACTACCGGGGAAGGACTGTATTTTTCACGTGGCTGTTCCATAAATGTTGTTTTTCTTTTTTTTTTTTTTTTTTTTTCCGAGTGCGAAGTGTAACATTCTCACGCTTCTTTTTTCATTTTCACATTTCCATTCTCATTCAACCGACGCGGCGCAGTAACATGACCATGGAATCTCTCAGCAATGACTTTAAAGACAAGGCTGAATTGAACAAGCCTGAGCTGCATGGCCAGCAGCAACAGTCAGAGCAACCAGGCTCTGAGGCCAGCCCTGCCTCTTCAGGGAAGAAGAACAAGAAGAAGAAAAAGACCGCTACGGCCACTGGTAGGTCCATGCGCACCTGGTTTTTTTATTTTTAATTATTATTTTTTATTTATTTATTTAAACAAGGGGAATGAAAAGAGAAATCCAATTAATTGAAGCTGACAAAGAAAATAATCTTCCGTCCGATTCTAAATTATTGTGAATATTTGTCGTCATTGCATTTGTAGACAGTAATGAGATTAAGGAAGAAAAGGCCAATGGCGATAAAGCAGAGGATGATGACGACGAAGATGATGACGATGAAGAAGAAGGCGCTAACACAACAGAGGCTACCGGTATGTCTATCAGCAATTATAACCTAACATTGATTTAAAAAAAAGATGGAAAACATATCTTAATTATTATTATTATTTATTTATTTTTTTTTTTTTTGGCGTATTTTTTTATCGACCATTGCATTGCTTGATAGCAACAAAAAAGAAGAAGAAAAAGAACAACAAAAAGAAGAAGAAGACCACACAAACGGAGCCCCCGACAATCCCAGTCTCCAAAATCTTCTCCAACAAGATTTATCCAGAGGGAGAAATCTGTGATTACAAAGAAGACAATCTTTGGAGGACGACCAATGAGGAGAAACGTTATCTGGAGCGCCAGAACTTTGATCAGTACAATGATGTCCGCAGAGCCTCTGAGGTCCATCGTCAGGTCCGTCAGTATGCGCGTCGTAACATCAAACCTGGCATGTCCATGATCGAGATCTGTGAGATGATTGAGAACGGTACCCGCAATCTGGTAGAGGCCAATGGAATGGAAGCTGGAATCGGATTCCCTACAGGATGCTCATTGAATCATTGTGCAGCCCATTACACACCCAACACTGGCGATAAGACTGTGATTCAGTATGGTGATGTTTGCAAGATCGATTTTGGTGTTCATGTCAATGGTAAAGTTATTATTATTATTATTGTTATTATTATTATTTTATTATTGTTGTTCGAAGAACTTCAAAGATCAATCAATGCCAAGCTCTTTTATTTTGTTTTTAATGCCTCTTTCTCCCCAATTTTAGGAAGAATCATTGATTCTGCTTTTACCTTGACATTCGATCCTGTTTATGATAACCTGCTTGCTGCTGTCAAGGATGCTACAAATACAGGAATTCGTGAGGCTGGTATCGATGTGAGACTCTGCGATATTGGAGCTGCTATTCAAGAAGTCATGGAGTCGTATGAAGTTGAAATTGAAGGCAAAACATATCAAGGTTGGTTTTTCTTTACGGATCGAAGTTTTGTTTAATAGTAGTGAATGTAAATCATTGTTATCTCTCTCATGCTGATATAGTGGAAAATGACTTTTTTTGTTGTTGTTGTTGTTACTGCTGCTGTTCACGTGATTAGTCAAGCCCATTCGTAATCTTAACGGACACTCAATTGATCCATACAAGATCCATGCAGGAAAATCAGTTCCTATTGTCAAAGGTGGAGATCAAACCAAGATGGAGGAAGGTGAATACTTTGCTATTGAGACTTTCGGAAGTACAGGACGTGGATATGTTCATGAGGACATGGAATGCTCGCACTATGCTCGTGTTTACGACGTTCAACACGTTCCACTCCGGTAAGATTTTTTTTTTTTTTTTTTTTTTTTTTTAATTATCGTCTCTTGTCAACATTTAAAATATTACAATACAAGAACAGTGTCAATGACTTTTTTTTTATTTAATTAACTTTAATTTATTTATTTTTAAAGTTTGCCAAGGGCTAAGACGCTATTGAACACGATCAACAAGGAGTTTGGAACGCTCCCATTCTGTAGAAGATACTTGGATCGCATCGGCGAACAAAAATATGTGCTTGCCTTGCGTAACCTGGTCGAAGTCGGAATTGTAGATGCATATCCACCCCTGGTAGACACCAAGGGCTCATATACTGCTCAATATGAGCATACGATTGTGCTCAAACCCACACAGAAAGAAGTACTTAGTCGTGGTGAAGATTATTAAGCACATCTCTTGCTAAAGTTGTCACTAAAAGAAATACAATAAAATAAAATGAAATACTAATATACATATATATAAATATAAAAAGAAGAAAACCTTACTTGTGGTAACAGCTTCTCTTTAGACGCAAATCTTTTGTTTTATGTCCTTGGCAAGTTATTTACTGGAGATCCTTGACAAGGTAATATAGTTGGCCATAGTTAACGTGAGAATATTTCATTCCGAATATGAACTACTTTATAGATAGTACTTTAGGATGAGAAACGCAATTAAATAGATCAAGCAAGGCGATAATAATAATAAAAAGGTCTTTCTTCAATGGTAAAGGAAGATTCTGAATATTAGATTGATATTGTTTCTATGGCTTTTTGTGCTTGTTTACTTTACCATTAATTTAACGAATATGGCACCCTAAACAGCTGCGCTCTTTCCATTCTTCTTTTATTTGTATATTTACTAATTTAATCTTATATTTAAGTATTTATATGAGAGAAACGGGATACCGCATGTCTTTTACACATGGCGGCCGACATTTCGAGCAAATTGGCCAGGGTAATTGCCCGGAGGAGCATAGTGACAAACAATGTATTTCACATTGCCAGGGAAATCAGGAATGGTCGAATGGGGAGGACATACCACTATGGCACATGCGACATGTGTTGTGGATCTCCAGACAACTTGGGTGAATTGACCTATTTGAGGAAAATGGGAGCAAACGAGTGGAGTGGAGTGAGTTTTAGTTTATGCCAAATATATAAATACATGCATTCATCATGTTGAGCTTTTGAGTAGAAAACAAATGTGCATCCTATAGAGGAGAGTCAAGCGTAGGCACACAAACTCTCTCTCAATTTCTCCCTCTCTGTGCCTTTCTTTCTCTCTTACCATAACTCGGACTGAACACAGGATTATTGTAGTTATACTTCGCAGCTTGACCCATCCATGCTCCCATGGCATCGTTAATGCCGCCAGCAGGGGCTCCAGTAGCATAAAGGTTCTCTCCATACTTTATGAACGATGGTAAAAAAAAAAAAAAAAAAAAAAAAAAGAGAGAGAAAAGTAGAAAAGGAGCCTTAGATTCATTCCAAATCTTAAAAAAGGAAAAAAAGAAAAAAAAGAGCACTTACACGAAATTGAGCATTACTGTGTCCAAACTTGCAAGTTTGCGCATGATGCAAGGCCCCGGGATATAAGGCATCGCTCCACATCAATGGCCTGGCGCCGTATTGTGCGCGGGCAGAGTTATGGGCCGCAAGGACTTGGCCCTGCCAGGGGTCTGCAGAAACAGTAGGCGCAAATGTAGACAAGAGAGCTGAGGAAGCCAAGAGAAGCGATATGATCTTATTCATTTTTTTATTTTTTTATTTTTTAAAAAAGTTAATGAGGTTTGATAAAGTGTGTGGATGTATTGTGGTGAGGGAGAGAGGGTTCCCTGCCTTGGCTTTTATACATTTCCTGGCCGCTGGTGGAAGGATTTTTGAATGAAAGAGGGATTATGTACGCAAGCATGATATTGAAGCAAATTTATGTATCTCCTAAGTATGGAAGATATGCATATGCAGGGACCATTTTTCTAATTTTGGTTGGTACTAATTCCAGGGAACGGGTCGAGCCAATGGTTTATTGAGGCAATGTGAGTGTGTCTGTGTGTAATAGCCCTGAAGGAGTGCCACCTTTCTCCAGGGATGATGAGGAAGTTCAAGGCGGGTTACTGTGAGGATTGAAGCGATGTTCAGGAGCTTTCTTGTTTTTTCACTTTGCCTGCCAAACGTGCATAAATGGCAAAAAGATTGACGTCAGTCAACTTTCGCATTTTGGCATATGCAAGGGGATTCTAGAGTCCTCCTCTTCTACCAAAGACTCACTACACTTCATTCTAGGCTCCGTATCTTCACTTTTCTCTCTTTTTTTTATTTTCTATTTCTTATGATGATGAGTTTAAGGGGTATATCAAATTCATCATGATCACGTGCTCTAATGCTCTTTTGTTCATCGCTGTTTTTTCTTCGTGCATGTCGCGTTTTTTTTTTTTTTTTTTTTTTTTTTTTCGTGATCATCAAGGTTGGTCGTGTTCATTTCTGGTTCATTGTGTTCATTTGGTTTATTAGTTTTGAATCTACAAATATAATGTCATTAATGTCATTCAGAAGAGATGAAATCAATGAGAATGAAGAAGGAATTTTTTTTAGGATATGACTGGGTTCTACTTCTATAACTTCCTAAAAACATTAGATACGGTTTGAGCAGCTGCTGCAGTCTTGAAGTATGAGGGACATGCAACTCTGACATGCTCCCAGGCTTCATCCAATGCCTCAACAACATGTTGTGGCAAGGGACCTTTCTCTAAATCCCGCAAATTGTCCTTCAGGTGCTGCATTGAAGATGCACCAATAATAATACCATCCTGTGGACCCAGATCGGAGTGATGCGACATCCAACGTAAAGCAGTCTCAATCAAGGTCAGATTGTTATCCTTGGCTGCCTTTTCCACTTTCTTGACAGCCTCAAAGAACAAGTTATTCCAGTAACGTTCACGATAGCTTTTTTTTTTTTTAAAAAAAAAAAAAAAAAAAAAAAAAATTAGAAAAAATACATAGCCATTTTGCTTTATTCCTAATCATGACACAATGCCTTACATTTTTCCGACTTCGGTCTACATGTATAAGTAAAACCGACATGGTTAATCGCCATTTTAATCATTGAGCATCGAGTCACAATTAGTTTTTTTTCGTTAAAAAAAAAAAAAAAAAAAAAAAAAAAAAGTATACCTTCGTAGCAAAGCGTCCACCATCCTGAGCATCATTGCTATCAAAATTATATCTACCCGAAAGAAGGCCTCCAGCCTAAGAGAAAAAAAAGAGATGTATCAGATGTCATGAAGCGTAAAAGGAGGATATGCTTAGACAATGATTCATTCTTACGATTGGGTTATAAGCGTAGAACGCGATGTTGAGAGCCTTGAGACAAGGGAAGAGTTCTCTGACAACATCTCTTGTGATCGCATTGTACTGAGGAAAAAAAAAAAAAAAAAAGACACATAAGTGTGAGAACATCCGAAAGTATCTTGAATATCGAAGAAAATACCTGGGAATCATACCATTCCTTGATAAACGACTGGGAGAACATATCCATGTTGCTTACAAAGCTGATGGATCAATGCCACTTGCCACGCTGCAAAGTTGGACAATCCAAACTAATGAGAGCCGTTACAATTAAATTGTAAAAGAGAAAAATAAGTTATAATTTATGGCTGGTCTTTGGCCCATTGCCATCCATCACGAGCAAAAAAAACGATTATCTATTACCCGTTCAAAAAGCCCTTCGCGGTAGAGCTCATCCACAGCTTTGACAGTTTCCTCAAATGAAGTCGTATAGTCAGGCGCGTGCAAATAAAAAATGTCAATTTTCTTGAGCTTCAACGCCGTCAATGACTCTTGGAGCGTCCTCCTCAGATGCTCTAAAGCATGCGCTTTGGGGACTGTGGGCCAAACTTTGGTCGCAATTTTGAAAGGTTCTGTCGGCAACTGACCCAAAGCCTAAAAAAAAAAAAAAAAAAACCATTTATGTGTGGTCTTTTTTCTCTTCTTTCTTATGTTCATGAAAAATGTTACAAAGGGCTATCAGCTCAAAAGTTTCTTACAATCTCAGTGTCACCTCCACAATAAACCCTGGCGGTATCAAGCTCTACATGACCGTGAGCATGGAACTCATCCAAATAGGCTTTGATGTTCTCACTACCGCGCACACGAACGGTCGTAGCAGCCGCATCAGATCCCTCTAATCCGAAGGTCATGGTGCTAAGGAGAAAGGGTGTAGAAAGCTTGAGTGAGGGCCTTGCTTTGCTCCATTTACTATGACATCTCCATTAAAGTGTGTTCAAAGCAAATCGTAGAAACAGGCCAATTGTAATCTTACCCGAGGATAATGCGTGGTGTATCAACTCCAGACATACTTTATGTGTGTAATTGTAGCGAGGGAAATTAAGATGAAGGCGAGAGAGAAATTGGATGTTAAAGAGTCAAAGAGTCAAAGACTGTAAAAAAAAATACCAACTTTTAAATATTTGCGTCACGGCAAAACAAGGATGACAAAATTGCGGCGGCTAGAACGGCTAAACAATTGCAAAACAGTAACCCAGTACCTGTTCCGCAGCAACAATCATTCCCCTGCTTGCATGAACATCAGCGTGCGCAGCACACCTAATTCTTTTCGTATATGTGTGGCCAATTTAATATTGAAAAAAGATATTTACATGGCCCCTTATTCACACTAATAAATTTTTTTATTTGCACAAGGAATTATTATTTCAGTCTTTTCAAGTAAAAATCCGCTTTTAATTAGTGAGCTTCTCTCAATAAAAACGTCAATAGACAGGAAGCATTAGGATCGCATAAATACGTTGATGCGTCTCTAACCGTTGCTGTCACTGGATTATAGCTAGATGTCACGATCAAAAAGGTACATTGACCTACAGCGGTGAGCCTTTTTTTGTTGAATGTCAACAATACAGGAGCTCCTGTGCTTCTCATCAACACAGGATTGTCCTCAGTGAAGGTATCAATGGACGGCACATTGTAAACTGTTGTTCCTTCTTCGAGCACCAGGTACTTACTGCATGCTGCTATATCCAATGTACAAAAGAGGACGCTAGATATAGTAGTCCATTCAGCATTAATCGAGACTGCACCAAAAATTGTGACAAAGTTGGCTTTAAGCATGAATGGCTCTGAGCGACAAATGGAGCTTGTATTCTTTAAAACTTCGTCATTTACTAACCACAATTTTTTTGTTAAACGGACTTTAAAATCAAGCCTAAATTCAGATTTCATTTTGGCGTTCACGCGTCGGTTCTAGACCCTTACTTGACCCGATTGTAGCATCTGACAAGATGACAACAGTGTCAATAAAATGCGACCGTTCAAAGAGGAGGACCAGCTACGACTACATGTTCTGGATTGCCATCAAATGACATGCTCATATACGCCAAGATCTGGTCAGAAAATTAGCGAACCATTTGAACCATTCGTGTCATTCGAATCGATCCAGGATAGGGCTTATTCGAAGCCATTCAAATCCGACCTGTTCGAATCGAATAGGAGCACTGATCCCAGCTGTCAGTAAAGACCCTTTCATAATGCCGATCACCAAGCAACTTCCAACTGGAAGAGACTTCGATGAAGGGGTGATTTATGCCTGCCAACAGATTCATGCATCAGAAGGTGAGCAAGCAAAAAGTCTATTTATTACTGATACAATGGGAATGCATCCAATTTCAGCAACGGTTCTTGTGGTAATGAGCAAAACCTCCTTTGACACCTGAACATCATGAAGAGATTCCCTAGTGGCCAACTTCAATTCACACCAATTTTGAAAAAGCAAAGCAATCCACTAATGTTTCGTGCTCCAACTGCACACCATCAATATTATCTGGAATGACTAATCTATTGTCAATGTCACCGCATTCAGAAATCTTGAAGTCAAGAACTTTTGTTGAGCTCACAGATAGCATGTGTGAGCTGTTGAATCGAGACTGGGAGTTTCGCCCACAATTCAAGTTTGCTTGTGCCCAGCTTTTAGCAGGTTCAATTCTATTGAATTGCAACAACAACGAAGCTGTCATGTTAAATACAGTCGAATCATATGGAAGAACAAAAGATGTGGACGCTCATCGAGAACCGTTTGGTACCATAAAAGGAGTAGCCATCCCAACCACTCTATCACCGCCCACTAAGACACGATACAAGGATGTCTGGCCAACAACACATGCTTCAACTTACTTGCTCTGTCGTGCTTCGGGTCATATCACAAGAAGTTTGACTTGTCGGCCCTATACGGTCTTCACGTTATCAAAGTTTGATCAAAATCACTCTGGAAATGCAATGATCTGGAGTGATCTTTCAGAATATTGCAAAGGAAGTTCTTCAAAAAGGGAACAATGCATCACTTCAGATCAACATGATCAAGGATTTAAGGGAACAATGCAGCTCAGATGGAGCAGTTACCTCGATTATTGAAAGATTTTCTCTAAAGAATCAACTTCCATTCCGATTCTTGGAAATGTTCTTCTCAACAAGAAGCTTGAGTCATTAGCTCATATTAGTGTCCTTCAAACATCAAAACAAAAAATGTGACATTTGCCTAAAACGGCAAATGTCATGACTTTTCGACTATTGCTATTGCATCCAGCTATATCACAGCAATTCTTTTCAACTGGCTGACAAAAAAAAAAAAAAAATCATATTCAGGTTGCGCAATATTAATGAAGTACTTGTAAAAAGAGACAAACAATTTATTATCTTAAATGCAACTCCTATTGTATTCACTATATTGATCAGTGTCTTAGCCTTAGGATTTCCTGTGCTATAACCGAATATGTAATAAAAATACACGACGCTTTAAAGTCCAGATGTTGGTGATTGCTAAATAATACAAGCTTTCTAAATGATATCAAGGAAGAATAAATATATTAGCCACTATATTTATGTATAAAAAAGTGCACTTTCCCAACTGTTATTGAAATAAAATGAATAAAAATAATTCCTCGCTCTGCTCCATAATTGAGAGGCGTCAAGTTCACGACAATGAGCATGGCCAGTTGCAGAGTCACTTCTGGAAGAGGCTGAAAGTCCGTACCCGTATTGATGAGCAACCGACCCATCATCTTTTTGATTGCTGATCACACCCTCTCAAACACGAAAGGAATAGAAAAAAAATAAAAAATAGGCACCTTACTCTGCTCCATACTTGTAGGCATCAAGTACGCGACAATGAGCATGACCAGTTGCAGAGAAACTCCTGGCAGAGGCTGAAGGCCCATACCCGTAGTGATGAACAAACCAGCTCACCAGCCTGGTTGCTGATCACACCCTCTCAAGCACGAAAGGAGTCTAATAATAAAATAGAAATAATAATAATAATATAAAGACGCTCCTCTTCTCCTCTTGCCATTTCCAATATCAGAAGAATTGTAGCACTCCATCAGAGCATGGTATAGAAAACGATGACTAAGTACAAGCCTGTACCTTATTACAGATATCCTTTTAGAGTTTCGGATGCTGGTAAGTGGATCCGTATCTTCTTGATAGTGAGCCAGTACATGAAGAAAGAAAAGCAAGAATGAGAGAGAAAAGGGGGGAGGGGATATATATGGTCCCGGCTTTCGGATAATAAGTCTAAGTCGTCATATTATTCAACTTGGTCAGCTAAAAAGGATTGAGCAAAAAAGTCAAGGTCCAAAGACAGCAATGTTCAGCGCTCCGCTCTTTCCGCTTTCTTTGCGGGGGGCCGTATGAAGCCCCAGGTTGTAATGAGCCTGTTCTTCATTAGATAGTGATACTATCGAGTTTGTAAATCGAATTCTCATCTCCATATTTTCTTCTATGATCATGTGCTGTGAAAAACTACAAGACTTCATAATTATTGACAGGAGAATAGAGGACGAGAACGAACAAAGACTAGCATCTGTGAGACAAAACTTCAGATGGAAAAACAGGTCTGCCAAGTAGACATCCTTGAATAGCGATATCTTCTTTGAAAAACTTTGAGATACTGTACTAGTAGTTACTTTGATACTTGTGATGTATACGCTCAATTCAGGGCCTGGTAGAATGAATATAAACAGTGTATCGTACTGATGTACTAAGCATACCAACATGAGTTTTCTTTTTTTTCTGAAATAGAGAAATGAAAATGTTGACATGATAGTAAAAAACTATATCAGTCTCATGTATATCACTGCAAGGAATATCTTGCCTCAAACGAAGACGCTCACCATACAATGGACCACTTCATTTCGTAGGTCACCTGTAAGAGAAAAATACAGCTTTGGTTGTTTCCGTGTTTCACATGTTTTATTGTCGTTCACACTTCCTGAACATGGATGTCAAGTAGTTTAACGTTGTTATATGGATACTCCACAAACCATAACAGTTGCCATCTCTTCCAATACCACAAGAGTGTTAACATTCTGAACATTTCCTGTTGAACAAGAGGAGGCCCAAGTCAAAATATTCGTGTTATGGGGATGACAACTTGATGATCTTAGAGCCATAAAGGCCCCCATTTCAAAAACAATCAGCGCCGAGAATCTAGAACTATTGAAAAAGAGCATATGCCAACAATCTTCTATTAAAGAACTGCATGAAGATCGTACCCATTATGGCCAATAAAATATCTAAAATAATAAATTTTACTTTTTCTCATGACACCACACTGGGCGGAAAGTCATTTCAGCAGAAGAGGGATTGGTGGTGTTGTAACTCCGTCGTAGGCGAAGGTTTGCCTTTCTTGTATGTCCTCTCATCAAAGACGCCTCTCTTCGGGTATAATAATATTCATCTAAGAGATGCCTCGTTCACAAGATAAAAGAAAACAAGAACAAACATCAGGCACCAAAAGCAGAAGTCTGCAAGAAATGAGGCCTGAATCAAGAATACTTCATTATAGTAGAAACATTAAATCTCTATTTATGATACCATTAATTATACGGTAGCGGCAGGTCTTGTTTACATCCTCATTGTTATAAAGATAATAGTAGTAAAAAGATATGAAAGAATAATTAGTGCAAGTGCTGGATTGCTCCGATGAAGCAACATGTAAATCAGGTATCAATCAAATAATAATAGCACATTCACAGATATAATTATACTCTTGCCTTTTTTTCACGAGTGTTCGAAAGCGAGAGTGTCCAAATGTTCTGGAGACGCGCCTTTGATACAGGGTTGGACATCTAATGGTGTAGTCTTTCTTGCTTTTTTGTCCTGTCCCGCACTTTATTAGCCTTTTCTGCTACTTCTCTTCTTCGTTAGTACTTTCGTTTACTTTTTCTTTGCATTTCGTTATTTGGTGTTTTCTTTTCTTACTTTTACTTTCATTGACTTCTTGGTACTTACCTTACTTACCTGAGACTGTCCACCCTACCACCCTATACAGTCCCTTACCCTTGAAGAAAAAAAATATAAAAAAAAACTTCTTCCCGGTATTCGCTTTCTTTCCTGTACTTTCGTTTGCTTTCACTTTTTTGCTATGCTTCTGTTTGTTTCTCTTTCTACTTTCTTGTCATGCTTTCGTTTGTATTTCTTTAACGCTTGTTATCTTTTGACTCATTCTTCTTTGCTGGTTCTCTTTCTTACTATCCTTTGCTAGTTCATTTCCTTGTTATTCTTTGCTGGTTCACTTTCTTGCTATGCTTTGCTGGTTCACTTTCTTGCTATCCTTTGATACTTCCTTTCTTATTATTCTTTGCTGCTTCACTTTCTTGCTGCGCTTTGATGGTTCATTTCCTTGTTATCCTTTGGTGCTTCCCTTGTTATCCTTTGGTGCTTCCCTTGTTATCCTTTGGTGCTTCCCTTGTTATCCTTTGGTGCTTCCCTTGTTATCCTTTGGTGCTTCCCTTGTTATCCTTTGGTGCTTCCCTTGTTATCCTTTGGTGCTTCCCTTGTTATCCTTTGGTGCTTCCCTTGTTATCCTTTGGTGCTTCCCTTGTTATCCTTTGGTGCTTCCCTTGTTATCCTTTGGTGCTTCCCTTGTTATCCTTTGGTGCTTCCCTTGTTATCCTTTGGTGCTTCCCTTGTTATTCTTTGCTAGTTCATTTCCTGTTATCTTTTGATGGTTGCTTTTTTGTTATCCTTTGGTGCTTCACTCTCTTGTTAGCCTTTGATGGTTCACTTCTTTTTTACGCTTCCATATTTTATCCTTCAATGCCTCACTTGGTTGCTACGCTTTCATTTCTTTCTTCCATGCTTGGCTTTCCTGTTATGCTTTCATCTCTTTTTCGGTACTTCACTTTTGTTATCCTTTTCTATGTTATCCTGGGCGCATCTCTTTCGTGTTATGTTCTATTACGCTTTCCTTCATTGCTTCGCTTTCTTGTTATTTTTTCATTTGCTTTTCTCGACACTTCACCTTTTTACTATGCTATCCTTTGTTTTTCTTCCCTGCTTCACTTCCTTGTTATGCTTTCTTTCTTGCTGCTTCACTTCCTCATTTGTTTTCCTTGGCTCGTCACTTTTTAAATATACTTTCATGTACTTCTCTTCGACGCTTCACTTTCGAGTTATCCTTTCCTTTGTTTCCCTTCGATACTTCGCTTTCTTACGTTGTTTTCATTTGTTTTCTCCCTTTTCTTATTATAGCTTCCTTTTCTTATTATAACTTCCTTTGTTTCTCTTTGTGTGTGCGTGTATGTGTGTGTTTTGTTTTCCTTGTTATACTTTCGTTTGTTTCCCTTCTGTGCTTCTCTTTCTTATTATGCTTTCATTTGTGCTTCCATTTCTTTTTTGTTTTCTTTTTTTTTCTTTTCTTTTCTTCAGTGCTTCCCCTCCTTGCTATATCTTACATTTGTTTCCCTTTTGCTTTTCTTTCTTATCATATTTTCATTTATAGGTGCCGACATTTCTTACATATATTTTTGTTTGTTCTTTTCCCTCGCTTTACTTCTTTGCTATGCTTCCGTTTGTTCTTTCTCGACTTTCCCTTCCCCTTTCTTTCTCTCTCTCTCTCTTTTTTTTTCTTATTTGCTTTCACTTACTCTTCCTATGTGCTTCTCTTCCTTAGTTTATTTTCATTCGCTCTTTCTCGGTGTTCCTTTCTCTTTCTTATTTCTCTTTCTTTTGTTGGTTACTTGCCGCTTCTCTTCCTTACCTTACTTTCTCTTACCTTACTTTCTCTTACCTCTCGCTGCTTACCGCTCTTGGGGGTTATTTTGCCTTTGGTATAGTACGGAGACAAAAAGTATGTAGTTTAGTATAAAGTAGTGACGGCAAGAAAAGGCAACGCTCGTGTTTGAGCGAGAGTTGGTGATGACATAAAGAGGCACAGGGAGAGACAGAAGAAGTGTGTGCGTGTGTGCTTGTGTGTGAATGTATTTGACAAAGGACTGCGATCGAGACTTACTTTTCAAGAGGTGGGGGGGTGGAGAGGTGGAGAGATAAAGAGGTGGAGAAGTGAAGAGGTGAAGAGGTGAAGAGGTGAAGAGGTGAAGAGAAAGGAAGAGAAAAAAAAAGGAAAAAAAAAAGAAAGAGCGAGCTTAAAATGAGAGAAAAGCGTCATTCTCCCAATCTCACTCGTCGCCACCATTTCTCCTTATCTTTGTTGAAAGCGGACATAATTATCCGAATATAGGCGAAATGAAAGTGATTGGACGCCATTTTGAAACAGCATGAAATTCAAAGAAAGGGTGGATGGAAAACTGTCGGCTTGGACAGCCCGGAAGCGATCCCGTTGCCTTTCATTGCGACATTTTTCGCATTTGTTGACGTAATAAGCGAAAGTGATACGACATTGAGAAGAACGAAGCAAAAAGCATCGAAGGTATTAAACTTAATGACTATGAGTAGACACTACTCACACCACGACTTTTGACCCCAGACTTACACATCGTATGCTTTTTTTGCGATCGCATTTTCTTAAGGAACAAAAAAAAAATTGATAGAGAAAGATGCATTAATTTTTCATGCATCTTTGGGTGTAGCCACACTTTTCATTACATCTCGCTCTTCTCTCTCTTTTATCGCTTCTAAAAGTATAATAGACAAGGATCCAGGCTTGTCATAGACTCTAGTTCCTTCTAGTTTCTGATTGAAAGTAATACAGTGTGTTCAGGTCTGCTACAGTATCTGGTAGATGCTTTTCATGGAGCCCATCACCTTTCTGGCCCATGTCCCAAAGGTAAGCCTGCCTTATTTTTCGTTATGACCATCTTGTTGAGCGAGCAACAACAAGCAACACGTAAAAAGTATGTAACGTGTGTGTCGAGGAAAATATTATATCCAAGCTCTGCAGGGCCTTCAGGGCCTTCAATACTTTTGATTCAACACCTTCATTACTATTGTATTTAATTCTTCGCATTAAATTTATTTATCCCTCTTTCAATGCTTTCCCTACCTTCACGTACATTATTCCTTTTGCTTCATGTGACAATGTAATGACATCAACCGGAAGATGCTTTTGCTTTTAAAGCAACCGACTATTGCCATATTCGGATAATTATGTCCGCTTTCAACAAAGATAAGGAGAAATGGTGGCGACGAGTGAGATTACCCAAGAAATCATGCATGGATATTCAGCGAATAAACAAGAATGCAAGAATAGCAAAATGGTGTCTGTTGGACAATGTAAACACTTTAAGGTTTGGTGGTAAATGTGGTGCAAACATTTTGATGATGACTGACATAAGGATTGGAGCTGTGTGTCACCAAGGAGTACCCACCATCCCGCCTAGTGCAGGTTGCCGGTTCACACAGCAAGATAGTGCTTACTTTGAGTATTGCTCCATGGTGCTCCTCATTTATACTTGTGCAGGAGACAATAGAAAGGAAGTGCTTCTCAATATATATATTGAAGCCTCTCTTCCAAAGCCAGTTGTTCATAACATAACAATAGGCACCAGAACCCCTCATTTTCGGAGCAGTATATTAATAAGTTCACCCTCCTATCATCTAAGCAATGCCGCCTCTACTAAATTTTCAATTTTCGGAGACTGCATTTTAAAGCTTTTTTTTTTTTTTTTTTTTTTGTGTGAATACTTTTTATTAAGAGATTGCTTGCTATCTAGCTATCTAGCTTACCTGGTTACTATCCTAAGCTACAAGAAGCCAGACTCTTAGCCACCTTGGAAAGCGCTTTTCTTTGTCACCATCGAAAAGACTCTCCAAGATGTTGTCCGGAGCACACCACGTGGAGGTGGTCTGGCATATCGTGCTCCGTTGGTCAGGCCCCATGGCCTTGCAAACGCCCGCACACACACACATTTATTTACCCATCCCCATCTCCATTCCCATTCCCTTTCCCATTCTGGACCGAAGGGGCTCCGCCATCGCAAGGCTCGTTAAAGAACCAGCTCAGGCTCATGCCCGTTCGGACCTACCTTAGATATGCATTGGTTATTGCATCTTGGATGTGCATTGTTGCTATGTTAAAAAGTGCTTTGTATTGTGTTAGTAAGGGTTTTTTTTTTTTTTTTTTTTTTTTTTTTGGCTTTCTTATGTTTTTAATTGGCTTTTTTTTTTTCTTTTTTCTTTTTTTCTTTTTTTCTTTTTTTCTTTTTTTCTTTTTTTCTTTTTTTCTTTTTTCTTTTTTCTGATATGAGATCTTTTTTTTGCTTTTCTTTTTTTAGGCTTTTATTTAGTCTTTTTTTTTTGGGTTTTTTTTTTCTTTGGTTAATTTTTTTTTAATTGTTTTTTTTCTTTGGGTTATTTTTTTTTTCTTTGGTTTTTTTTGGTTTTTTTTGGTTTATTTGGGTTTATTTTTTTTTCTTTGGATTTTTTTTTTTTTTTTTTTTTTTTTTTTGGTTTCTTTTTTTCTTTGGTTTTTTTTTTTTTGAGGTATTTGATTCCGGAGGCGCTTGTTTTTGCCTGGATGGACTGTTCGACCTTTCTTTGGTTTAGTCCTTTTGCTGGTGGCGCTGAGCTTTCGTTACCAGTGCCTTCCAGACCACACGATGAGAAGTGGCCTGGTCGCTATGATTTGGTGTTGTTCGTGAAGCCTTGGCCATCATACCCGAGATGGGATGGGCTGGCTATTTGGCCGCGGAGAAGGCCGTCGTTCGACTGCGGTAGACTATGAGGCCGTTTAGAGCGTGGCTGTTTAGAGCGTGGCCATCTGGAGCGTGGCCAGTTGAATACGGCTTTTCGTTGGAGTGCAGCCGTTCGAGTATGGGCGCCTGAGTGTGGCAGTCTGGCTGTGCGTTATGAAGCCCCAGTTGCTTTAGGCAGCTTCATGTCGTTGCAGTCTAATCGTGGAATGAAAAGAGAGACACAGGCAGAAAAAGAATAATCAGAACAAGGACAGTGAAGCACAGAGTGACAGTGTTGAGAACTTCAGTAAGAGTGATTGTTTAGGGAGTGTTGCTTACCTTTTGTCTTGGTTGAGGAGGCCGATGGTCGAGGAGACCGAGGAGAAAGAGAAGAGAAAAGAAGAGAAAAGAAGAAAAAAGAAGAGTCAAAATGGGTCCTTTTTATATTGGTTTCTTATTATTATTATTAACGTTCGCGCAAGAGGAGAAGGGCCGAGGAGTGATTGGTTTTCAAAAGCGCGCTGTACTAAGTACCTTGCTTGCTGTACGCTCAAGAGCGACCAATAAAATATCAACAAAAAAAATTAAAAAATAAAAATTAATATACGTGTCTTTGATGTCATCTGTCATATTTCATATGATAAAGAAGAGACTCTCACGATTGAAAGTGGGAATAATGCTCTGTCCTCAAGACTCATAAGGAAAACCTGTCTATAAACAACCAGAGCATGAACTGTATTGCACTCGAGCTTGCTTACTCTTATTGATGAAGGAGATCATCTTCTTTATCCTCTTCTTCTATTTCCTTTCTTCACTCCTAACAAGAGATGGGATAGACTGTCGTTGGGCCTATACTTTGGCAGCTTGCCGTTTTTCCAGAGTGTGGTGGAAAATAACACATGGCATTCGTCAGAATACCTCTCCGCCTTTTTTTTTTTTTTTATTTTTTATTTTATTTTTTATTTTCATGCAATACAATGTAGAATACATTAAGATTTGAAGGTGAAACAAAGTATCAACATTTATATATCGACCAGTAAAAGGCACACGATCGTATCGAGGAAATGACGTGTCGTATCTCTTTGGCTCTTTGAAAAGGAAAATAAGGAAAAGAAAAAAAGGAAAAATGTCTGTTTGAACAAAAACTGCCGCAGCACAGTTCCCACGACAATGCATCCTATTCTTTGTTAAGGATGAAGAGAAAGAATGGGAGAAGAGAGTCAAATAGCAAACTCTACTGACAGTGCCTGATGAACCCCATTGCTAAAGAAAAAAAGGTACTCGAGCTTAATGCTGGCGAAAAATGGGAGTATGCGAGTGTTGATAAGCTTGTGCTCTGAATCCTGTCCTTTTACTTTAGTCGCGTCACACCCTTTCTCTCTTTGCTGCACACCATACAAAGAGAGCATTGTGGCTCGTGCTCTTGTTGTTGTATGTATATATGACCCTGCATATCTTTGAGGATGGTTATCCCTCCACCCGTAAGAGTTTTCTCTTTCTCCACCTTGCGAGCATATGAAAATTGACGGATGATATCACAAGCGCGCAGATTACCCATTTTCAATTCCCGCTACGGCCGCTTTCTTTTTTATTGTATTTTATTTTATTTTATTTATTTTGTTTTATTTTATTTTATTTTATTTTATTTTATTTTATTTTATTTTATTTTATTTTATTTTATTTTATTTTGCTTAACTCAGTGACTCTCTGTACACAGCTCAGCCGAGAGATGACCCACACAGGACGCATCCGAGTCCAAGGCTGCGATTTCAAAGATAATGAGAAGGAAAATGTCTTTATCCTCTTCCTACCACTGTACTTACGCTCACCCATATCACTCACAGCAAACAACAGGTACTTGGTTATGATGGGAAACTATCAAGTGCAAACATTTTATTTTCCTCAATCTTTGTGGATTGAACATAGCTCTAAGGAGTTGGCAGAAAAGAGCTATCCCTTCTCAAACAAGCTTGAAGACTCAATTGCGCGCGGAGATTTGGATCCAATGATGACTTATTTCTTCTCAGCGAATGACTAGGCTTTTGCGCTTGATTGGGCTAACCGATCCTCGCTGGAGTACGGTGTACGGCAAGGGGATCCGCTGAAACCAGATGTGACGATTCGAAAGTACATTTTTGAGGCGGCTTATGCTGAGACCAAGTCGTCTAAGGACAAGCGAAGCCTACATTTATTTCTCGAAGACCAATGGAGCCTAATGAGGTTTGCCAAGGATACGATTGACGAGAACCTACGTAATGAACGGGTTGTGATGGAGATCCCTTGTCTGCAAGTGTTTGGTAAGTCTATGTGACTTATGTGGCAATAACGCGCCACACACCTTGACGAGATAAATTTTCGATATGAGGTTCTAGAACAAATCAATGCCATCTTATAGATAGATATGTAGTTACCCGCTACAGGCTCCTCTACCAGGGAATGAATAAATACCTCCATGGGTGTGGGCCCACATCTAATTCTTACTTACTTTTTCTACTGCTCACGATCTATCTACAAAATATATTTCAGTCTCGTTATCGCCGTCAGAGGTCATGATTTGAGTGGTCGTGGACATGTTCAGCCCGTTGGCATTGCCAAAGACCCCAGGAAGGCATAACAGCTCTGATTCTTTTTCGAAATAATCCATCATATTCAGCGTTATGGCGATTCCTTTGACTACTCTGTATATGTGGGGCGTTAGGCAAGTTAGTAAACAGATGAGTAAAGGGATAAGAGGCACTGCGTGAACAAAGTGCTTTGCGAACGAGCATTGTCTACGGTACCATATCCGTATAAATATTAAATAAGACCCTGCTAATCCGACTTGCACCTACCTTTCGAGCTAATAGGGTGATGCGGGTGGGACATACGTCCATGGCACCTATGACAATGTGAATAGGCCATCCTTCGTAGACCATTCAATAGAAAAAGAGGTGAGTGGAAAGACAGAAAGTGCTGTATGTGGAAACTTATGCTTGAATGAGTAAAAGGAGGGGAAAAGTCTATCTGATGGAATGGAGACTTTGACTGAAACTGATCAAAGTGATTGAAGCTGATTAAAAAAAAAAAAAAAAAAAAAAAAAAAAACTCCGTATACATATATTTATCATCGTCCCCGTAGTAAACTCAGGTTACAGTATGGGAGATTTAGAATACGAACCGAAGCTCCATCAGCCTGCCTCGGACAGCATCGAAGAGAAAGGTTGGTATATTTCATTGCTCTGGCAGCTAGCACTCCTACTATTGATTCCCCTGCTGTTGTTGTTTGTAATAGCTTAGAGAGACAAAGATAGTTTTATTATAACTATTAAAACCAACCTTTCAGGCTTAAGACTATATATATTATAACAAGCCTTTTCAGGCTTAAGACTAAATACTGTCACATTGTTACTCTTTGAACTCTCTTGTTATTTTGAATCCGGACATAAAAAGTGAAGATGTCAATGGTGTTTGCAGGATTGCCACTGCCGCTATTGCTGTTACTGTTTTTGTCTCTGTTTTAAGTTTAGAGCTAGAATCCTTAGTTGCATAATGTTTCATACGCTTACTTTCTCTTTTGGATGTTTCCTGCTCACGAAGTCTGGGCTTTGCGCTGACCAAAGCTGTGGAGTCCTTTACTGCATCAGTCTAGATAACGCGGTCAGGTTGTGAAGCAATGGGTTTAACTGATGTCGATGATATCACTGTTGGTAAAAAGGCTGTTTGATGTTGTATCGTGAGAAGAATGTATATGAGCAGAAGTTATGCCATTTCAATCCGATTTTGCAGTTGCCTCATTATCTTTTGCCTGGGGCACAGAGTATGGTTCAGATTCCCATATTGTTTCCCATATTGTTTCCAATCTAGTTACTGGACCACGTATAAACTTTCTGTGAATTCGGTTAGAATTGCGGCTGTTATAATTGACTGACTGCATCCACGACGAGGACGACGCCGCATCATCAGCTGTATTGGTATTTGATAGTGGTGTGTTGGAATTGCGATTGTTATAATTGATTGATCGCATCCACAACGAGGACGATGACCAATCATTAGCTGTATGGGCATTTGACAACAGTGTATTGGGGCTGCGGTTGCTATACTTGAATGACCCCGTCCACGACGAGGACGACGACGCGCCATTAGCTGTGTTGGCATTTAACGACGTTGGGACCATTGGGTATAGCTTTCCATAATATTTCTAGCACGGAAGGCACTTGATCCAGAAGTAAAGACTGTCAAGGCTTTAGTGGCATCATCCTTGGCGTCACTGTTATTGCCACCAATACTGTTGCTGATTAGGTTCGGTTGGGTCTTTTTGACAGTAGCATGACGAGAGGCAGGTCCTGAGGTAGCAACGGAGTGTGATACCATAATAATTGACGATGAGGTAGTCGCTATTGCTGCTATAGTTAAATCTATGATCGTACTTGCCGTGCAATACTGCTTGTCTTCTATTTCTCTTTGTCTTTGTTTCTTTTTATATCGTCGTTTCTTTGACAGCTGAGTGTTATGCTGAGTAAGAGGGTCAGTTTGCTATTTGACTCTCTTCTCCCATTCTTTCTCTTCATCCTTAACAAAGAATAGGATGCATTGTCGTGGGAACTGTGCTGCGGCAGTTTTTGTTCAAACAGACATTTTTCCTTTTTTTCTTTTCCTTATTTTCCTTTTCAAAGAGCCAAAGAGATACGACACGTCATTTCCTCGATACGATCGTGTGCCTTTTACTGGTCGATATATAAATGTTGATACTTTGTTTCACCTTCAAATCTTAATGTATTCTACATTGTATTGCATGAAAATAAAAAATAAAATAAAAAATAAAAAAAAAAAAAAAGGCGGAGAGGTATTCTGACGAATGCCATGTGTTATTTTCCACCACACTCTGGAAAAACGGCAAGCTGCCAAAGTATAGGCCCAACGACAGTCTATCCCATCTCTTGTTAGGAGTGAAGAAAGGAAATAGAAGAAGAGGATAAAGAAGATGATCTCCTTCATCAATAAGAGTAAGCAAGCTCGAGTGCAATACAGTTCATGCTCTGGTTGTTTATAGACAGGTTTTCCTTATGAGTCTTGAGGACAGAGCATTATTCCCACTTTCAATCGTGAGAGTCTCTTCTTTATCATATGAAATATGACAGATGACATCAAAGACACGTATATTAATTTTTATTTTTTAATTTTTTTTGTTGATATTTTATTGGTCGCTCTTGAGCGTACAGCAAGCAAGGTACTTAGTACAGCGCGCTTTTGAAAACCAATCACTCCTCGGCCCTTCTCCTCTTGCGCGAACGTTAATAATAATAATAAGAAACCAATATAAAAAGGACCCATTTTGACTCTTCTTTTTTCTTCTTTTCTCTTCTTTTCTCTTCTCTTTCTCCTCGGTCTCCTCGACCATCGGCCTCCTCAACCAAGACAAAAGGTAAGCAACACTCCCTAAACAATCACTCTTACTGAAGTTCTCAACACTGTCACTCTGTGCTTCACTGTCCTTGTTCTGATTATTCTTTTTCTGCCTGTGTCTCTCTTTTCATTCCACGATTAGACTGCAACGACATGAAGCTGCCTAAAGCAACTGGGGCTTCATAACGCACAGCCAGACTGCCACACTCAGGCGCCCATACTCGAACGGCTGCACTCCAACGAAAAGCCGTATTCAACTGGCCACGCTCCAGATGGCCACGCTCTAAACAGCCACGCTCTAAACGGCCTCATAGTCTACCGCAGTCGAACGACGGCCTTCTCCGCGGCCAAATAGCCAGCCCATCCCATCTCGGGTATGATGGCCAAGGCTTCACGAACAACACCAAATCATAGCGACCAGGCCACTTCTCATCGTGTGGTCTGGAAGGCACTGGTAACGAAAGCTCAGCGCCACCAGCAAAAGGACTAAACCAAAGAAAGGTCGAACAGTCCATCCAGGCAAAAACAAGCGCCTCCGGAATCAAATACCTCAAAAAAAAAAAAACCAAAGAAAAAAAGAAACCAAAAAAAAAAAAAAAAAAAAAAAAAAAAAAAAAAAAAAAAAAACCCAAATAAAAAAAAAAACCAAAAAAAACCAAAGAAAAAAAAAAATAACCCAAAGAAAAAAAACAATTAAAAAAAAATTAACCAAAGAAAAAAAAAAACCCAAAAAAAAAAGACTAAATAAAAGCCTAAAAAAAGAAAAGCAAAAAAAAGATCTCATATCAGAAAAAAGAAAAAAGAAAAAAAAGAAAAAAAGAAAAAAAGAAAAAAAGAAAAAAAAGAAAAAAAGAAAAAAGAAAAAAAAAAAGCCAATTAAAAACATAAGAAAGCCAAAAAAAAAAAAAAAAAAAAAAAAAAAAACCCTTACTAACACAATACAAAGCACTTTTTAACATAGCAACAATGCACATCCAAGATGCAATAACCAATGCATATCTAAGGTAGGTCCGAACGGGCATGAGCCTGAGCTGGTTCTTTAACGAGCCTTGCGATGGCGGAGCCCCTTCGGTCCAGAATGGGAAAGGGAATGGGAATGGAGATGGGGATGGGTAAATAAATGTGTGTGTGTGCGGGCGTTTGCAAGGCCATGGGGCCTGACCAACGGAGCACGATATGCCAGACCACCTCCACGTGGTGTGCTCCGGACAACATCTTGGAGAGTCTTTTCGATGGTGACAAAGAAAAGCGCTTTCCAAGGTGGCTAAGAGTCTGGCTTCTTGTAGCTTAGGATAGTAACCAGGTAAGCTAGATAGCTAGATAGCAAGCAATCTCTTAATAAAAAGTATTCACACAAAAAAAAAAAAAAAAAAAAAAAGCTTTAAAATGCAGTCTCCGAAAATTGAAAATTTAGTAGAGGCGGCATTGCTTAGATGATAGGAGGGTGAACTTATTAATATACTGCTCCGAAAATGAGGGGTTCTGGTGCCTATTGTTATGTTATGAACAACTGGCTTTGGAAGAGAGGCTTCAATATATATATTGAGAAGCACTTCCTTTCTATTGTCTCCTGCACAAGTATAAATGAGGAGCACCATGGAGCAATACTCAAAGTAAGCACTATCTTGCTGTGTGAACCGGCAACCTGCACTAGGCGGGATGGTGGGTACTCCTTGGTGACACACAGCTCCAATCCTTATGTCAGTCATCATCAAAATGTTTGCACCACATTTACCACCAAACCTTAAAGTGTTTACATTGTCCAACAGACACCATTTTGCTATTCTTGCATTCTTGTTTATTCGCTGAATATCCATGCATGATTTCTTGGGTAATCTCACTCGTCGCCACCATTTCTCCTTATCTTTGTTGAAAGCGGACATAATTATCCGAATATGGCAATAGTCGGTTGCTTTAAAAGCAAAAGCATCTTCCGGTTGATGTCATTACATTGTCACATGAAGCAAAAGGAATAATGTACGTGAAGGTAGGGAAAGCATTGAAAGAGGGATAAATAAATTTAATGCGAAGAATTAAATACAATAGTAATGAAGGTGTTGAATCAAAAGTATTGAAGGCCCTGAAGGCCCTGCAGAGCTTGGATATAATATTTTCCTCGACACACACGTTACATACTTTTTACGTGTTGCTTGTTGTTGCTCGCTCAACAAGATGGTCATAACGAAAAATAAGGCAGGCTTACCTTTGGGACATGGGCCAGAAAGGTGATGGGCTCCATGAAAAGCATCTACCAGATACTGTAGCAGACCTGAACACACTGTATTACTTTCAATCAGAAACTAGAAGGAACTAGAGTCTATGACAAGCCTGGATCCTTGTCTATTATACTTTTAGAAGCGATAAAAGAGAGAGAAGAGCGAGATGTAATGAAAAGTGTGGCTACACCCAAAGATGCATGAAAAATTAATGCATCTTTCTCTATCAATTTTTTTTTTGTTCCTTAAGAAAATGCGATCGCAAAAAAAGCATACGATGTGTAAGTCTGGGGTCAAAAGTCGTGGTGTGAGTAGTGTCTACTCATAGTCATTAAGTTTAATACCTTCGATGCTTTTTGCTTCGTTCTTCTCAATGTCGTATCACTTTCGCTTATTACGTCAACAAATGCGAAAAATGTCGCAATGAAAGGCAACGGGATCGCTTCCGGGCTGTCCAAGCCGACAGTTTTCCATCCACCCTTTCTTTGAATTTCATGCTGTTTCAAAATGGCGTCCAATCACTTTCATTTCGCCTATATTCGGATAATTATGTCCGCTTTCAACAAAGATAAGGAGAAATGGTGGCGACGAGTGAGATTGGGAGAATGACGCTTTTCTCTCATTTTAAGCTCGCTCTTTCTTTTTTTTTTCCTTTTTTTTTCTCTTCCTTTCTCTTCACCTCTTCACCTCTTCACCTCTTCACCTCTTCACTTCTCCACCTCTTTATCTCTCCACCTCTCCACCCCCCCACCTCTTGAAAAGTAAGTCTCGATCGCAGTCCTTTGTCAAATACATTCACACACAAGCACACACGCACACACTTCTTCTGTCTCTCCCTGTGCCTCTTTATGTCATCACCAACTCTCGCTCAAACACGAGCGTTGCCTTTTCTTGCCGTCACTACTTTATACTAAACTACATACTTTTTGTCTCCGTACTATACCAAAGGCAAAATAACCCCCAAGAGCGGTAAGCAGCGAGAGGTAAGAGAAAGTAAGGTAAGAGAAAGTAAGGTAAGGAAGAGAAGCGGCAAGTAACCAACAAAAGAAAGAGAAATAAGAAAGAGAAAGGAACACCGAGAAAGAGCGAATGAAAATAAACTAAGGAAGAGAAGCACATAGGAAGAGTAAGTGAAAGCAAATAAGAAAAAAAAAGAGAGAGAGAGAGAAAGAAAGGGGAAGGGAAAGTCGAGAAAGAACAAACGGAAGCATAGCAAAGAAGTAAAGCGAGGGAAAAGAACAAACAAAAATATATGTAAGAAATGTCGGCACCTATAAATGAAAATATGATAAGAAAGAAAAGCAAAAGGGAAACAAATGTAAGATATAGCAAGGAGGGGAAGCACTGAAGAAAAGAAAAGAAAAAAAAAGAAAACAAAAAAGAAATGGAAGCACAAATGAAAGCATAATAAGAAAGAGAAGCACAGAAGGGAAACAAACGAAAGTATAACAAGGAAAACAAAACACACACATACACGCACACACAAAGAGAAACAAAGGAAGTTATAATAAGAAAAGGAAGCTATAATAAGAAAAGGGAGAAAACAAATGAAAACAACGTAAGAAAGCGAAGTATCGAAGGGAAACAAAGGAAAGGATAACTCGAAAGTGAAGCGTCGAAGAGAAGTACATGAAAGTATATTTAAAAAGTGACGAGCCAAGGAAAACAAATGAGGAAGTGAAGCAGCAAGAAAGAAAGCATAACAAGGAAGTGAAGCAGGGAAGAAAAACAAAGGATAGCATAGTAAAAAGGTGAAGTGTCGAGAAAAGCAAATGAAAAAATAACAAGAAAGCGAAGCAATGAAGGAAAGCGTAATAGAACATAACACGAAAGAGATGCGCCCAGGATAACATAGAAAAGGATAACAAAAGTGAAGTACCGAAAAAGAGATGAAAGCATAACAGGAAAGCCAAGCATGGAAGAAAGAAATGAAAGCGTAGCAACCAAGTGAGGCATTGAAGGATAAAATATGGAAGCGTAAAAAAGAAGTGAACCATCAAAGGCTAACAAGAGAGTGAAGCACCAAAGGATAACAAAAAAGCAACCATCAAAAGATAACAGGAAATGAACTAGCAAAGAATAACAAGGGAAGCACCAAAGGATAACAAGGGAAGCACCAAAGGATAACAAGGGAAGCACCAAAGGATAACAAGGGAAGCACCAAAGGATAACAAGGGAAGCACCAAAGGATAACAAGGGAAGCACCAAAGGATAACAAGGGAAGCACCAAAGGATAACAAGGGAAGCACCAAAGGATAACAAGGGAAGCACCAAAGGATAACAAGGGAAGCACCAAAGGATAACAAGGGAAGCACCAAAGGATAACAAGGGAAGCACCAAAGGATAACAAGGGAAGCACCAAAGGATAACAAGGGAAGCACCAAAGGATAACAAGGAAATGAACCATCAAAGCGCAGCAAGAAAGTGAAGCAGCAAAGAATAATAAGAAAGGAAGTATCAAAGGATAGCAAGAAAGTGAACCAGCAAAGCATAGCAAGAAAGTGAACCAGCAAAGAATAACAAGGAAATGAACTAGCAAAGGATAGTAAGAAAGAGAACCAGCAAAGAAGAATGAGTCAAAAGATAACAAGCGTTAAAGAAATACAAACGAAAGCATGACAAGAAAGTAGAAAGAGAAACAAACAGAAGCATAGCAAAAAAGTGAAAGCAAACGAAAGTACAGGAAAGAAAGCGAATACCGGGAAGAAGTTTTTTTTTATATTTTTTTTCTTCAAGGGTAAGGGACTGTATAGGGTGGTAGGGTGGACAGTCTCAGGTAAGTAAGGTAAGTACCAAGAAGTCAATGAAAGTAAAAGTAAGAAAAGAAAACACCAAATAACGAAATGCAAAGAAAAAGTAAACGAAAGTACTAACGAAGAAGAGAAGTAGCAGAAAAGGCTAATAAAGTGCGGGACAGGACAAAAAAGCAAGAAAGACTACACCATTAGATGTCCAACCCTGTATCAAAGGCGCGTCTCCAGAACATTTGGACACTCTCGCTTTCGAACACTCGTGAAAAAAAGGCAAGAGTATAATTATATCTGTGAATGTGCTATTATTATTTGATTGATACCTGATTTACATGTTGCTTCATCGGAGCAATCCAGCACTTGCACTAATTATTCTTTCATATCTTTTTACTACTATTATCTTTATAACAATGAGGATGTAAACAAGACCTGCCGCTACCGTATAATTAATGGTATCATAAATAGAGATTTAATGTTTCTACTATAATGAAGTATTCTTGATTCAGGCCTCATTTCTTGCAGACTTCTGCTTTTGGTGCCTGATGTTTGTTCTTGTTTTCTTTTATCTTGTGAACGAGGCATCTCTTAGATGAATATTATTATACCCGAAGAGAGGCGTCTTTGATGAGAGGACATACAAGAAAGGCAAACCTTCGCCTACGACGGAGTTACAACACCACCAATCCCTCTTCTGCTGAAATGACTTTCCGCCCAGTGTGGTGTCATGAGAAAAAGTAAAATTTATTATTTTAGATATTTTATTGGCCATAATGGGTACGATCTTCATGCAGTTCTTTAATAGAAGATTGTTGGCATATGCTCTTTTTCAATAGTTCTAGATTCTCGGCGCTGATTGTTTTTGAAATGGGGGCCTTTATGGCTCTAAGATCATCAAGTTGTCATCCCCATAACACGAATATTTTGACTTGGGCCTCCTCTTGTTCAACAGGAAATGTTCAGAATGTTAACACTCTTGTGGTATTGGAAGAGATGGCAACTGTTATGGTTTGTGGAGTATCCATATAACAACGTTAAACTACTTGACATCCATGTTCAGGAAGTGTGAACGACAATAAAACATGTGAAACACGGAAACAACCAAAGCTGTATTTTTCTCTTACAGGTGACCTACGAAATGAAGTGGTCCATTGTATGGTGAGCGTCTTCGTTTGAGGCAAGATATTCCTTGCAGTGATATACATGAGACTGATATAGTTTTTTACTATCATGTCAACATTTTCATTTCTCTATTTCAGAAAAAAAAGAAAACTCATGTTGGTATGCTTAGTACATCAGTACGATACACTGTTTATATTCATTCTACCAGGCCCTGAATTGAGCGTATACATCACAAGTATCAAAGTAACTACTAGTACAGTATCTCAAAGTTTTTCAAAGAAGATATCGCTATTCAAGGATGTCTACTTGGCAGACCTGTTTTTCCATCTGAAGTTTTGTCTCACAGATGCTAGTCTTTGTTCGTTCTCGTCCTCTATTCTCCTGTCAATAATTATGAAGTCTTGTAGTTTTTCACAGCACATGATCATAGAAGAAAATATGGAGATGAGAATTCGATTTACAAACTCGATAGTATCACTATCTAATGAAGAACAGGCTCATTACAACCTGGGGCTTCATACGGCCCCCCGCAAAGAAAGCGGAAAGAGCGGAGCGCTGAACATTGCTGTCTTTGGACCTTGACTTTTTTGCTCAATCCTTTTTAGCTGACCAAGTTGAATAATATGACGACTTAGACTTATTATCCGAAAGCCGGGACCATATATATCCCCTCCCCCCTTTTCTCTCTCATTCTTGCTTTTCTTTCTTCATGTACTGGCTCACTATCAAGAAGATACGGATCAACTTGGTAGCAGAGCAAAAGAATTAAGGAAAAATGCACCCCCCGTCAGAATAAAATTTTGACCCCCGGTTGAGAATACCCAAAAACCCCCCGTCAACATACCCTTTTTCGGAATTCTTACCCCTCCCCCGTCAGAATTCCGTTACACCCCCCCGTCAACCATCTTAATTTTGGGAATCCTTACCCCCCCGTCAACATTTTGAGGCAGTTTTTGAGAGAAGATTTTATTTTCTGTTTTTGGTTGCACCTACATCTGACTAACTTTTTAATCCAACACCATTGATCCTCTCTTACTTTTCATCTTGTCATCAAAGCTTGACAGTAGATAAATGGATCAGTTCCTTGATGAATGATCCCCTCCTAGATTCGTATTCATCACTAGGTTCAAAACCTTCAGCAACTTAACATGCACCACATGAGTCCAATATAGTCGTAAAAAAAAAGACATTTGGTGATCCTAAACCATTTTTGCAATTAATGGGGGTTAAGAATATTTATTGTCTAAAATACAGATCGGCACACTGATGGGCCTTTTATACTGTACTAGCTGTGTGAGAACAGTGGGAACCATAGGATATAGTGGGGTTCTTTTTTTTTTTTTTTTTTTTTTTTTTTTTTGTGAATCAGCTCCAGAATGTTGACAGGGGATAAGAATTGCGCGAGTGACGGGGGGGTAAGAATTCCGGAAAGAGGGGGGGATTAAAATTTTATTCTGACGGGAATTGCAAGCAGGCACTTAAATTTTTTTCTGAGCACACCCTCATTCAGACCATTCATTCAGATATTCAGATTTCAGATGGTTTCGAATGATCTGAAGCCTCGTTCTTTTTATTTATTTTTCCATTTCTACTCAATGTTCTCCCCTACTAGGGCTGGTGTCTGCTTTCCTTTATTAGGACTTTCGTCAGCGCTGTGTATACACTCGCATATCCCTTGCTTATATCCTTTAGCCCTGTACGCTACTTTGAAGAAAGAGACGCAAAGAAAAAAAATATATAATCCGCAACCAAGTTAATCACTTTAGTCACCATTATTCTTGAAACTTTTTTTTTTCTTTTTTTTCGCTACAGCAGGTCTGTTCTAAACCAAAGTCTTCATAGACGAACTATTTGGAAATCGAATATCCTGAACTTTGTCAGGCTGTCCTGTTGAAGAGGCTAATAATCACAAGAGTAACTTGGGCCAGTCAACTTTGGCATACTTGTGCCTAGATTTAATAGTTTGAATAATGAAGCAAAGGAAAAAAGAAAAGAAAAGCAATAGTAAGAGTGATAGTCCCTTTGACGAGACGCGTTCAAAAATTGGTGGCGACGAGTAACCACGTGAGCAATTGAGGAAGTGTATATATAAAATCTACTCTCGCGCGAGTGTCCATTCTCTCCTTTGGGGAAAAACTCAATTAATTTTACAACGTTATTACAACAACAAGGAACACAAATGGAGGAAGTAAATGTGCAACAAGGAGCCGCATTCCCTGCTCCACCCTACTACTATCAACGATACACTCAGGAAAACCTCGCTCTACTAGAGAAAGCTCGTGTTGCAGCACCAGGAGATGAAGAGATCACAAAGTCACTCGAAGCATTACCTTTTCCCATCCTCGCACTTGAGCCTCCGCCGCCAGTTAAGAAAGGCGTATATTGGATGTTTGGACGTGCTTGGCCTGTAAGCAGGACTTATCAATTTTTCCTATAAGAAAAAAAAAAGGTTTTATGCCATCTTTTAGCCATACTTACCTTTTCTTTTTTCCTTGATTCATTTTTACGTTCTCAACATATACAGGTACAGGACAGTTTAGCAACGCTTGAGGAACAAGGAATTGAACAACTATACCCGAAGGGACCCATTGGTAAGATAACACCATTGAGATCTAAGCTTCTTTCTAGTCTAGTTCAAGCTGATAATAATTTAACGATTTTTATTTTTATTTTTTTAAAAAAAAAAAAATTTAAATAAAAAAACTCGACTAATTGTGTAGATCGTGTCAAGGAGCTCAAAAAGCTGAATCACTCAGTTGTATTCAACTTTTTAGAACTCGTCCATACCCTTTCCACATCGCCCAGTGAAGTAAAAAAAAATGTTTTATTGTTTGAAGTTGGTGTGTTGGCATGGTGCCATCAATTTTAATATATTGATTTTTTTTTTATTATTATTATCATCATTTTTTTTTTTTTTTTGTTCAACCAACTAGTTTGCAACAAAAGTAGACCAGATTCGAGTTATCTTTATCAACATGCACCACATATTGAACGAATATAGACCGCATCAGGCTCGGGAGACATTAAAGCTTATGATGGAAGAACAACTTCGAAGGAAAAGAAAGGAGACTGAGGCTTTAAGAAAGTAATACGCACAAAGCAAAAAGAAACTACTCTTCTTCTTTTTGTCAGTTTATAGACTGCAATATAATCATATGGACCGAATACTCAAAGGATTGGTCTCTCTCTTTTTTTTCTGGCACATAGAACATGCGCTGATCTTAGGAAACAACTTGCAGGGTTGCGGACACTGAAACAGGAGAAACTACGGCTCCCAGAGTTTGACAAGGATGTGGAAATGGAATTGGCGCCAGAAGAGTCTACTACAGTATCAAGAGCATTAGCCTCATCAATATCACCAAAACCATCAATAGTAGTGGGACAGTCAAGTCAAAATGATGGCAAGCAAAAGCTGTTGGCGAATACTGCATCGTTGAGTCCTGTAGATGCTAAAAATGCGCAGGCGATGGCAAGGATAATGGACCTTTGCGACGACATTGTATAATCATTGTAATAGGTATTCAAGTAATGGTAATAAAAAAATGCCTAATGAGTAAGTCAATTCCATGTCATAGTTTATTACTTTATTGCTTTGAAAAAGTTCCGGACCTGGATCTGGACCTGGTATGCGAAAACGAGTAAATATGATAGATCAGTCACTTGTCTAGGTGACAACATACTCTACATTCTCATGGTTGGGCTCGAGCAAGGTATCTGAAGCATATCCAATAGATTTATATGCTTATTTGAGCTTTTGATCAAAATAATAATAATAATAGTAAAAATAATAGCAAAACAAAATATATGCAGCCATGGCGGGGATTCATTGAGTTTCCTGTCGTTAGCATATATATGGACGATTGTTGCTGTGTATTCCCCATATTTCCTGCAAAAAGGTTGTTTAGCGTCTCTTCAAAAGTGAGGTCAAGACAATCGTTCCTACTGCCATTGCTGTTCCAACAATGGCCATTCCGATATATCCCTCTAAATACATCACCATCACAATTCAGGTATACCAAAAAAAAAAAAAATAAAGATAAATAAAATAAACGAGTTAATCAAAGCAGCTTCTTAGCCGACGTCACAGCTCAATGCAAAAAAAAAAAAAAAAAAAAAAAAGATATGAATTATCAAACAGTTCAAAGAAAAGTGTACCTTTGGCAACACGGTCCTCGATCTCTTGACGAAGCGCACGGGCTTGTGAGTTGTTAGGTTCAAATTCCAGCAACGACTCGTTGAATTTGCGAGCGTCATTATAGTTGCCGAGCTTGAAATGTCCAAGAGCTAAATAAAACAAGCACTCACGTCTTCTATCCGGTACTTCGCGATAGATGTCTGAAAATGCCCAAAAAAATGAAAATATGTATCAGCCATTTTTCTTTTCTCATCGACTTTACTCCTGTAGGGTCGATACGGATTTCATGCATGATACTGTGTCGACTCTTGGCAAAAAAAAAAAAAAAAAAAAAAAAAAAGCTTCAAAAACTTACCAGTGAGGAGTAAAACACCTTGAGTCTGCTCTCGTCTGTTCTTGCTCTTAATAAGGCCCCAAGCATAATTAAAACGAGTTTGTTCTGTTACATATTCTCCTTCACGAATGTATTGTTTCCTTAGGACCTATATTTAAAATGACCAACAAGGAATGTAAGAAATGTTGAAATAGCCTAGTCACTCGATGTGTGTAATGAAAGGCAATGGTAGCTCCTGTTTGTTGTTTTCTAACCTCTAGCTGGCTGTCAGAAAGACAGCTATCGGCATCGGCCATGTTGGGTAGATTATCGGTCATGGTTATGGGTTTGTTCGTTTTGTGTCGTGTGTGAATTGTTCTGAATTGAGAAAAAGGAGAGTGAGGGGGAAGGAACTTTGCAGGACACTGACACGAGGCAAAGGGCTTTCGTCACATGACTTGTTATCGCCTCTTTTTTTTTCCTTTTTCGTTTTTTCATAAATTTCCGAGCACAAGGATCGCTCCATTCGTCCATTCATCAAAATAATTATTCATTCAGAGTTTGACATTGAAACATGAGCAATTATCCAAAGGCATTCGCAGTCGGATTAGGTATCATTGGTCTGGGATATGCTTTATTGCTGACGACTGTCCCAACAGAGGATCAACTTTACGAGGCAAGTAATCGCGTTTTTTTCCGCTTTTTTTTTTTTTTTTTTTTTTTTTAAAAAAAAAAAAAAAAAAAAAACAGACCTTTAATTGTTTGTGGTTTCCGCAATAAAAGCTAAAAGAAGAGAGAGAGAGAAAAAAGAAAAATAAAGGTTTATTTGTGCGAAGGCAGGAAATGCTGACTGGCCATGGGAAAACACATTAACACGCTTTTATTATCATAATCATTTTATTCTTTTTATTCTAGAAACTGTCACCGGAACTCAAGAAACAATATGAACAAGTCAAAGCTGATCAGGTGCGCAGACAAGCTTTCTCAGATGTTTTAAAAAGAGCAGCAGCGGATCCAGAGCCAATGTGGATCAAGAAGGATACGACACCCAAAGGCCGATAAAGCAATCTTTTATTGTAAATCAAATTGCAATTTAAATTTGGTTTGATCCAAAAAAAAAAAAAAAAAAAAAAAAAAGACTGGATGGATAAATCTTGCAATTGAACGCAACCCCCACCGCAACTCTATGCGTTTTCTTTTTCTTTTTTTTTTTTAATCATCCCTTACCACTGTATTATATCTTAGCACTGTTAAACGCATCTCACCTATTTTTCAAAAAGCTGACTACAGGAACCTAACATGAGTTTGGATTTTCTAATGTAATCTTAATAAATAAATATAAAAAAAAAAAATACTCCTACTGGAGGCTTGAATGACATTACAACGTTAATTGTCAATTCACTCAAACTCCAAGACCCCGTCAACTAATCTGTAGGGTTCTGGCGACCTGGATAAGAAATCGATAAAAGTTTTTTTTTTTTTTTTTTTTTTTTTTTTGATCGTGGACACGCCACCATTATGTCTCTTTTAAACTTAATTTATTGAGTTTCCATTTTCCTTGTTTGACATCTTTGCACTCTCTACTCATTGCATCTTAAAGCCCCTGTTTTGTGGGCAAACACTCAATCATACAACCTCTCGATAAAACAAGAAGAACAAAAAGAAAAATAAAATGACGCTTTTGACTTTTTTTGGTTGTGCACTTACAGCCTATGGACCAGGTTTGGCCATCTTTTTCGGTTGTGTGGCACCCAATGCCCAACTGGTCATTCTCATGGTGTCAAGGTAGGTATGCAACCATTAGACCTCTGTCATTTAGATGTTGCCATGCTGTACGGTGGAGGGGATCAGACTTGGTTGAATTGACAAGATTGCATTGGCATTGTCTTTTTTTTTTTTTTAACCAATCTCTTTATTTTATAATTATTATGTTTTGAATAGCATGTTTTTTTGGTTACTGTCTCTTCTGTTGGCCTCTGCTATTTGGTTTTTGGCCACCAACAGTCGGCAAACCTATACATCTACAATCATCTACACAATTTTACTTCAGGAGATGTTCCGTTGGTTCCTTTATCTTTTAATAAAGTAAGTAGCATATATCACATGGGCGACTCATGCTTGTAAAAAAATAAAAAATAAAAATAAAAATAAAACATGCTAAGCAATCAGGGGACCATCTAACTTGAGCATGAATTAAAATATTGTCATAGTCGGGCAGAGAAAGGACTGAACATGGTAGCCAAGCATCCAAAATCAAGATTCAACAGATCTGGATACGCGTTTTCTGCTGGACTCGGATTCGGATTAATGTTTGGCATCATTTCATATATCACACAACTTGTACAATCTCTTGGGCCAGGCGTGCTCATGTGTATCTCCTGTCCTAGTGTATCCCTCTACTTTATCTCTGGTAAGCAAAGTTTCAAGACAATAGAGGGGAACACTTCTTCTTTATCTGTCTACGTTTAGGAACAAACGACTATATATTTTTTGAAGGATGATGTTTCGCAATGAAAAAATAATGTGTAATTTATGTATAAATATATAGCGATTACTACATGCATCATCACTCTACACCACTGTCTCTGGATGATGATCTCCTTCACCGGCTTCACTCAACGGTCGTATGCTCGCATTCTTTGGGTCCTGGTCTCACATTATGGAGCATCCTATCTGACGCTCCTGAACTCCAGTAGGACAGTGACATTAGGATGTGCGTACTCCATCATCTGTAATATAGCCCTTTTGTTTGCGTCTGCCATCATTGCTTTTACAGATCTGCGAAACCTTCATCAAAAGTTTACATAAAGACAAAAAATTGCAAACAAAACATCTACCTGCTTCCCTTTCCTTTTCTGATTGGACTATAATAAATAAATGTTTATGAAAGAAAAATAAAAAATAAAAAATAAATATAAAAAAAGAAAAAAAAATACGACACAGCATTTTTTATTTTAATTTCTATTTTTTTATTTTTATTTTGTTGTCTCTTGTTTGTTGTACAACTTTCAATATCTCATGCAATCATGCCAAGTCTATATTGTGATACAAAAAAAAAACGTGTCTGTAAAAGATTCCATCAGGCTCGATGCTCTTTTTTTCTTTTTTGTTTTCCTTTTTTAGGAGCTTGTTGATGTAGATCCTCCAGCGTTTGCACCATTGTTATTTCCTCCTTGCATGGAGGATGTGCCCTGATTTTGATTAGAGCCTCCTTGAGACGAACTTGCGCCTGTGCCTGTGCCCGTGCCCGTACCAGTGCCTGCATCTGCACCTGCACCTGCTTCTGCACCTGGGTTGCCGCCTTGACCAGCATTGCCTTGAACAGGCCCTGCGTTAGCGAGATTCCTACGTTGAGATGACTGCATAGATGACAGTGAGCTAATTGCTTGTTTGTTTGTTTTTGTTGTGTGTGTTCAGGAGAGGCTCAAAAGAAGAAGAAAATGAAGTATCGGTTGGTGGTGGCTGTGTTGATATATCTGCAGAAGAGCTGCACTTGTGTATAATGGCGTATGCTGTGCGAAGGATGTCTATCCAATTGTGTGTTTTTTTTTTCTGTTTGTATGTGTGTGAATGGGATGCAGAAAAGCTGAAAGCCCAATTGGCTAAAGCGTTGTTTCCTTTCTGTTGTAGTCAGTCCTTCCGTTGTAGTCGATTTGTCTTTAAGTTGCGGCAGAGAGCTATTCAAATAAAGGAAGTGTCTGTTTAGATGGCTGATAAAAAACCACCTTATGCTTGACAAAGTTTACTTGCACGCAGATTTTATATTTTATTTCAATTTTTTATTTTTTTTATTCACCTTCTGTCTGTTGTGCTGATATTCTGATCTGTATGTTTACAGGTGGTATATCAAGTATCTTTTCTTTTTTGCTTTGTTTTGTTTGTAGGAAGCTTGAGCCTCGAATGATCAAGTGTAAGTTTAATTGGAAAGATGAATGTGAGTTAAAGAAGAAAAAAAAAGAGGGTTTTCGTCTCTTTTATAACGGATATATTTTTCTCTCTTTTCTGTTCTTTTCTTCTATGCCAACATAAGGAATGAAGTGAATGGAGTGTGGCATGACCCTATACTCTTTAATATCTGTATGAGATAAAACTAATACGACCTGGCTAAGTCTTATTATGGATAAAATTTCGCCGAATTGGGATACGATGTATAATTGGATTGTACGCTTTGCCATCGACTGAGCGGCAAGGAAACAATAAAAGCCATTTCTTAATGCTTTACCTATCGCTGTAGGGACAAGGATAAGAAAGAGTGGTTATGATGATAATGTCTTCTAATGAGTTGAATGACTTCCTATGGCATAGCCATTGATTTAGTATAATATATTTTTCTAAAAAAAAAAAAAAAAAAAAAAAGTGTTATGACAATGGATATGTAATTACTATGCTAACGATGATATCGGCAAGCAAAGGCAGTAAGGATATTTTTACCCAAAAACGCGTTGTCGCGTCAAGCTGATTTATTTTGCAAATAAGTCGTTAGCAGCTGCGCCATTTCTTTTGTTTCAGTCAATAGTCAATCGGGTTCAAAAATTCTTTTGGAGTAACAGTAACAGATCTGACGGTACATGTGTCCAATTGAACCCTGGGAATCATTCTCTTCCTCTTTCTCTCTTCCTTTCCTTTTTCTTTCTTTTTTTGTTTTTTGTAGGTGATGCTGCTAGTGCCACATGGGAATATGCTATTGTACGACGCCTCATAACAGAGCTGCTTCTCATGGCGAAGTAAAAAATAAAAATAAAAATAAAAAAAAAAAAGTGGTCATGCTCTAGAATGCCAAGCTCAAGGTAAGAAAGGGCAATAGTATTAACAATGGCAGCAACGGTTATGATGGTAATAATGTAGTAATAGCAATGATGACCTCGCCTTCATTCGTAGTAGGCTCTTTATAGGAATTGATCAAAGTTGTTCCTTCCCTTAGTAATGGCTTTCAATTATTGGTTCTCTCCATAGCATCATAGAGACAAGGACCACATATGGCTTGTTTAACCGGTAATGATCTCTCTATCAATCTAAAGAGCATTAGATGGTTTGGTGCTTAGATGGCGAAGAAGTTTTCATTTACCGAGGAGAAAAAAAGAAAAAAAAATGTTGTAAATTAAATCTTCATTAGTCATGGAGAATTAAAAAAAAAAAAAAAAAAAAAAAAAAAAAAAAGGATAAAAAAGCGAGAAAGTTTTATGAAGGTGATCAAATTGGCTATGCTGTTAGCGGTAAAAAAAAAAAAAAAAAAAAGGTTACCACGTTGTTCATCTCCTTCTTTTAAGAGTAAAGAAACAAACAAACAAACAAACAAATGAAAAGAGAGTAAATTGTGATATGAAGGAATGAATGAAATGAAAAAAAGAAAAAAAAAGAGTGATCGAGAACTTAAAAAAAAAAAAGCGGGAAAATCTATCAAACAAAGGATTGACATTCATATCGTCGCAATTAAGCAGTTAAGCAATTAGGAGGAAAACTTTTTTTTTTTTTATTTAATTTTACAGTGTATTACTAAATTTTACATCGTATCGAAATGAACATCAATTTATGGTTAATAACAGTAACATCAGGGTTACATATGATTAAGAGTGTAGGGTAGGGATTGGAGGTGAGAAAGCAAGCGCCGGCTGCTTTAGGCTACTGCGGAGCCCGAGGAGGCTTCAATCGTGGATAATGATCCCATTGCCCCAGCTTTGGTTGCATCTTTGCTGGTACTGCTACTGCTGGTGCTACCCCCGTTTTGGGAAGATGAACCCGTTTGAGAAGGAGGGGTAGAAGGAGGAGGGTGGGGCTGCTGTTGCTGTTGCTGTTGTTGTTGTTGTTGCTGTTGCTGTTGTTGAGGCGGGACACGGAGATTGCGGTCAATGTTGCGCTGAGATGACTGAAAAGTCATTTTGAGGCGAATCTGGTGTATGTTTAATGAGTAGGGCTTAAAGAAGACGCTGTGTCCCTTATGACACTGGCCTGAAAAGGTCTGATAGAGCAATTGAGCGAGCGGAGGAAGAGAGAAAAAGGGATTGTGTGTAATTAAGTGTTGTTTGCTGCAATGATTGGATTATAGTGCGCAGGGTGTGAGCGTGTAGTATGATGGTGTGGGGAGAATGCATTGTGTTAATTGAGTGAAGCACATTGTCTAGAGCTGTGTTAAAAAAATAAAAAAAAATAAAAAAAATAAAAAATAAAAAGTAAGCACTGTACCTGGATATGCCTCTTGCTTGTTTGCTTGTGTACTTTTTGGCTGGTTCCACAGAAAGAATGTTTGTGTAGGATGAAGGAGAAAAATAAGAGAGAAGAGGAAAAAGAGAGAAGAACAAAAAATAAAGAAGAAAAAGTAGAAAAAAGAGATGGAGGAAGGGAGTTAGTTATATACAAATGAGAGCGAAAGTTACTAGGCGGAAGGTTCACCTCGCTGTGCCGCTATAGGAATAAGGCGTGCAAGCTTATCGCGTTAACGGAGCAGGGATCGAGACCACAAAATGCTCTCGTCATGCAATAAGAAAGGTTTTATAACATAAAACATCCCTTGCAAAAGAACTAGACATAATATGTGTTATTCTGTTAAACAGCCCAATCGTGCCATGGTTACCCATAAACAGACACATCCCTTGGCAGTCTAGAGTAAAAGGCGAAGCATATAATGGATTCATTTTACCCGGGCACGCACCAGACCAAGGTCCATTGCCGTTAAAACAAAAAACAAAAAAAAAAATTAAAAAATAAAAACTGATCGTTTTTACGGCGGCAAAGTTGTCTTGCATAACTTGGTGTGGGTGCGGTGTATGTGTGTATTCGTGTGTGTACATGTCTGCACAGGGCGTGCACTGAGATCTGCTGACGCCGAACATTAAAAGAATGGCATGAAGGAGTTCCAATATCCAGTTCTTGTCTAATCTCTATAGGGTGGGAAGAAGAAAAAAGTGAAGTCGACCATAATGCATTGAGCAACGAATATATTGGGTAGTACATGTGAGGGTTGCATCCATTTAATAATTCAAATTATGTTGCTGCGGTCCTTAAAAAGAAAAGGAGAATTTCTGTTTCCTGATACAAGATTTGTTGTATGCAGCATCCTCTTACAATTTGAACGACAGACAACGCATGACTCGTGTGCCACGCCTTGATTATCCTTCTTTTCTTCTTTTTTTCCTTCCTTCCTTCCCTCCATCCTTTCTTCCTTCTATCCTTCATTTTCTTGGCTTTTTTGCTCTTCCTCACATTTCATCCCATCTCCATTCTGTCTGCTTACCCATTTCACCCATTACCTCTGTTTGTATCAAGCCTTTTTTTTCTTACTAAAAAAAAATAAGAAATTAAGTAAATATACATATTCCTCTCCGCCTCCTAAACGCATTCTCGTACCACTTCTGTGCCTTTAGGCATGTTCGCAGGCACCCCTCTTCCCGAAGAGTTGGACGCAGAGTTCCATGATTTCATTAACCTCTCTGGTTCTGATACTTCTACCACCTTAGCAACACCTATAACAAACACACACCCCAGGACGACTGATGAGGACGTTGTATCCATGCCATCACCTCTGGCTTCACCAATTGACAATAACTCTCATATATGTAGTTCCTTCTTACCAATTTTATCTAAGAGCTTCCTCAAAACCCCTTCTACTTACGTTACCGAGCAAGACTTTCAGGACCCTTCCTGTGATACCAGCCTATTTAATCTTATCCCCTCACAGGTAGAGCCATTGATGCAAGGGTCAATTTTTGAAAACCAAAAGCATCCATCTACTTCGTTTGGGTACTTACCGGACCCCCAAATGACTGGACTTTGCTCAGCTCCTGGCTTTTTATACATGCAAGAACAACATCAAAAGCAGCAGGGATACTTGGCAGAGAATCTAGGCTACCCAAATCAAGAGCTCTGGTGGCTGGGGTCTGCAGCATTACCTTTTCAGCAGCAGCAGCAATACCTTCAGGGCGGATGCCATATACAGAGACACGCACAGTATCCCCAGCAGGGATTGCAGTCAAGCATGGCAGGGGCATCGCCCGGCCTGCAATCTATCGTTTCGACTGAACTTCTGCAACAGAACTACGTTCAACAGACACATGTAGACTATAGGACACCTAGCTTCAGCTACATGTCTTCACCACCATTTGGGCTTCTTCCACAAGTAAGAACACAATATTCAAGTGTACTTGAAATAATTAACTGAAGTCATCAGCTCATTCATTTTTTTTTTTTTTTTTTTTTTTTTGGTGCATATCTGTGTCATAAAAAGTCCTCCTTTATAGATTCCCAGCATTTTAACATCAACCCATTGCACGGTCTTTCCGATCACATGCAAGCCGAACATGAGGAAGGCCCTGCCATGCTGCAGCTAACTCCTAGCCCGGAATCTAGTCACCTTGAGCATAGCCGTAAACGCACTCGGAAGGCTTTATCACTTTACACAAAACTTGAGATTATTCAAGCATGGGAGAGTAGCTGTGCTATCCCTGAATTAGTGAAACGCTTCAAAGCCGCCAGAACGACCATAATCGGCGTCATTGCGAAAAGAGAAGCCATCCTAGAGGAGGCAAAGAAGCAGAACTGTGTTCCAAGGATGATGCAGACCTCACGTATCGTTGAAGCCCGATTTTTCGTGCTGGAAAAGCTTCTCTCAGGTTGGATCTACCACCTCAACGAGAGATGCATCCCTATTTCTAACAACAGGATCGTGGGACAGGCTCTAGAGCTCCTCCGAATGTTGTCGGGTTTCCTTGCAGCGCCGTTGCCACCATGTTTGTTCACATATAGCTGGCTGAAAGGTTACAAGAAAAGACACAATATCCCACAGGGGAAGATGATCGAACAGGCGTCTGTTTCGTCTGAAGAGACCAAGTTTGCTCAGATATCTGTGAGGTGGAAGCTTAACACCTATGATGAAGAAGATATCTACACCTGTGACGTGGTCAGTATGTTCACTGGCATGCTTCCCCTCAGTTTGGTCCAAAAGGAATATCGACAAGAGCCTATCCAGAGAGTGGATGCATCTAGTTTCTCGGTCTTGATCTGTTCTAATTTCACAGGAAGCAAGAAACGAGAGCCACTTATCCTTGGTAAATATATAATACATCTTTTATTATTATTAAGAATGATTTCACTTGCATTCATATTAGCTCTAAGCGTACGCTCATATAAAATCGCGCTAAAGGGATTTCTGAAATGCATATTTGTACTTGGCTGAAGTACCTTGAAGCACAGCAAAATGCACGTTCTCTAAATCTCCGCTTTATTACTGTTTATAGTTAGACAGGGTCCGATGCTGTCTACCAATAATAACAAGAATGGCGCTAGCAGCGCGAGAGTGAGACCTGATGATTTAACCGAATCAACGTTCAAGAAATGGCTTACAGATTTTGATATGGAGCTATCGCGCGATGTGGTCCTATTGATTGACGAGACCATGTGGCGATTTTTTAGAATGAGTCAGACGATGCCTTTGTTACCATTGAGATTCATAAAATTGGTTCCGGTGCCACGCCCCCTAAGCGCCCTCTTGCCTATGAGCGCCAAAATCGCAAAGGACTTCAAGGCCTATTACCATACTTTTTTGATCGAGGCGTTCCTGGCGAATGATAAAGCCCGAAACCAAACTAGTCATAGCATTCATAGCAATAATGGAAGTGGCCCTGACCATTCAAAAAACAGAAGCCCAAAAAATGAGCCAGAGGCTATCCATGAAGCATGGAATCAAATCCAAAAAAAGACCATCCAATCTTGCTCCCGAGATTTCCTTGCTTCCCTTGAGCCGTCCCAAACAGAAGAGTTGCCGTCATCGTCAACATCGCCATTGTCAAAAATCAAGGCTTCATTGGTCTTTAAGTGCAATAATGCAGAAACCAAATTAATAGCGGCCTTGAAAAGCATAGAACCCAAGGTTCCAGATAGTGTATTGCAGTACTATCGAACCCAGGACATGTACACAGGACCATCTACATTCCTCCGTTCTCAAATTTTGATGATGCGAAAGCATCCAGATTTTGCAGGCTGCTTCGGAGATGCGACGTTTGGTGATGTTGCATTTCAAAGTAAGGAGCCTCGGGGTCGTCATCGAATGGCGCGCTACAAGGATGTAGAGCTTGCTATGCCACTACCCTTACTACTACCACCACCGCCGCCTTCGAGAAGGCCGAACACCTTTCGGTTGTTTTCGCAACCTAAAGATTTAAAAGCGCTTCCCCCCTCTCTTTCTTCCCAGCCAGAGAAAGCGGATGAGGTGTACATGCTTCGAACCCTCGCCTAATTACCAAAGTTGGGTAACATTTTGTGAATGATAACACCCTAACACTAATGGCGCAATACTATATTGCCGCCTATTGGTGATATCATTGAACAATAACGATATAACGATATAACGTAATAATAATAATATAATAATATAATAGTATAATGATACAATATAATAATATAATAGCATAATAGTATAGTAATACAATAATTTAATAATATAATAATATAAAATAATAAAATTATTACAAAGAGCACAATGCAATTTTATATTTGAATTAAGTAGTCGAGCGCTAGACATTGGCCCGATGCCTCTCTACCTTATGACTTCTCTTTAGGTGGATGGACATCTCCTCTGCTCCAGAGTCGGCTTTGCGCTTGTTAGACAGAGACAACGATACAATTGTTTATAATCCTTTTATTTAGTGTTATAATAAATGTGGTCAAGATTGCGCCGCACTATTTCTATACGGGTAATCTATCACCGAATGAAAAAAAAAAAAAAAAAAAAAAACCGCGCCGTACAACCGATAATAAGATCATTATTTTTTTATAATGATCAATAATTTTTTTTTTTTTTTTTTTTTTTTTTTTTGGTATCTTCGCCATAGGTGACTTAGCCAAGGAAGGGCAATAAATGAGGCGGATCCCTAACCTTTTTCCGAACCCTTTGAGAACTACAGGTTCCTCTTCCTGAAAAATGTACAAACACGTCTCGTTAATGGACATGTTGGTCGATGGCAGATAAATGTCCACTTTGGTTTGACATATCACAAGGGTGGCTATTCGCCATAATTCTGAATGAGTTTATTCATTCATGGCAATAGCTGTTTCACAGAATATGAGCATTGATATATACATATATCAGGAAAGAATGTAATAAAGAAAGAAAGAAAGAAAAGAAAGCTATTAAATCATCCCTCCCTCCCCTATACATCTAGATCTTCATCACCATCGGCATCACGTCCTGTAGATGATAATCTTATTTTCTTTGGCGGCCGTGGCTGATCAGAGTTCTTGGATTGATTTGAGGAAGAGGAGGCAGTCTTTTGTTTCAAAAGTCTCCGGCTAGATGACGAGGATGAGGATCCTCCTGGAACGGCGCCGCTTATGGAAGAAGAGGACGGACCAGAGATGATGCTAGATGTCGATGATGATTTTGGATGAGGTCGTTTACTAGATGACGATCCACGCTTTGATTCATCCTGTGAAGATTCCGGATCTGGGTTATCTTTGATTTGAAGTGCCTGTAAAAAAGATAGAAGAAGAAGAAATGGTTGGATGTGACTGAGCATACTAAGAAGCAGAAGCCTAAGTGGCAAATATATATATATATATATATAAATCCTTTCAGAAGAAACTTGCCTTGGCAAAAGTAGTTGAGGACATTGAGAACAGTCGATCTGATTCAGAGTACTTGACACGGCCCTTGTCAGCTTTTGGGTTGATATAACCATCAAATCCACGAATGATATTACCTCCGTTCTGTGTGTCTTCTAGATAAGACCCCTCAAATGCATAGATATTGTTCTCTAGTCCTGCCTGGAATAGTAATATGAGTGTGTCAAGCCTCTTTCCTGTTGCAAACTATCTTTTTTTTTTTTTTTTTTTTTTTGCTCCTCAACATTACCAGGTTCCTGTCAACAAGCTTTTTGCGCGCCATTAGCTCAGTGAGTTCATTTTTGGCATCCAGATATTGTTGGTATGTAATTTTCTCCTAAAGATGTTTAATGGATATTGAAGAGGTTAACTTTGTCGGCCAAGGGATTGTCCAGAATAATGGACTAAAACAAAATCCTTTTTTCTATTCTTTCCTGAAATTATATTCTGCTTCTTTACAGGTGCTTCCGGCATAATTGATTTGCTGGTTGTCTGTCTGTCTGTTTGTCCAATGATGTCCGTCGTCCTGTTTATTTGATGAGACAACTTTTATTTTCAACAAATGGTCTTTTTTTTTTTTTTGATGCTGGTTACTGAGTCACGTGCAGAAATCCTGGCTCTGTGTTGGGCTGAATACATGCAACCTTCTGTTTCTGTCTTCATCTCTCATTCAAAAATAAAAAAGAAAGGTCATTTGGTATTTCTTCAAGTATTCTCATTTCTAGCCAATTTTCCCTCTCTCCCTCTTCTTTTTTCCTTTTTACCTTTTTTCCTTTTTTTTTCTTTTCTTTTTTTTTTTTCGTTGTTTGATGCCTTCGACTGCAACTTCTTCTGCTCACAAACCAGTTACTGGTGTCCATAAACTCGTCCACCGAACAAAGAAAATGCGTTTTCCGCGTCGAGCTCGTCGGTTCCTTCAAATGCAGGAGGATACTGGATATTCAGAGGGACAATTCATGGCCCCAACGCCGTCGAGTAAGGCGCTCTCTCTCTCTCTTTTTTTTTTTTTTTTATCATGTCGATTAAGCGATCAAAGGACTTTTAACTCAACTCTTTATTATTTTCGACACTTTTTCCATTTAACCAAACCAAAAAAAAAAAAAAAAAAAAAAAAAGTCCCTTGGAAGTCAATTGCCTTGGCTGTTGTTCTTTTGATCCTTGGCATAGCTGGGCTCACAATTGGATCGCTGCTCAAAGTTGGTATCATCGTCAGCCCTGTAAGTTTAATAAAGAAGTTTTTTTTTTTTTTTTTTTTTTTTTTCAAAATTTCTAGTTCGTGTTATCCTCCTGTCTAAGCCTTTAATATTTTGAATTACATCTGTAGGAATGGTTGGATAAAGGCACACCGTTACTGATTCTTGGAGCACTATGCTTTATACCAGGTGAGTGGCAGCAAAAGAAAGAGTTTGTTTCAATTTTAATTAAAAGAGCAAGCACAAGCAGTGTCTAAATGATTTCTTTTTTTCCGCTTCAACATTTCCCTACATTTAGGATCATACCATGTTGGCCTGGCGTACTATGCATATAAAGATTATGAGGGTTATTCGTTCTCGCATATCCCAGACTTGGATGACTAAGCCTTTTTCTTTCTTTCTTTCTTTCTTTTTCATTTTTTGCTTTCCTCAACTATTGCGATCACACTCAGGTTTCTATGTATCATATATATACTTAATAAATCTACTCTTTTATAATTTGTGTGGAATATGATTCAACTTGAAGACATTGTTGACGAGGACAAATATTTCAAAGGCGATTCAATATTATCCTCATCATTTTCTCTTTGGTTAAAAGCCCTTGGAGCAGATTGATGGCCATAATGCTGCAAGCGACGACCAACCGAAGACTGAATTGCAGAGGTAGTCGTAGTCGTAGTAGAATATGATGGTGGCAAAGTTGACTGAGCTTCTTTATCCTGTTGTTCGATTTCATCTGCAAAGACCTTGGATAAGGACGAGCCCATTATGATGGCCACGAGTATTAGTGTGGTTCTCAAAAATATTCCAGATCCAGCAGCTGACCCTTCAGCCTTCTTTTGTTCAGCCTTGGCACGTTCCCTAGCCTGTCTTCGTTCCTCTCGTCGAATATCTTGTTCATGGTGCATCTCTTGATGAGATTTTGAATCAAAATGTGGTACGGGTCCATGATGGTGTTGCTGTTGATTTAAATCATTAAACTTGGCTCTAGTTGCAGCATGGGCCCTTGCAGCCGCAGCTGCAGCTGCAGAGTGAGCAGAATGTCGGAATGGAGTTCTCCTAAGCGTTCCACGATTGGGGGTGTCCCTTTCTGAGGAAGAAGAAGAGGAATAAAGGGATCCAGATCCGTCGAGTAAAGTGAGGTCATAGTCTCGTCGTTGACGCTCGTTCCCCAAGACAGAATAGGCTTCATTGATTGACAAGAACTGCTTGCGAGACTCTGCAGAGTCGTTTTTGTCCGGGTGGTGGAGCTTGGAGAGCTTATAAAATTGAGATTTGATTTCCTGTTTGGTAGCGTCCTTCCTCAAGCCAAGTTGTTCATAATGATTCTTGGAGGAATGATGAGACGATCGACTGTCTTGTGAAGCAGAGGTATGAAAGGTAAATGTCTTTTCTGTTTTTGACGTCGTCAATGCTACCAACGGCAGTACATTGGGTCGAGAGGCGGGTATGAGCCCTTTCGAGGCTTTTGTAAGTATATTCATTAAATGAGAATGAAATGTGAATGCAGAATGTAGAGTGAGTAGAAAAGAGGTGTGTAGCGTGTGTGAAATGTCTTTGACACTATTTTAAAGTTGGTTGATTGGCTTTTTTTTTTTTGCGCACAGACACATCATTACATTATTATTATTATTTCTTTTATTACAAATACTCTATCAATTCAATCAGATAAAGATTATCGACCAACACGAAGAGTTTCAGCCTCACGTTGACTATCACGAAGCTCACTCTCAGAATCTGCAAGATGTGTCTCCAGTAAGCCCTTTTGCTCACGAAGGCTCTGCATGATCTTATCCAACTGTTTTAGGGCATCACGCTGACGTTGGATCTCTCGATCCTGCTCCAGAAGCTTTCGGTCAAGAGTTGACGCTTCATCATTCAAGACCTGTTGCTGCTTGTAGGCAAGCAGCTCCTGCAGTTCTTCCTTTGTTACCTCATGTTCGTCTGTTCCCCCTCGCTTCAGCCGCAGTTTCCGCTCCGCATCCTCAACCTGTCGCTTAATACTCTCCAGTTCCTGTTTTAACCGCTCTTCATGCGCCATTGATTCTAAAAGGATAAACATAACAATGAAAAACAAAAAAAAAAAAAAAATATTGATAAATCAGCATTATTGTATTGTTAATAATCAAAGTAATCGATTCCAATCCTCAATGAAAGATACCACGTTCTTTTTTTTTTTTTTTTTTTTTTAAAAAAAAAAAAAAAATCCTACCGTTAACTACATGATCTTTCTGGTTCAATCGGCTAAGATAATCATCCGCCATAGCATGCCCCTTATGGCTAGAAAATGCCGAGTTCGTGGCAAAAGACATTGGTACAGATGGCCGTCCTGCCTGCATTTCATTAATGGAATAATTTTCAGAAAGTGCATAGTTGGAACTGCCCAAGAAGGAGGTTCGAAGGGCTCCAGGAAGCGTTGCTGGGACTCGTTTGCCAAGGCGACGACTGTTGAGGATATGGAAAAATACAATACATTGTTCCTTGCCAATTTGAGGAGCAGAGTGAACATTCACCAGTGACCTGAAGTGGTACATGACAGTGCATAAAAGGAGCTGTTAGGGATAAACTTGAGCATTCAGAGTTGCGGTTCTTTTTTCGCTGTTCAGTTGGGCTGTTCCTTAGTGTTACCATGCAGCATTAATGTCTTCTCTTGGAATTTGCAGAGCCTGGTATAATTCTTCAAATTGGCCCACTAAAAATAAAAAAGGATAGACCGTTGGCTGTGAGTGATGGGATTATTCCATGCTAGAGCAAGTTTCTCCAGTGCCCATCAGGCTGTGATACTAAGGACCCGAACATCTTACTTTGTACTTCACCCGACGACATTTGGACATTGTTCCTGTAAATAGCCTCATAATTGGAACGATCAGATGGGGCAATATACCAGTCAAAATCATCTGATAAATTTTTGTTCACAGTAGCTGCAGTATCCTACAATCAAATATACTGGAGTTAATAATCTGAGAGTAAGAAGATAATGACGAATCCTATGAGGTGCACTAATCCGTTCGAAGCTCGGAAGGCTTTACACTCACAAGTTCTGAAATAGCCAAGTAATTAGGGCTCTGGCTGCGTTGATTAAACGATTGAGACGGCTGCTGTAAATATGCTTGGTTGTATGCTTGATTTCCAACAAAAAAATGAGCCTTTGAGGGTGGAATCATATGTTGTGGAAGTGATGAAGGGATTTCTGATATCTCATTGTTAATGGACGCATAGACAAAACGTAGAGCCAAGCAGAATTCGTCAAAGTCCATATTTCCATCTTTGTCAATGTCGCAGATATCCCTAAAGATTTGGCCATGTAGAATACATTGACCGATATCAGTTGTGGTTGTAATATATTGGATCTGAAACAGTATTGAAATGTGTATTTAAAAATACTTTAGCGTACCAAATTTGGCCTAGCTTGATGACGTGCAATCCAGAGTTCATGAACATTTGTCGTGCCTGCAGACCTGTTACAAATAGGTACACAGGTTGTATAAGTAACAGTAAGGACGAGATGAAGAATGTCAGATGATGATACTCATGTCTCTCATTTTCATTCCCATGAAACGTTGGCAAGATGTTGATGCGGTTTCAGGGACAGAAGTTAAAGAAAGAAGAAGTTCCTAACCGGTGATGTAGCCGTTGATGGGGTTTAGACTAGTAAATATCTCGGCATATTTCTGCCGTTCAGCTGGGGACATGTCCATCGTGAAAGGAATTGTGAGTTACTGAAAGATAGAATTGGGTTGAATTGGGTTGAATTGGGTTTATCAAAAAAAAAAAAAAAAAAAAAGAATAGAAAGATAGAATAGAGCTACAGCCATTAATTTTGGAAAGTGAGTCTTCGTGACGGTCTTTTTCATTTAATGATCTGAATGATCTACTCTTTTTTTCGAGCATTTGTTCATTTGTTCCAAAACAAAAAGTCTACCGACTATGAGAGCCATGAGCAGGATTCCGTGCCAGCAGAGCACTCAATCGATTATTGTCTCCCTTGGAGCAGGTCTCTGCAGAAACACTCAAGGGTCAAAAGTCATTGCTAGGAGTAGAATCAATCCGATTGTAAGAACGCCCGATCGACCATGTTTCTTTTCTACTTCACAACGGTCGACGGCCAGGAAAAAAAAGGACCAAGATTCTTCAGTTGATGCTGCCAAAATTGATAGTATCTCAAAGGCACTTATCAACGACCTGTATACACGCCCATCGTCAGTAAAGGCCAAGGTTACACTAGAGGATGTCATGGCACTCAAACCTCTTAATCCAAAGATTTCAGTCGAGGAGTTCAACAAACTCAAGGATCGTGTGGCTGCTTCCTTTAATGTCTCACAACTCAAGGGCGTCCTCCGCAGCAAAAATATGCCTTCTGGAGGGAAAAAATCCGTCTTGATCAACCAAATCATGGTCCTAATGGATCTGGATGTCCTTGCTCCAGAACCCGGACCACCTGTGGTTGAAGAGCCATTCCCCAACGACCCAACTGTCCAGAGAGAATATCCGTCCAGCAAACAAGAGCTTTTTTTCATCCTCGGAACTGAAGGCGACTCTTTAAGGCAACTGGAAAAGGAGAAGAATGTTCGGATATCTATTAATATTGCAGATGAGACATACGTCATCCGAGGAGTACCGCATTTGATCGAGGAAGCTCAGGAGCGTATTCGGGAATTGGTTGCCGTCACAGAAGAGCAATGGGATGTTTCTTCATACCATAATAGAGACATGGTTATGAAGGAGCCCTTAGCTTTGGAGGACATTGCTCGACGATCAGGGACATATGTTTCATCAAAGGATGATCAAACACTGATTATTGCTGGTCGATCAGAAAGGAGCATGGAAGAAGCCAAGCGATTATTTGATATCAAGCTGAACGAAGTAAAGAACCCTCTTTCTTCCTTTTTCCCTAATGCAACTATTCTGGTGGCCAATTGACTAACCTTTGCTTTTTTTTTTTTTTTTTTTTTTTTTTTTTTTTTTGGTTTTTGCTCGCCAGTCAACATGCCATGTTGAGTCTTTGACATTCACGCGTCAGGAGAATGAGCTAAATCCTTTGGGGATGTTCCCGGTTTATGATTCAGTTACTATGACTGCAGATGAGAACCAAAAAGCATACTTCCGCATTTGCCAAGTCGAACCTGTTAGTAGAATTGATCAAATGGATAACGCTGAGATTATGTTTGATGGACTTGAGTGTACTAATGATCAAGTTAAATATTCATAATAGTATGCAGATAAAACTATGGACAACCATACCATCTATCCTGTTCAGTCTTCGCCGTCCAACATCAACACGCTTCAGGAACTCAAGGAGCATTTGCAAAGCAATGTGAATGAGGCACAAACAGCAACCCAAAAATTTGAACTATCATCACATTTCGGCCAGGTACTCTTTCAAAACAAGGAAAGGAAAATGACTTGCCTTCCGCTTTCAAAATCCTTTGATATGCTGATGCTAGAAGAGTGGCTAAAGGATGCTGAAGCCCCTTATTTCTTTGAAAGGTACTGGGAGCGTGTGTCTTCTTTCGATGTTTTGAAATGTAGTGCCCTCTAGCTTACCAAGGTTTGCCTTTTACTTTTTTAAAGTCTACCGTTCTTCAAAGCTGTAGCAAAGTTACCATTAGTGTCACCAAAGACTAGGACTATCGAGGCAGAATACATCCTATCATCATGTTTTGCACAGTCTTCTTTAAACTCACTGGATAAACCAAAACTAGACCCGGTCCATCTAAGCTATCAGCTGAATCATGAGGGCGAGTTATTTATGAAAGGTGGAAGCTCGATTAACAAAAGGATCGTCGCCAACTTTATGATGCTAGGCCAGCCTACGGATGTGCAGATTAGAAGTCAATTGACGACTAAGCTCGAGATAGAGTCCCCCATCTTGAAGAACCTGATGGATCAGACAACATTACCATTTTCGAATAGACTTCAATGCCCTAACTTCTTCTCATTTCAAGACATATCATCAACACCTCCTGGTTCTCAGGTGGGCCTTCGAGGAGTGGCAATCACGCATACATTGAAAAGTGTTCTTTTCAAGACGACCGGTATTTTCGACTACCACGGCTTGCCTCTAATCGCTTCTGACATGATCGATCAGTATGGCTTAGTTAGGAAGCAAGAGCTCAAGGTACTTGTTGGTGTTTTCTATATGGATGTTTAATTATTCTCTTTATATATATTACTTGTATATATTATACATAAACAGTATATAGAAATTTCTCTGACGTTTTCTTTGTTCTATGCTATGGGATGGTATCTAGCTTTTACCCGTGCCGCTGGCTTTCGAATCAATATCCGCTGATGGAGATGTTTCATTAGAGACAATATCATCGGCAGCGTCTCAATTTGACCACTGGGATGAATTTATAAAAGCGACATTCTATTTGAACAAAGCCATTTAGAAGAAGAAAGTGAAGAGCATCAAGTAGCATAAACCGCATCACCTATAGACCTTTATTTCAAAATAATTTTTTATTATTATTTTTTATTTTTTTTTTATTTATTCATCTATTTCTGTCATATTGGAAGATCTTCAAAAAGGGGAACTCTTCTGAAAGTTAGACTGTTCATTTCGGTTGTCATGCATTCCCCTATGGTTCTGTTACACAGATATCCACAAAAAATTATGTAAGCAGTACTTATAATGTCTTTCAATCTTCTGATCATTATAACAACACTGTCTTTATATCAATTAAATGTAAAGCGACGGGGTTTTGAAGTTCTACTGATATCGTAATGCTGACTGGCTAAGTAAAAAATAAAAATAAAAAGAATAAAATAAACGAGTAGATGGTGCCTTTGATGCCTTGACACATTACCGAAAGTATAAAAAAGGGAAGAGGCCCGAACGGTTATTGGAGGTGGAGGCTTTTGAAAAATTTTATTGTGTTCACAAAACGCAGTGAGTTTGCAATAAGCCAGGATTTGGAATCTGATTGGCCAATGGGCTTCCATGTCGCCCAAAACGACTTGTCAAGGTTTTTGTTGCACATGTGCACATTTTACTAAATTGCAATGGTATGCTAAGCATGGTCGGATTTTATTCAATAATACGACATAGAAAGAGGATGCACAGAAATGTCCTTTCTTACAACATTTACTACATATTCAAGAGTTTATTTTTTTGCTTCGCCAACATCCTTGATAACATTTAATGCCCTCTCTTTCATTCTTTTTTTTTTTTTTTTTTTTCTTTTTCTTTATCATTGCTACCCTCCACTCTATATTCGCCTTTACCTCACTTTACACTGTCTCTGTCCTATTCCATCCTCTGTTCGGCTTCAGACCCATTATTCAAGCATACATGTATGAGAACTGGCTTAGTGGACCTGCAGACGATGAGACAGGTAGTGGCGTCATATCAAGTGAACTTGATGCCATTGAGCGTGCATTATCAGACCCCACATCAACTCTTAGTATGCACGACCAACAAGTTGTCGCTGCTATTCCAATGCCTATGCCAACAGCCCTTCCATTAAGCTATCTAACGCCGTTCACTGAGGCACAACATTATAACCCAATGTTTCCACCAAACCCACAACAGTTTGGAGGACTGCAACCAGCTCCGCCCTACCGGTATCAGCAGGAAAGCGCCTACCTCAGCTTCCCTCAACTCTTTCAAGAAGAGCAGCGATACCTGCAATATGCCTCCCTTATGAACAACCCAAACCCACCAAATGCTGTTGGAGGTCCGCCTGCGCCTCCATACCAACCACAGTTTTACTCTGGAATGCAGCTATCCCCGGATATACCGCATAGTATGCATGTCAGTTCATTGTCTAACCTACCTCAGGGGCTACAATATTACACCACTCAACCATTCCTGTACTCGATGGAGCAATTAGCTCAGTCATCGTTTGACCAGTTCCATCCCGCTGCGTACCAGTCGACAGTGCCGCTCCATAGTACAACACATATCGGGTACCTACCTACTCAGGATGCTGTAATTGTTCCGTCAAACAAATTAAACAAGAAGGTCAGCAATTATCATGCAACTCATCCTTATGAGGTTAGAAACATGCTATTGGCTGTTTAATTCTACCTACAAGGGCACTAATATTAACCTTTTTTTTACTTTTTTTGTAGAGGCCATCGCGTGAATGGAGCTTGGATTCCCTTAATCAAGGCCCTGACCCCACTCCCCCCTCTCCCCAGATAGCTCTGTACCCTGAAGGTGACAAAGTAAAAGGAAAGGATCCCAAACGACTAAAGAGGCAATCTTACCCATGGGCTAAAAAACAGGAAATATATAAAAAATTCAACACGGAACACATCCCAATAGGCCAAATTGCGAAGTTGTTCTCGGTGCCAAGGTCGACAGTTTATGGGTTCATTGGAGAAGTTGGGAACATACTCAAGAAACCATTCCAATCCGGGATTCTGCCTCATTCTTGTCGTCAAACCAAGAACCATGGACGTGTCTTAGAAAGCCTTCTCGTATCATGGCTTGAAAACACTGAAGAGCGTGGCATTCCTGTGCCCATCCAAAAAATCGCAGGGCAAGCCGTTCAAATCTCTGCGATGTTGGAAGGCTTTCTGAAGGATCCGCTGCTGCCTTGCGAGTATAGCACTGGGTGGGTACCAAAGTTCTTTAAACGCAATAATATCGATCATATATGCATTCGGAAGCCTCCAACATCCGAAGACTGCAGTGGCTGGGCCACACAGGCATTGGCATTGGGCCTGGGTTCGGGCCTGGGCTTGGGCCGGTACCAACCTGGCGATATATACTCGTGTGACATCGCCGACATTTTCCTCTCGCCTGAGGCTGCTGTGCCTTGTAAACTTCCAAATTCGACTAGGGTTGACTATTCTAACGCCACAGTATTGCTGTGCTGCAATGCGGATGCAACTGATAAGCGCGGTCCCCTCATTCTTGGTGAGTGAATAATTAGACTCTCATTAGCATTGAGTCATTATTAGGTTGCGCTAGTTGGCACTATAGCACATCTATTAACTCCTCTCATTACTCTACCTTCATTGGTTTTCTTTTTCTTTATTTGCAATATTGCGTTAAACCTCTATAGTGAGGCAGGGTGAGCGCGACTTTCAAAATGGGGGGCACAGTGGAGTCGTCATCGATGCCGGCTTGAGCAACCTGACAAATCCCACTTTTGAGAATTGGCTTACCGAGTTTGACCAGTCACTCAGCCGGCCCAGCATCCTACTAATGGATGAAGAGATGTCCAAACTGCTTAAGCTGGACAGAAAGGGACCGAGCTTTTTGTCAGAGATCCCACATATCCCTCTACGATATCTTAAGGTCGTGGAAGTGCCCAACCGAATAGGGGCGTGGCTTCCGATGAGCGCATGCCTTCTAAAGGAGTTCAAGATTAACTATTACACAGTCTTGTATGAAGCAAACATCAAGCGTCTTGGGCCTGCTGGCACGCTTATATCCCACTTGAGGCATATCCATACTGCATGGGACCGCGTCCAGATACCAATCGTTCTGGCCAGCTTTAAACGGTTCCTTGAGATCGGACCACCCAAACACAAGCCGTGGGAGAATAAGACATTCGAGATTAAGAATAAATCTGCAAAGGCCGGTTTACGGGATGCAATGAAGAAGGCCCATCCCGAGATGGACGACGAGGCATTGAAAAAAGTCTTGGCCTGTCTTTTGGTGCAAGGCAAGAATATGGGGCCTTCAACTTTCCTTCGCCTTAAAATCCAAGAGATGATCAAGCATCCAGAATATAGCCACCTTTTTGTTGACAACATCAGCTTTGGCAAAGTCAGATTTGGAAGCAAAAAGCCATTGGGAGGACGTACTGCAAGGTTCGAAGCCGTACATCAGAAGCAGCTTTTCCGAGGCGAGGCTCCACTCTCGCAATATGATTACAAGTCGCTAGCGGCCATCACTAATTACCTGTATATGCCGCGACCACCCTTTGGATTCATTCAAGCCACAGAGAGACGCCACACACTTCAGTTACTCTGAAGCGGTGTTAATATAAATAGAGGACAATATTAGGCATTTTGAATGTATATAATTTAAGTAGTGTATATAATATAAAAAATAAGGAGATTATAAAAAAATTTTGTGCTCAGTTCATGCAGCTCACTTGTTACCCCTTGGCGAAGTAAAAAAAAAAAAAAAAAAAGGTTGATGTAAGGTGGACGGGACATATTGCGTATTGCTGTCGCGGTTATGGAAGGAAACTATGAGCAGAAGACGCGCGGAAAACAGACAATGTCAAGGCAGTTGAGATGCTGACAAAGCAAACTTTTGGTTTATCTCTGTCGATCGTGAGGACATCTCATGTTGCACAATAAGTGCCAAAACCAGTATACATGTAGTACTAAGAAGCAACAGCAATAGCACGGAGATCGTAGAGGTCACATCTTTTCACATGCCGGAAAAGACTAGAGAAATAAGCACAAACTCCTAAAAAAATGACAGAATCATAGTGGGACCGCGGAACGCGCACTTACACATGCACATTCCCTGCTCATAAGCAAACCTCCGGAGACAGAGCATAGCGAATTGCCCTTAGGGGGATTCTTACTCCGTAGAAACATGATGAAATGTATGCGGAGCAAAACACCTCCTAAATCAGAACAGATTGCATGATGCATGCTTTCTGCACCTTCCTTTTTTGTGTACATCTGTGTATGCATGCGTGGATGCTTGAATGCAATTTGGTGCATTTGGTAACATATATACGGATATTCCGTCTCACATCCATGGGTTACGGCTGCCAAGTCTTATCCTTGTTTCCTGTTTACTTTTGTTTTAGTTTTATTTTATTTTTTTTCTTGTCCCGCACCTGCTCTCAGACCCTTTCTACCACTAGGATCAATTAAGGATCAAAATGAAGTTTACAGATAATCATGCGATTTTCACCTCACTCTCCGCAATTGCAGCATTGTGGATCGGCATTGCTCTGACATCACACAAATATTTGAAAAAGAAATAAAAGAAAAGAAAAGAAAAAGAAAAACCAAAAAAAAAAAAAAAAAAAAAAAAAAAAAAGGCAATGTATGTTCTAATATCCAAATGTGCTCTTCCCAACAACCCATAATCCTTTCTCCTTCTCCATTTCCCCTCCTCCCTCTTCCTCTTCCTCGTCCTCATCCTCGTCCTCGTCCTCCTCTCTCATCCGCCGCTCTTTTTTTTTTTTTTTTTTTCCTTCTTTACACAGCCTGTTAGCGTAGAATGTCATCGATCTTTGCTAAAATAAGGCACAAGTCAACCGTGATACGAAAAACAAAAAAAAAAAAAAAAAAAAAAAGTTATCGGACCAGTTCATCTTGTTATTCCTTCCTTCTTTTTTCATTACTCTCACCTTCCTTTCTATTTTTCTTTATTTCTTTCATTTAAGGATATTTATATTTATTTATTTCATAGTTGAAAATTCAAAGAAAAAAAAAAAAAAAAAAAAAGAAATTTACTACATACAATTGACAGGGCCATGCCTTTTGAAGATTTCAGCAGCCAAATCACACAGCACTTCATAAAAAAAAAAAAAAGAAAAGAAAATAAAAGAAAAGAGAGTTAAAAAAAAAAAAAAAAAAAAAAAAAAAAAAAAAACAGAATGCTATAAAACATCACTCAAGAGGAAGCAATAGCAACTACAATGAAAGAAGATTCAAAACGCGTAAAGTACATGATGTTAATCATGCAGGAAGAGGGGGTAAGAGAGTAAGAAAAAGAGACAGAGAAGGAATAAGAATAAAAAAAACTATATGAGACTAAAAAGGGGGGACAAATTCAGAAGGATAGACTTAAGACAATGGGGCCAACTGCCGATGAGGTACTATTGGCCATTTGGTTCATGATTGCTCTTTTTTTATCTTTTGATCCTCTGGCCAAAGCTCTCATAAGCACAGGAAGACCGAGTCCAAAAAAAAAAAAAAAAAAAAAAAAATTAAAAAAAACGCACATACACACACACAAACGGTCTATATAGTAGCTGAAAGCTGTCATATGCACTGTCCCACGCTCGCATGGACATTCAAGTCAAAGAAAGGGAGAAAGAGAGGAAAAAAAGTGTGTTTTTGTCAGAATAGTTTTGCAATATGAAAAATAAAAAGGACAAAGCGGTATGATTAGAGGGGAAGAAAGAAAAGAGGGTGTCTATCTAACTTGAAGCAGATGGTAGCTGGTTGTTCTCGACTCCAGTGTCTTGGTTGGCTTGATCGGCTTGAGTAATACCTAGAGCTGCGGTAGCAGCCGCAGCAGCATCCCCTTGGTAAACTACGAATTGACCATCGTTCTCAACGGTACTGTCGATGTCAGGGGTGTCTTCGTATAAGACACCATCGGCAGGATAGCCTTCAAGATCGTCATCATCATCGACTACTGTCGTACTATAACGGCGACACATATGATTCATATCACGGAAAAGGCTTGTAAGGACCAGTGAAGAGATGGGGATATTTTGAGGGGCAACGGATGGACACAGTATGATTGCGGATAAAAATATGCATATGAGGAAAAAAGAGGACTAACGCTGAGGAAGCGAAATGAAGTTAAGGTACGATGACTTATAGGAGAGAAAAGATGAAGAAAAAAAAAAAAATAAAAAAATAAAAAAAAAATAAAAAAAAAATAAAAAATAAAGAAAGAGACAAAATGAACATTAAACCAAGAAAGCAGCATATTATCTCCAGGCAGGATAAAAAGAGGAATGATGTTCTGTTATGCCTCCTTCCTTATTGAAGGCTAGCCTGTGTATTTTCATTGAAGATGTGACAGAGCTCACTTTGTAGCTGTCGATTAGTGTTTACAATCCATCCAGCATATCCATGTTTGACTATAATTGATACACACGCTCTTTCACACAAACTCTTTTTTTTCTCTTTGCTCGCCCAGCCCCTCTCTCCTTCCCTTCTGCCTCTATTTTCTTTGTCTCTTCGTCTGCCCTCTCCTTCTTTGTCTCCATATCCCTTTGTCCTACCGCGAATGGCTTGCCTACTTCAGAATACACATGACATTGTCTCTACTGTAATCAACGTTTACTAAATAAAAGAACCCTTTGATCGGCAGAATCATATTTTCCTTTGTTCAATAACTATTGATCCAATGGTGATGGTAAGGCTAGTATCTGTACACAGTAGCAGCAATAAACAATGCTTGAAGTAGCTGCAACTCCAACAACAAAGAAAAAGTCTAGCCATTTCTAATCTAGCATATTTATTTCGTAACATCAGTCGAATCTCCACTGTGCAGCTCTCTCCCACCCACACCCCACAACCTTCCTTCAGGTATATAAGCCGCCCCGAGTTTAATTGGGTTGGACGAAATAGTATAGGGCGGCTCATAGGCACAGCGTTTGATCAAAGGCACCTGAGGTTAGAGACACGGCGGTCGCCGAGACTTGGTAAAATGCAAATGTGTCACTCAGGTCATATTTTGACTGCCTACTATGTTTCCATGGAACACTGCCTCATATGAATCCGACCAAAAAATGCACGAATGTATCGGGCCCATAGGCTTGTTTCAAGGATACTTCTGGGAAGTATAAAGCTCATTGATAGCTGTCGGAGCATTGCCTTCTGTTCTTAACCTACTCATCAACTTTGGTTTAAGAACACCGTGTGGCGATATCGGATAAAACCAAGGTTTTATGTTTGAGCATCGCTCTACTAGGCATAGAGTTGCTACTTTGACTTATGTGTATTCTGCTCCCTGCGCATTCTTGATATCCCACTGCTTCCTTTGATGTCAAAATGATGAAATATAGTATTTGCTCAATTACAGTTGTGTAGCATTCAACAGTGCCAGGGAGATATAATCATATCGCCTGACATGTCATGCCACATTGCGATAGAAGTGGTTATTTTGGGTTATTGAGATCCTGGCTCAAGACCTAGTCTTTATTCCTTGTACTCTTCTGTCACTCCTCGGTACTTGAATAAAAGTTGTATTTTTTTTTATTTTATTTTATTTTTTAAAAAAATTCGATCCTGAACTTCCTCTTTAGCATGTTCTCATGCCAGTGTCCGTTTCGATGCCTCTATCAGATCCTGTATCTTTATCTTTGTCTCTAATATGGTGATATTGGGTTGGCCTGAAATTTGTACACTCTTTGCTGACCAAAGTTTTATTTATCGTCTACAAGTCACTAAACCAATACTGTGGCTTTCATTTCATGCTGATTTTCGGCCTGTAGCATTTTGAGTGGTCCATTCAGATGTTACTGGGGATTGATGCTTCTTTACGACTTGCGTACCACACGGCATGAGGAAGTCGTGATTTAATGTAAACATGGAAGCCATGATAGACTAATTCGCTACCGCTAGTTAGTGTAAATACAGTCAGAACATTGGTTTATCAAGCCCGTCAACAGCACTTCGCAAGGAAGCGCACTTTATATCAATGCCTCTCCTCTCTTCTCTTTTATTTTATTTTATTTTTTTTTTACCATGCTGACCAGGGCTGTTTTCGTCTTCTTTTCTCTCTTATTTTATTTTATTTTTTTATCATGCTGACCAGACCTGTTTAGAGCCAAACATATGGGTTCTTGAGTCTTGTGTACTCGCTTTGCAACCCCTCTATAGTTTTTAAGATTAGTATATATATATAGACAGCCACCTCAGTAATGTCTCTCCCAACATTCAAAGAGCCTTGAGCCTCACGGCACAGTCAGAGATTATGGTATTTCTCTTGAATACGGCCTAGTGCCTAATATCGGCATGAAACATTTCGAGATGTCAAGGCACAGGGAGTCAGGGGGAAGAAAAAAAAAAAGGCATCAATGGTGTTAATATCTGCAGCATAGAGCAGTTTCTCGAAAAAATACACTCATGTTTCTGGCTCGACAAGTTGCTTAGAATGGTTTGTCCTGGACATCGTACAAGTACTATCCACAAAAAAAAAAAAAAAAATTAGCTTGAGCACGCAAGCAACCTTTCAAAGCGGTGTTTTAGAAAGCGGATTTTATATGTGTTCTGCGATGCTCATTGGCTAGATTCATTTTAATTCAAATTTTTTATTTTAAAAGAGCAAAACGAGGCCAATTTAAAATAAAAAATTTGAATTAATATGAATCTAGCCAATGAAAACATATAGAATCCACTTTTTTGACATGATGTGCAAAGAAAAGTGAGATTGGAACGCATGGAGTGCCGGGTACTCGGTACTAAGGAAAACACCATTAGGTCGCTGTCTCTGTTTGTGATCATGTCTCCGATCTTTCAAAGTTCAAACTCAAACAACGACTATATCCACTTCATTCTCTGAGATCGTTGAGAGAGAGACTGTGGATTTGCTTTTGGATATATTAATATAATCACGTGTACAGAAAAAACAAACAAACGCGCTTAAAGACTACATGTTTATTTTGCATGGCATGAGCATCTTCATTCCAAGTTGTTCTCTCAAAATTCAATACTCAGCGACTTTTTGAACAGCTCAAGGAACAGTGTGCATAGAAGGGATTCGCGGGACCTTAATTAGTTTCATCTGGGCTGAGCCGTCAAGTAAAACACACTAATACTGTATGCATGATGGTGGACGGCGGCGGTAGGTTAGAATATTGGAATTTCAAAAAAAAAAAAAAAAAAAAAAAAAAAAAGTTTACAGCTAAATGAACAATGTAATGATCAAGTGGAGTAGTAAACTCATCGCAACTATGCATTACATTCAACAGGCCTTAACCATGACTCTCATGCACACAAGGAATTCCGTGAACCTGACTCTTCGCTGGAGCTCAATATCAGGAGGGACAATATAACCTTGGAGGAGGCGAGTGGCGATGATCGACAACGGACTCAAGGTCGATCACGCACAAGATTACTCGCAGACTCCGACGATGAGATGAAGAATGATGATTTAGACGACGAATACGAATATGAAAATACATTATTGATGCCGTTGGAACCCAAGATTGATCTCCATATCTCACAATCATTGGATCCAACGCTATCTACCATTGCCACTAGCACCAGCACTCTCCCAAGCCTAGATTCAACTGATTTCGTGTTGGCAAAGGTAGAGTCGAGGTCGTCAGTAGCCAATATAATCCAGAAGCAGCAACTGCCAGAACATTCAAAGAGTCAACAGCAGCAATCTCAATCGAACACGACAGTATTTGGCGATGACGACGCTGACGATGACGACGATCATCTATTTGGTGATGATTTTATGGCGCAGTTTGGAAAAGATGGTGAGCTAGATGTTGATTCAGAGTTGCGTCAGGCGAAGAAACCGCTTTTTCCACGACGTATCACGCTTCTGGAGGCTACGAATGAGGATGATCATAATGATGGTGATGATAATTTGGGCTTAGAAAGGCTTAGTATCTCTCAGAAGCACAGGACTCTATCGGGAGGGCCTACTAAAACTGAGACGACTACATCCACTGTCACCCCAATGTCCAACACAACAATCACATCTAACCTGTTCACCCGACCTAGCTTTGATTCCAATCGAGCCTCGCTGTCAGTAGTTGACCCAATGGCGAGTCAGCTATCGGAGGAGTTACTCGAAATGTCTGCGCGGCAACAGGATTCCATGCTGGAAGATATGATTCAGGAAGATGAGAGATTACGGGCAGAAGAGGCAGAGCTAGATGATATGCTGTTGCTACAGATGTACGAACAGGACATGATGCAGCAGGAAGCACAGCAGCGGCAGAAGGAGCTCTTGGGATTTGACATTAATCAAAAACGGAAATATGCCTCAGTATCAACCTTAGAGCCATCGTCATCGTCATCAGCATCGTCATCGTCAGCAACGGCATCAAAGCCGCAACACACTACTTTTTCAACCATACAGGAAGTAGATCAGTTCTTGAAGGAGTCATATAAAGTAGGCGAGTCTTCATCTACGCGAAATAATACAGAACAAAGTAAAAAGACAAGGCTCGGATATGCCTCTACAGGTTCAAATAATTCAAAACCTGCAGAAAAGTCTACTCTACCGAATCTACAACTTTTTTCAAAACGGCAGCGAGCATCAGGGATCCCGAAATACGATTACACTTTGCCACCAGAGAGAGGTTCATTCATCAAGGCAAAAAACAGTTCAGGCCAGGTGTTTTATCTCCCGAAAAAAGTGCGCGTGGACAACGATAAGGTATGAGCTAGAATATAAACGTATTGTTTATGCTAAATATACTTGATTAATGCAGTGGAGGGCCTACTTGTTGATATATCATTTATCTTTATTTCTTAAAACATTAAGGTTCCATTTATAAAACAGATGAAAGAGAGCTCTCAGGCCATAAAGCCGCTACTTTCGCTACCTATTCATCGGATGATGGATGAGCTTGACAGTGAGATTAGACTGAAAAAATTAGAGGCCATCAACCGACTGGAATATGGCGATTATGATCAGTACGAGACTGCAACTGAGGACTATGCTACCCAAGAACCCAGTGAAAGACTCTGGGTCGACAAATATCGCCCAAAGATGTACACGGATCTGATGGGTGACGAGGTAATTAAGACTTGGATTAACTCATTTTGTTTCTGTATTTTTCTTTGTTTTTGCTATTCGAAATTAACTTGGGTACTTATGTCAATTTATAGCGTGTAAACCGCGAGGTTTTGAGTTGGATTAAGCAATGGGATCAATGCGTTTTTGGACGTAAATATACCAAGTACACTCCAGAATATAAGCGTCAACAACAATACCAGAAGCAGTTTAAGGATGTAAGTCAGCAATTTCTGCATCCAATCCTGTCGTCAATTCCAGCTTGAGTAAATTAGCTAAACATCCAACATATATTCTTTTTTTTTTTTTTTTTTTTTTTTTGCTTCCTTGATATTAGTTCCGTAAACCAGATCCTCTTGGTCGACCTGATAAAAAAATTTTGTTATTGACAGGCCCACCCGGTCTGGGAAAGACCACGTTGGCACATGTAATTGCCAAACAAGCTGGGTATAATGTAATTGAGGTTAATGCAAGGTACATCCCCAAACTCTATTTTCAATTGATGATGTTGTTGAAGATCAAATATCTACGGTCCATTGCTCATGATACGTATTGCGTGTTTCGATCTTAGTGATGACCGAACTGGAGCGTCCGTTAAAGGAAAGATTGAGTCAGTATTAGAGATCCAGTCGATCCTTGGTAGTAACAAACCTAATTTATTGGTTATTGACGAGATCGACGGCGTGTCATCCAGCGGTGGTGAACAGAGCTTTATTAAACTACTTGTTGATATTGCTTCTGTGGAAGTTGTATCAAAGGAAGAGCGATTAAAATCTGCAGGAAAGAAAGGTAAAAAGTCTACCAAAAAACCATTGATGCGGCCCATCATCTGTATTTGTAACGACCAGTAAGTCACGATTCTATTCAATGGGTATAGGAAAAAAAAAGGAAAAAAAGGAACTTTGAAGGGATTGAATGTTAAATCTTTCAGTGCCTATGATATTTCATAGATATGCGCCTGTGCTACGTCCATTACGTGTGATTGCACAGATATACCAATTCAAGAGGCCCTCTATTCGCAGTGTGATCACAAGACTTCAACAGATTTGTGAGATTGAGCAGCTCGCCAGCGACACACGCGCATTTGGTGCGCTCTATGAGATGACAGAAGGAGACATGAGATCCTGTTTGAATACACTACAGTTCATCAAAAATAAGAGCGGAACCAGCTCTTTAGCATCGACATCTTCTTCTGGTGGCTTATATAACGGCCATGGACATAATCAAGGGCAAGGACTGACCTTGGAAACACTTAACAAAGCAACCATTGGACACAAAGACCAGAGCAAGTCGCTTTTTTCAGTATGGGAAGAGCTTTTCCAGGCGCCCTATGCTCGTAAAACGAGAAGTGCCTTGAAGATGGTTGAAGAAGGTCGGGAGGGTCTTGTGAAAGGTAAATATCATTTGCTCCATTCTCTCTTTTTTTTTTTTTTTTTTTTTTTCCGGCGAGGATATGACTTGAATTAATCCACATTCATTAAATTTTAGATGATGGCAATGCTTATATCAGTCGCATGGTTGCACTTGTTCAAACAAATGGCGAATATGAAAAACTGATACAAGGTAGTACAAAGCAACCCTTTTTTCCATTCAATTATACGACAATTGTGTTCTGGCGCGGATAAAATGATTGACGCATTATTAATGTATTTAATTAGGGTGTTTTGAGAATTATACGTCTATGATTTTCCATGACGTGGCGATGAACAAGGTCGTAGCCTGCGGAGATTGGTTAGCATTCTATGATCAACTCAACTCCAGGATCTCGTCCAGTTTCGAATATGAAGTTGGTGGCTATGTTCCATATGTGTTTGTCAACTTCCATCGCTTCTTCGCCGGAAGTGTTCGACAAAAGGTTGAATACCCTCGGACGGATTATGAGGTAATGTGAAAGAATCGTTTGTATTGCTTTGATTAGATTATTGCTCTATAATACTCGGCGGATGACCATCTCATCTCATCTCCTCTCTCTTCTTGCCAATTTTCCCCTACTATTGTGTATTGCCATTGATCTGATATCAGTCTTTTGTGACCCACAAAGCCAACGAGAGTATTCTTCAGGGCATGGTGATCAACTTGCCCCCAAAAACGCAGCGGCACTTCCGAATGAACAATTTTGCAACAGAACTGCTTTCACCCTTCTTGCGCATCCTGTCGCCGTATTTGAGGCCAGTCAACAAACAGCTGATCAAACCTGAGGAGCGGCAAATCCTAAAGCGATTAGTGGATGTGATGATCCATTTTCAATTGACATTTGTGCAGGAGAAGACGGAGGACGGGCAATTTTTATACCGCCTGGAGCCGTACGTATTCATTGATTACTTTTTTTTTTTTTTTTTTTTTTTTTTTTTTTTTTTTTCATTTATGCGATCAGGTCCTTTGTCTAAAAACTATACTTACTGGAAACATTCTATTACCTGTATCTTTTTGTAGCTCAATTGAAAAGCTTGGCGATTTCTCTGGCATTGGGCTCAAGAACATACTAACGAGCCGTTACGCTGTCAGACAATTAATTGCTCAAGAGGTCGGGTTATTATTTTTTTTTTTTTTTATTTTTTATTTTTTTCCTTTTATCAACTCTTTTCATATCATTTGAACATTAGACAAAATCTCTGACTTTCTTTTTCTGCCACTCGTTCCTTCTTTCATTCTCTAATAGATTGAGGTAGAGTTAGTGCGAAGAGCAGAAGAAGCAAAGGAGGCGAGGGACGTCAAGTCAAAAGAGGAAAATGGATCGCCCTCGATGGATGCAAGTGCAAGCACAATAACGGCAACAATGTCAACAGCTACACTGTCATTATCAAAAGATGGTGATCAGGAGATGGATATATTGAAGGAAGAGAGGGAGGCAGTGGATTTTTTTGGAAGAGTGATTGTAAAAAACAAAAAGGACGTATCATCGTTGTCATCTTCGCTGCTTCCTACTTCGATGGAGCAGGAAACGAAGCCCAGGAAGAGGACCCGAATTTGGTACAAGTTCAATGAAGGTTTCTCGAATGCAGTCAAAGCTAAAGTATATGTTAATGAGTTGCTTTAGCCACAGAACTACATTTCGCATCCTTGACATGCCCGAAACATCCACCACAAAACACCACATAACACCGCATAACACCACATAAACCGCATTTATGCATATGCAACAGCTAATGAAAATAAACCAGATGTATTTCTAGCAGTTGCACCTGAATGCCATGCATGTCACAAAAGAACAAAAAACCAAAAGGGGATTGCCCATTTAAGCGATAAGGAATGCTAGTGGAACCTTAATGCTTTCGACTTTTGTCTTAATGCCATCGACTTTCTATCTGTGTTTGTGTGTACGAGTGAAAAGTACCACAACAGAACCTTTATCTCTTTCACTCATTCAGTTCATTTAGTGTCGGCTCATTCATTGCTTTACTTTCTTTCTCTATTCAGCATCTCGCTCATTTATTCATTTTTTTTTATTTTTTTTTTATTTTTTATTTTCATTCACAAGAATTCATCCTTGTCAGACATTTTCACCTTCCTTATCTTTCATCCTTTATCTGGTTATTTGGCGATATTTTTATTACGACAATTGTCTGTGCTGTGCTGTGCATCTCATTGTTGAATTTCGTCATATCAACCTTTCTTGGCAACATTCTCTTTTCTCTCTCCTTTCTCTTTTCAAGACAACTTCCCTATTCCTTCTTACTTATTGCTCATTCATATATACACATATTTGCATATACACCTATTCTCTCCCCTCTCCTTTCTCTTTTTGTGCACAGTATATACACAGCATATAGTATCTTGTTTTCATGAGTTGGCTTATACTTGCAGGAGCTGCAGCAGAGGTAAGAAGAAGACATTGGAGAACCATGTCTGGACTCTTTATGCATAGCAACAAACAGCCTATTCATACCAACACAAAATTCAAGAGATGACAGTCTGAGAAATCACAGAGCAAGATTATACAAAGATTCAAAAGCACAGCTTTCTCGAATGGAGTTTTATCTGTCCTTTGGTTTTGTCGGCGTCGACTGTTGACTCAGTAACGGAAAAGCACGGACAGGAAAAAAAAAAAAAAAAAAAAAAAAAAAAGCTGAATTGCATGTTCCCTCCTCGTCTCTCGCCCTCTTTCCTTGTCCTTCTACGTCTTCTCAATTGGACATGATTATTCCACATAAGTGCTGTGTTGCTGTCTGCGCTCAGTGTAAGGCGACTTTGTTAGAGCCTGTTATGTATTTGTGTATTGCCACGCAGTTGATTTAGCATTCCCCTCTTTGTCATTCATTCCTATTCTTCGGAACAATGTTTTCGTTTTCGTCGTTTTTATTTCGCCGTGCTTGATATATAACGTTAGTTTCATTCTTTTCTCTGCTGACGTAATTTGGATCGCCGATCTAAACTGATTTTAGGCTGTAAGTCAGGTCCTGGTCGTCGTTGCCTGTGGTATCATTCTCTCTCGAACGGGATACCTCAGTCAGTCTGCTCAAAAGGTATGCTTTGCTTGGATATGTTATACAGATATATACCCATAAGCAGAATAGGATATTGATGCCTTTGGATCACTTAATGACCACTTTTTTTTTTTTTTTTTTTTTTTTTAAAAAAAAAAAAATAATATCACCCACCGACTTAGGCAATATCACAAGTCAACCTTTATTTCATGACACCATGTCTGCTCTTTACAAAAATCGCATCCACCATCACTTGGGAGCAGTTCAAAGCCTTTTGGCCCATTCCAGTATTTTATCTCATCTTTTCGGGCGTCTCTTTGATTGTAGCCCGTATTGGGTCCCGGTTTCTTCGCTTCTCTTCGGATGAGGAAAAGTTTGTCAAAGCCTCGATTCTATTTTCCAACACAAACTCTCTACCCATGGCGCTACTTCAGTCCCTAGCATTGAGTGCCGCAGGAAGTCAGCTGTTTCGGGATGAGAAGGATACAAAAGAACAGGTCGCTGCTAGAGGAATCTCTTACATTTTATTCTATGCTATCTTTGGAAATTTAGTCCGGTGGTCTTATGGGTTCACATTACTAGTACCCAAGGATCATGGAAAGCAACAAGAACAAGTTGAATTGTTAGACACAGACCAGGTTCATGAAGCAGATCACCGTCAACTTGAGCAACCCGAATCTAATATGGAATCTGGAGGTCTTTTAATTAATATGGATGGAACTCTATTAGGGTCATCTTCAAATAATGCGATATTGAGCAGTGGCTCGTCCATAAGGACGCTACATGAGGGCTATATGGACAATAACATGGAAGAGGATGGCGGCGATGGGCACTCGACAGTCTTTCAGTCCAAATACTGGCCAAAGAACTCTTCTTCAACCCACACACAATTACATTTACCCTCAATCCCTGGAACCGTCAAGAGGTTCTCTTTGGCTTGGGGAACACGCAAAATCCAACATTGTCATCGACGACGGTCTACAAAGACTATGCTAAAACAAAAGGCGACGACTGTCTTTGATAGGATTCAACAGGTCTTAACACCTCCTTTATTGACTGCAATTATTGCTCTTGTGATTGGTTTGGTGCCGGCTTTGCACGAGTTGTTCATGAGCCCAGAGTCAAAGATCTATGCGTTTGTGATTCATCCGATTGAGGGCTGCGGAGCAGCGGCTATTCCCATGATCTTGTTGTGCCTTGGTGCACAAGTAGTCCAATTCGCAGCTTCATCAGACTCCTCAGAGGAACCAATTAGGCCTGCTCAGCTCCAAAGGCGTCGCAGCGCTAGTACGCCCTCCATCTTTCCTAATGGATATCAAGGCGATGACTCCGGAAGTTCAACTGAAGAAGAAGAGGATCACCGTGGCCGCAATGGAGAACCTGAATGGCTCCGTGTACATGTACCGCATCTTACAGATCCTGGACATAGGGATGGCTATGGACAAAATGGGATTGGATCAACACGATCACACGCTTCCTCGGCAACAACATTACTCCAGCCCGACAATTTTGAAGAGGATGAAGAAGATGAGATTCCCCCTTTAGGATCACATATTACATTTTACAATGATTCAACCGAACTATCTTTGATGGGCCATCGGTTCAAATGGCTTACTCCAGTGGCATTCTCTTTAGTTGCGAGAATGTTGATTGTTCCTTTGATTTGCTTACCAGCCATAATATTCCGCCCAGCGTCGCTTTCACCAGTATTGATGATGGACCCGACATTTACATTGACGCTTGTATTGATTGTGGCTGCTCCAACCGCCATCAATATTATTCAATTATGTCAGATTAAGGGATTCTTCGAGAATGATATGGCAGCGGTACTGTTCTGGAGCTACTGTGTGTGGGGTATTCCATGCGTGTTAGGATGGTCGCTTGTAGGTTTGTGGGCAGCAAAATAGAAATGAGTAAAAGGATCGAGTACCGGATTAATGGATGGATGTCATGACCCAAATATATTATTTCTTGGACAACTAGAAAATAGATGTACAGTATATTATTAAAAGAATTAGAATGCTTAGGCGACTGTTGTATTTCCAGCCAACTCTCAAAATGTGATACAAAATAATGCTTAAGAGACTAATATAGTTACGGTGGCTATGGAGAAGCAGAATAGATATTCTCGTCTCTTATGTGTACTGGAAGATGCAGAGCTTGTTCTCTGAGCTAAGCTTTCTGAAGTTACGCCAGTTATCAGTAAATACACATATAATCCCGCTTTTCACATATTCCCAGCATTCTCTCGATCCAGGGGTTGTAACATAGCCATCAAAGGACACATGTTTGTCAAAACACTGATACATCCCTTGGGAAAGTGCAGGAATATGTTAAAATCATTGTTCAAGGAACGCAGGATAATCAATAACATGTGGTAATGTTCAGATGTTTATACGACTTCATATAGAGCCCGGACAGTCGCCTTACAGAAAGACATCAATTATGGTGCAGCATAAAGTAGTAAAAGTAATCAAAAATGATGATGAGATGGCCCAGGCTGATAATGTGATATGAATGACCGAACGAAGTGGTCAACGCGCAATTCTATGTAATATTGTGGGTTTGGCGCACAACATTATGAGATATGATCTCCAAAACAAAAAAATGAGCCAAGAGTGGCGAACGGGTTGAGTACGTTACTCCTTCAAAGTTACACGATCAAAAGTAGGAAGAGCAAATGACCCGACGGCTGATCGGCAGAGGTGACGATGGCGATGCAGAAACACAAGTCTGTGTGACCCTCCTCAGCCCCAAGATCGGCAATGTCAATCGGCCTGTGATACTTAAAAAAAAAGTTTTTAAACAGAAGGCGAAACCCAATTTTTATTTTTTATTTATTTTCTCTTCAATTATAAACAAACGATTCATTTGTTCATGCAGACATTACTCCCCTTTCTCATCTCCCTCTTCCTAATCATTTACTATTTGCAAAAGCACTACGCAATCACCCGAATGACAACCGACATTGTTGCTCCACCAAGAGCCAAATTGTATGATAAACTCTTGCTCAAACTCGCAAGAAAGGCACAGAGCTGGCGAAAATTGTCAGTGCTGACAGCAGCAGTTGGTGAGGATCAACAAACTGAAAGACTTGGAAATATATTTTTCCACCTTCATGGATGCACTCTCCCCTTTTTTCCCTTCTACTTTTACTTTTTTTTTTTTTTTTTTTCCACTTCTAATCGATCACTGATCGCAACTTCGTTACTCTATTTGTTCTTGTTAAAAGGTGTTTTGGAGTGCACATTAAATATTTGGCAATTCATAAAGCAGCCGGATCTAAAGTCACGGACAACGAGACGTCGACAGCTTTGGATTGACCAGGCTAAAGCAGCAAATGCTGGGAAGACACGTATAGCCCTTGTTACAGGCGGAAACACTGGTCTTGGATATGAAACTGCCAAGGCATTGGTCGAGGCAGGTTACTTGACCATCATCGGTAAGAGAATTCGTCCTTTTCTTTAAAAAAGAATTGATATGGCTTAATGAACGTTGTTAAAGATGAGAAAGCGGGTATTATAACTGCAAAATAGATTAAAAGAGAATAGAAGCAATCGTAAAATATTCATACCTTTTTTTTTTTATTTTTATTTTTATTTTTTTATTTTTTACTCATTCCTGGTGCTATTTTTAAATACTGTAACAGCATGTAGATCTGTTGGAAAGGGCCAGGAAGCTGTTGACAGGATCGAAAAGTCAACTGGAATCAAAGGTATGGCCATTGTCATGTCCCTGGACCTGTCATCGCAGGAGAACATCAAGGCTTTCATACGCGATTTCAAGGACTTGAACTATCCTCACTTGGATGTCCTTGTCAACAGTACGTTATTTAATATTTTTAAACATGGTGTCTCGAATTTGCACGTGGCAACGTATACTTACACTTCTGTCTTGCTTAAATTTTTTTTTTTGTACGTTTGGCAGATGCTGGAGTGATGGATATTCCTTTTATGTTGACCAAGGATGGATATGAAATGCAGTTTGGTGTGGTAAGAACACTTTTTTCAGCTGCACTTTGTCCATGATGAGTTCAAAGGATATGTGCGAGTTGATAAGAGGTTTATTTAATGTCTTTTTTTTTTCTTTGGAATCAATCAGAACCATTTGGGTCATTATGTTTTGACCTTGGGGTTACTTCAGCAGCTGAACAAGGCTGAACAAGGCCGCATTGTGATCCTTACATCAGGAGCCATGTTTTCGTCAAGCAACATCCGTTATGACCGTCTTCAGTCCTCGGTGGGTTACTCTCGTCTTGGACATTATTCATATTCAAAGTTGGCCAACATGTTGTTTATCAAGGCACTGGATCGTCGACTCCGTGAGCAAGCACCCAGTTCCAAGATCACAATCAATGGGTGCCATCCAGGCACTTGCCATACTGAACTCTTCCGAAGCAGCAAGTATCTGGGTCCGATACAAGCTCCATTGGCGCTTGTATTCCGTAGTCCATTGTTTGGAGCTATGAGTTCTATCTATCTAGCCTTGGCGCCTCCTGGGCATGAGTTGGAGAGCACAAGCGGTGAATACTTTTTCGACCAGGCCCCTAGAGAACCAAATCCGGCTGTAAATGATTTAGAGCAACAGGATTTGCTGTGGCAAAAGAGTGTTGAGTTTACAGGCGTTGACTTTAAGTTGTAAAGAATTACATTTTGAAATAAAAAAAAAAAACAGCTTCTTTAGTTTGGACCGTGCGTCTAATGCCATGGGTAACACACACATAAACAACAGAGACAGAGTATGAAGGAGAGAAGAGAGAGAAAGGTGTGTTTATTTGCATGATGGAGGAGGGGGAAGGGTGAAAATCTCTGAAACCTGCACGGCAGTTGTACGTACATGTCTACACAAGTGAGTTGAGATTACAAAAGGGGAAGGAAAGAGCTTGTTACACACCATCCCATATCTGGGAAAAAAAAAAAAAAATTACAACGAACAAAACATTTGGCATCGAAATAAATTCATTTTGACTTTCCTTGCGACTCTTTACTCCTTCCTTTCCTCCACTCCATCGTCCACCTTCTCGGACCCTCTTACTTTTCTGTTTCTGTATACCATTTATACCCATTGTACACTCTTTTTTTTTCCCTTCTTTTTCTTTCACTCCATAGACGATCATATAAACATCACAAATCCATTGTTGCTGACCTTACATTGACCTTGTTTTACCAATTACTTCTTCGCTCCAATGCGTCCTTCCCGACGACCCAATGATCCTGCTCAGGAATGGATAACGTTCTTGATGCTTCATGGAGGCCATTTTCTCACTCTTGGCTGTCCTGCCATGATTGCCACAGTCATTTTTATTACCCGCATCCGGTGGTTGAAACATAACAAGACCCCACATCCTTATGGCCGAACGGGCTTGATCTATTGGCCTACCCAGCTCTTCATCCTTTTTGCTTGCTTTTCTCTGTTGGGTCTAGCATTTACTTTGGCTACTGGGCCTTATATAGCCTCTGCTGATGGCCTTCTTGGCAGTGCCATGTGGGTGTGGCTTGCTTGGGTGCGTAAAAAAAAAAAAAAAAAAAAAAAAAATTGCATTATATTCCATTCTTACCCTTGAGGGAAAATATCAGCAGATGAAAAAAAAAAAAAAAAAAAAAAAAAAAAATGACAAGACTGTGATACGTATTGGTCATCCAAGATATTCATGACATCTATAACATCTATTTCAATGTGAAGAATATCTCACGATAAATGAGTAGTAGTCATGGATATGCTGTGCTTAAAAAGATGGATATTATGCTATGCAAAGTATCTTTTTTTTTTTTTTTTTTTTTTTTTTTCGACTTCTTTGCGGCATAAGGACTACTTTGTTGTTGAGATGTTTAGATTTTAAAAAGATCGCAAATAATGCATGATGAAATACAACTTCTTTGTTGTTACATGTGTACATGTGTGTGTTTTTGGTGTGTGTATGTGTGTGACCCTCCCATCACTTTCCACATGGAAAGAAAATTTTCAACTCCTTTTTGTCGATTTCAATTTCACTTTGGAGCTTGGCTTGGGAGCAAGCTTTTAAGGAAGTGGATTCCAATTGGGGAAGGAGCCAAAACCGAGATAATGACTTTTATTTTAAATGGATTCATGGGTAGAAGCATCAATCAGATCCTTTTTGGTTCTCACGGGTCAATGCCGCTTTTTTTTTAATATTTTTTTTAATATTGCGCACGGCGTGCTTATCTAAGCAACGGTTCTTGTTTAGAGCGCCAGGAAATCGGATTAGATCAAGGATGTGGGATACTAAGTATCTTAAAGATACGCATTGTAGAACAACTGAAAACTGCAATTGGCTCAAGAATCTAACCTAGCCCTTTTTTATTTTTATTTTATTTTTACAATATCTCGTTCTTATACTTGTGCAGACAACAGCAATGGCTTTGAATACAAACGAGCATCGCTTCGAGGTTCGGTCATCAGATTACTTGTTCCTCTACTACTTGGTGACACTTCTAGGCAGCTTGCTCTCACTCTTTATCCTGAATGATGGCTTCGATATCCCTCCGCTCAACGTCCTAGATGTAGAACTGGAATACAATATCAACAATGCTATTGTCGCCAACGGGAAACCAGGCCCACCTCCTATCATTGACTTCAAACTAGAGCCGCTACGATACCTTCTCGCCTTCACTGGATCCATCGCGCTCGCATTCTTCTTTGAAGCCTTGCCTAGAGGTCACACTCGTGTCCAACGCGTGAGCCGTGAGCAGGAGAATCTGTCTAGGATGGACCAAGCAAATCTATTTTCGAGACTGATCTTCCATTATGCACAGCCTATGATGTCCCTCGGTGCCAGAAAGATCTTGACTCCCAAGGACGTGGAAGAACCAATGCCGGCAGCCCTAAAAACCCACTTGAATTATGAGGTGGTTTCAGCTATATGGGAAAGACGCTTAGAACAATACCGAAAGAAACGCAGCAGGCGTCAAAAGAGCAAAAATAAGGATAACAAGAACAAGGAAGAGCTAGTTAGCGGCAAAATGTACTTCGAATCAGACGCTATCACAGTCAAAGGAAGCCCATCATTAATTCTCACAGTATTATATGCATACAAGTGGCGTATTTTCTCTGCCATGGCCGTCCGTCTATTGAGCTATACGCTCTGGTATGTCCCTATTTATTTATTTAGTCACCTATTACGATTATTTGCAGATTATTCTGAGGCTCGCAAAGAACATTTGCCGCCCCCTGCGGTCGCCAATGGCATCTTAATCTCAGTAGGAATCTTTGCAGGGACATTTTTCAGTGGATTGTTCCTGTCCATGTCCTCGAATGCGTGCTCGTATTTGGGTATTGAGATCCGCGGTGCTTTAGTAGCTATGATCTACAGAAAGTCGTTGAAGCTGTCACCACACGCAAGGAGTAAATCGACATTAGGTGAAATCAGTAAGTCTTTAGTCCCGCCGCCCTACAATTGAGCTCTTGATAGCCTGGTTGATGCATTCAAGATATGAAATGGTGTTGACTCTTTACTTATCACTCTGTCTATCTGTTAGGCAATCTTATGGCCGTTGATGCTGAGAGTTGGATGGTGGCCCCTAATTTCCTACCATTGACGCTCACTATCCCATTTGAGATTGCAATCGCTGTTTTCTTACTCTATCGGCTGCTAGGCTGGTCCTTAGTTGCGGGTTTGGCAGTGTTTGCGATCATTATGCCAATCCAGACTAAGATGGCTGGCCTCCTCCACTCGCATCAACGAGAGAAACTCAAAGTCGCAGATAAGCGCTTAGGACTTATGACTGAGATCCTTGCGAACATCAAGATTGTTAAGCTTCAAGCTTGGTACGTCTAAGAAGGAAAAAAGAAAAAAAAAAAAAAAAACCTCTTTACACATTCTCAAGACAAAGTTGTTGACGTGCACCCTATTTTTTTTTTTTTTTTTTTTTTTTTTACATTGCTTTCACTTTTCATTGCCACTTGTCCAACAAATGTATTTCACAGGGAAGATGCCTTCCATCGAAAAATTGACAGTCTACGCTCTCAAGAACTTGGTGCACAGAGGGCCTTGGCCACTGTCCGCGCTTTTTTGGTAATCGTCTTCTCGTCCGCCATCCTGTTGATCGCGCTTGCAACATTCTCTGTTTATGCTTATTGGGGAGGACCTGGCTTCACACCTGCCAAAGTAACTCCTGAGATTGTCTTTGTCGGGATCGCCCTCTTCACAACAATGAGTCGTCCCATGGGCCTGGTCCCGCAGGCTATTTCACATGTGATCATGCTGAGAAGTGCCAATGGCAGAATTCGAAAGTTTTTACTGCTTGAAGAAATCGATTCCACAGCAGTGGAGCGGTATAGCCCTCAAGATTCACCTGCAGAACTAGCTGCGGCATCATCGACTCTGGCTTCTCCTTCTTCAAAGACTGTGGATGGAAAATGGGTAGCAGTCGAGATTGAGAACGGAACATTTACATGGGAAAGAGTGCCAGAGAAAGGCTTTGATGTGGCTGCTGCTGCTACTACTGCTGAGATAACAGCGGAGCTACCTGAGGAACAGGCAGCGCGACAGCCTTTACTGGGCTCCACGTCGCAAGCAGCATACTCTACGTTCACATCATCTATGCCTGCTCGCCCTACTCTCATGAATATTACTGTACAGATCCCTCGTGGCCACTTGACTGCTATTGTCGGACGGATTGGCCAAGGCAAGTCCTCAATGCTTTCTGCCATAATCGGAGAAATGTACAAGCTCCAAGGTGCTGTCAGAGTATTTGGAAACCTGGCATATGTTCCGCAGCAAGCGTGGATCATCAATGCGACTCTTCGGGACAATGTTCTATTTGGCAAACCCTTTATACAAGATAAATATGATCACATCATCATGGCTGCTGGACTCATTCCAGATATCGAGATGCTCCCAGCAGGCGACTCGACAGAAATTGGGGAGCGTGGAATAAATCTATCAGGAGGCCAGAAACAACGAATTGCATTGGCACGCGCAGCCTATCAAGATGCAGATATTTACTTGCTAGATGACCCTTTGAGCGCTGTGGATGCTCATGTAGATCAACATCTGTGGCAGCACTTGATTGGGCCTAATGGACTCTTGAAGGACAAGACCAGGCTACTAGTGACACATGGGATCCACCATTTGGAATATGTAGACCAGATCATAGTACTAAATGATGGAAGAGTCACCGAGACAGGAGAGTACCAAGAGCTAATGCGAGCCAAGGAAGCGTTCTATCAACTGATTACAGACTATTCAGTTCAAGAAAAGAAGAAGCAGCAGGCACAACTTCTGGCGCTAGAACATGAGCAACAACAGCGGATGGTATCCAAATCCAATATTGACATCGATGACACTACTTCAGCCAAAGTTGGAGAAGTATTTACAAAGCAACCTGATGATGCGATGGAAGCTAGGTCTGAAAACGGCAAAGCTAAACGGGATACAGATATTGCCGTGGCTGACCCTGGCAGCAACAGCACCGCAAAGCCCAAAGGGGATCTCATTGGTATGGAGAATCTTGAAGTCGGCAACGTTGGGTGGGGGGCCTACTGGGAGTATGCCAAAGCTATGTAAGTATCGCTCGTTCGCTTGGCTCAGCTCATATTCTTTAAGAATAGAGGACCCTTGTGATTGATATTGAATCATTTATCTGCTACTGATTATTTCATACTCGTTAATACATTGTTAG